ATCGGTACTCGACGGCCTCGGAGCAGCTGGCGTCGCCGCTGTTGACACTTTAGCTCGTGCGGCGTGCGGACGCGCGCGCTTGCTTGGCGAGGGCTGATGTTCCTTGTCGACGTCGAAGTCCCCGCCTTGTGCGTCTGAATCATCTAGCCGGGCTTCCTCGTCTTCATCATCGCCGCCATTGAATTCATCCTCAAGCTCAGGCTCGCTCATCTCCGCCTCCTCCGAATCAGATTCGTAGCCAGATGCCTTTCTCCCCTTCCTAGCCCCACCTTTCTTCGCCGCCGGCGTGGAGCGCTTTCGTTTCGATCCAGCAGCCTTCGTCGGCGTGCGTTTAGTAGAAGCCCGACGAGGTTGAGCAGAACGTGTCGATCTTGAGGTACCGTTAGTTTGAGAGTTTGTGCTCGTGCCCGTCTCAGCACCCAAGGTCGATTTTGCTCTCGTGCTTCTGCTGACGCTGACATTGGCATTCGGCGTCGGCTCAGATGCAGGAAGCGTCCGATTACGCAAAGACCGTCCAGTAGAGGCGGTAGGTTGTGGCGCCGCCGTCTCAATGACTTCCTCAACTTCGACCTGCTGTTGGTCTTCCAGCTTCGCAGCGGCCTCTTCGGCCATCTGCTGCATTGTCATTGGCACGAAGCCCACCCCAGCTGCCGCAGAAGGGGAATCCTTCGGAACCGCGACCTCCATTTCCTCCATGTCCGCGTCCGAACGGGCATCAACGTCCATCCCGGACGCCTCAGGCTCGAGATCGTACGTGACTAGCTCGAGCGCCTCACGTGGTTCGCTCTCATCATCGTCCGTTTCTTCCAATTCCATTTCAGCATGCAAGCCACCTGCTCCCTTGACTCTCGGCGTCTCGCGTAATGGCGTCGTGGAGAAGGACGACGCCTCCGCGGACGAAGGCAGCACGATGTGCGTGTTCTTGGGCAGGTGGAAGGCCGCCACCACCCTATCGGCCCCTGCGAGGAAGCCGCCTGCCGAATCAGATGGGTCGTCCTAGATAAAATGAAAGGAATGAAGGGTGTCAATCGGTATTGAACTGGGCATGGAGAGTAAAGAGAAGGAAAGGAGAGAGAAAAGGACGTACATCGGGGTCTGCAACTGGAGAGCTTTCCCTCGATCCATCGAGACGATCTCGCGCTCCCTTGGCGTCTTTGCTCGTGCTGGCGCCAGAACGATGCTGCTTGCCACTCTGTTTCCCAGAACCGTACTGCTCCTGCAGCCTCTGTCTAATGCGCAAACCATGAATCAGTCGTGTCCACTGCTTCAGAACGCGATCCTCCTTCTTGATACGCGCTTTCTCGTCTGCTTCTCGCTCAGCTTCCCAGAAGGCCTACAAATGCAACAAACAAGGAAAAGGGGTACATTAGCGTCCGTTCATTCGCTCTACCTCACGCCAGCACTCTTTTGCCGATGATCAAGGAAAGGCCATAAGATGATCATCACCCACCTCAAGCAGAGTTGCTTCATTCTCAGCTGCCACCACCACGCCCTCGAGAATGGGAAAGGCTCTGCGCTTCTTGAACTCGAATCCAGTCTGGGCCCAAAGTCAATTGACAACAGGTCTTCAGATACCCAAGGTAAGAAAAAGGAAAAGAATCAAACACGTACCACGGCCTCTGCGAAGTCGAACCCCAGCTTTCGAGCAATTTTAGCAACGCCCTTGACTGTCATACGTGATACTGGATGAGCTCCGGCCTAAGAATGCTCACGCAGTCGAAGGCCGACTCACAGGGAATGTGTGCTGCTCCTTTCGGAAGCATGGAAGGTACATACAGGTCGATATTCCCAAAGTTATTCTTAGGCACTTTGCCCTAGGGAAAGGAAAAAAAAAGGTCAGCAGAGTCGCGGGGCGAGAAGTAAACCTCACTGACATCAATGACGGGGTCAGGGATATAGGGTTCGGTCTGCGAATACGCGTAAAGACCTTGCAAGATTTCGCCGACCGTTGAACTGCTGCCAGAACCATCACCTTCTCCAGCAACCTTGAGCTCGTCTTTGAGGACTTCCAATTCTCGCATCTTGTTGACAGTGCCAGCTCGCACTTTGACCATCTTCATGGGCTGCTCGCCAGCCCTGATCATGCGGCCTGTGCTTCGCATCCAGTTTTCGGAAGTCTTGAGCGAGAAAACCGCCGAACGTGGATAGACGGACTCTCCTCTGAATTTGCCTAACTCTGGAGTAATAGGTGGCGGTGGGTGAATGGTCTCTGTCTGCTTCAGATGTCGCTCGAGGACGTATAATGGATGGTCCTTGAATCCAGACATAGTGGTTGGCATGCCCTCGGAATACTGTGCGGCTTCGAGCTCTTGATCCTCTAAGTCATCTCGATGCTTGGATGTGTTAGTCATGTTAAAAAAACGGCGAATATATGCGGACATACCAATTGGAATGGTCGCTTGACGCAGCTCAACACCTTGTCCCACCACGCCTGACGTCCTCTACCCCCTCCACCAACATTCGGAGCACTGCTTCCTCCCTGCACCTTCGCAACCTTCGCTCCATATTCCCTGGCGTATCGTCGCGTCACGTCTCTAGCATAGCCGTCCTCTTCAAAAGCTAGTACGTAGACCATTCGATTCTCGACCTTCGTGGCTGGGGCTCTCGGTGCATTGACGGCAGGAGGGGCTGGATCGAACATCTTTCGCTTGTTGACGATTGCACGAATTGGGTCAACGGGAAGCCATTTAGCATCTGGCCGCGAGAAAACCTCTGTCCAGATAACCGGAGGAGTCGTCAGCGGGTCGGGAGATCCTGAAATATTTCTTGAGTAGGCATCATAGTCATAGAAGCAAATGAAGAACGTACTCAGCTTGCGAGGAGCACCAAGCACATTCCCTTTGCTCTTCGTCTTCCGGAGCCTGACGACTGGTTGAGCTTTCTGCTTTCCCTTTGCCTTCTCACTCATCTCAGGAACGGGACCACCATCCAGTCTTCGTCCGCCCCCCAGCCCCGCCATCGAAGAGGATTCCGTGTCCTGATCTTCAACAGCAACTTCCTTTCCTTTGAGCTTCGGCTTCCTCTCGTACCTCGGCTTCGGCTTTCCGACGCTCGCCTGCCAGGGAACACTCTGTATGTTGACCACCAATCGCGCTGGGATGCCCAACGCCCGACACAACGAGGTGAACAGTTGTGCACTCGTGTCTCTCGACCCGCTCTGCATCAGAGCGTGCTTCATGAGACTTTTCTCACTCCTAATAGTCTCCGGGTCGTCCACGGCCATGTCGAAAAGCGTGTCTTCGTCCAGCACCGCATCTTCGACGTGGAGACCGCGGATTTCGAGCTTTCGTTGCACTTCGTCGAATGTCTGGTTGCGGATGTGACCCTCCGGTACAACCTCGAAGAATGACTCGGCCCACCAGTGAGCCAGGTTATCGATAGCTCGCTCGAACATTCGACCACGTTGGTTCTGGTCTGGTACGCGGGATTTGTGAATGACACCGAATGCATTTTGGAAATGAAGTGGGACGAGGGAGATTAGTCGAGCCTGGATGCCGGTCAGTGAGAATCGACTTTGCAGGGGAAAGACGTACATGCAATAGAGGATCGTTGATCCACTTGTTCCGCACACGAGCAGCCGCAATAAGAGCGACCGTGTGGATCTTGTGACAGTCAACCCTTATGAGACGGTCAGCATGAGATATGCCATTCTTCCTGCCAATAATCAGGCTTCGAGATCTTCATTCGAGCATGAACAACCAACTTGTTCGACGTCTTCTGCTTTGGATGGCGGTCGAGCGTTATTTCAAGATGTTGCGGTTGCTCCGTTTCGTTGATGGGCACTTCGACTTCTTCCCAGTCGAGTTCGTCGTCACTTTCAGCTTGAAGAAGACCATTTTCTTCGACTTCAGACGACATTCAACTCGTTCACAGTGAATTATAGTGGTGGAGGATGACAAACCTCCAAATTAGTGACTCATTTGCGCGATGAACACGAGAGTCACCTCAGGTGACTCGTTACCGTGACTAGACCATTGCAAAGGACCAATCAAGATCGCGTCATCAGGTTTGCTCGCATTTTATCATGAAAGACCCTCTTCAATCGTCTAGTTTCTCCTCTTATCTATCTAGAAATTACGATGTCAAGCTCTGAAGACAATCTGGTTATCTCGTCTGATCCTCTCCACGTATGTCTCGTACTGGTTTCTTCTACTGATGGTAGCTGACACTGATGAACAGCCAGCAAACTTAATCCCCGAGCTTTGCCGCTCGTTCTATCATGTAAAAATTCAATATGAGAAGCTTGTATTGTATTAAAATGGTGTAAACACCAGCTGGGATGGGTTACAGGGACGGGCGGTGGAATTTGCATCAGGGTTGGGTATGTTCAGTTGTTGTCTCTAGACCCCCCAACTGAACAACAGTGAAGCGATAAGGCTTACATCGCACCCTCTGGCGTCCAGAAAGAACGTATCAAATCTGAACACATCTTCGTTCTTCCGTACCCCCAGCCTCCACCTTCTCCGCACACCGACCGAGTGTTTCTTCGACGACCCTCTTTGAACCTCAAGGAGTCGGCCTGCACGCCTCTATTCTGGAATTCTTTCGATCTCCGAGGTGCAGGAAGCTGCATCCATACCCATTCACAACATGCGGTAATGGCCACGCTTCTTTGGACGGGCCCCGTTTTTCGTATTTCACACCAAGTGAGTCGAATTCCAAATTCACGATTCCGTTGACTCAACCCACGTTATTTATTACGATCAGGAGGTAATGCGGATGAATCTCATTTTTGGGGCTACAAAGAGCTTATCATCCGCATAGATGATCAAAGGGGTTCGCGTAGCAGGGACTGGCACCGCATTGTCATACCTCGACACTTTAGAACTGCCTATCATCGAAAATACTCCCAACGAGGAGGACCTCAAGGACGGTATGGCGGAAGCAATGATCAAGTACCCTAACGCTGCGGGCGTCCTCGTCCGAAGGCATGGAGTTTACGTTTGGGGTATCCGGGTTTCTCCTTCCGTTTTCTCTATGATTCACTAACCACCTTTTTAAAAGGGCTCGACTGGGAAAAGGCGAAAACTCAGACCGAGGTGAGTGGATCTTTCAATCTCCTTAGACGTACTCCTAACACGCGGTGCAGTGCTTGGACTATCTCTTTGAGATTGGCGTGAAAATGAAGCTCGCAGGCCTTCCTACCGTCATGAATGATTCGTAAAATTCCGGCACGATGTATGCCTATTGTATGTACCGATAACCTTGAAACGTGGATTTCGCCATCGCTACATGCAAAAGGTTAACTCTAAGGTGTCATCTCCGCTATTAAAGAGTGGCCTAGTGTCGTCGTTGTGTCTCTACCACGATCTCCCAGGTCCCATACACTCATGGACCTCGTACCCACCTTGCGCTGCGCCAACACCGCTACGTGTTCAGCTCAAGGAATGTCTGTCTGTTCCAATTGCCATCTCGTGAAGGTGCGTCTTCGGCGCCTATCTTATCCGATTGACTGTCTTAGATCTCCCCGCCGCAGTATTGCACCAGAGAATGTCAGAAGGCCCATTGGAGTGTCCATAAGAGGGACTGCAAAAGCCAATTTAGCAAGACAACGTGGCAGCCCCAATGGATAGCAGAGAAGAGGGTGCCTTCGTTCATTACGGTGGACGGGCCCATGATGTCTCACTATGGCCTGAACAAGCATCTCTGGGGTAATACCCCGGCTTTTGACCACGTTCAGCTGTTGAAGAACGAAGGTGCGAAGTGGGATCAACCTCTGGCGCTCTGTTTTGCTGGTCAGTATTGCATGCTCGAGTGTGCTCCACTATTCTTCCTTCGGAAATCTGACGCGTCGCCCAGCGTCAGGCGATCTTCGAAATGTGATTACGTCCATCAACTGCCTGCCCGAGTCCTATCAACTGCCCTGCAATGTGGTCATCAACGATCGCGAAGTGGACATCGTGCTTCGCAACCTCCTCCTTCTCTTCACATTCGCATCTTTTGCACCTGACGAAGCTGCCGAGATGGCGCTGCATCTCTGGTACTTGCCCAAGCTTCCGTCGAAAACAATGGCGCGTCTCCGGCCGATCTTCAACGAGAAACTCGACAAAATATTCACCCACATGGCGAAGAACCCGGGGAGCCCTCCTACCACCCTCTTGAAAGCGAAGTTCCAACTGACAGACAAGGCGTCGATCGTAGCACTGCTGCCGAAATGGTTCTGGTTTGAGATGAAGAAGATGCTCGAATTGAAGATGACCTCCCAGCAAGCGGATTACCAACGACATCTGATCACTCTGGGTCCTGATAGGCGCGACTATCGTGACCGCCACCTCAGCCTCTTAGGCCCTTATTATCGAGTCTCCAAGATGAAATACTATGAAGACGGTTTAATTATGCCCTTCGGAGGCGTCGACAGAAGTTCGTTCTTTGAACCTAACTTGTACGTTGTTCAAGATGAGTTCCGCTGTCGGGACTGACACGGTAGTAGCACTCTGTTCGATACGTCTGGAAGGTGGACACAAAATGATTCACAAGATCCCTTATCGTGCTGGTCCTATGACGAATTGCAGTCCAATATCAAGAAATATTCCCTTCCCTCAAACGACCTATACGGCGCTCTGTACTTTCATCTTTTAGGGCTGTTTCGGCTGTTCGCCCACGCTTTGGGAACGAGGGAACTCCGTTTTACCCTTCTCGGCGAGGACGCGCGGCATATTCCTACAGCTCTCCCGAAACTGCTGAAGGATACCACCCCTCAAAAATTCGATCGTGTGGACGTCTCTAACACGTCCGATACATGTTACATAGGAATCGAAGCGACGCTATCCATCCTTGGGGATATGTTGAAGCCCTATCGCCAGAACCCGCACGCCACCCTCATCACTCTATTTCTAAACTATTTTATGGAGACACCCATTTCTGAAGCAGCCGAAATGCGAGCATTTAGGGAGAGCATGAAGGTATTACGGCCTCTGTTGCTCAAGGATGGAGAAGCTGTTCCGCCGAAACATCCATGCGACAGTGGGACCATGAAGATTATGACCTGGAAGGGCTACTTTGATGACAGGGAGAAGCAATGGAGGGAGTATGTTCAACTCCATCGTTTTGACTTCATAGCTGGGAAAACGGGTATGAAGCAGAGGATGAGCAGGACAATCATTGAAAAGATGCCGCACCGTATCAAGAAGGATGCGAAGATCGATGATGTCCTCGACGACGTTAAACACCTCGATATCACTGGATTGGCTGGCAACGAGTGTTACATAGAATGGGTCAGAGCGCGATAGATTAACGATTTAGTAGTTCGTGCTGAAGAATTACGGCACTAGTCCATTACATAACAAGCACCCGTCGCACGTGTCCTTACCTGAATTGCCCCTCTTCAGATTCGGAATCCCTATGACTGGATTTTTGTTTATTGCATATTGGTTATACCTCGGCAAGCTACTAGATAGTCCAATCGAATCTACGATTTTTAGATCGATAGAGGTTGGTGAAGGGTATCCAAGTCTATAATGAGCGTCTACAAGGACATGTTCTATTCTGGTACAGAGTGACAATCTACTCCAGTCTCACAAATTGCCTCACGGCGTAAAATATCTGCATTGTCCCGATAATCAAAACCAGGGTAATACCCACCGCGCCCATGACAGAAGACCTATCGAGCCACACCCAGATCATGAGGCCGAGGGTAAAGCAAAGCACCGACCTGAACGACACGATTCAATATCACTGCTTTGGGAGGAAGAATCGAGTGACAGGCAACTCACCAAGCAATGAAAACAAGCGGCAACGCTAAGCCCACCCAGAATATGACTGCTTGGAACGTGTCCGGGTGTTCGGATGCCTATCCGGCCATTCAACTGTAAATAAGGCGGGCGCCTAATCGAGATCGAAGACGCACCTCTTTCCAGTTTTGTATCATGTGATCGCCGTTCAGTGCGTCGCTCCCATAGACCGAGCTCAGCAAAAAGGCCTCTGCGGAAAAAACAACCGAGAGAAGCGAAAGCGTTCGCAGCCCTAGCAGCGCGTCGCGGATACTCCCAACTGCTACGAGTCCAAATGCTGCTCTGCAAACCATACGTTTATCATGTTATGTAGCTCATTGATAAGAATAAAGAACAATGCACTCACTCTATGAGAATAATAGCTCCCAATCGTATAAGGTCACACATACGGCGCATCTTCGTCGTATTCTCAACCCAAAGCTGTCGTTCGCAATCGCTTGGACTCGAAAGTCCAGGCACGGGCACGGATGGTACAAGTTGCTCTCCAGTCCCTATGGTTTCAACTTCAACAGCTTCTGCATTCATTGCTACATTGCGATATCCGCGATAGTATGCGTAATAGAGATGGAATGTCGATGCTTTGAGGACGAGGACAAAGAGGTATGCAAGGATTCCTCGAATGTTGAATCCCGTGCTGAAATGATGGTCAAACAGGTTTCTCCACAGAAGGATTTAGCACATTCCGAGAACGCTCTGAGGACACGAAATTCGCACACCGAAAATACTGTCGTCGTATAAGGTTCGCCAACATACATCGTCTTCCTTCCATGGTCTAGGTGCAACTTGGGCTCGGGAGATGAAGGTGAGGGCTTAGCTTTGTCGAATATAGAGGGTTCGCGTCAATTTATATACCGTTAGTCCTACATAGATTTCATCTCGGAAGCACGCCCAAATTCTCCCATGGCAAAAAAAGGAGTCCCTCAATCTCGAAGCTGGCTGTGTACGTGTCCTCGTGACCCATCAGTCATCAGCCTTGGCTCCTTCCCAATGGGTTGAAGAAGCCCACATTTCGCTGGCGGTGCCTTGGTCATTGCATCATGGTGGTCATGAATTGGCGACGCAGGTTTTGTTAGTAGGGACTTTATTGTTCCTGGGTTCCGGTGAAACGCGTACTCGGGGCGGACCTAAATAGGCGCCCGATCGGGGGAGGTAACCGTACCGCCGATGGCGATAATTGGTTCCCACTAAAATTTTTGGGACACGCATCATATATGTCGGGGATAGCGACAAGCCAATTTGGTGGCTGAAACAAATAGATTTCCTGAGGGAGAAAACGTAGAGAGGCCGAAGTTTATTCTAGCATTGTTGCATGGGAGGGCTTACCAGGGTTGTAAGATACGACTGTAGCGTCCGACGACGTGATGGCCAAGTATAAGAAAGGCGCGTCTGCGTCATCCGCCACGCGAGAATCTTCAGAACGCCGATCACTGCCAGGGGATAGCGGGAAGATGTGGGAAAAAGCCTCCGTCAACCTATCAAAAAGGAAGGCCGCTTCGAAAACGTGGCATACGCGTACAACAGGGGCGGACGTACCAAGCGAAGGATAACGTCTCGCTCAGGGAGCAGGGTACGACATACAACGTGTCGGGCTGCTCAAAATTGAAACGAGGAGACCCTTAGATGGTGGCTGCCTGATGAGAACAATGGCCATTTCGGACGTACTGTCGATGCCATGTCCGTTTTTTTGCCCTTGATCACGGCATGAGCTCAACAGCAGACCATATTTAAGCTAGTAGAATGTTGGGGGTCCAAAATCTCTCATTTGGGAGGGTGTCGTGTGAGGTGTACGGAAATAACGTCGTTATACGCTTGGAAGAGGCTGGATGATGCCTCCGGATAGTTTCCGATGAATGAAGCCAGGGCACTGAGCTACCCGTACGTTGAAAACGATGAGAATTATATCGTTTCCAGTGGAAATATGACTGACCGATGCGTGGCCTTCCATCTAGTCCTGGTGGATGAGTGAGTTGAAAGCTCAAAGGGTTCCAACTTCCCAGGGGAGTCAATCCGACCATGAGATAAGAAAAGATAATCTCATCTTGGGCGTTTATTCTGTCTCCCACGATATGGAAGTCGTCTCGTTCTCCTTGGCAATAACAGGTTGATCCCCGACTAGGGCTGACTGCTACAAATGTCAACAGGTAATGTCATGCAGTCAATCACGGCGATCCTCGCATAGTGTGCATTTTCAATCATGAGACCGCAGCGTCGCTTTATTGCCCGCCTTCAATCGTTCCTGGGTACGTCATCACTGCTCAAACCACTCGCGATAATGGAATAGCATATATACCGTGTAGGTCGTCCGCGTAGTTGTCATGCCAAACCTTCCAGGCTACCTTTGGGAGTACGAGGTGGCAACATTCCTTACTGGATTCGGATCCGATCCTGTGCATTTCCACCCAGTCTTTAGACCAGAGCAATGACCCTGAACATGCTGAACACTAGCCGAAGAAAAACTGGTGCGAAATCAAATTGAGAGCCATTTCAAAAACCCCGCCTTCGCAATATCGACCCCGCCTTGTGACGCAAATATCGGGTTTACCAGCGACGCCTGTCCTTTCTGTCGTACTCGATCTGGTTTCTGTCATACAAGCGAGGCCAACGAAGGGGAAAGGATTAAAGCTTCTGGAGTTACTCGCAGATCTGTTGCGACAGGAGCTGGTAGCCGTTGACGTACTGGGAGGCAAGCCAACTTCTTAGCGCTGTGAAAGTCTAACCACCAATCCATCGTTTCATCAGAAAGGATAACATTGGCCCAAGACGCCGCATGGGTTTGGAAAACTGGTTGCAGGTGTAAGAATTACTCGGCGAGGTAGTATACTATGTTGAAAAACGAAGCCACAATTTATTCTTCTCGCATAATAATTCTCCGGAACCTTCTTACTCCTCTCTTCAATCTCGCACCAGCTCAAATCAGCAACGTTATGTCTTCTGTACAGCAAGCCGGAGATTTGAAACTAGGGGAAACTCGACGAGATTTTGAGGACAAGGCTTGTGACCCTGGTGTATGCCCACTTCTTTACCTATTCGCTTTATCTCGACCTCCGATTCTGGGGCGTCGTTTCAGATATACTAAGTTGAACTAACGGACACAACCCAAACCCACACCCACCAATTTGTATGCTCAACCCAATATTGCCACCACGACGCAGTCAACGCGATGACGGGATAGCCGTATGGCGTCCCATCAGAGCGCTTCAGGCCACTTCCTGCGCTGGAAAGATGAATGACGGTTGGGGCACGCTCCTAGTTTCACGACGCCTACCGAATGGTGTGGTAATCAATAGTAGCCTGCGCTGACATGGGCGCTAGGCGTAGAGAAATGGATCGGACGTGCTCGACGTTCCTACGGTCGAGCGTTTGCCCAAGCTCATTGTATGTAGGTCCACTAGTATCCGCTGGCCACTTTCGATTCCGCGTCCAAGGCTATTCATGCAAAACCACGACTCGCGGGTGTTAGAGCGCTGCCGAAGACGTGCAAGTGATCTGCATTGACACCGTTGTCTATGCTGTACTGCTGGACATGGCGTGACGCTGACATTTTCGGTTACGGTTTCGGTTTGAGTTTTGGGGTGCGACAAGGTTTATGGTTCGGGATGGCAGGCATATGTTATATGCGGGGCGCTGATAATACATATGTCGTTGGGGTGATGCGCCACACGTTCTTGGGGGTCGAGGTTGACAGAGTATCAGAGTATCAGAGTACCAGAGTACTAGGACAGAGAATACAGACGAGAGCGAAGGTGCCGTCGGGGAAAGGCGAGGGGAAAGATATCTGCCATTCCATTAGGATCAGGAGCCCGCTTTGAAGGGTTGGCAGAAAGAAGACACTCCAGAGAGTAGAGCCGGGTGACGGAAAGGAGATAGGGGAAATACTACTAGCCCCAGCCTAAGCCCCAGCTTCGTAGTATTGGCTGGAGGATTCGGGTTATTGATACTTCCAGATAGCTCTTCAAATATAAAAGAGCCCACTTGGAGCCTGATGACGGAGTAGTCGGGATCAATGACCAACGGCCAACAGAGGACGCTCTCGGAAGAATCCATGAAATTGGGGGTGGGGTCCACCCTGGAGGCAATCCACAGTCACCAGATATCTACACAACTGGCAGATATCCACCCGCTCCGCTTGACCTGGGCTCCGAGTCGAAAGATGGCCGGGTGCGGCATCGCGAGGCCGACGTTTCTGTAGGATGACGAGAGGGTGTACTTCTCGGGATCAGCGGTGGAATTCTTTTTGTACAGGCGCCGGAGGGGCCACGTATCGGGTGCGCAGCGCTGAATACATGCGCCCCGGATTCGGAGAAGGAGCACAGGCGCAATCAAAAGCCAGTTTAGCGAACTGAGGGGTACTGCCAGCGAGCCCGTCCGGTTTAATAGGTAGCGCACTGAAGGGGATGCTGGTGTACAGGATGTGCCTATGCCATAGCGCGGGCGTTGCCGCCGGAGGAGGTGGCGTCGAGACCGAGCTTTGTGGTCTTGTGAGGCGTTGGTGGAGTGGGAGAGCAACTTGGAGGGCTCGACCGTCGTAAGCTTTGAGTGGAGTAAGTAATTCATGAATATCAAGTAGCTCTTATCTATGACACCTTGTTAGAAGGATTGTCGCATGAGCTGAGAAGCATTACGGAAGGCATTTATAGACGGCGGAGATTGGGACGGGGACAGGTGGACAGACGTCAGTGACGGAACGTGCTTGGCAAGCACCCCGGAATCTAATCACGGCTTATCTGAGCAGCCACAACACGGCCAAACAGACTTCTCCTCTGCTCGTCCATCTGACTGACTGTACAAGGAGGAGTGCAAAGCCCGCCTGAAGAGCAGCGATGGGGAACTCTGCCTCAAATGCGAACAATCCGAACCGGGGCCCCGCCCTGCCCCCCTCCTCCTCCGTCAGCAACCGCACAACTTCCGCCTCCCCGGGCCCGGGCAACCCCCATCGATCCATGAGAACGAAGAAGAAATCCCTCGAGCTCCCCGACCTCGCGAACCTCTCCATCACACACCAGCACGCAGCCGCCCGTGGTCGACCGGCTGTCCCAGCCAAGACGGCGTCCATCCCGATCCCAACGCAGCCGCAGGGGCCGTTCAACCACTACCGCGAGGCCCAGGCGGAGCCGTCCCCGGACCCGCGCACCTCGCGCAACCTCGACTCAGCGTCCGACGTCTACCTAGCAGGCCAGGTCATCGAGCCCTCGACACACCAGCCGTTCCCCCCGGTCTCGCGTGCGGTGCACTACCATAATGCGAGCGCCGGCGGCGCCCCACGCGGCCGCCAGCAGCCCATGTCCAACGCGAGACACCAGGCGCAGGTGACGCGCCTCCAGGAGCTCTACGACCGCAGCCATACACCAGCAGCCCCGCCCTCGTCGCCTGCGACGTCCGCAGATAGTAGTGTCCGCCCAGGGGGGAGTCAGCGGCCTGGTTTCGTTGCAGAGACCGTCCGCTCCTCGATTCCGATCGCACTCGGGAAGGCCGCCAAGCTTGCAGAGGAGGCTGCCGCCTCAACAGCTGGCCCGATGAAGGAGGATCTCCTCGCGGATCCCGTACCGGTCAAGATTGTCTGGAAAGGCGGCGGGAGAGACGTCGTTCTCGCCAGAGCTGGTGATAACGAGTGGAAAGGCCGTCAACCTATGGAACGAGAGTGAGTCCCCTCAAGCCCCTTCATGCTTATATTTCCCTTCCTCCTTGCCTTTTTTCCTCTTCATATCTACCCTAAGCTTGCGCTTTTCGCGTTCGCCCAATCAGATCTGCTCGATATACGTCTTTCGTCACCTTCCCACCACTTACCACAACCGACAATCCCTTTTCTTCTTTCTAATTCTTCTTTCTATTATCTTATCCTGACACGCGTCTTCCAGATCCCCCCAGTCCAACACATGGTCGACCACCGTGTCACTGCGTCCAGGGACGCACCATATCCGGTTCCTCATCGATGGAACATGGCGCGTCGCCGACGACCTCCCCACCGCCGTCGACGACCAGGGCTCTCTCGCCAACTATGTCGCCGTGCCCCTCAACTACGGCTTCCCACCCACCGTTCCAACAGCCGCACCCACGCCCACACTACCCCAGCAGGCCCAGCAAGCCAAGAAACTCATTCCGGGCCAGAGCTTCTGGTCGGCCGACTCGTCCGCTGACGGGGAGGGCGACGTGGAGAGCACGACCGACTCATCCTCTACCGCGCGCAAGGCCTCCTCATCGGACCCCAAGCATGCGCATACACCGCAGAGCGCTGCTCAGGCTGCGGTCGTCGCGTACACCCAGGCGCGGTGGACGAACGTGCTCCCGCTCGAGCTGATCGAAGCGGCGCGGGAGGAGGAGGCGTACCTCGCAGCGAGCGCGGGGCAGTACGAGGGCGGGCACGAACGTGCAGAGGGTGATGGGGTTCGTGCCCGCGCCGAACATCCCGCCTGCACCTGGCCTGCCGAGACATTTGGATAAGCTGATCTTGAACTCGAAGGTTGGGGAGAGGGTCGTTGCGCTTGCGGGGGGCAGTAGGGATGGGAGGGACGGCCCTAGAGAAAGGGAGAGGGAGAGGGAGAGGGATAGAGACGGACACGGGAGGGATAAAGATCTTGGAGGCGTGGGTAGTGGGCAAGGTGGGAGTGGGCGGAGGGAGAGGGACAGAAGGGAGAGGGAGAGAGGAGAAAGAGAAAGAGGTGATAGGGACAGGGAACGGGGAACGCGTCGGCGCCCGACTGTCCCTCCACCGCCACCACCATCGGAGGACGGCTCGGGCGACCAGGAGGCGGAGGTGCCCATGAACCCCAACGTCAACAACACGCCTGTCCTCCGCGCACCGCAGGACCCTCCTCCATCCATGACAACAACAGCGCTTCCAACGAGCACATCCCTCCCAGAGCAATCTGCGCTCGCGGCCATGGCTGCATCTTCCCAGCCCCTGCTCCCCAGCGCCGCCATCGTCTCTTCCACCAGCACATCCACGCCAGCATCGACGAACACCACACCTCCAGCGACGAAAGAGAGCACACCCACGCCGTCCGCGTCCACATCGGCGGGCGCGCAGACTCGACGGGTGGGACAGGGAGCAGCGCGACGAGTACAGCGACGAGTGGGACGACGACGGCCGCGACGAGCCCGCAGGGGTCCGCACCGACGACACCAACGGCCCCGCTGAGCCCTGGGGCGACGCATGCGGCGCTCAAGACGCTGCCTCCAGGCACACCCTTGCCCACTGGCCTCCCTGCCCCTGCACAAACCCAAACGCACACACCACCCCTCCAACAAGGCCAAAGTCAACCCACCACCCCCGGTACGCAGCCGCACGCCCCGCCCCTCGAGCGCGCCGGGATCTCCGGGTCGCGGATCATAACGATCGACACTGCGAACATGCCGACGCTGACGGACGACGGGAGCGTCCTCCCCGTGCCGAGCCATGTGGTGCTACACCATTTGAGCACGAGTGCGATTAGGAATGGGGTGCTGGCGGTGGCGAATACGACGCGGTATCGGAAGAAGGTGAGTTGTTTTTGTTGGATTTTGGGGGTTTGTTTTGGATTTTTTGGATTTGGATTTGAGATTTGGGCGGTATCGAGGTTTGGGATTGCGATTGGTGAAGGGTTGATGAATGGATTTCGGATTCCTAGAGTCCAAGAGAGCTGCGGTTGGGCTGGATGAACATTCTAGAGTGCATATATGCGCGTCATTTGGTGGGGGCGTTCTATCTTCTCGCATCGGACTTGCCTCTTGCTCTCTTCTTTCTCCCTCTCTCATGCTTGGCCAATTCTGGCTTCGTATTCGACGAGAGTGTTCTGGAGCTCGAGGTGTGTTTCGAGCTCATATATGCGTGTCATTGTGGCTTTTTTGCTTGCAAGTGGCGGTGAATTTGCTTCTTTGACCTCTCTGCGTGTTGGACTGCGCTGCTTCGTTGTGTTGGGGTGTTCCTGCCCATCGCGGCATCCGATCTTTCTCCTTCCTTCTAATCACTCTCTTTTATCCTCGGGCGGGGTTTCAGATATCGGATTCCTGGAGAGCTGTGGTCTGGAGATGGCTGGATGACCATTTTCGATGGCATATACGCGCGTCGTAGACGAAGAGGATTTCTCTATATGTTGGACCTTCCTGCTCTGTCGTGCCAGTGTACTCCAAGCCCCTGCCCTTGACGAGAAATTTGGGTGTTGGAGGAGTGTTTCGAGCGCATATATGCGCGTCGTTCTGGCTTGTTCGGTGGCAATCGGCGTCTTACTCGACACCTTTACCCTCGAGGATAGGCCGCATGTTGCATTGGGGTGCTTTCTTGCTAGTCTATTTTCGTGTCTGTCCTTCATTTCCCTTCCTTTCTCCTCTTATATTCTCTCCAATGTGATGAACGAATGCTGACGATTATTACTTCCACAGTATCTGACGACGATCTATTACAAGCCGACATAGAATCCCTCTCCATCTGCTTTGGCTTATCTCCTTCATCGTCCTTCTTTTCGATCGCTTCGTTTTGAGATACACCCCTACTTGAACACTCTCAACCCTCTGCCCTCTATCTCTGTCCCCCAATGTTTGAGTGCCTGACCCCCCACACACCTGTGTCAACGTCTACCTCCACGTTCAACGATTCCATCACCCCCACGGTGTCCTTCCTTGGAGAGACTCTGTTCGTTCTGTCCCGCGAATGAACGCGAGTACAAGGAAGGAAGATATCCGCGAGACCTTTCCCCTCGATGCGCGTTCAGATATTTTTAGCTTGCAAAAACGCTGCCTATGCGAGGACGTTGCGAGCCTCCTGTTGTGATTGTGATGCATTTCAAGGGCGGTCTCGTCTTCGTGCCCGTGTGGCTAGCGTCTGAAGCCTTCCTCTTCCGTGGCTTTGTTCTGTTTACGGCTTTCTTTCTTCTCGTCATCTTCCTTCTCCTTCTTCTTACTTCCCTCGCACGTTCGTCCTCTATCGTCATCGTGCTCTTGCATTGTTTTCATTCCACTAGAGTAGTAGTTATTTTTGTTTTCTGTCATCTGCTGGCTGGCCTATGCTGACCATTTTTGTTTCCTTTGCCTTCGGGACTGCCTTCGCGTTCTTTTCACACGTCCACCTTTTGCACCCATCCCACAGTACCCACCAAAAGCTCGACGCGGGCATAAGCGCCCGCGCCGTTCTCTCGTCAGTCTCTTGTCTCGCAGTAGTTATATACATGCTCGCATTTCTCGTTCACGTTCCTACTTTCCTACGCATCGTTTAGTAACAATTCTAGAGTTGTAAGTCTGACACGCTGCGATCTCGCATTGACACTCGGGTCGTGGTTTAGAACGCGCCAACGTTAGTGAAGAGAAGAACGCGTTGAAGCCAGGCTGCTATGAAACTGACAACTGGGTGTACACGAGATCGGACAAGAGAGGCAGGTCCATGAGGACGGCATACTGGGTCCTCATAGACCTTCTCGGAATTTCGGACGAGGTGCCCAGGGTCGAGGGAAAGCATTACGTGATTATATGATCCCGTATTCGTCCTTTAAAGTAGCCTCACGCCCCTTCTATCAACCCTCGAGCTTCGAGCCGTATTCCGACTCATCAATCCGTTGCCCTTTACCCAACCACTCCTCAAACAGACGAACAGGCGTCCTCGCAACATCAAGCAATCCGGCCTCGCGTTCGTTATGAATGACGCGAAAGGACTACTCTTAACATTGACACTCTGTAACCCAAGTTCATCTTCATCTCCCTCCCGCTTCTCCAGCCCCATATCACTGATACGATGGGAATCTTTTCATTAATTACCACCCAATCTAAACAGTTTTTCCTGTGCTTCCTCCTCATGGGGGTGCCTGGGCAGTCCTTTCCGAGTGGACGATCACTGTGCCGCGCGAGGGGTGGCGAAAGAGAGATAGAGAGACGACGAGAAGGCGGCGTGTGAGACCCTTGATTTACTGTATCGATGGAGGACTGACTGATGACCAGGCGCGGTGAGCATGGGTATATGCGTGGGCCTGCTCTTTAGCCTAACCGATACTGTAGGAAACGTCAATAGCTGGGTTGTGGGTTGGTGCCCGGGTTTCAGGCTAGACTTGACTCGGAGTGCGCAGCCGGGTTCTGATACCCAGAGGGCCATCGGGGGCAGTTAGCAGGGTTCGCTTTCGGCCTTGTCGTATGTTCATGGTTCATGGCTGCTTATATACGCTTTTCAGTGTTCTTATCTTGCGAGCTCTCGATTTAGCTCGTCATCGCCAGGGAAAGTGACGCTGGCGGCAACCCGGCAGCCACGATGTGGCGCAGATCGCCATCAAAGCAGCCGATTTCCCTATTTTGGTTATCGAAGGTTGCTTCCGTCGTCCCTTTATCCCGAGAAATCGGTAAGGGTCCCCGGAGTTACTCTGTACCAGTCCAGAAGGTTGCAGGATAGGCTCTACACGTTGAGTGCCATCATGTCGCTGAGATGAAACCCAACAGATGCTAACGTATATGCCGTTGCGAATCTTCAAGCTCGCGACCTCACCCTGCTATCTGGATGCCGAGAGTCGAAGGACTTCATAAGTGACATGTTTGAACGTCCATGAAGCCGTCGGGAGTCAATCTCCTCCCGGGATGCTTCGATTAACGCGACCTGCTGGCAGCAGGTTAAAAGAGGCGATGCGAGAGGCAACTCTTCCTGCTGCAAACATACCACGACCTCGCTCTCTATGCCACTTCTCATTGCGCTGACATGTTACCTCCTCTCCCAATTTCGATCCTCGACAGGGGCTGCCCTACCACTATCTTCCATTCCTCCAACACAGCTCTCCCCCCGAGAGGACCTCGCCGGAGATATCAATCCCGCCAACGAGCGCCATCTGATCTCCATCATCTGGAACTGCCTCACCACCATCTTCCTTTGTACATGGGTCTCTGTGCACCAGAACGTCCCCCCGCTCGAAGACTCCCGTGCGACGAAGCTCGGGCGGCGGCTGCAAGCCATGGTGTGGACCCTGATTGTTCCAGAGCTGACCCTGGCTCTCGCCGCGAGGCAGCACTTCTCCGCCAGACGCGTCGCTAAGACGTTCCATGGTACGTGTGAGCCACCTTCGTCCCGGCCTGACGACGACAATAAACGTCGCTTGTGTAGACCAGGGTTGGACGATGACGCACGGCTTCTTCCTTATCATGGGCGGCTTCCGACTGTATCGGGGCGATATGGACCTCGGAGTCATCTGCAGCGCTGACCAAATTCAACAACTGCATGAAAGAGACGAGATAGACCTTCCTTATGGCCCTGAATTCCTCGAAGAGATTGAAGATAAGAGCAAGGCCGACGGGCTCACCAAGTTGATCACCGTTGTCCAGACGTTTTGGTTCATCCTCCAATGCGCCACGCGGCTTCTGCAACACCTCGAATTGACGAAACTGGAGATCATCACGCTCGCTCTTGCCAGTCTGAACGGACTGGTGTTTTTGCTCTGGTTGAAGAAACCGCTCAACGTTCAGCATCACATTAAGTTATATTTGAAGATGCACGCCCCAACGCCGGCGCGGTCAATTCGCACCACAGAGCGAACAGACACGAAGGAATCGCTCGACCAGGAATCGAAAGCATCTTCGGTACGTTTTTATCTTTTCATTATTAAGTGTTATTTTGATTAAAGCGGCGAACCAGGAGGACATAACGCTCAACAAGGCACTGGAATCCATTCAAGAGTCGATCATGTCCTATGGAAAGGAGACGAAAGAGTTCCTTCTTGCATTTACCATTCCAGAACGCAATGTCTTCGACGATGCTATCCGGTGGTATTTCTGGTGTGAGCTCCACACCGTTTTCGAGCCCCTCACCTCCCATCTGGGCAGTCGTGAGACCGGACCGTGGATCAATTCCGTGAGCGCTTATTACGACGGAATGGAAACACCCCCAACCAAGCGCGAGCTCACCGTCATTTACGCCATCCTTGCCATTGTGAATGGTCTCTTTGGCGCGTTGCATTGCATCGCGTGGCATTCCACCTTCCCTACCGACATAGAGCGCGACCTATGGCGTGCGCTCTCTTTCGCCATCACCGTCATCCCTGTCGCCTTCCTTGTCTGCGCTTCCCTTATCATAGGAGCGACCAACGCTCTATATTGGCAAGGCAGCAACCTATACCTCTACTTGATGGTACATTACTTCGGCGTTTGCGTTTACAAGGTCAGTCAATTTCTGGCCGTTGTACTACCGTTGTGCTATTTGTTTTCTCGCCTGTTTCTTCTGGCGGAGGCAGTCGTTCTGCTACGTGACATACCAGAAAAGGCCCTGCTAGAACTTACTTGGTCTGGTTTCCTCCCCCACATATAAAGGAACGCAAACGATCACATCCTTTTTACGATAGGCAGAATCGTATTTACTCTTCAATTTATATACATAGTTTTTATCTAGGAAGTAAAGCCCAACACGTAGATTGCCCCATGCTCCGCCTTGGCGCCTATTCGGGTCGCGTCGCATATCTCCCTCCTTAGCTCTCAGTCGGCCACTTGACGCATCGACACATAATTACTTCACGTTAAACGCCCATAGCCCCATTCTCCGTACATGCTCGCTCGCCGAGCCATCTCCCTTGTTGTGTCAGTGAACAGGTTGAGTTACCTGCGTGCTGCCGCATTCTCATTGAGCCCTCTGCCCCTGCTCGACGGCTACAACAGCTTACAGTTCCTGCATAAGCCGCCTATAAAGGGCAGGGTCACCAGACGTACCACCTGGGTGACGAAGATATCATGATTTTGAAGTTCAGGGATGAGGCGCACGGCAGCTTTCTGCCAATCCGTTTTCTTGGCGCTCCTCTACCAGACAAGTCCGATACAATTTCAATGGTGTTCTCGACTATCACAAATTTCCCGAATGACTGTCCATTTCGACTAATTTCGTTAACAAGTCCTAAGATGACAATGTCCTGACGCAATCCTGGAGGACTGAAGTCCAAAACAAGTTCAAAAAGTATTTTGCATCAGCGATAGACAATTGCAAACATTTATGCGTAAGGCGCCATCTGGATGTAAACTTCCTGGCAAGCAGACAGCGTGTAATGAGGATGATTGGAAACAGGGGAATAGACGATGTCCAGGCGGTTATTATCCGTGGTGTTCGTGCACAGAGCCCACAAATCGGTGTGCCCTGAGACTGACAGGAGAGGGTACCCGATGAACGGGCCGTCAGGCGAGATGGGATTGGGCTACGAGTGCATAGATTAGACAAAGCTGAAAATAAGAATAAGTATTGTGAGTTCCTCACCTTGGCACAGAACCCGTTGTAGCCTACCACAGTCTGCGGCCACCGGAAAATGAAAGCTTGAGAATCTCCGACGTTGGGAGCATAGGGCCTTGAATTGTAGCTGGTCAAAATGCCATTGACCAACCCAAAGTTGTAATAATCGGTGTACGGACAACCAGCGGGGCATGTCTGGGTAAAAAGGGAAGAGCACGAATGTAAGTGACCAACATCAGAGTTAGAGTAGCCCGAACGAACCGAAATAATGGTGTAGTAGATAGGATCCGTGAATGGGTTCGTAGGAATTGCAAACAACTTCGTAACAGCACCACCCGTCTTTGGGATAGCTTGCAGGACGTTGTTGCCGAACGAGAAGCCGTCGCGCCAGGTAATGCAAATGTCGGTGCTGGGAGGAGTAGCAGCACTATTCTCATAAAGCACCATGCGATTTCCAGCCCCACAAAGCTGGGTGCTATCTCCTGGGCATACGAAGTTGCAGTCACCATCGGGCATCAAGTTGCCATATGGCATGTAGTTGTCACACCCTGGCAGTAGTCCAATGTCAGGCACGTAATGAATGGCAAAGAGCGGAACCGCTTACAGCATTCGGTTCCATACTCGAGACCAGCGAGTCCGTACCCTTCACTGTTACAGAGCGCAGTACAACTATCCGCACTGTTACCTGCTGGAATAGTGTAACGGAAAGTCAAGATGCGAGGTCCGAAGTCCCTGTAGCGACCCAATCAGGTAAGTTGAGCAAAGAAAGAAGGATCTCATTACCTATAGCATCCCTTGTACTGCCATGTGCCAACGGTTTGCTTTATCGAAGGAGTCTGAGCAAATACCTGACGAAGTGTTCAGCGAGGGCTCCGACAAGCAGGATCAACTTACAGGAGCCAAAAGCGTAGCGGCGAGAAACAGAAGTGCAAACATCATAAGAAGAACGAGAAGGAGATCCTTGCACGTTCATCGTCCGTGAAATGTTCCTTATATCCAGTCCGTCCAGGCACTCCCTCCGATTTTGAAAAGAAGCTCGTCTGATTTAATTTTTCGACTGGCAGGAGCTTACGCGACTCCAGGCTCTCGTACATACTCTCGAGACAAAAGAAGTACGCTGTGTGCCTAGACAGTGGCACCTGTGGTCGATACACATCTTCCCATCGTCGGACCATGATGATCGGCGTACCGTACACAGTAACACCGTGTCCAAAGATAACGGCAGAAGGGCGATTCGGCGGCTCGTCGTGTCGAAGACCATCGCCAGACTGTCAGCCGAGGCGCAGGGAGAGAACAATGGTATGCATCCCGTCCAAGTCTATGTCCACGAATGACGTCTAAACGCCAGATGTGTACCCGGCGTGGTGAGAACGAGGTTGTTCCATGAGGGCTTAACGATCGTCATTGAAGCTGAAGTCGAATGGGTGCGCCTCGGCTTTGACTGGCTGGTGTCGCTGCAGTTGCACGACAGCGAGTTGCCCAAGGTTGGGAGTGGGTGAGAGTGGACATTGAAGATGAAACAGAAGGTGCCGTCATGATTAATATTGAATGTTCTGAAACGTCGAGAACGCCGGTGGCGGCGGTTCTGGTGGAAAGTTATGTAGGGTCGGTGAATTTCAATATTCAAATGTCTTCCATCTAGGCCCTGCCATTGTCAACACTCTCCGAGCCAGCAAGGTTGTCTTTATACCCACCTATTCTCCCTGACAGAGGACATGACTCCGATGAATGTCATCTCTCTCGACCACCTGACCACACTTCATCCGTCCATATTCTGAGCCATTGAGGTAGGGATAGTGCTGCATGTCTGACGTCGACTCCGATTGTAGATTCCATTTACTTCGAGTTTGTGGGTACGTCCCTTGCACACATAAGCGCCGTAGAGGCTGCAAGCATCCTCGGCGTTGACGCGTTGACGGTTCGTACGGGCAAGGTACAGAGTCTGGTAAAGTTGGAGTTCACGCCAATGTTGAATTTGTTTTGAAAAGTTATATTTGGCTTGATGCGGCTTTCCGGCCCGCCTTCTCCTTAAGCATCCAAGTAAATCGCATAAATTCACAACTTTATCGAAATAGGCTGAAGATGGCCACCTTGTTTTGTCAATTCAAAAGCCGTAAAAAATTCTGATTTTTACTGTGTCCCGGAACCCTACCCAAAATAAGCGTCACGGTGCTTTTTCTTGGCGCTAGATCCACCTAAGCGCCCGTTCATATCATCATGTCAACGGGGTGAAACGAATCAATAATACAATGCCCTAATCAGTGGTCTTTCGTTCAGCGGTGGAGTTACAGATGTTTTAGTAAAGTAATTTGAGACCTGTCCTAGTCTCAAGCAGCGATTTTTGGTTCCATTCAACCTCAAAATATTTACTGGCTTTATCGTGTTCGCATCCACTCTATGTAGCACTCATGTCCATTTAGTCCGGTCAAGGAGAGACGTTTGACGCCCTTTAAGACGTCATTAATTCTCTTGTCCTTGTTGACGCAGTACGGCATCTTCTCGATGATCGTCCTGCCGACCCTCTCCTTCATGCCCACCTGCCTCGAAATAGCATCAAATCGACACATTTCGGAATACTTCTTCCATTGATTCTGGCGGTCTTCAATGTACCTCTGCCATGTTATACTCTTCATAGTGGCGGTGTCGCATTCATTTTTGGGTGGGCCAACTTCCCCATCTGCGTTCAGCAAAGAGACGATCGTCTTCATGTTCTGTCTCATGGTCCGCCTTTGTGTCTCGACGGGAATGGAGGCTTCCATGACATAGTTCAAGAAGAGGGTAATGAGGGTAGCGTGCGGATTCTGCTTGCACGGCTTCAATAGATCGCCGAGGATGGAGAGCGTCCCTTCAATTCCGATGTAGCAAATGTCAGATGTGTTGGAGACGTCGACACGATCAAATTTCTGGGGGCTGATATTCTTCAATAGCTTCGGGAGAGTTGTGGGAATCCGCCTTGCATCTTCGCCAAGGAGAGTGAAGTGAAGCTCTCTCTTTCCTAACATGGAGGCGAATAGGCGGAACTGCGCCAAAAGGTGGAAGTAGAGCGCTCCATAAATGTCATTTGAGGGAAGGGAATATTTTTTCGAACTTGATTGCAGTTCGTCGTAAGGCCAACACGTCATAGGGTCTTGCGAATCATTTTGCATCCACCATCCAAGAACAGGATCAAATAGCGTGCTAGCATGTAGCCACTTCAGCCAATGGTACCACAAATCAATGTTGAGACCAACGTACAAATTGGGTTCGACGAACAAACTCCTGTCGACGCCTCCGAATGGAACAATCAACCCATCTTCATAGTACTTTGCCTTTGCAACTCGATGGTAAGGATTCAACAGGCAGAAATTGCGATCCCGATAGTCGCGGCGTTCGGGGCACAGAGTAACCATATGGCGATGATGACCGGCTTGTTGAGAGGTTGTCTTCGAATCGAGGATCTGCCTCATCTCAACCCAGAACGACTTTGGCAGTAATGCGACGACCGACGTCTTGTCCGTAAGTTCGAACTTGGCCTTTAGAAGGGTTTCGGGAGGGCTCGATGGATGATTCGCCAGATGAGTGAAGATTTTCTCGAGTTTCTCGTTGAAGATGGGTCGGAGACACGCGACCATTTTCGACGGAAGCTTGGGCGAATACCAGAGGTGCAGCGCCATTTCTGCAGCTTCGTCAGGTGGGAAGGATACGAACGTGAACAGAAGAAGCAGGTTGCGAAGAACAATGCATGTTTCGAAGTCGTTCACGACAATGCTGCAGGGTAGTTGGTACGACTCTGGTAGGGAGTTGATCGAGGTCACAACATTTCGAAGATCGCCTGACGCTGAAGGTCTCATAAGAAAACGGGCAGCTGATGCGATTGAATGATGCTGACCAGCAAAACAAAGCGCGAGAGGCTGATCCCACTTCTCGCCTTCGTTCCGAAGTAGCTGGACGTGATCAAACGCCGGGGTGTTGCCCCAGAGGAACTTGTTTAACCCATGCTGGGTAACCATGGGACCATTGTCGTCCGTGACGAACGCAGGGGTCCTCTTCTCCGTGGTCCATCCTGGTACCCACGCCTTTTCGCTGAGTGGGCTCTTGCAGTCTTTCTTGTGCACTTTCCAGTGGGACTTCTGGCATTCTTTGCTACAATACTACGACGCAGACGGTATGAGATCGTTCATCGGATAAGATAGACGCCCGAGAGGTACCTTCACGAGGTTACAACCAGAACAGAGAGATATCCCTCGTGCTGAGCACGAAGCGGCGTGGGCACAGTGCAATATAGGTAGTAGTTCCATGGCAATAGGAGGTTGGGGAGAAGAGGAGAGACACGCAACTCTCGAGTAGCGCAAGTGACAATCTTGTAATTCCCCATTCTCGTTAGGACGAAGTTAAGGGTCACGCGCCTGTTCCGAGGTTAATAATAGAAAAGACACCATCCAGGTAGGCAGGGCTGCAAGCTTCATTTTCACGCCAATCTTAAAGAGACGTCTAGACACTGCATCGTACGTCTGAACCCGTCCAAGAATTATTAAAAATCGAATCACCTCGATCTGCGCCTTCGGATTTTCCCAGTCGGGTCCTTGTAAAGAAAGGTCATGAGTGAATGATAGCGGAAGAGAAAGAGAGACTTATACCTAACCATCGTGCCTCCGAACGAGCACGCCAGCAACGTTTGGATGCGCAAGAGCAGTTGAACGGCATCAACTCACAATCCAAAAAAAGCTCCTCCTCGCCGATCGTAGTGAAATAAAGCCAGTAGTGTTCCTTCGGGTTCTGACCCACCAAAAGCGCCCCATTCGACTCGTGGTGGTATGCCAGCCTGAATTCGTCCGGGACGGGGAGGGTTCCTTTGACGATTCCAAAGTCCGAGATGGGGAGGCACCGCATAGAGAGGCGAACGCGACAGTGTTGGGTCTGCCATCTCGGTATCGCAGATGCGCGTATGGCAGTGGCCGAGTAGATCTCCGTGACGAGACAAATCGCGATAGAAAGCACCATCGGGAGCAGGTTTGGGCCGTCGCACATAATCCTGCGCATCAGCTTCTCTCGAGTGTACCCGTCCGCGCCTTTCGGCCACCACCGTTCACGTCCCAAGTCTTCAAGCTTCACGCGCACGACTGATTCTATCGCCCAGTTCGACGAGACAGTCACGACTTCCGTCGGGTAGCTTCACCATTTCCGGACTGGAAGTCGGGTCGTTCAATATCTGGCGAAGGAAGACAGAGTCCCATTTTCCCCCTGCAAACGGCAGCAGTGGATGAGGTAGGCGATGAAGGGGTAATATTCGAGGAGATCAAGTTTGTCCGTTTCCCCTGTTCAGCGATCAATCGATCATGTTCCAAGGGGCGTTCTCAGAGACCATTACGGATAGTTGTATCTCACCGCATTGCAATGTGTGCGATTTCCAATCCGCTCTCTGGCATTCTTTTGAGCAGTATATCGTCTAAATATGGTTCGCGTTTAGCAATGCAGAAAGAATGCCAGAAGTAATCAAGAACTTGACTTGCCTCAAAGCACGACTTGCATAATCGCAGCTTGACATCCTTTCGTCGACAGTACCCGCACTCGGTCAGGGACTGTAAGAGGGAGTAGATCTTTCTGCCGAAAAGTTTGTCCATTTCGACGCGGGTGAAGAAGGGTTTATAAGACCGCGGGAAGCAGCGCAAATGGCTTTGGATGAGTAGCGACGAAGCCTGAATTGCTGAAAGGTGGGGATACTTACACATGGTAAAAAAGAAATTGTTCGGGTGTTTTAGCCTCGTTCATCTACGCGATATCTTATCTTACAAGACCGTTCATTGTCTATTCGCAGCCGAGCCTGCGTTTCTCCTGCTTGTGAGAGTGCCCGAGTTCGGGAGACGGAAAGCACGACGTATCTAGTGGGAATGGAATTAATTGCCTACAAGGATCCAGGCTCGCACCGATCGAAGTTCTCCAGTGATAGTGCAAGAAATTATTCGACAGCATTTACACCCCATCCTAAGGACTCGGAAATACACCACATGTTCGACAATAGTCGCATGGCTCAACTATACGCCTGTTCACTTCGATCACGACGGACGGCTCGCCAGATATCAAGGACAATCCCTCCTGAACGACCTTCCGAAACGCAACGTCACAGCGTTCCTCAAGCTCTGCCCTTGGCACACCTAAATTCTCGTCGTCGGAACTAGGCTCAGCGGGCGCCTCACCATCTTCGTCTTCCGTTTGTTCCTCCCGGATGAACTCTTGGTACCAGACCTCCAGCTGCAGACGGAGCGGCCTTCCACTCGATATTCTCGCAATTTCCAAGTCGAGCGAACGCCAGTTGAGCTCGAGACACCTGTCAGGGTGGTAGACGGTGTTGAATCCCAGATAGAGCCGGAACTTCATGCGTGCAACCCGGTTGTCGGTGGGAATGGTTTTCAGGATGGTGACGAGGCCCGCGATAGGGTCTACTTCCTCTGGACTTCCGACCTTGACATCGATTGTAAGGTTCTTGAGGCCAGCACTATTGGAGAAATCAAAGAGGTTGTGTAAGGGCACATAAACCAATTCATTACAGTCTGCAATTGCGAACTTGAGTAAGTCATGTGGCTGTCTCCTAGTGGACTAAGACTCACGACCATGTTTGGGAGTAAACTCCATCTCCTCCAACGAATTTCCTGCCTCGTTGATTATTGCCTGGATGCTTTCCTGAAAGTCACTGCGAGATGCCGGCTTCGATGTGATTCTTCGCAGCTGTGAAGAATCGATGCATGGTGCGCAAGCAGAAGCTTGACCTGCCAAAAGAGCTTTCAGAAATTGGTCAGAATTAATAACTTCCAATGTCTTGATGGAAGGTGGTCGTGCATTCGGTGGATGCGACAAACTGAGGTCCTCGTCCATAGTTGATTGCAGGTCATGGAGGCTCAGAGACTCCAGATGAGTGCATTCTGCAACGAACGCTATAGGGATGTTCTTCAACCTAGTAATGCAGAGTGAAGTGATGAAAGGCGAGATGTAGGGCCGGAGAAGATTTTTGACAAGTGCAAGACTGTCCTTGAAGGCCAGCCCGTAGTAGGCACCACGGAGTGTGAGTCGTTGTAGACCACTCCCCGTGCGTGCTTCTGTGAGGAGGCTCATTACACGCAAGAATCCTATATCCTCCCCGTAAGCCTCGCCTTCGGTGTTAGAGACCCAGAGGTGTAGCTCTTGCACATATCCTGCGATCCAGGGAGAGATCTTGAGTATCTCGAGGAAAGTTGCGACGCGTCGAGTCATCCTATCCGGATGATTCTTGTTCTGGCTGTCGTTCGACTTGAACACGATAGCGGAGAAGAAATACTGTTGACATCTCCTTCCGAAGGACCTGCAGACAACGGAACAGGCAGCTAGGGAGCTGGTTTGGCCTGCACGCCAGCAATGGTCAAGGATTTCGTCGATGATTTCTTGTGGAAGAGGCTCGGTCGTGGAAGTATGACACATTCACAATGGGATGAACAAGTGCTACCAGAAGTCGTAATTTGAGCAGTGAAATGAGGTTGCGATTGTTGTTTGGATGTTCGCTGGTGGTGGCTTGTAACAGAGTATCAGGGCGACGCGTTCGTTGGTTGGCATCTCCAGGCATCTCCGCACCAGTATATGCTTACGTAAAGCATCGTGAATAGCCCCATCGCATCCTTCTTCCGCTGTGTTTGCGCTGTGTCACTGAAACTCTACAGATATATGTTCTATTTCGCCCTCAGTATGTTCGATTGTCTGCGTCACGCTGTTCTGGCTTAGCGTGCTTTGAAGACTTGCTGGAGACTTGAAGGGAACTCTGGGAGGATTTGAAAATCCTGGCTCAAGGTGTTCCGTATACTCAGTTTCAAGTTTGCAGGTCTATTTGTGTTGACTCGCCGTTGCTTTTCTGTGTGTCGTTCTTTTCTGCAGGGAATATATCTTTCTGGAAATAGCACAATTACGACTTCCCGATGCTCCCTGGCCTGAATCACCAGCGTTGGCCCTATCCTCCACCAGATGCTTATTCTCTGGGCAGTTGGAATGGTGATTGTCTTGCAGACTGCAGAATCAGAAAGATGGTCCGTGAAGGTCGCTCCTTCCCGCGATTGAATTAGCTTCATCACTGGACTTGACCTCCACCTTATCCCGCCACACCCTCTGTTTGATAGAGCTCTCTTTCGAGCTGAAGGTGACATCTTGGCAAGTCTGGAATCTCGCCCGCGCGAGGTACTTATGGGGCTCCATCCGTTTCTCACCGGGCAGGACAAGATGGACTCATCCCCACTTCTCCGGAGCTTCATTCCTCAAACCGTAGGGGCATGCTTGATCGGCGTATATCTTTCGGCCGTGTGTGTGCACTATCTCCCTATTGTAGAAGTCTCCTTACTCATTCACCCATGGAAATTTCTACGGGTTGACGATTCTTCAGACCTATCAATATTTCCGCAGATATTGGCGATGTGATAAATATGATATCCGCTCATTGGTGCGCATACGCCCTCCTTCTCAAATGCTACGTCAACTCGATACTAGCCTTGTGGGATCTCTTTTCCTTCTTTCTCGCCGAAGTTTCCTAAGTTTACTTCCCTCTTTAGCTTGAATGTGCGCGATTCCCTTCGAACCCGCGGCGAGGCCATGCCTCCTGATTCCGCCACCGGGGATTTTTCTCAACTCCGCTTCCGAAGAAACATCTCAAAGCGAGGTTATGTTCAACGTGGATAAGTCGCAAGTCAACCCAAGATTTGGTGAGAGCATCTCCGTGTCTAATTGCCGTGGTGCTATCATATAAACGTTGAACGTTGAACGTTGAGCAGCAGGACCAGATAGAGAAGTTAAGTCGTTGTGCCCTCGATGCCTCGAGGTAGGCTACAAGTCAGGCGAAAGAGGCTCGCGGCTCGGATTCAACGACCAAAGCATAGGAAGAATTTAAATGCGAAAAGAAGTTTCTTTTGGATGACTTTCAGCACCACAGTAGCTCAACGCAGTTGATTTGAATAAGTTATTGAGTTTTTAATAATAATAAGTATTATCGAGTATCATGTTTCGACGATGGTTGCACTTCACCATGTCTTGGGGCTCCATTTAATGTACGAGATTGAGAGCCTGGGTGAATTTCAGCCTCATTGATCTACGGGGCATCTTATCGTACAGGGCAAAGGACCAGACAATGCAAGAGAGAAAAGGTCATTCATCGCAACCTGGTACACCTCTAAAATACAATTATCAACTTATATGCGAACATGAACAAACGGCTGAAGATAGGAGGATTAAAAAACAAAGGCAAGGAAAGACGGAGAGAAATCAATGAAAGAGAAATCGTAACAGATCTTCCAGACTCAGAATAGCCGACCGAGGCGGAAATAGCGACGATAAGATGAAAGAGTGAGGCTGGAGGAAGTGGCGGAAATGAACGTGGGCGATAATACGACCGTGTCGATCGTGTCGACGAGCCTGAGCTTGAAGATGATGTTGGATGGTATGGAGTAGGATGCCGGCGATACATACGCGATAAGACCTGCTCTCTCGACCGTACGCAATTGCAAGTATGAGGGTCATGGGCTGATAGGATCGTGAAAGTGTAGCAGTGGGGAATGTCGTGAGTCCGGGATTCAATTTCATCTTGGCGCCGTCGATGACAAGAGGTCGTGATGGTCAAATCAAAATGACGTCGCGGGCCTCTAGAACGTGCTTGCCCATTCTTCCAAGTTGACCGTCGAGGTGCGCGCTTGGTCTATCCAAGGGTGTTTCTGTAAAGGAAGTAGCATTCGTCAATATCTGGGAGGTGAGGAGGGGATAAATCACACGAACCAGAAGGTCCTTTGGCGTCTTTCTCAGATCGGGTTCCTTCAACAGACAACTATCGATGAACGACTCCGCCTCCTTCGGGTAGCGACCCTCAGGCGTCAGCTTCGGTGCCGGCTCGTTCACAATGTGCTGCAGCAGCTCCAGAATGCTCATGGTCATCCCACCGCCCTGCAAGCTGACACCCTTGCTCTTCCGCTTATCTTTCTTCGGCGTATTTCTCCTGATGCGGGCTGGCGGGAGGCCAGAGAGCGAAATGGACCCTGGACGAGCGGGTGATAGAGTTCCCTCGTAATCGGATTCGTCTTCATCGTCTGACATCGATTGGGAGAAAGGGAAACGACCGAGAGCAAGTTCGATTAATGAGATGCCCAGGGACCAGACGTCGGATTTGACGGTGTATTGCGCTCCCTGTATGCGCTCGGGCTGGTTCACGTCATGACACAGTAGTAAAGATTTGGGTTGTGTGAGAAGAAGTCGTCAATTCAAGAACAAGACAGCACGGAAAAGGCGCAACCACTCACACTCATGTAAGTTGACGTGCCTACAAAAGTGTCCGCGATAGAGTTTATCAACTCTCCCGAGACGCCGAAATCGCATATCTTGATTTCTCCCCGAGAATTGCATAGAATATTTGAGGGTTTGATATCTATAATTGAGCGTTGCGAGGTCAGCAACATAAATCGTTATGACGACAAGCATGGGTGGGAGGAAGCTGGGGACGACCAACGCCAAATCACATCACGTGATGGCGTCGGAGAGAGCTGCGAATGACGATGGAGGGAAATTTATGCTGACCTCGGTGGATGATACGGTGAACATCATAGAGATATGTCAGGCCTTCGAGCACAGCCAAAGCGACTTGCCCGACGACATCGATGTCAATGGGTCCAATCTTCTTGTAGATACCGTCAAGTGAGCCCTTGTCCATGAACTCCATGCAGATACAGATGTTGGGATCCGCGAGGAAAGCGCCCCAGAAGGAGATGATATACTTCGAGTGGCAGTCGTGCATAATCTGGAGTTCGCGGAGAATTTGCTTCCGTACCGATGGCTTCGCATCGATGAGGACAATCTGTAAAGGTATGCAGGATCAGTATCGCACTAGAGACGCGATGGCGGTCTGATACTCACCTTCTTCGCCATGATCGTCTTCGTCGGGACATGTTCCACCTTCTTCACGCTTCCTCCGTTGCCCTGACCAAGCTCCTGCAGGTCCTTGAGATCCCCCTCCTTCAAGTCGAACTTGATCTCAGCGTTCATGTCGAGGTTTGCCAGCGTACTGGAAAGGGTGGCATGATACGTGTTCCGCCGTACTGCCGGCGAGGCTGAGTGCGGTGCTGAGCCTGCAGTGCTGGTGACGGTCAGCAAGTTGCCGTCTTGTTCGACAGCTGACACGGCGCCGCTGTGGTTTGGGATTTTGGGAGCTTTGATGACCATGGGCGGGGGTCGCTTCTTGCCACTCCCAACGGGTGCCGATGCCGCTGGTGCTGCGACAGGCGGCGGTGCTTGGCGGATGGGGACTGGCTCTGCAGTGTTGACGGTGGCGGGCGACTCTGCCACATTGAGCTGGAGGGCCTTGAAGTTCCTCTTCTTGCGGATGGGGGTCGCCATTGCCATCATGGATGTAGGAGAGACTCTTTCCAGGAGTCTGGCGGCTGGCGTATAAAGAGTGAAGAGGGGTATCTGATATCGAGAAGGTTGTCGATGATGAGAACCCCACCCACAGATATTATTTCGCCTTCCAAATTCGAACAAACAACACGTGCCGGGCAGCCAAGTCTGTTCCGTGGCTGATCCTCCGTTGCCACCCACTCCCTCCGACAACGCCTTGCCAACTGCAGGTCTTGAAGATACCCGTTCTGGGGGGGAAACACGGCCGACACATTACTGATACATCTATTACATACTACAGAAAGGCTATTAAATCAATAAGTTTACTTTACAAAATAGGGTAGTAAGCCACCGTAAGCGCCGTGCAACTTCGGTGTTAAAAACAGTCTTGAATACCAGTAATACAGAGTCATAAAGATCATGAAAGTCAATCAAGAAATCCGCGTAAATCGTTACCAGCCCGAGCTAATGGAAGGGCTGCCTCTTTATGATGGTGGCGCACAATCTCACTGTACATACACTTCCGTGCCTGCCTTCCACTTTGCCTTCGGGGAATAGTTCAACGGGGATGCCATTCGTCTCTTCACGGTCGCGTGGAACTTGGGCTGGGTGTCGCTGATCTTCCGGCCTCTCCCAAAATTAAACCTGGGTATGCCCGAGAACGCTCAGATGTCGGCGAAGCCACAACCAAAATAAAAGTTGTCAGTACTCACGTCCAATCACGATGCCACACCCCGTCCGCGTCCTGCCAAGAGTAGTGCAACGGAATGATCTCCAACAGCCACCAGAGGACGTTGTTCTTCAGCTCGTCGTGTATTGGCTCCAGCGCGTCCGTCATGTCCAAGTCGATTTCCTCAGGCGATGGTTCTGGGTTCAGGTCGATTTTAGCGCGCATCAGTGCAGGGATGTCCCACTTGATCCCGCTACCCGAGGCGATAGCCTCCCGCACCATCCACCGCAGGCTGATGTTCGCCAGGCACTCTGTCGTCTCATTCAACACCGCGCCTCCACCCACATCTATCAAAGGATCAACATCAGCCAAAGCGAGAATGATATACATGTATGTAAGCGTAAAATGAACTGTTGTACGCACCGCTATGACACCCAGCAAACCACACCTCGAGCACGTCGTCAGGATCGCCGCTCTCCTCTATGAGCACAGGAGCGATTGCTTTGACTGTCTTCTTGACTTTCACCGACTGGCCCCGACCGAAGAATCCCCACCGCTTCTTCTTGAGCAGCTCCGCCGTCTTCTCGTCACCCTCCGAGATGGACGACGCCGAGTCCGCGTTACCCCACTTTCCCCCCAGACTCGCGTGCTCCGGGTCAAGGCGCGCGGCTTCGGCGGACGGCGCTGTGCGGTGATAGTTGTTAGGTCTAAATTTGGCTCGACGCTGGACATTGTGTGGCGACGGCGATAGCATGAGAATGACGTACGTCAGTGAGCCCTCGCAGTCGGGAAAGACGACAAACGACTCACCTCATCGAGCGACAAGGCATGACGGAAGGTCTTGATGGAACTGTTCGAGTTGGTGAAGGGCAGAGTACGTCCCATGACAACACCAACGCTGGCGACCGTTTCCCTAAACTGCGATCAGCAAGTGTAAGGTAGGGGTTTGAAGGACTAACCAGACGCCCATGAATTCGGTATTGACGGTCAGGCAGTAGGTCTGCTTGAATCCGGCGCATAGCTTGAGCCCTTCTTCATCAGTGCGTTTGTACATCTTGTAGGCGAACGGGACTTGGGCTTCGTTATCTCGAGGGAGCAGTCCAACCTGTACATGCACGGCGTAAACACATTAATCTACCAGAATCTGGAAGAGAACATACCTTATACAAGAGCCCTCCCAACGCCCTATCTCAACCAATGAATAGCGCTTCACACGAAAGGGAGTGCCATGACCAACCTTGCAGTGTACGCTCCACGAGAGAAACCTGACAAGGGAAACACAGTCAAATTTAGAAAACACAGAAACTTAATCCAAAGAACGTACCAAATATGCAAATTTTATCCCCAGCTCGATAATTCTGCATTAAGAACTTGTACCCATCCGTAACGTGAGCGTCGAGGTACCTAAACCAATGGTCATCAGTGCTTGGAGTCACTCAACAAAGTACAGCGTTCCCACCAAGCGAACGCCAGGTCCAGGATCTTCGCACTCCATTCAAATAGCGGCGAAACAACCCCAGGTTCGAACCACGTCCCAACACCCGCCTACACGCCGTACCATCTCAATCAGCCAATCATCCGCGTCCATGGCTCATGAGAATGTCATACCTGGTAGTAAACCAATTGCTCGTCTGAATCCTTCCTCAGCAGGGCGAAGAGCTTGACGACGTTTGTGTTCTGACATCGGCTGTTTAGAGCCGGTTCGACGGGATTAATTGACGAGAGAACTCACATCTGCGTCATACTCGTTTGACGTGCCGTCGAAGCAGAGAACGAGCGTCCGGGCCCTTGTAGGAGGGCAAACCGCGCTGCTATCACCCATCTCTCTTCGCTCGCAGGAAGGATGGTCGATCAGAGATAATGAGGCAAATTGAGAAAGGGAGGTTCGCAAGCTCCGCACGCTGCTTATATTTAAGCACGGCTTGGGCATCCTCCCTGAATAATCCATCCATCCATCCATCCATCCCATCTCGATGCTCGCAAACTCTGACAAGAGCTAAATAAGTCACCGTAGATGGGAGATGTGAATCATGATCAGTGCAAAGGTGCACGAATGGGAGAAGCACGGCCCCGCAGCACCAGGATGAATGTCTGTCATCACACGAACAAGAGACACGCCGGCAACCCACCTGGCAGGCGTCATGAGTGCCCGATCAACACTACTACCAACCCTCCTTGTCCCTTCGGCGCGCCTCTCCTCCTTCATAGACCGAAAGAAGACCTGCCGTGCGGCTCGGCATTCTCTCCTCCCCGTCTGGGGGTAGGCGTTAACGAGGAGGTGAGAACGCGCGCGTCTGTTGGTAAGACGAGATCGTGTATAGACATACCGGGGTGGCGGAGCATTTTCCTACCTCGGGACTCATGTGACGAGGAAACACATCAAAGTGAGTCGGGGTTGGGTCAGGCGGGAGCGCTGCGACTGAATGGCAGCAATGGCACGAGATCGTTAACACGTCTTGAAGCGCAGCGTTGTACTAGTAGGGCCCCGAGTCGACAGTTGACTCACTGAACCACGATGGGTATGCCAATGCGTACCCTAAGAGATCTCGCGATATCCTCCATGCAAGGAGGCGAGAAAAGAGATGACGACACGTTCCTCGACCCGAATACGTCAATGTCTCCGAGCCGCAACAAGAAGTGCGGGGGCGGTTATTCGGATCTCGAGAAGAACAAAAGGCATGACGAAAGGAAGTCCAGGAAAACGCGACACTCAAGAAGGTGTCTCGGTCAGACAAGCCCACAAATAGACCAGGGTATGTGCTATTCGCATAGCCATGAGACGCTGGAAAGACATATGAGGCCGTTTTCGCTGGACTGCTGTGAGTGCGTGATGGAGGGAGGGAAAGCGGGACAAAGAGGCACTTTGCCCCATCAAACAGCATTTGATAACAGCAAAGGCTTCCAAAACAAATAGAACACAGCCACACAACCGCAGAGTTTCCGGCGCTTAACGTACTTCGGATCGATGATCACCGGCCCATGGTCTCTCCCGCGAACTCAGCACCTGTGCCGAATCCTCAACACGAGTCGGTGCTTCTAAAACGTAGGAACCACTCTCTTATTTATGCAACGGACGTTTGAAGAAAGGGAAATTTTACAAGAGTTCGATGGCATACACCGTGGAGAACGACAATCCTTGGGGACGCGATCAAAATCGCGACCCCTCCCTAAATACATAACCCTAATCTTGGTGGGATATGTAACTAGTTACTAGTATGTTGGGTAAGCTATTTTCGGCAACTCGCTTTCCGGATCAGGAAGAGACGCTTGGCTCCCTTGCAGCCTGCGTAACATTCGCGACCAGCAGCCTGGCGGTTTTTATTGTCATATGTGAGAGAGAGGAGGAAAATCAAACTGAACATGATCAAGTTCTACGCCACCCAGAATTAGGACCGGCTCGCCATCGCTTTGGCAGCAACGGCGTCAGGTGTCGGTAGCACAGTGCGCCCATCACCAGCTCCCTGTGTTTTCACCGCAGGTGGTGCAGAGCTGGTCGTCTTTCCGGAGATCATCTCGAGCTCTCCCAGTAGTGTCTGGTGCCGGTACGCCAGTCGGATATCGGGAACGTTTGTCTGATTCAAGGAGTAATAATTACCGGATGTTCAGTGAAGGGAAGAGAAAGGAAAAATACCTTGTTGATATCGTTTCCGGCTGCTCCAGGTAGGTACCATTCATTGCCTAGCCAGTGACGCTTGACTTCCATCTCGAAACCGCTCTGCCTTACCGAATTGCGAGCCAGCTCAGCGAGGGAGCTTTGAGGGAATTTATAGATCTGTGAATTGGATGATGAGCGACGATTAAATGTGGCGAGGTATGGGGGATTTCAACATACGTGAGCCGCAACGCTATATTCCTCCAAGAGTGGTTCCTGTCAAACTAGATTCAGCAACGTCAATTGAGCATCGAGGGCGCGTGATTGTCTACCTTGGTGAAGTGGAACTGAAGTGGATCGTCCGTGCTCAAACTCACGTTCAACCCGGTCTTGAAGAAGTCGGGCAACGGGTTACGCTCATACGTGAGGAAGAGCGCATTGTTACTCAGCGGGCTCATCGCGATACCGATCTGCTTCAAGTAGAAGAGATATTGAAGAGCGGGCACCTTCCGTAGTAGGATTCCATGCGAGATTGAGTGAGAAGTAAGGAATGCGGATGTGAGATGGTCGGTATCTCCAGCTTCTCCGCAGTGAGGTCGGAAGACCAGGGTGTCTGACAGAAAGGTTTAGCGATCCAGGTCAGAAAGATAGAAAGGGATTCTACTGAATCCTCGAATTCTCCTCCAGTTATTCAAACTCGCGACGTTGGCGTACATGTAGTAAAGCCTAGAGCCAACCTACATCAGGTGGACCGACTCCTAGAGGAAGTGCGACGTACCAGTAAGAGTACGGAGGTGATTGTGGCAGGTCCCAGAGTCTTGGGTAAGGGAATTTCTTATGTATGCGCCTCTCGACCTTGGATTCGTCATCGACAGTGTCAAACCCGATCACCCGTTGCAAGAAAACGTGGAGCTCAGGATGAGTCCGAGGGTCTTTCGTTACCTCAAATAGTGGTTTGAAGACATCTAATTTCGAAGACATCACTGAAGTTTCGAATACCACTGACAGAGAAAAACATACTGGAGACGATGTCCTCGAACGTGCGGATCGAACCATTCGCCTTGTACACCTCGTAAAGACGCGGTACTTGGATGAGCCAGCGCACGTTGTGGGAGTAGAGTTTATTGTCAACGATCCATTTCGCGAGCTTGTCCCATTCGTCAGGGGAACGACCGTAGATACTAATTCTCCACTCCACATTCTAGAGCAACTAATGATCAGTTTCTGCCTCTAAAGGATATCGAAGGGGACCGAACCTGGTACTTGCTCTGCTCCAAATCATTCATCAATTCTAGCGGGAAGGTGGGTTAGACCTTGCAAAAAATGGTCCAATACCGTCTACCTTTGGTGAGCTCTGCCAGATATCGTCCTTGGATATAATTATCGGTCTTTAAGAAGATCTCGCGTAGACGCGATTCTCCGATTGGGTTATATTTCAGGTTGAACTTATCGAAGCGGTGGAATGAATCCTGGTGGGCGTGCATATCCAGGGTATCGATGGAAAGGTCGTAAGCTGTTAATTTAAGCGATTCAAACACTTCAGAGAGCGTGAGTTCATGGCCATCTCGGAAGATGACGACGTCCTAGGGTAAGATGCAGGGGTCAATTAACCATTGCAGGCAATGGCAGCGTGGAACCTACGTTAGGGCTACGCTTCATCTTTGATTTAATAAAGCGAAGTAGATGCTTTTGGTTCATACTACTCGAGTGATGGACATGGGTATCGACTTTTCGGAGGTTGTAGAAATCTCTGTGAGAAACCCTCTGTGAAACGCCAATCGTCACGGTAAGAATGCCGGCAGATATGATTCACAGTACCTTCATATCCGCTAATTCTTGGAACTCATTCAAAAGACTGTACATCGTGAACTTGCTTGAGAGGTACTTCAGCCTGCGAAACGCGAAGCTCTTCGTCGGCCCGTCCGAGATTACCCCAAGGACGTATTCCAGATCGACGAAGTACTCCCGGATGTCGGGGATATCGAACGCAGGCTTTCGCTCTTCGTCTTTTCCTGATTTTAACGCCGAGATGAGATTCAGGAAATTCAAGGACGACAAGCAGGCACACTTTTGGTATTTTCATACACCTGATACACACCCTTCACGTCGATCGCGAATGACCATCCATCGTGCCCTCCAGGAATTGGGCATTCCTCGAACTTGAACTCTCCGTGGCCTGGCGGGGCTGACCCATCTGCGCTAATGACCTCTTTGTCCTTCCAGCGCCAGTGAGGCGGAGGCGGCTTGGGGTAGATATTCCATTTATCGGTTGGCTCTTCCTCTGTCTGATATTCTTGGACCTTGTGTATCGGTGCATCAGGCCGCACGCCTGATACGTCCGCGTATTCGTCGCCTACTGGCCGGAAGTAACCGTCATGGTCGCGCGGATCATCGCCGAGGCGTTGGCGCGACTTTGCCATGTACTTGTCTCGTAGTTCAAGGCATTTTTGGAGGGATTGGAGAAGATGTATTTGTTCAGCGTTGATTAAGGGCTCTTGTAAGCAAAGTGAGAGAACCTTTATGCCGGAAACTGAGTCATATGCGCACCTGTAACATGCACCTCGCCTGTAAACTGCTTGTGCTGGTTGTCCTCTTCTTCCTCAAGGAACGCATCGCCAAGGACCGAGCCTTGAAGAGACACAGGTTTGAAGCTCCCAGAATCGGAGTGCGCGTCTGAGCCACGTCTATGAGCCCAATATTTCTCTTCGATCTGCACGAAAAAAAATCAGGAACGAGGCAGCGAGTCACCATCTTCCCTCAACTCACATGTTGCAGGGTCTTTTCCTCTGAGTAGCCAAAGTATCCGTCTTTGGACTCGGGGATAAGGAGGCTCCCAGAGTTGGAAGAGTTGGGCCCGTTGTCACTGAGAACGGGGAGATGAGAGATCTCGAGGTTGGACATGATGGTGAGCGATAGAAGGGACCGTTATGGAGTGGGTGCATTCTTTTGACTTGACCACCACATGGAGGTACAAGATAAGATAAGATCGGCAGAGCCTAACGAAACATGCCACAATGGCTGAAGGAGTCATAGGGGCTTCACAAAATTAGAGACGAGCAAATGGATGTAAGATTACAACGCAGACTAAGAGAAAAACCAGGACAATACAATAATGATCAAACCTCTTCCTCTGCAGAAACCTTGCGACGTTTCGTCCTATGGATTAGCTGACGGACAGGTCCATCTCTCAGCTCCTGGACCTTCTTCCACAGCCGCAAGATTCGCGGGTCTTTGGCATTCCACTGTCGGTGCTCCAGATAAACAGGCCGGAATCGTCGTCGAGGATACAGATCGTCGTCGTCGCTTTCGGAGGATGACAGTCCATCCAGTGTCGTCGCCAGCTGTCGCTTCAACGGGCTTGAGCGGCCAGGAATTGGTTCGAAGAGAGCCGCAGAAGCCTTGCGTTTGCTAGGAGATCCTTCTTCGAAAATCCGGGCAGACGTTGGTGTCGAGAGAGCGGCTTCGAAAGCCGTGGTCGAGGCTGGCGTCCCCGTCTTTGAGGGAGATGTGTTCTGTCTCTTCTTCATAGGTGTCTGTGGAAGGTCTTCGTCGACATCCATGCTATTGTCTTCGACAGGCGACTGAGCCATAGCCCGGTTCTTGGGACTGTCTTTGGAAGGCAGCACGCGAATTGGAGCCTTCTTCCAAGGCGGTGGTTCCCGTGTTGGGGTGGAGGGTTGAGGAAACGCTGATTTGATTGGCGTTTTGGTTGGAGTTTCAGGTACGGAGGAGTTCCGAAGTGAACGCCTCGTAGGCGAGAATCGGTCAGGCACATCTGTCGCCGCTTCCTTCCTCTGTGATTTCTTGGGACTATCTTTGGAAGGCAGCTCTCGGAGTGGTGCCTTGCGGGGCGACTGTCTTGGGGTAGGAGCATTGGACGGTTTCGCTGGCGACTTCTGACTTTGCTTGAACGCTTTCTCAATTTCTGTTCTGAGCGGCATGCACCGATCGTTCAGCAGATTGAGGACACTGGTAAACTTCCGAATTGGTAGCTCATGATGACCTGCGAAGACTTGCGTGTCAGGGACGTCGTCCGGCTGGAGCAGGACTTAATGATGAGCGGTCGTACGAGGGATAGCGAGAAGACACTCACTCGAGCAGCACTCAATACCCAGAAGTACACCGCGGAAACGAAAATTCTGCTCTCTGGGGCGTGAAGCGTGCCAATCTTGACCAGTTTCTTCTCCGCCTTCAGAATAAAGGGGGCGAGCTTCTCTCGATACAGCATGGATTTGTAGATCTGATGCAGGTTCTCGTAGCTGACTGCAGAGGTTTTGTCTTCCTCTTCGACTACAGCCTTGACGGCGTCGTACACCTTTTTGAAGTCTGTTGGTTTCAGACAGGACGCGACCTGGGCAGATTTCTTCGAATACTCAGTGGTATTGAGTCTATACACAGCATGACATGGGTTCATTAGAACGTAATTTTCGTTAAAATATTGTAACGCACCGTTCGCATGCGACCAATATGCAAGCAGCTGACAACCCGGTCGACAGCTCCCTCAACTCACGTCCTGATCCTGGCCCTGTCTTCCGTTGTGCTGTCCTTAGCAGCTGGCGAGCAAGGGTTGCAGTTTCCAAAGAAACATCAAAGTTCTTCAAGAGACTGTCCTTTGGATGCATCGTGAGCTGCAATAACGCTTGGAGGTGGCTCAGATGGGTGAAGGAATTGGGAAAGAACAGCTGTGACAGTGACTACGTGACAGCCCTGGTACTCACGTGACAGTGACGAAGCGCGCTGGCCAGAACATCGAATATTCCACGCCCGTTCGGCTTTTCAAACTTCCTCCGACTCACAATCGATACCTTTGTCCCTAATTCCAGTCATGCCAGACGACCATGACCACACCCACGACGAGGATCCAGAATACGCGCGAAAGATCTATCTACCACTTGACAAACTCGATAAATGCGCAGTATGTGCGAAAACACAGGGCTTGAAGTGGTGCGTTTCTTGCGGTGAGGTTCGTGCTTTCCGTACTGGCCTTGAACTGGTTCATTCTCTCTAACTTGTTTTGCATAGATTCTCTATTGCTCTGTAGATTGCCAGAAAAAGGATTGGAAATCTCACAAGGTCAAATGTGGTGAGCACTGACGTTCATGCATCATGTCTCATCACATCACCCGTCCTTCTAACGCCATTTTTTAAAGGCCAAACGGACAGGATCGACCTGACCACCTACTATCCATTCATAGCCTGTACCGTTACGGCTTGCCATATGCATCCTGACATCCAGCACCCTGCCTTGCGTCACCAAATCGTCAACTCTCCAAACCCATACAGTGGTGATATCGTAGACTTTCCTAACGGCATCTCAGCCAAACTCGTCCTTCTCGGCGACAAGATCGCTATGGAAGAATTTGCTTCGCCGAAGTGGTGGCCCACCGCCGAGTCACCGAAGGTGCGCTCCAAACTAATGCGTCGCATCGTTAACGAAGGCTTGCTCCTGCCGATTTTGCTGGCGACGACTATCGCGCTGGTGTCGGAGATCTATACGACGAGTGCGATTCCGCCAGGCCAGCCTCTTTGGTACCAGCTGACAGACCGCCGTCGTGTGCGCCTATCGTACAACAAATCGCCTATCGTCGACTTCGGCATCGCGAAAGGTACCTCTATCAGGGTTACCGCGCAAGACAGGCTGGCATACTACAACCTAGAGACGAACGAGTTCCTCATGGGCCAGGACCCGCTCGACCACTACTGGATGTACTTCACGACGCTCAACGGGCACGAGTACTATCTGGATTGCGGCATGTTCACATTCAATTTCTGCCATATGGTCGCCGACTGTGAGAAGTACTGTCGATACGGCCTGCCGCCCTTGAACTACGTCCCTGCTTTCTTCTACAACCAAGAGATGGAGAAGGTCATGCCCCTCGACTCGGATAAGATCGGCTGGAAGGCCAAGGAGCGCTTCTCAATCTTGCGCAACCCCGACTTGATCAAGACCCTCAAGTTTCCTCAACTGGAATACTGCTCTCACGACGAACACCTCGTCTGCTCGCTCATGGACAAGATCGCTGGTCAGACGTGTACGTCATGGGAGAAAAAGATGGTCATGACCTTCCTTCCCAACACCTGCATGATCCTCCGTTTGAACATGCAGAACCGGGAATATATGAACTTCCCGAAGGAGCCCAAGGTCATGATAGAGGTCGACCCTGGCGAGCACGTTGCTCCACAGACAGCGGAGGAGGAGAAGGAAGATCGTGCATATCAGCAGTATATCAAGAAGTGGACGAAGAAGTTGAGGAAGGGGCAGATCACATCGGAGAAGTGGGACGCTGCTTTCACAAAATGGCGGGAGAGTCCGCATGAAGCACGTATGGCGCTAGCAGGGGCGTCGAAGTAGGATTCCAGTTACAAATTGTCATTTTTCCTCCTTACGAATTTGAAATTCAAAGACTTCTGAAAGCGTTTGAACGATTAGTGCATCCTTGTAAGCTACAGATTCTCCGGAGTCTGTAAGCTTTACATAAGTTTCACACGTCCTGTGATTTTGCTCTTGGTTCGTTGACAACTCTCACGCTTTTTGCTCTCATTTACGACCTTCACTCGGCCCTTCCTTGCCCGGAGACATAATGGTCGACTCGGGACATCGGGAACGAACCATTTATCTCCATCTCGCATCACTTGATCATTGTGCTGTCTGCTGGAAGACTGGGTCAAACACTCAGGAGCTGCGAATCTGCGAGGCGTGCGGTGAGGTACGCTGAGCAGTGGCGAACTTGGCAAATATTTGGAATTTAATATACGCCACATTTTGAAGAAGATATACTGCTCCCAGAAATGCCAGAAGAGCGACTGGGAGAACCATAAAAGGGGATGTGGTGCGTGCTATTTCCTACAATTTTCTTGTCTTTCTCCTTATCCGGCCTGCACTAGGGTCTACGGATCGCATCGACCTCAAGTCTTTCTACCCGCTCTTGTGTTATCTTGTTCACCTCAACCATCTGAACGGTCCAAAGCACCCTGCTCTTGAGCACAAGATCTTGGGCTCGCCCAACCCCAACACCGATGACGACTACCACGACCTCCTCAGTTTTCCTGACGGCAAATCGTTCAAACTTATAGCCCTAGGAGACGAAATCCCTTCTTCGTCTGAGGGTACTTACGAATGGTGGCCTACGGCTATGTCTACTCAAGTGCGAGAACGTCTCCGGAATCGCATCATCGCAGAGGGACACCTGCTTGCAGTTCTACTGGCTGTATGTTTGTCTCTAGCCAGTGAGATGTACACCACTACGGCTGTCCCAGAAGACGAGAAGCCTCTTCTTCAGTACTCCGAGCGACGGCGCGTTCGTCTCGCCTACCAAAGAACCCCTATTGCGGATTTTGGCATCGCTAAGGGCCGACTGGAACACATTGTCGTCCAGGACAAACTCGCGTACTTCCATAGCGAGAAGGAACACTTCATGGAAGGACAGGATCCCGAAGATCACTATTGGATTTACTTCACGACGGCAAGAGGCGAAGAACTTTTTCTTGAATGCGGGATGGGGACCTTCAATATGGGGATCAGAGTCGACACGGACGCGTATGCCAACCCCCGATTCTACATGCTGACGTTGGGAAAGGTTTACGGGTTCTTCCATGACCGGGAATTTCGTCGTAATGCACCCATATTTTCAGAGAGACGAACTACGCTCGCCCGCTTTTCTATGCTTCGGGACCCTGGAGTCTGTCAGGCGATCAGGTACCATGATCCTGGCCTCCAATGGCCTGGCAAGGCAGGAATGCTCTCCCTCATGGATAGAATCGCTGGCCGGACTTGTTCGCAGGAGGAGAAAGAACTTTTCCTCAAGTTCTGCACTACGAATTCGTTCATTCTTCGTCAGAACATCCACTACAGGGCTTACCGAGGTTTTCCTTCGTCTCCCGTCGTAGATTGGGAGACGGATCCGGATGAGAAGACTTGTGAAGAAAAAAGGAAGAAGCAGCCGAATGGTCGGACTATATGAAGAAATTCAACAGAAAGTATCGGAGAGGAGAGTTGACGCTAGAGCGGTGGGAAAAGGCTCACTTAGGTTTTAAGAGAAGATGATGGCTCAGGCTGCAGAAGCTTTGGTGAATGGATAAATATTGAGCATTTTTGTGTCTATTTTGTGCTAATTTACACATTTATTATGTATTCTAAATTGATTCTTGTGGCCTGTCAGTAGATAGGGCCTCGTTTAACTTAACGCAATCAGTAGCACGGCCACGACGTTCTGGGAGCCTGGGGTAGCGTGGAAGTCTACTTGAATCTACTTGTCACTGCAACATTCATCTAACCCGATGCCACGGTACCTCCTATCATGTAGATGGATGAATGGGAACATCTGGAAGGAGGATTCCTCCCTCTTGCAATCCTTGACAAATGTACTGAACCCCTCTCTAAAGAAAGTGTACTATTCTCAAAGCTGCCAGAAACAGGATTGGCAAAAGCAAAAGGCAGCTTCTGCCAGTAGGGCCTTTCGCAGACCCTCTGGCGAGAGACTTGCTAAATTGGATGAAATAAGCGCCCAAGAATTTTCATGGCGATGGCCACAGCGCAAAGGGCGTCGGTGGTATGCACCAAAAAGGGCATCAGAATAATGTTTTCATACATATTGACGTTGTAGGTATTACATTCCTCTGCCTAAATTGCCACTCCAAGACGATAAAAATCGGGTGCCCACGCACTTGGATTGGATATCTGGACAGTATTGGTCCTCCCCAGCGTGAAGCCCGGTAAGGATACGAGATACCCTGAGGACAAGATATCCCAACTCTGGATACACAAGACAAGCGCCGATATCGCGTCAGCCCTCTGGTCTGCCACCCCAACGATAGACGGGAGCCCACTCACCTGACCCGAAATAGGCATCTGCACCTGCACCGCCGCACCCCCGTTCACGCTGACGAAGGCATTGCGGCAATTCGAACACGCTGTATTGCCGAACGTGTAGTCTCCATTAATATAGTCAAACGCGAGCAGCTTCGTCCCCCCTGACGCGCCTCCGTCAACACCGTTGAAGGTCAGCGTGCCGCCGTTCCCGACGAAGCCGACGACGGTGATCGGTGAGGTGGTTGACGATGTGGCGGTAGAGGCGTTGACGGCGCGTGCATTGGCCCCGCCAGCGAGAGTGTTGGATGCGGAGGCGGCTGGGTAGAAAGTGAATGTCGGGGCGGGTGCGGGCACTCCGGAGGAGAGTTTGAGAACGACGGAGCCGTGCGCGGCGACGGTGGAGGTGTACCTTGTTCGAAAAGAGTAAGACCAGAAACGCGGGCGCTTTCAGGAAATGGGACGTACGACCTGCTTATCCTCCCGAGAGAAGTGCCAGTAATGAGGTCAATGGCCGTTGTGGAGGAGAACCCGACATCGGCCAAGTTGAATGTGAGGGACCGCGCTGAATTCTGCCAGTTGATTACGACTGTGAAGGAAACGAGTTAGTGAGCACGTTGCGATGCCGCCCAAACAACAGCAAAGACTCACCTGCGACCGTCGATCCATCTGCCAAGGGACCAGACCAGACGTCGTGGTCGTTCGTGTAGCGTCGCTTGAACGACACGCTCTTTCCAAGAGGATCTTGCTGCCAGCATTCACGCCGATAATTTTAGTCGCACCGTCTCGAGGAGTTGAATAAACTTACGTTCACCGCGATGATCCTGGTGTTCTTCAAGATATTTAACGTTTGCGCGGAAGGGTTGGTCAGGTCAGTAGAGATGAGTAAGGGGGATCTAAAGTGATTACCGAAGGCTCGTAAGTGAATGGAACGTCCCAGAGAAGTGAGAGCGCACTTGGCAGCAGCCCAAAGAGCGAAGTGGGTCTGTTGTTCAGCTGTGGTCAGGCCTGCGTTACCTACTTCGAGCATATCCATATCTGTGGAGAGTTAGTCACCAAGTGCACGAGAAACATATGCTCTGTTGATCCTACCATTGAATCCTCCAGGCTCAGAGAACTGTGCGATAGGGACGACTTGGTTGATAATTCTGATTATACTGTTCCAAGAGACGGGTGGACCTATGTCATTCCTGCGCAAAGTGAATGTGGTCAAGCATTACGAAGTTGCCGAGGACGAAGTGCCTTACGATGTTCTCCACCTGCGTTTGGTGGGTATTTAGAAACTGAACTGTCGGTATAGAAAGAGACGAGCAAGACGCACGAGTTGCCGACCTCAGTCCCAGGCCACCTCGCAGGGTCTGTGTAGTAAGACATTCAAATCAGCTGCGCGTACAGTGAAAGAATAGGCATTGTCCAACCTTGTACACCCCAGTTACAAACTGAGAACAGAACGGGGCGCTTTGTGAGGGCCAGAGCGTCCCTCATCGCCGTCATATGAGGCTATAATCAAGAACGAATCTGTAGCCTTCTGAAGTGGGAAAGAGGGGCGGTTTAACATACCTTGATCTAGACGAAAGGGAACAAACAGATCAGAGTTCACATCGAAGCAAGACGAACATTGCGAACACACAGGGATCGGGGGGAAGTAATTCACGAAATCGGTCTCGCTGACTGATAGAGTGTCAGCAACGCAGGTCATTGTCTATGAGAAGGAAGGGTTCACCTGCGTAGCAATTGTCATACTTGCAATCCATTGCATCAGCAAAGCCAGGAGGTACTCCACAATTGAAGTACCTTGAGATAATCTGCACCCCACGCCGCGAAGAGAGCTGCATCCTCGACTTCATGATGCAAGCTTCCGAGATATTTCGCCGTCCCGCCGACGAAATCGCATCCAAAGTATCCGCTGACGAGTCTCGTCAGATAACAAAACACTCGAGCAGCAAGGTGCTCACCCGTCGGAGTAGAGCCCAAACTTCAAGCCAAGCCCGTGAACATATTCACCAAGCGCCGGGATACCGTTTGGGATGACGGTGCTGTCCCAAGTGAATTGTCCACTGGCATTTCTCTGCCTTCCTTGCCATCCACAGTCACTACACCGCCAATTCAGTTGAGATATTGAGAACACAAGGAAGAATAAGGCCCACAGGTTCAGGTACTCATACCCGACATCGCGCAACCCGAGGTTTATGAGCTGCTGAGCAGCGGCTTTGTATTGGGCTTCGGTAGTATCGCACCTTCAAGTCGAATGATCGTAAGCAACGCTCCGAGACGGACTTGAGGTGAACTTACAAGAAAGCATTGTAAGAGTTCCATCCCATAGCTGGGGTTGTTCCGACGCCATTATCCAGAGCAAGGGTGCCTGTAGCGAGACCGAGAAGCAGGGCAGTTCTGAAGCGCGATAACATATTGTTTCGCTTCATTGACGATAAACTCGCTGACCATTTATTGTGCCCTATAGGTTAGAGCGGACCGCCAGAGAAGAACCAGAGGACCACGAGAAGTCAGCAGGACGGTCATGGCAGCAAGTCGCGCAGTGTTCAGCATGTGGCGGAAAATAAGATGTTGGTCCAAGCCCCTCCGACGCCTTCTGAAGCGATAACATGCGCTTGATTTAACTTGAAGCGGTATAGAATCCAATGATCATGGTGAAGTCATGGTGAAGTCATGGTAGTCGAAGAGAAGATGGCCAGGTGGGCAGTTTTGCCTGAAGGCGATCGGCAACTTCCGGAACGGCCCGGGATCACCGGGCCTCTGATGGCACAGCCACTCTTCCTCGTGCTTGCAGCATGCTCAGAATGGGAGCATCCCGAAAGGAAGTTATTCCTCCCTCTTGCGGTCCTTGACGAATGTACTGTCTGTGGGAAGCATTCCGCGTTGCGATTTTGTCAAGCTTGCGGAGAGGTAAGAACTGGACTTTGCGATCCACAAGTCCTCTAATAGTGAAACTCTCTTTAAAGAAGGTATACTGTTCCCAGAACTGCCAAAAGCAGGACTGGCAACACCATAAGGAGGAATGTGGTTCGTCTCTTTATTATCCCATACACCGTTATCTTCATGGAGGAGACTGCAGGAACGACGGACCGAGTGGACATCAAGTCGTTCTACCCACTACTTTCCTATCTCATCCAGCTAAGCCACTTCGACGGCCCCGCACATCCCGCCCTTCTTCACCAAGTAATAAGTTCACCCCATCCCACAAATCATGACGACGTCGTCGGCTTCCCTGACGGATCCCCAGCCAAGCTCGTCATGCTGGGCAAGCCAATCCCTCCTTCATCCTTAGGTCAACATGAGTGGTGGCCGACCGCGATCAGCTCTCTTGCTCGCGAACGACTCATGCACCGTATCATGAGAGAGGGGTTCGTGCTCCCAATTCTTTTGGCCGTCTGCGTTTCCTTGGTTAGTGAAATGTACAGCACCACGGCCGTTCCTCCTTCTGAGGAACCGCTACTCCAATACACAGGCCGACGTCGCATTCGCCTAACTTACCACCGAACTCCTATAGCTGATTTCGGGATCGTCAAAGGTCCTGTCAAAATCGGCGGCATGCACAGACTGGCATACTACAGCCCCGAGAAGAACATATTTATGCACGGGCAAGACCCCAACGACCACTACTGGATATACTTCAAAACAATCTCTGGGGAAGAGCTCCTCCTCGACTGCTCCCTCGGCACCTTCAACATGGGGCTCTTGGTCAGTACCGATCCCTACATCAATCCCAACTTCTACATGACGCCACTCGGGTTGGTGCCGAGTATTTTTCATGATAGGGAGTATCGACGGGAGACCGTGCTCTCTGTCATCTGGCAATCGGAGAAAGAGCGCTTTTCGATACTACGGGACCCACAGGTGCATCAAGCCCTGGGATACCATGATCCTGGGCTCCAATGGCCCGGACGCGACATCCTCTACTCCCTCATGAAAAAAATTGCCGGGCGGCCGTCTTCCGAGCTCGAGAAGGAGCTTCTCCTCAAATTCTGTGAAACAGATTCATTTATCCTGCGGCAGAATTTGCACCATCAGTCATATTTGACATTTCCTGAGCTTCCGAAAGTCGGATGCGAGAGAGAGCTGAATTCAGAGGGGAAACGAAAACCTTCGGAACCTGATGAAGAGGTCTTCGCATCTTTCAATCATATGAAGAAATTTACTAGAAAATATCGGAGAGGGGAGGTGACAGGAGGTGACTTCATGTCACATGAAAGCATTCCGCGATTTTCACGAGATGCCCTCAGAGGCTAGGATTAGAATGGCTGCAAATTTGAAACGTTGAATATGTAGTACTGACCGTTCTCGAAATTTCAATATCACTTTTATAGCTTTCGCATTTTTTGTATTGTTTTTGTACTTTTATTTCGTACCAATTTCTGTAGGCAGGATCTAATTGGACGCTGGCGGATCCCTCATTTTAGGAAGCGGATGTCATCATGATCATGCTCATGCTTCCGGCGGTTGCCAACCCTAAGTATATCTCCGCTTTACCTTTTCCTGCGACCTGCTTGGGCGAAACCCCGCCCTGATTGCGCAATCCGAAGGATATATACGCCCCCATGCTTAGAAATGAGTTCGGTAAACCCACGCGCCTCCGGTCTTTGGTTGGACCCTCCCATGGCCTCCAACTACTTCCCTGATGACGAGGACGGCGACCTCGAGCAGCAGGAGCGACGGGACGACGAATTCGACAGTCGGACACCGGTATGCGTCTCCTCTCATGGTTGAAAAGGAAGGAATATCTCATTGCGAGTGCTAGTTGGACAAGACCATAGACCGTATTGGTATGGGGAGCTACCAGTGGACGTTGTTGTCATTGTGTGGTTGTGGTAAGCCTCCTGAACTCATCGTCGTTTTCGACACTTCTTGACCAGTTTCGCAGGATGGATGGCGGACAACGTATGTTCCTGCTGTCTACGCTCCAATTTCACCACTAGAGCCGACATTTAGATGTGGCTGCAAGCTGTCGCGTTGATCCTTCCTCGAATCCAGCAACACTACTCAGGCAAGCCCGTCATGGAGTCCTCCGCGGTTCTACCTCACCCCCTGCAGTACCGGATAGCTACATTGGCACAGTATCGTCGTCAATGTTTGCCGGAATGATGATTGGGGCTATTGGTTGGGGGACGTGTATGCTGTCCGAGCTTCTTCGAATGCATTTCCGCAACTGACATCCTCACCAAAGGTTCTGACCTCATGGGCAGAAGTACTGCTTTCAACTTGACACTGTTCTTCACAGCCCTCTTTGGTCTCCTCGCCTCCTTTGCCAACTCTTTCCCGACGTTGTGCATCGCCCTCTTCTTCCTCGGGAGCTCAGTCGGGGTGAGTCAGCCAGTTTAGCTGTGCCGCGTTCTGTCAGTCTTGCTGATACTCCGTATCGTAGGGATCAATGCCCACGGACGGCACCCTTCTTTTGGAACACATGCCAAAGTCAAAACAATATCTAGTCACTGCACTGTCCGTGTTCTTCTCGTTTGGTGCCGTCCTTTCAGCAGTCGTCGCCCTCCTCGTACTTCCTCAAAACTCCTGTAGAGCAAGCTCGATTGCCCCCTGCGACGTGGAGATAGAGAATAGAGGATGGAAGTATCTACTTATGACTCTTGGGCTTATCGTACGTGTGCTACGTTCTTCCTATCAATCACCCTTTCAAACCTTGTACAGACGCTATCTATGTTCTTAGCCCGGATGGTTTTCTTCCGCTTACATGAGTCCCCCCGCTACCTTGTTCACGCTGGCCGTCCACAAGACGCCGTCAAGTCCCTCCAGATGATATCCCGCTTCAACGGCTCTGATCTATCTATAGAACTGGCGGACGTCCGAGATCACCACCCTCCAGACGATGAAGACCTACGCAAGGCGGACACCCGTGCCCGGGCAAATTCGACGACTATCTTCGACGCCAGCGTCATTGAAGACGGCCCTGCGTCTCCTCCTCGCAGTATCAGTGCGGAGAACTCGCGCACGACACGTAATGGTCTTGTCACTGCCTATGCATCAACAGGCGAAACACCCGTCCTTGATTCTCATACCTTCGACACACCTGTATTAGAGCATCCACCCACTCTAGAAGAGCCCAAGGAACCACCAGAACCGTCCTCGAGCGCCGAGCAACCTTTCCTTCCACGTACGACTGAAAATGCTGCCAGGCCACGACCTCTATCAGGTGCATCTCGCCGTTCATCCGTCTACGAGCAGAAAGTCTACCGACTACTCCCTCGATGGATGAGAAGACCGCTTCGCGCATGGTGGGACCGTGTGTTGATGGTGCTTGATCCGGAATGGCGGCGGACGACGATACTTGTGTGGATGGCATGGTGTGCGATGTCGCTGGCTTACACGATGTTTAACGTGTACCTCCCGAAATTACTGGAGACACGTTCGAACACAGAAGTACCGCAGACGTTGGAAGGGAGTCTTTGGGATGTAGTGATTTTTACGATCGGCGGCTGCCCTGGTGCTCTGGTAAGCCATACTTTACAAGTGTCTGGTTGACATCTGACGTTTGTGGTATGCTAGCTCGGGGCCTACTTCATTGAGTCAAGCCTGGGCCGAAGGTGGTCCCTTGCTGGAAGCACCTTCATCACCGCGTTCTTCTGCATCGTCTTCGCGCTCGTAACGTCCACCTGGGCAGTACGAGTGAGCACTGTCGGGATCAGCCTGAGCGCCACAGCGATGTGGGCCGTCCTGTACGGCTGGACGCCCGAGATCTTCGGGACGAAAGGTGGGTCCATGTCATTCCAATAAACTTGCACTAGAGCCTCATCTTTAATTGCTCCAACAGTCCGGGGTACAGCCTGTGGCATCGCATCGGCCCTCTCCCGAATAGGTGGCATGATTGCCCCTTTGCTGGGAGGTGTCCTGCTCATGATGGACCGCTCGTTCCCTGTGTACACCAGCGTCGTGATTTTTGCTATCGCTGGGATCTGCGTGCTGTTCTTGAAGGAGGGTGAGGGCGATCGAGGCATCAAGTCTGGGGGAAGAGTAATTGTGCATTGAGTCAGTTGCCGTCCGTCACCTCCATCCTGCCCGCTACATGTGCCCTGTATAGGGTTTAGCTGCTCTGTGCCTTCATCGGCGCCTCTTGTTCTTGTCTGCCTGCTGCCTTTGCACGGAATCATCGCCGTCATTTGCATCGCAGTCATCTCAATCTCAATTGAGATAATTCTTTCAACCTGTGTACATACCCTTCACACGACTTGCAACCTGTATCCATAGCCCTTGCTCTTCTTTTGCTTATCATGCTTTACAATTTCGGACGCATATGTTCGAGCCTAGAAACATCCTTCGACGCCTCCATCATGATACTCACTAATCTTTCATAGCACCACTGCATCTGCCTCGATCTCGACCTTCATCTCTGGGCTCACAAACCCAACTCCAACAATCATCGTCGCAGCAGGTGCCACGCTCCCAAACACCTCCTTCAGTGCGATGCTCACGCCTTCGGTGTCCTTATCCTCTGCGACGAACATCCTCAATCTCACCACATCGTTCTTCGTCGCCCCTAGCGCCTCCAATGCCAACACGATCTCGGAGAATATCTTCCGCGTCTGGTCGTACGCCGATTTGGGGTAGAGGACCTTGCCGGAGCTGGTGTCGATGGAGGTCGTGCCCGAGACGAAGATGAAGGGTCCTTTGCGGACTGCCCGGGAGTAGCCAAATTTGTCTTCGTAGGGGTTAGACGTTCGGTGCCGCTGCATAGTGTGGGTGCCCGAAGGCGTCGTCGAGATTGACATCGTGGTGCGTGGTAGTGGTAGGTGCAAGGGGATGTCTTGGCTATTGGATGTTAGAAAGAATCGGGTATGAGGTGACTTATTATAACCACCTATTAATAGGACGCAAATGTGATGCCGATGGTTTTCGGAGGTTGTTGGAAACTAGTGGAGTGCCCCTGGAGGACTGTCCGCTTTTATAGGAAGGCCAGTTTCATCGGGCTGCTCGAGTCATATTTTAGCCAGGTTGTGATTGGGTAACTTACGGCCAAGAGCAGCGTTCGAAAAATATTTCTCGAGGGATGGATTTATTTCCTTTAGACAAGAAAGCATACGTAGGACGTCCAACCACTCAACCGTTCAGATTGAAATCAACCAACCTCACAGCCGAAGGTGTTGTCCCGGAACTCTTCACCTGATAAAGAATCGACAAAACCCCACTCGAGACCCTCGCACGATCCACAGTCACCTCTCCGAAAGCGTTCAAGCCCTGAGCGACGCCATCGTATGCGATAGTCCAGTCCGTCCACCCCGAACTCTTGCTGGCCGTCGCAATCCGTACAAAAGGCAGTACGACGTACGCGTTGTCGTTGCCGTCGAGAACGATTTGCGAGCGACCCACGGCATTGAGGGCGAAGGGGATCTCCATTTTTGTGAAACTGCCGTTGGAATTTTTGTAGACGTGGAAGGCGCGTCCGTTGGCGGTGCGGTCGCTCACGTAGTTCGAAACACATTGTCCGAATCGGCCTATCAAGTGTGGTTGAGCTTTCTGAACAGGAGTAACATAATTTTAGGTCCTTACCAGGAACGTATGATATAATGGCATGGATTAATCCAGCAGAGTCAACGGCTTGAGACTCCTGATTCATGAGGCCGTGGTCGGCGTTGAGAGGGTCTACGATAATACCGGCAGAGTTCACGTTCACGGGATTCGAGCCAGAGGTGGCGATGAGGCTGCCACCGCTGTTTCTCCAAGTTCGCCCTAGGAGAGCGTCAGTCATCTTTGTCCATCGTCAGAGCATACAGAAACGGACCTTTATCATCCGAGTAGAAATAAGTCGTGTCATGGTTCGTCAGGCCTCCGCCATTGCACATGACGGCCCCATTCTGCTCCCTCCAAGTGCCTGTAACGTGTGCCCTGCCCGACCTATACGTGAATCCGTGGATGTACAAGTTCCTGGCCGTGCTCGTTCTCCCGTTCGTCGACGTATATGTTCCGGAGGCTGATGCCCAGGAACCGACGTTCGACCACGATCCTCCGTTGTATTCCGCGAGCTGCGTAGCGCCATTGCCAGAGACGCCGGAGCGGTATACAAATTGCAGGAGATTGTCCGAGGTTATCACGAATTGGGGATACGTGACCACGCTAAGAGTGCCATCCTGCTCAACGCGTCTTGGTAGAAGCTTGAAATAAAATAGAGACTTACGTGCCAATGTTCAGATTCCCGAGTGTGCTGGTGATGGAACCAAAGCGGCTCGCGGTCCAGCTGGCTCCGTTGGTGGCAAGACCTGCCTCTGAAGCAGTGTAGAAGAGTCTTGTGCTATGACAGTCCATGGCGACATGAATCCGACCATCCTGAGGGGATACTCCGAGCGCGATGACGTTGTGGGAGTCGCTCGTTGTGAGCTGGTGGGGGAGTTGGAGGGTCTGCCAGCTTCCTGAAGGTAGTTGCTTCCGTGCAAGGATTGCATACCGCGTCGAAGTGTACCATGCCGCATATTGGTAGTTGCCATGGGTCAAAACTCCCGACAGCTGGAAGGAGTTGACATTCACGACACCGTCGTAGGAGACGAAGAATACCCCATTGGCGTCCAGTAGAGTATTTGCGATGAGAGAGACACTAGGCGCAGCGATGCATGCCAGCCAGAGATTGGCTAACAGCGAGAGGAGAAAGATGGCACGCATTTTCTCTTGCTAAAATGCCCCCTAAAGTGGGGATCCGCCTTTATACACACGACGTGACCTGGCGCTCTCCATGAATATTTCTAGGCTTCGGAAACATGACCAAGTCTCGTGGTCGCGGAGAAACAACAGGAAGCACTCTAAGCAAGAGGATTCAGGCTAATTCTGCTTGCCGGTGATGCCTTTTGCATAGCCGCCGCAGAATCGCAAGAAAAAGAAGCTTTGAGAGTCCGGTCCACCCTGTGGTACTGGCTACAATCATTTGTACAACGTGGTTGGGAGCAAGAGGATTTAGCGGTCCGTGGCGCTCCGTCCCAGCAGATTTGATGTCTGATAATTTCCCACGACTGAGGATTTCGTGAACGAAGGAAATGTCGCCCTCCCTATAAAATTGCCTTGAGGGATGCCTATGAAGATGATCGTGTTTCTCGCAGAGGAACCTACATGAAAAATGACCGATGGAGAACATAACCATAACCCCCTCCAGTGCCCTCATTAACCTGAAGCCACCTTGGCCTCCTTCACCTCAACTGGCACCTCAACCGGCTTGACCTCCTTCACCTCGCTCGCCGCACTTGAGCTAAGCACGCTCGCGATACTGATGGTTGGGACAACGTTCGGCGTAGGGCTCACACCTGGGCTTGTGCCAGGGCTCATCCCATTAAACAGCGGCGACCCCTCCGGTTCGCCAAACGGCGGCGAATATGGCGTGGTCGGAGCACTGGTCGCTGATGGCCGCGCCGTTGTCGGTGTCTTGAGCACTGAAAACCTGGGTGCTTTCGCGGAGAGGAAGGACCCAATTCCAGCGCTCCATGCGGAGAGCGGCTTCAAGGCGCTCGGGGTACTATTCCCTGCCGCGTCTGGGCTTGTAGGCGAGCTAGACGGCAGGGAGTTGGTGCTCGTTAATGAGAACGGGCGGAGGTTCGGTCTCGGGTTGTAATCCGAAGGGCGAGCCGTCCGAGGTGTGTCTTCCAGATCGGCTTTAGAGACTTCGACAGGTGGTGTGCTGGCTCGCGAGGATTTGCTTAGGGCATCCTCATTGCCCAGCGGGGGAGATGAGGCACTGCCTGCACTACGTTGGGCCCATCTTTCCTTGACACCTTCCACAGCCTTGAAAAAGCTGGTCGATCCCACCGTTAAGGTTCTCGTGACGGCTTCGCGTGCAGGCGCTAGTTGCTGCTCGAGCTTCAGGTCTTGAATACCCTCTTGTAAACGCAGTCCGATGTCAGCCACCACCGACGGTTTCTCGGTACAAGGATGCCTACACAAATCATGCAGGTGAATATCTGATCCTTGAAGATACGAACGACATACCGAGGCTCAACGATATCGAACAAGAGAGGGTCAGTAATCCTTTCCCAAACCTCATACGTATTCGTCTTCCTAAACTCCGAAACCCAGAGTGGGTTGAAATCTTCGATGGAGTTCGGATGGCCGCCTAGAGGATCAGAGGTCAATAGAATTCATGAAGGCATTGACAAAAAACAGGCTTACCAGTGCCACCCGTGATCATCACCCCTCCATTTTCGCCCTTATTGACGAAATCCTTATATTTCACAGATGACAGTGCAGCTGAGATATACTCCTCGAACTAGAGGAAAAAGAATCAGGTTACCAGAGTCAGTCTTCGAATAAATGACATGCCTTAGTCCGTAGATAGTCGTCGCTGCCTTTAAATCTATGCAGGAGAGCAATATGAGCAAGGCCTTCAGTCGGGACAATCAGTATACGCACTGTTGCATCCCCGTCGTCTGCGTCGTATCGCCATCGTGCCAATTCTCGTTGACATCTGTGAGGATGTCGTCCATCCATTTCCTATCAGCGGCCGTCAGTCCAGCGGAGCGTTCCAATGCGGGATCGCGGAACTCGAGGATGCCAGTGTCGGTCTGTGGCGGCGGGAATGAGGTCCAAACAAGACCCGAAGTCATGCAGGAACGTACATGGACAAGAAGGTCGATCTCGCTCTGATGCGTGATGATAGAATTCGTGCAACCGCAGAGCCAGCTGGGTGTCCCTTTGATCATGTCGAGTTGTTGGAGTGGGAGGTAGGGTTGAAAGAGAGCGTCCTGGAGATAATATTAGGACCCTACGATGTTCAGCACTAGAGGAAGAGAATACCTTGCCAAAAATATCAAGAGGCAGTCCCATGAACGCCATCATGCTCTTATGATCTGACGTCTTGAGTGAAGTAGGTCGTGAAAGTGTAGGCGCCCGTGTAGCCAAAGGAGGGGAACCACAATCGTCCAGGGTTTGTAATAGACCTGAAAGAAGTTCAGTATCGCGGGTGCACCTGCTTCATAATTCGAACGGACCTGGGAGTAGAGAAACGAGGGAATACTGGAATGTGCAAAGTTTCTCAACAGGGTAACCAAAGAACATTATCTAGAAACCGCAACAATGTGCATGAGAACTCCGCGGAAAAACTATGGGTTTAAAAACTTACTCGTTTTTGCAGCATCAGCGCTTTCACGAGCGTAAGCGTTCTTTGTCTGAACGTATGAACCAATTCCCGCCTGGCAATAACGTCAAGACAACTTCAGACCCCAAGGGCAAGGCCGCGCTCACAAGCTCGTCCCTATCGATCATTGAGTAGGGAGTGACGGTGATATAACCAATGACGTACCCATGTAAAGGCCACTCTCCGTGAGTTGCGTCCGTAATGAACGCTCTAGCGAAGCACCGAAGTCATCCAGGATACTCGAATCACGGAAGTCTCTGCCGAAGAAGCATTAATTTGACGTTCATCCCGGTTCATAACGAGCCACCTTTGATGAAATAATGCCGTTGTTACGACACGCAATTTGTCTCTATCACATCATCAGCCATGCATTAGGGGACCAGGACGATCGAGGACTGACCGTATCGGCCCAAACACAGGCTTCGACGCGAGCACGACGACGGCCTTTTGCACGGTAGAGCGAGTGACATCGGGACCTTTGACGAGAAGTTCTGAAGCCGGTATCTGCTGGTTACACCTGTGCAGCGGATGATGATGTGAACAGAGGGTCTCGACCGCGTATAACAGTCGGAACGCACGAAATGCCGAATATCGTCGTCGGGTTCAGCCCAGGTTTCACAAGGTGGAAATAGGAATAGTCCTCCACGCTCTTTGAGAAGAGAAGGGGAAAGGTGAGAACGGAACACGTATCGAGTCACGCGAACGCATACCAAGTGTGCACCGTCAGGGAGAGCAAGGAATGGGAGGATTTTCGCGACCTCCTCGTCTTCAAATACGTCTCCGGCGGAGTACTCGATTCTGGGCCCGACCTATTGCTCCTTTCCATCAAACTTACAGAGGAAGAGGATGAATGGACGTGATGGGGACGTACGAGATGATTGAAGTCCACTAACGCCACACCTAACACCAAAGGGTCGCTTGTTGGAGTGATGAGCAGTGATTCAGGACGTGCTTTCCTTGACGAGGTGGAAGCAAAAGATGATATTGACACAGCGTCGTCGCGACTCGGGGGCATAGGAGGATACGAAACAGGCCTGAAGTCTGGCTGTGGTATCGAGGCGACGACTGGTGGAGGTAGTGAAGGCGTGGCCATTGTTTCTTCGACCGCCTTTGTAACAGACGACGTCTCGCTCTCCTCTGGTGTCAGAACTACAAAACTCCCTGACTGTCTGTTCGAAATTGAGCTCGAACTTTGTGAGGCGAACGATTGACGAGGATCGCTGCTGGCCGTTGAGTTCCGTTGAGACCTCGGCGGCGAAGAAAGGGAGATCGAGAGCTGAGAGGCTGTATCAGCATCTTCGTCATCAGATTCTCGCACTGAATTTCGTTGCTTCAGGGTTGTCGGAGAAGGGGGAGGTAGAAGAGTGGAGGCCATGAATGTCGTCGTCGAAGAGAAATTTAGATCGTTTGCATGGCCATGGCGATCAGCATCCTCAATAAAGCCTCGATATTATGTAATTCTCTAGGACTACGCAAAACAAACGAAAATTTAATCTTTCCCTCTCTTCTTTTCTCCTAGCACGTTTTCAATACACACAGAATGCTGGAAATATGCTTTATTCAGTCAATCAGTCCGCCAGAAGATCCGAGTATCCTTCTTCCAGGTGTCTGCGACAATCCGTCGATACCCGATGCGGTAGTTACCGCATTTAGAACGGTCGCAACAGGCATTCTCCGTCCCGCAGCCTCCTTGCACCTCGCCGTGACCCTCGGCAATGATATCTCCTTGCACCACACAAACTTGACCCACCTCTTACCTTTATACCACCATGTCTGTCCTTATTCTCGGCTGGCTGCTCTGCTCAGTCGCAGCGTTCCCTCTCGATGGTCCCAGTGCTGCGCAAAGCGTGCTTACCAATGACGTAACCCGCGTAGAGGCGGCGACGAACGCCGCCCTCCTTGGTTGGCACGATCCACGGCTGAATGGTGGCCGTTTCTTGGATGTGAGCACGATTTTTTCTCCGCAAAGGCGAACCTTCAATAACGCACCTTGTAGTTCGTCGGCAAGAAATATGGCGAGCCGCTCAACATCGTTATCTCTGGCCTGTCCGACCCATACGTCCTCACCGACGATGGGTTCCACAACTACGCCAAGTAGATTGCTACCCTCGCCTGGTGTCCTGCATTCGTGCTTAACTCGTTTCAAGGTCTCTGGGATATTCGGAGGAATGCCTGGGGCTCCATTACGGCAATCTCCATGACGCGGACCTCGGAGATGGCGATGGACGGAAGACTGAGCTCTTTCTTGCTCGACAGTATTATTTCCCTGTCTGGGGAACATGTTGGGAGAGCCTCGCAGGTCGGTTCTCCTGCTACTCCGACGGTATTTGCCCACTCACCTCGCTTACAGGTGGGCACCACTTCAGGGCCTGGAAACAGAATGGAACTCTTGCGAACAGTGGCGCATGGTTTATCGGGTGGGTGATCACTATTTACGCTCTCCCTGTCGATCTGTCAACTGATGTCTACACCTGTTGTGCGTATTGCAGAGCCTCGAAGGAAGAGAACTCAAGTAGACGGCATAAGATAGTCCCCAACGGATACAACTTAGGACGTGACTGGCTCGTAGATCGAGCCATTGAAGGCGGTCGGTGGAAAGGGATGTGGTGGAAGGCAGATGTCGAATGGCGTGACGATCTCCTTGAGAAAGGGAAGAGAGGTGCGTCTATTTGATCTCTCCTCTTCACCATTCTTCATGTCTAACTGAATTCATCTTCGAAGGAGTGAACCACGGCATCGAACAAGATGGTCGCGTCGCCATTCTGACCGTCCACAGACTCTGATACAGATCCCTATCTCTCTTTCTTTTTTTCTCCGTTCACTTGTATTATACTCCGTAGATCTCTGTCTTTGGCAGTCTCATCATCAGCCTCGCTATTTATCTTGCTGACTCTGGATTCTTGATCACGTATGGCTACCCACGAATTTCATGATTCCTTCACTCTTTTCAGCCTATGTATATACTTATTGTGTGTATAATTTAGTCTAAATTCCAATAGACCGTTCATGGCTTTTGGGTTTCCTGGTGTCTGTGCGAGATAAGATAAGATCGCATTTACGTAAACAGGACAACGGCAGCGGTTTCAACATTTCCTCTTGCCTATCTACTTAGCCCAAGGCCGGGTGCTTATCCTTACCTCTGAGTGACGGCTCCTCTTTGTCAAACTATTGCATGAACGAAACTTGAGCTAAGCGAATATTAATGCATAGACACCGCCCGGTGTTTGTGGCCGTTTAACTGGAGAGAGCGCCCGCCCACCAGAACAAATAGAAGAAGGCAAACAAGTTGAAAACCGGACCTCCACGCCCAACTTCCTCCACCACATCATCCTGTCTTACAAGATGAAAAACATATCTCCCGCCAACTTTCGTGCTCCACAAGAGGTTGTCGACCGCATTGTCGATGACTGTTATGAACCAAAAGAGCAACAAGAATCGATCCAAATTATGTCAAACATTTCTCTAGTCTGTCGAGCATTTCGCCGAAGAGCGCAGAAGTACATATTCTCCAGAGTGGAGTTTGACGCCAGTCCTGCCAAAATATTTGCTCTAGCAGGTCTTCTAGAAATCATCCAGCAAACACCCGAGATTGGCGCGAGCATCTCCGAGATACACCTTGTATTGGACGATCACGATCGTCCCTGGTTCGCAACTCACCGGAAGTTCATTCAGGTCATGGCACTCACCAACGTCAAGAGTCTCCGTCTATCTTCGGATTCAGGTTTACCCGAACCCCCTATCCACGAAACCGCTGCCCTCGAAACCAAATTCTGGAAACCTTACATCGCCCCGTCCCTTACTTCTCTCACCCTAACACGAATATTCGACTTTCCTGTCGGACTCCTCTCTCAATGCACAAACCTGTCTGATCTTACCTTCAGCATGGTTGGTCTGTATCGAGGGAAGCAAAGGACCAAGAACATCCCCCCTCATCCTTTCCCGCAGATCCGAAAACTAAAATACGAACTTCAAGATACCGCTCTCGATTTTTTACTTCAAGAACAAACTCCAGATGGTCGGCAATACCTGGACTTCTCTAGGCTTCGATCTCTACATGTAGAGGTTTCGTCCGTTGAAAAAATAAAATCCACACGCGAACTTATTGAAATTTCGGGAGGTTATTTGGAAGAATTGCATATCAACGAAGTCGACTGGTCAGAAGGCCATGGTACGATCTTTCCCTCCCTGACTATTCTCAGTCACTTATTTTCTCTTTCGCGAAGAATATTTTTCCCTTCAAAATCTTTTGGACCTCCGGAGAGCAGTGGCTTTGCAACAACTAAAGGTGGACGTTGTGTTCGCCGGACCCACGAGAGGAGAAGATTCATTACTTGCCCTATCCAGCATTCTCCAAACAATACCGCACGATAACCACATGAGAAGGCTATTCATCAACTGTTATATTGGATATGACGGCTGGGCAACGCTGGAGAGCTGCTTCAACGCCAAATGGTCCGCCCTCGACGCGGACCTCCTTCATTTATCAAATAGCAAGTCACTACACGTCGATCTGTTCTTAATTTACCAGCCGGACGAGGAGACGCTAGACGAGCACAGGGGCGAGGAACGGATGACAGAAAAACTTCGGGAGCTTTACGACCCTTTACTCGACAAGGTATTGGAACGAGGACTCCTGCTAGCTCGTCGCAGTAGCCTGATTACTATTACGTTTAGTCACAGCATAGATTTCACTATTATTAATCAGTAGAACAGTGATAGATTATCAAAAACATTTAATGCTCTCCTTTAGCGCTGGGGTTTAGATCTCCGGGCCGGTGGACTTGTTTATTTGTCCTTGATTCTTTCCAGGGTCGTCCAAAAAATTTGGAGTCGAACCGTGTTGAACCCACCCCGAAACCCACCCCGAAATGCATGCGCTGAGTATTCTTCTGTCTCCGGCAGCTTGCACCGGACATCTCTCCTTACAAGACCTCCCGCTCCCCGCTCTCTGGATGCGTCATCTCCAAAGACTCCGTCCCAATCTCCAAGGTATTCTACTCCTACCACCCCGGGCTGCTCTACTAGAGCAGAAGCCGGCAAGCTCGTAGTCGACCAGGACACCAACGCCACTTCCTCTTCCTCGTGACGGTCGATGGCGAAGACTACTTCCTGGGCCATGGGCTGATGTCAATAAACTTCTGCTACGTGGCCCTTTCCCCCGTTGCTTCCGTGATCCCTCCTAGTATGCCGCGACCCTGGTGGACAGCTTTCCGTACACTGACCTGACAAGGAAGATGCTCGTGGATTTCGTATCCCACACCTTCCATACCACAGTGATTCAAACTCGGTTTGCATACAAACCTCCCTGAGCTTCCTCCGATGGCCAACTGGATCGATATCTCAGGGATGACCAAGAGGGATCGAACAGCGTCAAGTAAATACACAAGAAGGCGTTGACAAGGCTCATAGTTTAACAATCTCCTGCGAAGAAGAATTCTACGTTGTGTAAGAGAGTGAAAGTAATCCGTGGATGATGCGTTGTGAGGCCGAGTTTATTCTCCACTGCTGCAGCGAAGATAGATTCACAGCGCTGAACAACCCTTTTTTGTGCCCCAGTGTGACCTGGGTCTTCCTTTCCTTCTTCTGATCCACAATCGTCCCAATCGACCTGCTGGCCGTCACCATCATTCTCAACGGCATTCGCGTCGGCATTTTCGCTGTCCTGTCCTTGGTCGTTTATGGGTGAGCTTTCTGGATCCATCGCCCGATACACCAATTCAAGCGAAACCTGGAGCGCGTCCACACGTGTTGAAGCGAATTCGTAGTATCTCTTTATCAAGTGCCGCCCAATTGACGTCCAGGTACTTCTCCAGGGATTCATTTTCCTCGCCCTCCTGCAACGGGAAGTCGTCGTACCCGATGAAGCAGATAATTTCCAATCTTCGCAGGTTGTTTTGGGTGGGAAGCGACCTTAAAATGGCTGCCAGATCGGAAATGACATCTTCCTCCCTGCGTGGCGCTGCGAATACCAGACCGATTTCGAAGACACGAAGGGAGTTCAGCGCGTGTAAATTGAGGAGAACTCTAAGCGAATGGTATCCTGGATATTAGGTGAATCAATAACTTGAACCAATGATTTCCGATCGACAACTTACGTAGTACTTCAGTATTGGAAATGTATATTTCTTCAAGGCACCTTGAGTTGTTCACCAGTTCTTGGGCTTCTCGCATCTCTTTCCAATTGTTTAAAGTTGTCTTCAAGGTGCGTAGCTGGGAGAAATCGACACAGGGAGGGTGGACGGATGTACCGCGCAAAAAACTTGCTATGGCTGGGTTCGGAAAAGCGCATTGCAATGCTTGGATGCTGGGATAATTCTCTGTTTTGACAGAAATCGTGGATGCAGTTGAGATGCGAGATAATGTCAAGTCCCTCAAATTGACGCAACTGGCAAAAAATGACAAGGGAATGTCATTTATGCAAGAGAGAGAGAGAGAAGTGACGTTCGCGGCGATGTATGGCTTCCAAAATATTTCCTCAATCTTGGAAACATCTTGCAGCGATGGTTGACCAGTATAAGAGGAGAGGGCTAGTCGTTTGAAGCTATACCCTGGCTGATAAACGCACGCCATGATGCTGAGAAAACCCTGGTCCTCGACAAACCAGGCCCTGCCCTCCTCATCGAGTTCCAATTCTAATTCGAAGACATGGCAAACCACACAGGGGATCTCTTCAAAGATATCAAGCAAAAGGCTCGTTCTTTGTCCGTCATTCTTGTCGATTTTGATCGTAGAGTAGGCGTGTTTTTGGTAGCGCGACCGGAACGAGCGACAGACGGATGAACATGCTCGCATCTGGATGAGGCTACCAACACGAGCATCGGGATCATAGCAGTAATCCAGGATTTCGTCGAATATATCTTGAACGAGGACAGGGTGGGGACCCTTGCGCGAAGCGGATGTCATGTTAAATAAATGAGTCGGATGAAAGGGGGAGGAAGGACAGAAGGTGACAAAGATCCTGCGCAAATCGAAGATGTTCATGGTCAGAAAGTCAGTTTAGTACGCATGCCTCGACACCTTACAGGCCGCTCAATGTCAGATCAATTGATGTAGAGGCCCACATTCGAACGGAGATTGTGCGCGTCTCAAGAGGGAGTCCGTTCCACTTTGATCTCTTCCTTGTGTCAGCCTCGTCCCTCGATGAAACTATCTGGGCGGAATATGGCTACCACATGGAAGAAAATGTTTGTGATAGACATGACCCTGTCCCATACCTATACATATTGTTGTACCTACTTCTGTGATTACTCCCAGTTGTCGACCCCGTACCAAAAAACTACCTCGTGATAAAATGTAAAGGTGATAAGGGGATGGTTCTCCGTCATGGCGAGCTTTTCCCTCACCCTCTCGAAAATAGGTTCGCAACACTTGATAGCCTCTCGTTTAGCGAGAGCGTGGTTTTCGACGGCCTGCCCTGTCTCTGATTTGTGGAATTCATCGCTGGTTTGTTCATTGCTTTCATCCGTATTAACTGCCAAGTTTGTAGGTATTGAACCTTCATCTTCTCCCTCCTCGTCACTGCTTATACCTCCCTCGCTGCGATCATCTGGATTTATGGGTACAAGGTGTGTCACCTTGAGGGATACCTGTAATGGTTGGTCCGCAACAACTTGTGTGATTGTGTTATTGAGCCTGCTCCAAGCCACATCAGGTAGTTCTCCGGCGCATCAGGGTAGTCCTCCTCCCCGAAGCGACATGTAATATTCAGAATTTCCAACCTGTTTTGCTTCGGGAGCGTTCCCAGAATTTCAGCAAGATCCGAAACGGCATCTCCTTTCCTTGAAGGGTGAGGGCATATGACGTCCACTGCGAGCACCCGTAAGAAATGAAGGTTTTTAAGATCGAGCATATTCTTGACGCAGTAATATACTATGACGCCACGGAGAACGTGATGATTATTTTCTGGGCTTTGGGATGAAGGCGGAAAGGACTCACTCGGTTCTGATAAGTCGCTACTAAGGTAAAGTTCTTCGAGGTTATGAGACGCGACCTCGATGATTGCCTGTGCATCCGCCATCATACCAGATGTGCCCACCAGTGTATTCAGAATACGTAGGGTGGTGAAATCGACATAGGGAACAGATTTGGGCGAGGGTGTGTCCACTAATCTCCGGATACCCTGGGCAGGGAAGCCGCATCGCAGGGATTGAATGCTGGGGTATCGGCCGGAATCGTGAAGGGGAAGGTCATTCGGTTCGAGGGGGGCGATCGAAGCTTCCCGAATATCCAATTCGGTTAAGTTGATACAACACGCCAGCAGTCGTACAGGAAAATGTGAAATGAGGGACAAGGAGAGCGAGGAGATGTCTGGTGCAATGAACGGCTTCCAGAACATCTCTTCCATCTCGGGCACATCTTGCAGGGTGAGTTGCACCGCACCGGATGTTGAAATGACAAGGTGTTTGAAACTCCAGTTGGAATCATGAACTGAGCACATGATGGAGAAGAACCTTTGGTTCGCAATGAACCACGGCCTTCCCCAGGGATCTAAATCCAACCTCAATTCATAGAAGTAGAGAGCGATGTCTGGGTTCTTGGCTAGAAGATTTGCCAATTCTTCCACCCTTTTCTTGTCTTTTGGAGTGCTAGAAAATTGAATAGATGAATAAACGTGTTTTCTATACCTGTCTCTGAACATAAGGCATGTTTGTGAGCTTGCTGCCAGTGCCTTCGGACCACCTGCGACATGTTCTGAATCATATAACCCGTCGAGGATTTTTTCTAGGATTTCTTGAGGGAAATGAGGGGATTGAGTGGAAGTCGTGGCATACATCTTCTGTAGTCGGTCAAGGGGGAAAAGTGAGGGAAGAAGGGAAAAGGCAATTGTCCTGTTGTCTACCTGATCGTGCCGCGGAAGTTTCGCCGACAATATCCCACACTACCCACGACCCACATAGTGCCCAGGATCAACCAATCACCGCCCAATGTCAAGAACCTCGCTGTATCCACACTCTTGTGATTATCGAGTCGCTGACCGACGAACAGATGCACGAAGTTGTGGGGTTCCATAATGTTGCAGTGGGCGCCTAATCTGATGGATTTCCCCTTTTGTTAGCAATGGCCGCCGAGTCCCGGCGATATGACAAGAAACGAGAGGCATGTGAGGCTACTGAGGAACTTGAATTTGAAGTTCGGTCCGAAAATAAAGTTGGGCGTCAACCATCTGGCAGTGCTGGGCCAGCATGGATTGCGTAACGTATGCTCTCAACCACAGTTAGACCAAAACAATATATTTCAGGTGGTATCCCTACGAGACGGCGTGACGACACACGTTTGGTAAGTCGTCGTGTGTTTTATGTGTGCGGGCGTTGATCCAGATGTCGAAGATACTTTGGGACTAACTTCATCGCTCATTTGACAGTGGGCGCCGGGCGGGGTCGAACGGGTTGCCATTGCAGATAAATATCCAGGTTAGCTTGGAATGGCACTGGCAGCCCCAGAAGTCGCCGGTCGTTTTCAACATTCAGTATGCATTCATTATAACTTTACCGTTTTGAGGTCTGATTCTCTGCATGTGGTTATAGACGTTTGAGCACAGAGCGCTGCTGGCCAGCAAAATGCAATTCAATCTTCTCAATGTTTTCGCATTACTTTTCGGCCTATTTCATGGTGGGTGCAACATAGTCCATACCCATTGAAGCTCGTAATAACAGGTTTTTTTTGAGAAGTTCTGTTGTGCGCTCCTTTACCTTTGGATGCGGTAATTCCGGACCATTTGAATACGGAAGACAATGCAGAAGACATTCAAAGGATTGCCTCCGCCTCGAACGACGGTATGTTTCATAAAGCTGCATTCAGGATCATATAATATAATCCCAGTAGCTCACGCTCGGATTTTAAAAATGAAAACTGTACTCACTACGAGACCATGAAAATGCGGAGAACAAGAAACACATAGAAAACGCGTTTGGAAAGGACGCTAATATCCCTCAGATCCTCGCAACCGTGGAAGGCATGGAGAATTTTCATATGGGGATAATCCAGCACCGCGGCAAACCAAAGGACCCATCGGTAAATGCCATTGCAAGCACCCGATGGGGACGTCCAGGGGAACCACACGGCGAGAAGCAGCTGAAGGGCATTGCACTTTATGATAAGTTTCATGAGCGTACTCATGACCAGCGAGTCGGGACACTCATTCATGAAGCATCTCACGCCGTTGGAGGAACAAGGGACTATTTTACCCCGGACAAGTCAGGCAAGATGAGGGCAATTAGCGGGAAGGAGACCGCTAAGCTTGGGCCGGGACCTGGAAAGCTCTGTGGCTGTGAGTTTTATCTTCGGGACTTCAGACCATCTACATCGACCTTCTCACGTCTGGTCTGTCTGCATAATCTCTCTCTTTAGACCTTGGCAAGAATTTCGAAGAACTCAGGGACAAAGCGTCCAGTGTTATGCATCTAAATGCGGACTCGTACAAATTGTTCGCCTACACGATCCACCACGGCACTATTACTACGAAAATCCCGGCTAAGCCTCAAGCACCCCCGGCGGGCCCTTCAGTACCCGCTCCATCGCGGTCGGTTACGCCCCCACTGCGTCCAGGTTCGCCACGAACTCGTTCGTCTTCCCCAGCACACCCAGTGACCGCCCCAGCACGGCTTCGGACCCCATCGCATTCGGGGACAATACCAAGCAGCCCAAGACTACGTTCAGGTAGCCCGCGAATGCGTTCGTCTTCTCCCCCAGCACGGCCGCGTACCAAATCACTTCGGGGGAAAAGAGTGGCAGGTAATTCCGGAGCAGGTCCAGGTGCTCCACGGACGCGCTCTGCTTCTCTTCCGGCACGATCAGGTAGTTCTTCACGGCGTCCTTCAGTGCGTCCTCCAGCACGCTCTACTAGTCTTCCAGCACGGTCACGTAGTCGCGCTGGGCGTTCTCGTCCTGTCCCACCCGACCGACAGCACAAGTAATTATAATCTTTGAAAATACAAGCGTAAATCAGTGAATAAACCGTTACATGCAGTTGATTTTTTTTTACGTGCTCTGATATTCTATGCGTTGATTTTTTGTGGCAGTAGTATGGCGGGAACGACATTCGAGTTGTTGAGAGTGGATTGAAAGTACGCAAAGTTTAGCGCGCGGCTTCGCCGGCCCGTGGGCGTATCTGTTTGTCCTTGATTCGTTCCAGGGCCGCACGGAAATTTGAGTCGAGGAGTCGAAACCGCCAGGACGTCAGCGATCTCGTTGAAACCCACCCCGAAATCATGCCGGCAACAACGAACAAGCCCTCTAAAAAACCTAATACCCAACCGGCCTCGAAGCCGGAGAAAGGCAAGGGCAAAGCGAGAGTCGACAATCCCAAGGCCAAGTCGAAAGCTGTCGAAAAGGCACCCTCACCCATCCCAGTTGCACTCCCCGTGGAATCGGATTCAGACGAGAGCGAGGAGGACGAAGAGGATGACGGTGTTGATGAGGAGGGCATGGCGCGGCTGATGAAGCTGCTAGGTGAAGATGGGTTGGACGAGGTTGGGCAGGCACAGTTGGAGGCGTTGGCTGGGGAGTCGGACAGCGAAGAGCAAGATGACGACGAGGAAGGGAGTGAGGGCGGCTCGGATGAGGAGGAGGACATTGTGCTTGAGGGTGAAAGCGATGACGAGGAAGATGAAGGGTCTGACGAAGAACAAGAGGAGGACGAAGCCGAGGAAGCCGCCATTCCTTTGGACGAAGCCGAATGGGTGGATGAGGATGCTGTACCCCGGCAAAAGATTGAAATCGATAACAAGGTACGTTTTCTCCTTATTTCTCTTGGGTGTGGAATTCAACGTTCGTAGGTTGCTCTTGACCAAATCCGCGAAACTATTAAACTGGACCCATCATTACCCTGGACAGAAACCCTCGTTCTGTCGTATCCCCACACAATAGACGTCGACGTCAACGACGATCTAAACCGCGAACTTGCGTTGTGAGTTCCCAGTTACGCTCTATATCCTTCCTATTTTCTAACTAATTCTGTGCACCAGCTACAAACAAGCTCTCCATGGCGCCAATGAGGCCCGTGCCCTCGCAGCAAAACACAACTTCCCCTTCACCCGCCCCTCTGACTACTTCGCCGAGATGGTCAAGAGCGACGCCCATATGGAGCGCATTCGCATGCGCCTCTTGAACGAGGCTTCCGGAATCAAGAAGAGCGAAGATAAGCGCAAGGAACGGGAGGGCAAGAAGTTCGGTAAGCAGGTGCAGATCGAGAAGCTGAAGGAGCGCGAAAAGTCCAAGAAAGAGATGGAGGAGAGGTTGAAGGGTCTGAAACGAAGTGCGTTCATTCCGTGGACTTAGTCGTCACCCTGCCTTATGTTGACTGCTTGTTCACAGAACGAAAAAACGTGTTGGATAACCCCAAAACAAACGACGACGAATTCGACATTGCTGTTGAGGACGCCATCTCGGACCGACCCGCGAAGCGGGGCAAGACTTCTACCGGTAAAGGTATTCCTCGTTCAGCGCGGGACAAGAAGTATGGCTTTGGTGGGGCGGGCCGACGTTCGAAACAGAACACAAGAGAGTCAACGGATAATTTCGACTCGAGTCCTGGAGGCCGAAAGGGAAAATCTGGTTTCAAAGGCGCTGGGGGGAAGAGCTCGAAGGGTAGACATGGAAGCAAAAGGCTTGGAAAGTCGAGGAGAATGGCTTCACGCGGAAAGACTTGATGTCCCCTTCCATTTGTCCGTTCTTCATTGCAGAACAAATATGCTGAATAGAACGAGGCACAGTCGAGACTCCTGACCCATACTGTTGAAACTTCAGTACAGCAGAAAGTAATGCTGAAATTCGGCACGGATTCATTGAAATACGAGAACATCTTTGGGAAGGTACAAGTACAGACCGTCCGACGGCAGAAAATGGAAGTGACGGTCTGCTCGGTCTTCAGTTGGTAGTGGTCATAGTAAACGGAGTGTTCGCTAGTCCAACGCGATTGTTGGTCGTGTCGTACACGCTATAGAAGCGCTGGAGGAATCCAAAGCCATCTGTCGGGGACGATTAGCTAGTTGTTCCAAAATGGAGATGATGAAAACGCACTAATGAAGTCGAGGCCGGAACCACTGTTAGTGCCCATGTCAGCTACGATGAGGTATATTTTACCGGCTTCGCCTCCCAACATGTCATTGAGAGCTCGCGGCCAGATTTGCGCGTCCGGAATAAGCTCATAAGCCGTCTACGCAGAATAGACAGATCAGCATACCGGTGTAAAATGAATAGAAGCTACTGACAGAACCAATTTCGAAGAACAAACTCTCCATCTTCCCAAACTGTTCTTCCGTGACGGTGAGAAGCCCAGTAGTGCTATGAGTCGCACAGACGTGAATATAAGTAGCCAAAACCGAAAGACGCGTGTGGGACTCACCGATCCATCGTCGCACCGGTGGCTTTCTCGTAAGCTTTGAAAGCATCGCTGGCAATCATCAAGAGAGTGGTTCCTGTGTCGACAATTCCTGCCCGAGATTTCAAAATAGGCATGTTCTTTCCGTAGGAGATAGTCTGGTCGATTCCCCAATAATGACTTGCGGGAGATGTTTTGGTGATTGGAACATAGTTCACGTCTTTAGAAAAGCTACGGAAGTTCGTCAGGATATAAGCAATTGAGCTTGCGACTCGACGTACCGAGACAAGTCAGTGCCTCCAAAAGTGAGTTCTCCATTAATGGAACCATTTGCGGTAGTGGGGTTGAAGGAGATTCCAATGGATTCGGTGGGGATCATCTTCTGTTGGAACAGGTTGTCCGTAACAGTTGGCACGGCCCTCGTGTTGTGAACGGTTCCTGGATGAAGCTCGTAAGCTAATGAGCACAGAAGTCGGCGAGGGACATAATTACCGACGGTCAATCCAACGGGCCCAATTCTGGTGATTATGTTGAGTAGAGTTCGTCTCAAGAAAGGGTATCCCCTACCCAAGAATGCCGTCGACGCCTTGAAATCCCGTGGCCTTCGAAGCTACACCAACGGATTGCTTTTGAATTACCAGGTTGCCTCCCAAAGAGATTTGGTCTTCGTCTGAGGGTGATAAACCAAGCTTCAGTTGAATGAATAATCCATTCTTAACAAGAGAAGGCGCATACACTCGGTCCCAGTGAAGGAGCCAGATCCATAAGTGACATTCTTAGATGAATTTCAGTCCTGTACGACGAACTCGACGAGCTAACGCTTACCACTTGATTTCGCGTGCTGTGGCTGGTGCTTGTGGGCTTGTATTCCTTGTCGGCGCCAACCCAGCTGACGCTTGCGTTAGCAACCATTCGTCCATGACATCACGATTCAGAGACACACGTATTAGAGCTACCTATGCGCAGATATTCGCATTAGAAGTGGTTTTCAGGAAGAGGGAGGACAAGGTACTCACCAGTATCTATCAGGAGAGTGTACTGAGTCGGAGGGTTACCGACTCCGATAGGCATGGTGTAAGTGACACCTATGGGGGTAAATCTTAAAATGTATGCGCATATACGAGGACAAAATCCATCATACCTGCGTCGGTGACATCGATCGAGTTGCTCGCTGCCTCAGGATCACCAGCCGGGGGAACAGGCGCGGGCTGAGGTGGCTCAGTGGACGGAGCCGACGACCCTCCATGGTGGTGGTGGAAAATGTCCCGTATGCTGAGATTAGCCATAGGTCCATGAGGGTGGAGACCCTTCATGAGCTTCTGGGCGCGAGCCCTGTCATGAGCGAGGATGTGCTTCGCACCATGCTTAATGCGAGCCTCGAAGGGGAGTGTGTGGTGAGCAGCGTGAGCCATGAGTGCGTAAGATTCTGAGAGGGAAGAGGTGGAGATGGTGGTGGTTAGAGAAAGAGAGAAACGAAATGTGAAGGGGATTTATAGGAATTCCGGAGGTTATTTGTTCGCCCAAATACCTGGGCGGCAGGCTTCACTTCAACTGCCAGAGAATAACAGTGACGTTCGCCCACTCTGTCAGGTCTATTTTTAGTCTAACGATAGACTGAAGGACGGCGAAAGGGATAGGCAGGTCCTGATAACCAGAAATAGGCCGCAATGTGGACAAAAGACTTGAGAGAGACCAGGTATATACGGTGGCAGGGTACCTGCGACCTAGCGTGGTTCTTGTGATACAGGAATAGGCTCCCCCTTCTACAAGACCGCACTAACCCGAGACTACGGCCTGACAGAAAGAGGTTGTCGCGATAGGTAGTACCAGGACACGGGAGGTCCGCGTATCCGCACTAGACTGGCTTCAGCTAGACAAAAGGAACATAGAGTAGTAAAATCAGAGATTAAATGGGTCTCTGACGCTCCACGCAACTGACAATGTTTGAAGACTGCGAGAGCCATGACCAGCATCTAATTGCTACGACTCGGAGGTCGCAAGATAGACAACACGGAACAAGAACTTTTGGTTTCCCGAGAGAGAGCAGACGCCAGACAGAGAGAGGATGACTGTGGCGGGCCCTGTCGTAGACCACGATCTTCTGAAGACATTGAGGATACTATAGTCTGCATACTTGACACTAAATGTCGAGCCATTTCCCGATAATTCGTAGTCACAGTCAAGAGACATATGAAGAAGAAAGCTTAGGCGATTCACAGTAGATCTATGCTGAACATATGTTGAACGTTCAAGCTCAAGTCAGGTTGATTTCATCATGCTGGCGAACTTCGTTGATGCAATCGTGGGAATAAGATGCGTGGGAAGGTGATCTGAACTGCGGAATCTCCCTGAACAGCCTTACCTTTCTGTACCATTTGGCGGCGCTCACTGTCGCCAGTCGGCGATCTTCGTCGTTCAATGGGATTTTCATATTCGCCCCTATGACAAAATAGACCACCGATATGCGTTTCTGCAGATCCTCGCGTCTCCATCAATCAGCCACGAACTTGATGCCTGGAAGAACGAACTGTATGGATCGGTTCCTGTGCAGACACCATGGAACCTCGCGATTCGCGAACCTGAATTTTGCTGCGGGCACTCGCGATGCCGAGTATATACCTCGACGTTGCCTCTTTGCGTGGGTTGCGACGTCTTGTCCCCTCCCACCATGCCGACTACGCTCCCCGCCAATACGCAGGCTCTCATGGACGACATCGCGGTCGTCCCCATCTACTCTTTCTTTGGAGGGATATTCGCTGCAACGACATACGGTGTCGCGTTCGTCCTGTTCGTCGTCTGCTTTCGGCTCCTCCTCAGGAGTACTAAACGAACCAAACATATGCGCCGTTTGCTCCTCGTCTACGTATCGTTCATGTTCTCTCTTTCAACACTCGCGCTGCTGTGTGGAATTGTGCTCCACATCAACACTACTCGGCAGAGTTTTTGGCTCTTTCTCGAGAGTGCTGGAGTAATTGAGGAATACCGTTTCGTTCGGCGCCTTGTTCCAGAGAAACTATTGGATTGGTCTATGGTGGTGGCGACATGGGCAGCTGACGGGTTCTTAGTGAGTATCGGAATATTACAAGTGAAATACCTTCCCAATGCTCATTACATACCCAAAAAGCTCTGGAGGTGTTGCGTGTTGTATGACGTCGCAATACTTTCTTGGCGCATCGCACTCTACTGTCTCTTCGGCATCTTGATTCTCCTCTTGTTCCGTATGTCCCTGTTTAACCCTCTTTACCTTCTTATCTTAAGAATAATCTACATGCCATCTTCAGTTTCAGGCTGTTTTTACGCCATCCCAACAGATGAACGGGCTTTGAATTTGGTCGTCTTTTCCTCCATCACCCTTTCTGTCAACGTCGTCATTTGTGGCCTCATCGTCGGCCGCCTCGTTTATCACCAGCGCTATCTACGCGGTGCGATCGGACGCGGTTATGGCTCTCCATACCGGAGGATCATCTCGATGTGCGTCGAGTCCGCGTCCTTGGTGGTCATCTTCGACGCAGTGGCGATCTTTCTCTTTGCTTCCCCGCCGATTTTCAAGCGAAGTCCCAACGTCTTTGTTCCAATTGTCACGCAGATCTATGTAAAGTCTTCGGTTAACATTCCTTTTCCTTTGGTTGACTGGGCTGCTGCTTAGGTCGTCTCTGCGTTCTTGATCATATACAAGGTTACACGTGAGGAACCGCCTGCTGGACCTTCAAGTCTGCGCACAGCCGACATCGAGGAAGCCATGAATCGGCTGGAAACATCCTCGACCGACAGGGAGGATCCATCGGCAAGATACCACCACCACAATGCCCCAGTCATACAGATGCAAGCTCTTCCGATCCGATAACAAGGCTTAGCCTTGCTTTCGCATTCGGTTCAAATTGTGCGGCGGCACTGCTTCGCTGGCACGCTCTGGCACTCTCCCCCTTACTGGTGTCGACGTCTCGGTTCAACATGTCGCGCCGTGTTAAGGTAATTGAGATTAGCATTACTTCATATTCTCTCAAATCTCTCATGATTCATCTTCTACGGTAGCGGAGGCATCATCTCGGTGCGATAATCATCGCTGACCTTATCGCGTTTCCGAAGACGCAAGAGCGCAACCTCAAGGCAGCCGTGCTCCACCTACCAGTATTTGTGGATGGCCTGTAACAAAGCGTCGGGGGGCATGATTTTGCGATTGACATCTCCGCGCCGGAGTATACTTATGTAACACATCGTTTCGATGTTCTACCGTATCCTTTGGTCCTTCTTCTCCCTTGTATCACTGAAACTCTACAGCTACACGTTCTATCTTGCCCTCAGTATGTTCTGATTCTTCTGAGCTACTCGGCATCAAAGCTGGACTGAAGATTCGTGAGAGCTGCTTGAGGAATCCTTGGACGCTCATTCGTTGACTGTTATGGAGAGGATCTGCCTACGGGGCGTGCCATATAGCTCGGTGGGCCGTCTGTACTGACCATACATTGGTTTTCTCTATTTTTCTGTATGCTCGGAGGAACATGCTTCTCTGCAAATACTTAGCACAATCACGACTTCCAGATGCTTCCTGGTCTGATGCACCAACGTCGATATCCCATCCCCTGGCAGGTATGCATCCTACTGATCACGATTCACCACAGAATCAGATTATAGAAGGGTGGCCCGTCAAGGTCGCCGCTTCCCATGATAGAACTGGCCTCTTCACTAGAGTTTTCTTCGTGCCAAGTTCCTACTTTGCTCCGCTCCACCTTCTCCCAGTGCTTGACAGAGCTCTCTCTTGGCAAGTTCTCGGGGGATATAAAGTCAATCCATTCAAGGTATTTCTTACGAACCACCCGTTTCCCAGGCGGGACAAGATGGACTCGCCTTCAAATCTCCGAAGCTTCATTCCTCAAGCCATAGGAGCATGCCTGATCGGCGTGTATCTTTCGTCGGTGTACGCAACTTTAATTTCTTACCGCAGGAGTCTCCTTACCCATTCGCCGACCAAAGCTTCTACGGTTTGACGATTCTTCAGACCTATCAATATTTCCGTAGATATTGGGGTCGTGATAAATGTTACATCCGCCTGTTGGTACGCATAGGCGCCCGTCTCGATCTTGACGACTACTTCGTGACAACTGGAATTTGTTAGGTCATTATCTTAACGTGAGTGGTTCCCTTCGCCACACGACTGGATTACTCGCTCATTTTTATGAGAAGAGCTCTTGACACCTTCTGCACCGTCATGAACATGTATTCGATGTAGCACTACCTGATCGACAACTACGGAAACCCCATCTCAATCACATATGCCCATTGGTCAATCACTGTAGGTCATTCCACATTACCTTGAAGCCACTTTCGCTCGTTTACCGCTGGTTGGAGGCGTGGATCTCTTCCGCACTCGTGGTTGAGCTCCTGGTAAAAATCTTTTATGCTTACCGGCTTTGGATATGTACGTATTTGGTAATTTGAACTTGTGAAGTCTCACAAAGCTTTCACAGTGAGCGGAAAAACACAGGGTCGCCTCGCCATTGTAATTGTAAGGGACAACCCTCTAAATAGCATGCTTTCACCCTGGTTAAATGCGACGTAGATCCTCATCGCAATTGGGACTCTCGCGATGCATCTCAGTCAGGCTTCTCATATTCCCCTTGTTCATTCTTCCATTGACTGACAATCCAAGTCTACGACACATTGATGACGAAGAATGGATCTCTGTTCTACGTCCCGCGGATACATGTCGGTGTTCCAAATGTCGGGCCACACGTTAAACGGGTTAATCTTGTTAATCTGGCACTTTTTAGTTGTCGGATTATCCCTCGCCCTTGCGTCCGACGTCTTGATCACATCTACCATAACATATCTACTTCTAAAAGGCCGCAGCACGGGTTTAAAACGGTGAGCGTTTGAACATGAACACATCCTCGTTGTGTCCAAGTGTTTATAATGCCGTAGAACGGATAGCTTACTGAGGAAACTCGTGACCTACACGATCAGCGCCGGGCTGCTCACACTGTACGTTTCTCCCTCGACCTGTCGATTGATGCACCGCTCGTTAATCCTCAGAAATATCAGCATCTGCAATCTCCTGACCCTGGTCCTCGCTACACTTTACAAAGACACTTTTTATGACGCGATTCTCTACTTCCCTCTTAGCAAATGTTATGTCAACTCCATGCTAGCCTTGTGGGTTTATTTTTCTTCTTTCCCGCCTAATTTTTGCAAGCTTATTTCCATCTTTTAGCTTGAATGTGCGCGATTCCCTTCGAGCGAACGATGTCGGATGTACTACTTATGCCATGAGCGGTGAATTCTCTCAATTACGATTTGAACGAAACATTTCAACGCGGGAGGTCACGTTCAACAACATGGACATGCAGTCACGATTGAATCCTAAAATTGGTAAGAGCTTCTCCTTTTTAAGCTGCCGGCGAGCTATCATAAAGAATGACTCGCCAGCAGGATCTGAAGGAGAATTGCAATCGTTGTGCCCTCGCTGCATCGATCTGGGTTACAAGCTTAGCGAAAACCACCTTGTGGTTGCGAAAGACTCCAAAGACTCAAGGACGGAGGAAGTCAAGCCAACCAAATGAGAAGGAATTCCGGAGACGATCGTATTATAGTGCACAAAGATACATAAATGGACATTGGATGACTGATTTGGTGGCAATAATAAATTGTGAGGGAGAGGGATCCGCATTTACAGGAACAAAGAAATGTCTTTCATATAATTCCTCAAGTTTCTATCGCCGATATAACCGCACCACAGTTATCGCAGGCCACGACTTATATGTTCCGCATAAACAAACGGGCCCAAAGACTTGCTGATCTGGTCATTTCCCGGCTATTTCTGGAAGTGACACTATTTGAGTAATCTGATTGGATGGTACTCAGGCACCTACAACCATGCATGAGACCAAACAACACAATGCTTGGAATTGTACCATCTCATCGACCACGACGCCATCCGATATCTTCACCCTGTGCCAACGCAAAAGGCCAGAAACATGTATGCCGTAACGCCCGGCGTCTCAGGGAAGGCAGCAATAAGTCCGAAATCTCCCATCGAACACGTGTAGTACACACACCACGATGAAGCCTCGTGTTGAGCTGATGCACCGCGACTCCCTCAAAAGAACGCGCCGTACGAATGCCTTCAGGATTCACCGATGCCCTTCTCTACTTCAAGCGGACCCTCAGCTTTCGCTCACGACTGTCGCTGAGAAACCGCCTTCGCCGTCGCCGTCTTCGTCGTCCTATCAAAATATCCGCACCCATCCCACACGACTCCATGGAACTGGATGCTAACGCCACAGTAGACGGGTTTGCCACTCGTCCAGGTAAGAGTTATGATTCATCACCAGCGAGTATCGAATGACACGTTTCTGGCCCTTCCGCACAGAGTCTGGGGTATTTTACCTAGTCCCCAACAAACACGGGAAAGGCAAGACTATCGTCAGGAGAGCAGGCCGTCCGCTATCATCGACACCTCTCAACGAGGATTTCGACGCCGTCACCCAGGGTGGCACCACTTCCAAAGGTGCAGCGACTACTGTCGGCACAAGTCGCAGGCGCCCTATTCTCGCCATTCGAACAACCTCACCTTTCGTAGAAAAGGACGAGGGATCCGTAGGACGAATGACGACACCGAGGCCCCGATTCGATCCAATGAGGGTTTTCCGCAATAGCTTTCGGACTAAAACTCCTCGTGAAGCTCCTGCTGTCAATGGTCGCCAGTGGAAAGGGAAGGAGAGGGCGACGGATGACAACGGGGAGATCGATCACAAGGCCGCTGCAAAGGCGATGGGGATACGTGAGTGGTTGAAGGGCAAGTCGGGCTCGGACATCCATCGGGCAGCCACCTTGCCAGCTCGACGATTAGAGGACAGCGGGACACCAAGCCATCCCATGAAGACTCGCCAGACGGTCGGAGGTGTCAAGGACCTTTTCAGAGACCGACACGCTGGCTCTTCTACTCGCGACCGGGGTCCAAAACCCGGCCAGAGGTACGAAATGATCAACCGGCGCATCGTCGAAAACAGCGAGGACAGGACGGTTGAGATTTCGATGTGGAAGCAGCATACGCCCGGGGAAGTCCGGCCGGAGGACGCGGACAGGATGAGCATCTATTACCTCAGTGCGGATGATTACGCTCGGGAAGTCGAAGGGAACACTCTGGTCGAGTGGATGGTCGCAGACCCGGCGACGAATGGACAGACCCATCAGTCGTTATCTAATAGCGGGACGAAGATGGATCCGCCTCAGGTGAGTTCAAATCAGTGTTCTGTGTCGAGCTTTTCTCAAGGTTCTCCAGAGTCCACCTCGGATGGAGCCGCGCCGCCAACGCCCAGAGCAGAGTAGGGCCGTCCATCGTCGTGAGGGCACGATTTCACCCAGCACGAGCGAAAAAGAGGGCTCGCCCGTTGCCAAGGGCCCCTCCCGCTCTATCACTCAATCTCGCCGAAGCCCGCCTCTCCCTCCGCTGCCTCTCAGCTCTCAACGAAAGGAGAAACGACGCTACAAGGAGTCCACCCCAATCGAGAAGGATCTTCCCCGCTCGCCGTTCAACCCTACCGACTCTGGGTCTACAATCAGCAGCATCAAGAGCGCGTCGATCCTCGAGCTTGAGGGTGTTTTGGCCGAATGCGAGCCGTCGCTGGTGCATATCGCACCGATCCTGAAGAGTTTGGGTATCAGAAGTGTGGATCACCTCAAGGCGGTCGCGCGTCTGACACCGACGACGAGGGATCGCGAGGTCAAAGAGGACGCGCTGAGGCTTGGGATCACGGTCATGGAGTGGGCTATTTTCGTTGACAAGATCTTTGCTTTGTAGCACGTTCATAAAGTACATATGTACAGTTTCTGAGATTCCGGAACAGGGCGCTGTAGCTATTTCTATTTTGTGTATTTTAGTGTAGTCTTTAGATGGAGGACGGTTTATACTTACTGGTGCTGGTCTTGTGCAGCTCAATGCACCAGGGGCCATGTTAGCCGGCTTTCTCCCTCGGAACCTGTTTAGCGAGGGCCTTAGGTGACCTAGTCCGAAATGGAGATGTCCTTACCTATCTTGGACATCGACTCCTGGAACCCTGGTGTCGACGTACCATTTTTTTGCTTGTGTCTCCTCCCTCTGAAGCGCAGCGTGGAAATACTCTCCCTCCAGAGGCCGAGGAGAAAGAAGGCTTTCGGCTGGTCATTTGATACCCCTCATCGCTCCGTCGACCATAGACCTGTCAACGATCAGCGGGCTCACAACCGTGTTCCCGCAAGGAAGGGCTCGATTGGACGAATGGCGGCCAGTGTTTGTCTATCAGGGATGAACAATAAAAATTTCACTGACTTTTATTGAAGTTCTGCATAAATATCATGTATCTCATAAACCACCTTATGACGGAGAGGTGTCGCCTCCATCCTGCCGATAGCCAAGCTCAATGCATCGAGGACATCCCGATCGTATTTCCACGACAGAACCTGTTGAAGCGATCAAATATTTAGTCGGGAATATGATGCAAATAATTGAGACAATCGCACCAATCTTCGATCGTCCTAAGTCGAACGTAGTAAACTCTTGATTTGAGTGGTACATTTCTAGTTTAGAACATTGAATGACCGGGTGGTCTGATTCCATGTGGCAATCTGCGCGTAGCGAATCTCGGGTGTTCAAGCTGTAGCAAGATAAATACCAGGTCAGTGTTGGGAAGTGCATAAGTAAAATCGGTAGACGGACAAGGCCAGGGCTGAATTGACGTAGCACTTGCTCAGTGGGAAGTAGAAAATTGCGTCGTAGAAAGTGTGTGTGAGTAAGCTTGGGCCAGAATTAGCGTCATGAGGGTACATATCCTGTAACACGGTCAGGTGGGCTTCCAGTAGGTTAATGGTGGGAATGCCACGGACACTGTTAGCAGCCCAGTGTTGATTGTGTACGTGATGAGTTTGCGGAGGATATGGTCCGTTCTGCTAGTATATTAGTCAGCATGACGGGCGCTAATTTTAGGCGAGCGGGTGATCGGCTCACTGTTGCGAGGTGCTGCTGCGGCCCTTCATGAGAAGAAAAGTGATGCTCGACGCGATTAGAATATCAGCTCCAAGTGAGAATGCCAAGGCTGTCACAACCAGGTGCTAGAAACGAATTCATTGCCCAGACTCGGAATCACCGGAGAATCGCATCAACTTACCGTGATATTTGGAAGATAGAAAAGCGAGCCGTTCTTGGCGATTAGGTAGATGTACACTGTCAAGCGATCTTAAGTGCTGATCCAGGCAAGCGTGATGACTACTCACCAATGCCAACGCCAACAGTGACGAGGGCAAATAGAATCTGCCAGGACTATCAGGACGTATCCTCCCACATCTGTCCAATCGAAGGCGCACAATAATAATAGCCAAAAGATACTGTCGTTTCGCGCTCACTGCATGGATTCCATTCAGAAGAGTACTGTAAGTAATACGCTTTTGAAATGAAGAGCTACCCACAGATCCAAAGTCGGTAGGCATAGAAGCTCTTGACAAGGAATTCGATACCCAACGTGGCAGCCAAAGACAACTAAAAAGAAAGATGTTTTCACCAAGCGTAATGTCGAGGTTGGAACCGCTTACCGAGATGGTCCAATGGACCCGCAGAATGGTCACTGGATCCCCGTAGTTTTCAATTAGGTAGTGCCGCATTGAGTACATGTTTGCGACAGTGGCAACAGTGTCCAAAACCCTAGCGATTTCCAGAAGTATCAGTGAAAAATATTCCGGTTACAAGGTGAGCGAGCTATTGACGTTAAGGCAGTAACCTGACCATCATTCTCAACGCACTATCCACTGAGCTGAATGAGTAAGGAGATCCGCACCAGAACGTAGAGGTACATCTTGTCACGGGCCCAATATCGGTGGAAATATTGGTACGTTTGAAGCAGCGTCAGACCATAAAAGCTGGGAGTATGTTTGCATCAGAGCTAGATCTCCTGCGTCAAGCAATGAAATAGGACGTACATGCACGAGAGATAGACTCCTATCAGGCACGCCCCCATGGTTGGAGCCATAGGGATCACACCGAGGAGATTTTCAGAGGTCGGGGCCATCTTGACGAGTGGGAACAAGAGAGGCAGACACGGACAGCTATATACCCAGCACGTGCGAATATTATGTTGACTGGCATCGGGGTTCATTCATAGGAGAACTACCTTGCTTTCGTTGAGCCACCATCTCTGCAAAGCCCTGGGCGGTAACAGTCAGCTGTCCAAAGAGATGATTACCCCCTGTATTTGGAGGGTTTCTGTTGAGAACCCTCCCGAGCCCCCACTACTGCCGACACGAGCGTCGGTCTTTGATCCCTACCACCCAGCCGCGGCAAGCAATTGCTTAACCCGCTCTGTAGGTGTCTGATTAAGGTCTCAAGCTTGCCGACCAGTGGTCGGCGATCAGCAGCCAGCTGAAATCCGTTGTTCATGCGGCGCGAAATAAATTGTGTTGATTCAGAGGCCGAAAGGTCTTCGCGTAGCAGGCCTTAACGTTAATGATTTGCGGGATCAGCAACCCTAAATCCGTCCGAAGATAGCGGGTTGTTTCAATGTTCTAGAGCCGAGTCCCAGCGCTTACGCTGCCCCGCAGAGTGTGATACGCGAACCACGTTAATTTGCGTATGCAGTTGGGCAGTGCGGTTCCGAGTCGTTCCTAATTTATCTCTCTCAATCAGAGGCCGAATTTTATGACAGCCAGCGACTCAGCGAGGGTCCTATGAGAGTTTGGAGTTAATCTGTCCATACCGCGCGATAGAGATACAAGGGATCGACCCATAAATTAGTAATTACACTTTAAATGTTCTCTGCGTGTATTAAACCGCGTGGTGAATGGTCTGAACTGTCGCATCTTCCGGCGTATTAAAAGCTGGGAAGGCGTTGGACGTCTTTTGAGATCGCTGAAGGGGAGAAAACTTGAGCAAAAGAAAGTCGCAGAGTGGGACCAACTCGCCTCAATTTTCGAACGAACCTCAGAGGATGAGCCGAAGTCCTGCGTCGAACGATCTCTCGAAGAGCCCGTGGCACGCAGGTTAACGGAGATCATGTTAGTGTTGTTACCCCGAAGTGAGTCGCGGACATTCAAGCTGGATTGTGGTGGTCATCAGAACATCGGCGTCAAGTCGATCAAAAGCGGGACTTACAAGGCCAGCATGGAGTTGATGTAACACTTGCTGAGCGGGAAGTAGAACATGACGTCATAAAAGGTGTGCTTGTAAACTTGAGCGAGAATAAGCGCCATGAGGGTACAAATACTGTAGATATCTGAGGTGAGTTGATGGTTCTCGTCGGGAGGTATCATTTGGGATGACACTTACACCGTGAGCAACCCGGTGCTGATGGTGTAGGTCACAAGTTTTCGGAGCAGGTTGTCCGTTCTGCGGGTCAAGGTCAAACCGGTACCTATGTAGTAGGGATGACCAAACAGCACTTACGACTTCAACCCTCTATTCCGTCCTTTCAGGAGAAGGTACGTCATGCTCGAGGCGATGAGAAAGTCGGCCACCAACGAGAAGCTAAAGGCCGAGAGTAGCAGCCACTGGAAAGGAATTAATGGAAGTCTAAGGGGGGCATCACGTCGTGTCATAACACTTACAGTGATTTTGGGGAGGTAAAGCAGAGATCCATTCTTAGTTATCAGTACAACATAGGCTTGATTGATTTGTTAGTCTCCACAGAAAGATGGGTCCTGAGTTCACAGCTTACCAATACCGCCGACGAGTGCGACCAGCCCAAAGATTATCTGCAATAGAAGATAAGATTAAGAGGATGTCGCCCGCCCCTGGCACGCACAATGATCCCTGGGAGGAAATATAGCTTTCTGCCACCCACTGACCGAGTCAATCGACAAATTAGTTCCACACGCCTGCCTCTCGAGGGAAAGAGTACGCACATATCCAGAGTCGGTAAGCGTAGAATACTTTAACGAGGAACTCAATCACTGCAGTGGCGCTGATTGACATCTAGGAAGACCGTTCGACAGGCTTGAAAGCACAAAAATCGGTTACTTACCGTGAGGGTCCAATGAATCGCCAGGATGACGATTGGGTTTCCATAATGTTCAATGAGGTAGTACCACATGGAATACATATTGGCTATCGTTGAGAGGGAATCCAATATCCTGATGTTGTGAATCATGAATGAGCAAAGCGAGGGTTAGGTATTGAACCCATGGACTGACGTCAAAAGCACGACCTGTCCATTACATCCCGTTAGCGGCCGACGGCGAACAATACAAATGCGATTACTCACGAGAGAGTAGATGTACAACTTATCACGACCCCAGTACCTGTAGAAGTACTGATATGTTTGCAGCAGCGTCACCCCGTAGAACCTGTTGGCAATCAGTCGTACGACGGGTATACTGACTTGAAGGGTACATACACAGACGAAAGGTAAACCCCGATCAAGCAGGCTCCCATCGTTGGGACGATAGGAATGAGGCTCAGTAAAGCTGGGGATGTCGATGCCATAATGTCCTACGCGGGCGAGAGGATGTCGACATGCCCGAGAGCATATATACCTACGCATCGGCTTCTATTGGGAAGTTCATCAGGCCGCTGAAAGCTTGGACAAAAGCAGCTGTGTACCTTTTGGATCCGACATCACTTGGTGTTCAGAAATTTGCCGTTCCAGTGGCATTTGTTAGGATTGCATGGAGTGATCCCTGATAATCTATGAGCGTTTTAGGTGAGATCAGTTGATGCATCAGGCGATTTGCACAAAATGGTAGAGTTCATACTTCCGAGTGCACCGACGGGTTGTCGTCTTTTCTTAAACGTGGGGAAGGCACGGGAGGGTATCATAGAAAGCACCTTCGGAACGGAGGGGAATAAGACGATCCGATCCTCCTGACCCATTTCTCCGCATTCGGAAGGGTAATTGAGCGGCCTATCGCATGGAGAAGCTGGGGTTCCGGGCTTGACGGATAGGATTCGTTTCATTCCGCTCAAGCGAGGCCAGGAGTATCACGGAAGAAGGGAGAACAGTACTATGTAGACCCACGGGGTGCTTTCAGTGGCGCTGACCTTGAGGAACAAACTCGGGACCCAGGCACATCAGAGTCCAGACATGTAATGCAGGTGTAGTCGGCTATTTCTAAGAATATATGAGGCACTGGAATAGCAAAGCTAAAGTGTCCTTACTAGCCTAGTATGTCTCTCAGATTCTTGGGCGGGCGGTCAAAAATTGACCATTGCCTCCATCGAGCCGTCGTTCAGTGCTCTTCACAAACGAAATGTCGAAAATTTGAGCAAATCGAGAATGGTATAGGAAAAACGGCCTCCGCAACATGGGAGGTTGGCGAGGCGGAGGAAGACTTCAGCGCTTCAGCGCTCAGCTTCGTTGGGCTCGTTACTCGTGCTTGTGGCAGAATACTGATACTGATACTCGGTAACTCGGCAATTATGTAAGTAGTCTCACAATTGTCTCCTCGAGCTCGTCGATGCTCTCAGCGAGCTATTTGGACACGTCAGCTCATAAGAATAGCTATAGACCATTGGGAAGGCAGTCGGAACAACGGGGTCAAAATTTTTTGTAATTATTCCACTAATGACCCCCTCAAAATGCAAAATCTTCTTCTTTTCAACATCACCCCCTCTGGGTTGATGAAGGCACCTTTTGCCCAATTTTTTTATTCATGGTCAGTGTGTGAGTAATATGAAGATAAATTCAAAATTTTAAACCCAGAAGCGCAGTGCGTCGTGCGCTATGAGCGTTGTCGACGCAAGCTCGGAAAATGCCAAGACACCATTTGCGCGGGCGATGTCTGTCCTCGACGAAATCTTATCTTCTTGATTTTGTGATGATCAAGGTGCACGCGGGCGACATCTAAGCGAGTATTCGTGCGCTGGCCAATGAAAATGCAAGGAAAAAGGTGAGCAAGGCGCACTGATGCGAACTAAGCGAGTATTTTAGCCTGCCGAACACGACGAAATGACTGGATATTTCCAAACGTGGCCCCGCAGGGCCGCCAAAGGTAATTTTGCCTCTCAAGATCGTCATTTCCCGCATCGACTGGGGCAGGACAGGCGTCCCTACACTCATTTCACAACGCGGTCACGATCTTCCCCCTTTCCTCCTCTTTCCTTTTTCGATTTTTCTTTTCTTTTTCTTTTATTTGTAATTTCCATGCCACAAGCACCAGTATCGGGCCAATCGTTGACCTGGCGAATTCCGAATTCTGGTTTCTTATCTCTTCCTCTCCCGAGGGCATCCAACCGACTGGGAGAGCCAGAGCCCAGAGCCCCGGCATTCCCCGAAACATCCATGAGCTACCCGTTTTGGCGCCTACTATCAACCTCTCCCGTCACTCAGCCGTTACTTATAGGTAGATAGACGCTGGATGTGGTGCCTCTAGAGTTTCATTTTATTTAAAATTACAATTCAGCTAAAAAAGACTCTATCCCACTAACCCTCTGCACAAAAGGTCCCCAAGAAATCAGGATACACGTCGCACGAGCGCCTGCAGGTACTAGCTTTCTGTCATCGGGCTATAGTACTTAGCATAATGGCTATGAAGTAATTTTATTTTTCCCCCCTAGAATGAGGGTTGACAATTCAATCAATGCCTGTCAGCGCGACACAGGTCCACGGCCCGTTCAATCTGTCCCGTCTCAAAGCGCGCATGGCGCGCAAGTGAAAAATATCCTATTTGGAGCACTGGGATGACATCCCTATGGTTGTCTGCGCTGCCGTGGTGTTTCTAAGGAGCACACAAGCCCCCTTCTTTCCATTTTTCCTCTCTTTTACACCCAGTACATTGATCGGAAAATCAGAATTAGTGGCAGGCGCAGGAAACAGGACCGCGCTTCAAGCGCGCCAGCTCTTTGCCCGAAGACTTCAACGTTTAAACGTCCGCAAACACCGTATAGTAAGGTAAGTTATTTATTTAAACGACTTGAATAGCATCGTAACTACATAACTCTTTTCCCTGCTCTCGTACTCTCGCCGCCCTCTCCATCTACCCAAGACCGCCGTCCGCACTCGCAGCACGATGCCGTCACGGTGCTCACGAAAGGTATGTCCCCCCCATCTCCAAACGCCCGCGACCGCCGCCTAACACGAAACACGTCGGTGGTCTTGGATAGCGGCAGCCATGAATGGTGTAGAGGGTGTTGAAGGCGAAGGATACGGCGACGGCGAGGATCTACAGGCAAAGTAAGTCACTCAACTTGGATAACTCATCTAAAACGAGCTAACGTACCTTCGTTATCACGCCGCAGCTCGCCCCCGAACGTCGAGCTCAACCCTCCGCCCTTCATCTAGAAGATGAACCTAAGGCAAGTCTTCATCATCGAGCACGAGACGAACGACTTACCGTCTCTTTTCCCCGTCCCTACAGCCCTTCGTCGCCACTATACACGACATCTGACACCTCTCGCCGCTGTCCAACACCACGCAGACCACGAATCCCAGCGGTGCTGTCGATGGAGACCACGTATAGCTAGGACGAACGTAAGTACTTTCTCGTATACCCACAGACGGAGAACTCACCCGTACGACATCGTTCGCCCACCGATACCGCCATTGTCGTCCCTGGAGAGCATCTGGGAAGACGCGGCGAAGGAAGGAGAAGGCCTCGGGCTGCGAGGGAGGGTGCCGAGGGCGATGCCCAGGAGCCTTCCTTCGCCATTCAAACCCACGAAACCCGCTCATACGAGGCCCAATCAACGGCCTTGCACGTGTAACGCTCCCCAACGTCGAAGGAGGTGGTTCTGCAGGCGGTGTAAGTGCGGAGACGAGTGCGAAGCCTGGACATAAGAGGTGAGTACGAGGCAGGTCTGTACGCACGAAACGAACGTGGACTTACCCTATCCACCCCATTGAACGTAGGCCGCCATGCACCATCGACCGCGACAGCTTACGAGCTACGCCCCACGTCCAGCACCCCTCCGACTCGTCCGGGTCATTGACGTTCGCCGGTGGGATTGACGTTGGGTGGGTGGTTGACGAACGAGGGTGTGAGGGAGAAATCTAAGGGTTATATGTAAGTTATGTATGTCCTTCATGAATGAAAGAGAGGCTTACTTACCTTGTTGTGGTGCTATCCGCACACCCATGCCGTCGTTGTCCATGGCGAAGACGATAGACAACTCGTCCATGGACGAGTTCGACGGTGAAGAATAAGTCTTTCGTGGTCGACAAGAACGCCACCGACTCCACAGATCAGCGACCTGCTATCTTTGGACGAAAAGCTTAGTCAGGGGGTCACCCTGACTAATGTCTTCCCACACCCTCTGATCTAATCGGCATGATCCGTCACTGAGCCCAAGGCTCCAGGCTCCGGGCTCCGGACTCTCCCAACCGGCTGGATACCTCTCCCACAGGTATCCTGTTCCCGGGCCGTCAACCCGGTTTTGACCGGCATCATCCGACATCCCTCAAAAGGTTTTCTACTTTCTCTCGTCACAGCCAGGTGCAAGACTGTTGGCTCCGAATATATTATCATGGCAGTTACTGTCCTGATCGATATTGCGGTCAAGAATCAAATTTTGGCCAGCCTCCTCGTCAATGTGGCCAGATATTATCTTCCAGAGCCTGGTGCTCCTCCTACGTTTTCAAGCTGTCGATCTCTGTTTTCTTTCTTGCTTTCTCGCTGCGTTACTGCTTTCGACTTGATCACATCCGTGGTCGATGTATCTTTTCAAACCCGTCGCACGAGACGACTCGGAATTTCCACCAGTCCAGCTCAACGACTTCACTGGTAACGCCTGTCGGCTTGGTCTCTCGTGGTTCAAATGGTGTCCTGTTGATATCGCGCTATGGGGTGAGCCTGAATGCCGAGCATTGTTTCATCCTTACGATACGCTTTCCAGCAATCTTGACCTTCCTTGTTGGTCTCATTTTGTGGAAGGTCTATCGGACGAACCGGGTTGGTCCAGGTTCGCCAGGTCAAAAGTCGATGGTATCCAGGAGGAAGCGGTACTACAGGCTCACACTTCCCTATCCTTCTCATGAGCCGCGAGAACCGTCGAGCAAGGGAGGGGATCCCAAATTAAAGAACAAAGTGGATAGCGGTGCGTTGTTCCATCTAACACTGAAATCTACTGGCTCAACTCCGAGTCAGCCGATCCATCGGTTGTGGATCCATACCACGTCGTAAACAGTCTGGACGACTCACTCATTGCGAAGGATCCCACGTTCCAGCACACGCCAGTCCCCCAGCCCATTCGAAATCGAACCTCAAGATACTCCGGAGTAGGACTCGGGATATCGATGGACGGCCGACAACCACCAGTGGCAGCTGACGCAAACCTGGGGAAGGACGATTGTTGCCGGGGGTCAGAAGACTTGCCTCTGTCTCCTTCCGCAGCGGAACTGGAACGCATCCAAAGCATTCCGTGTCAGTATCTCCTGGCGTTAACGTCGTGCTTGTCGACTAATGTCACGTTCAGCGACACCACCTCCCGCGTATCTGCGTACCTCGCCGTTGCATTCGGGCGTGTAGCTCATGGACGTCTGGCGCTCAGTTTCTCTCATCTCGTTATAGTAAATCACTCAGGCTCTCGACTTCTTGCTTTTCATGTCATCATATCACTTGCTCTACGATTCTATGACCTCTTCCCAAACCCTAATCTTCTTAACACCCGACGGAAGATCGATGGTCGTTTAGCTTGTGCATCAACGGCTTCGACTGACGTTTCCTCGTCCAAGTAACTTGTACTGGTGAAAGGTTCGAGGTCAAGCCGTAAATTTCTGCATAACTCTTCAACACCCTTGGATGCTTGGTCGAATAGCTTTCAAACAAAGGCCATCAGCTTCACCATCACAATGGAATATCCATATCAACATACCAACGGGTCTTGGGTGATCTGGAGTTCGCTCAGCACGTTCTGCAGGCTCTGGACATCGACGCTGATCCAGTCGCAACGAAGTATGAACATTTATGAGTTGCAGGGCCCAGCGATCATCTTACCAGCCTCCAGTACTGTTGCAGCTCGGCTATTTGAAATGTGAGAGACGAGAAACTTTCCTCAGCAGAGTCTAACTCATTGGAAAGTTTCCGTAGTCTGTCGCGTTCCTCAGTTGCCTCCTGCCGTTGCTGTCTGAGCTCACGTAGGCTCTTCTCTTTTTCTGCAATTTGTTTGTCGGCCTATTTATTTCTAGATCTTCCTGGCTTGGACAGTATCGCACCTGCTCGTTGCCGTTCCTGTTCCCAAAACGTCTCCCATGAGCCCAAGAACCTTTTGGTTCTCGCAAACTGTACGCCATGTTTGCCATGTCAGATTCATGTCAGGAGTAAGGATCATGAACTCGAAACAAACAAATCCTGTGGCCATCCTTACCAGCCATCAGACGGCGCACGATTCCTAGGAAATGAATTAATGAAGCATCAGACTTACTGATCTATTTCGTTATTAAGAGTGGTGATTTTCCCTTCAATATCGTCACAGGTGAGTTTGCGGTGCTCATACGAGTCTCGGACTGTCGTCGAGATCGCTTTGCGAAAATTTGTAATTCCCTGATGGGCTCGTAAGAGTTCCTTCACTGGGACGACACTTTGCTTCTCAAACTCGCCCACCACCTAAATTCGAAGCCGTTGAGCGATTGTGTGTTTAAGACCGGAGACGAACCGGGGTACACAATGCCAGAAACGTCTTCTTTTCGACCATGGTAAAATGCTTATTATTAAGGCCCGAAATGACGAAATGGAACAGAGCTAAAGGTCCCATTAAATTTGAAAGATCTTCAGGTCTCTTCGTTATAAGGATAGGACATCAATATCAATGCTTACTGTCGAATTTAGAAGCTTCCACGAACGCTGCTGTCCGAGATCTCGAGATAACTGACGAATGCCTCTGTGGTCCAGGAAGAGCCCAGTTTTGACATGAGGCCGAGAAGTGGATTCGACGGGCGCTTACTCACGTCTGCAATCTCGCTCCACTCGGCAAGAAAGTACCTCGTTGTTCCATTGGCGTCTTTTATTGAACCGCCACTCGATATCACACCTTCTATCAAAGCGAAGAGTGTTTTAATGCTCCCTGTCTCAACAATACAGCTGATACTGCGCCGGATGGACTCTCGTCCATTCTCCATTCCTACACAATCGGAGGTGTTAGCTATGAGATATCCAACCGAAAGTGACTCGCAACGAACCTACAGATGTGAAATTAATCGTCCCGTCAGTCGTGATTCATTGGTGAGTCGCTCACCAGCGGCCTAGCGGTCAGCTGATCAGCGGATGATGGTGCTCGAGTGTCAACCGCTTCAAGCCAATTACGACTTGCGGAGTCCAGAAAGTGACCCTGATCAAACTGGGCGACCAAAGGCCTTCCTCGGTCAGCAGGGCTGACAAGGGCATGTTCCATTGTACACGTCGTTAAATTAATACTCATGAGTCAGACATCACACAAAGGAGCTACCAGTACAACGAGGTCCAAATAAGAAAAGACGGAGTTAGACCCTGACCCGAGGCGCCGCAACATACAAGGTGTAATTGTCCAACGCAATCTTCAAGGTCTTGTAATGAACGGCAATGTCGTCAGCTGCGACCGCCACCAACTATGAAGGTTAGATTAGCTATATCAGCTGCCAGGGCAGTTTGACAGACGGAGGAGCCACTTACGCGAGGATCACGCGTTTTCTCGACATCGTCGAGTGCATTGAGCAAATATTGAGCGTCAGTCGTAAGCTATAATGCACTATTTAGCCTGTAGTGATACCTTAAAGGGTGTACGCACAAGTCTCCATATTTTCTGCATCGCTGTCAACCGATCGACAAGCCTCGCGAACACGGGGTCCAGTTTCGCGATGCCCGCGACCGTGTTCTGGAACTCTGAACCCTCTGATTGGAGGGTGCTTAGTTCCACCGACAGAGCGCTTAATTTATCGACCTTCGCTAAGAATATGAGACGGCATTAGCCAGGTCGAAGAGGATACCATCGAATATGTGCACCCACCCTTCATTTGAGTGGAATGGTCCTTATACCCCCCGTGGATGGAATACCCGAGAGCGGCGACACCCGCGGCCTGCAATCTATCTTCAAACGTCCTCACGATCTCGTGCTGGAAAAATTACGCACCAGAAGGGCAATCGATGCAGCAGGCGCCAGGGCGGCGAGGCCAGTGGCTTCGGCAACGGCGACACCTCCACCGTAGGCACGGAGGGCACTGCCTCCCAGAATACCCCCACCTGCGATAAGAGTACTGCCACGGTCGACAGTAGACGTGATAATACTCCAGGACTTCTTCAACTATAGTTAGGATAATGTGATTAGCTGCGTGTCGAATGAACCATCCCTGGCTTACGAATCTCGATGCTCTAAAATCACCATTTGATCCTGTCATTGTATTTTGAATTAAATTTTTACTCACTGCTCTAATTCCTTCTGAAGCGCAGAAATTCGAGTAATGAGCGTCGCCGTTCTTTCTTGGTTCGCAGACTGATTCGTAGTAGTAGCCCTGGTAAGCTCTCTTCTGAAGCCCGATACGTGCTCTGAGAGCGTTCTGAAGCGCATTTGTATTTTTTCCCCGCGAACGGAAAAGTCTTTCAAGCTCTAGAACTGTTCGTCAACACTGTGTAGACTGTCTTTCTGTGCTCTAGATGGGGATACCTCTATGTAGAACTGCATGGACGATTTCTTCTGCTCGACGTTAAATTTCGTATCCTTTAAAATCGGGATAATGCTATTCAAAAAGCCTTGGAAAGATCGCATCAGCGATATGGATGGTAATAGGATCCAAGGTCCAAACTCACTCCCGATTTTGCTGTTAATCTGGCCTGCCGAGTTCTGAGAATCGAGCATGAGGGAGGTGTACTCCTGTCGATGCCAGAGATGTAGATTTAACTCCGGCCATAACTCGTAAAGCGCACCTCGTGCAAATCTCTCCATTGGCGGGCGAAGAAACGAAGCGAGCCGTCTGAGCGCTTGATGATCTTCCGATTGTCGATTTCACGAACTTCAGCCGCGATTTCAGCGAAATCATTCTCAATGATCGAGACAGTCAAGGTGAGCTGCCAAATCTCTTCTCCTATTTGCCGACGAAAGTCGGGTCTCTGTGCGTGGGCGTTGACGGCCTTGGCAAACTCGGCGGCGCGCGATGACGCGAGCACGTCGTTTAGTGCCTGGGTGAGGTCAGTGTAGTACGAGGGCGCGGCGAGTTCGGTCATTGAGAGAATATCTGGACAGAAAGTGATACTGCGAGTGTTGAATGTTGAGACAATGAGGTAGAGGCAAGGCTGTTGACGTTGTGAATCGAGGCAGTGTTGTCAACTGCATCATGCACGTGTGGTTCTTGGTCACTCGCTATTTCGGGAATCCTGATGAGTATAACAATATAACTCCAAGGACAGGCACACGAAAACCTTCAGAAAACTGCGAATGGGCACCTAATCTGAGTCTGCCAAGAACATGCATCTTGCTCTTGGCACACGGGCGCTTAGATAAAGGACAACCGCTGACTGAGCAGCGGTGTCATTGGATTCGGTCTGTAGCTAAGGTACATAATAATTACAGACAAAAACGAAGGGCGAAATCAGGTACGGGGCCTCGAAACCTGCAGGGTGTAATTGTCGAGTGCCACTTGGAGCGTTTCGTAGAGGACCTTGATGTAAGTCGTCGACACGGAGAGCAGCTGGAAAAGATAACAGCCAGGATCGATTAACCTATGAAAGCAAATTTTGAGGAGCGGCTTACCACAGGGTCTTGAGTGGACTGCATTGTAGTCAATTCATTAGATAGGTTCTGAGCATCGACAACAAGCTGGAAGAATGATTAGTAACCGGATGGAGAGCAACAGCAAAACATACGAGACGCCAAATTTGCTGCATAGAAGAAAGCCGATTTGCAAGACGTAAAAAGGCTGGGTCTAATGCCTGCAATTCTCTAATAACGTTCTCGCAATCCGCCCCTTTTCGCTGTATCCGATTGTATTCTTCCTGTTTCTCCTCTAAACGAGTCGAAAGTTCTTTGCCATGAAGACAGTTGAATTTTGGATGGAACAAGTGAACCAACAATCCCATACCTTTCATCTTCGTCGAGTGGTCAGTCACTCCACCATAAACTGAGTATCCCAGGGCACCGAGTCCAACAACCTATAATAATGATAGAAATAGTTTTCTTCCTTTTCTGAAGCGATCAAAACATACCAGAAGAGCTGCGGCCGCAACGGGAGCCAGCGCTGCAAGTCCTGACGCGGCGGTCCCTGAGGAAGCGATAGCAGTTCCACCACCGGTGTAGAACCCAGCGCTACATGTTGTTCCTCCCGCAGTCGTGATGCTACCAGCGCAGCCGAATAACCCCCCCTGGACCGCCACGGTACTTGCCGCCGTCTTTGCACCAATTATCTTCGCGAGCGATGCACCACCTGCTCCAATTCCTGCTGCAGAAACCATGGTACTGGTCCTGAGTACAGTGGATCCCACAATATCCCAGGCTTGATTGAACTAAGGGAAACCTCAGCGATACTAGTCGGCGGTAAATTGTAAGGATTCATACAAATCCTGAGGCTCTAAAGACGTCGATGAATGAATGAAATGTTAGAAAGCACCCTGTTACTCACTTATCGAAGTCTTTCTGCAATCGGGTGATCAGTTCGTGAAGCGATTCAAGCTCCATGGTATTGAGTCTCTGTCCTCGTTTGGCTGCCTTGACTATATCATCCTTGAACACTGAAACTCCTTGAGACAGACGAAGGAATCGAGTTCCGATGCCATCTCCTTGTTGCTGAAATTCCGCCAAGCTCTGATTGAGACCGTCGGGTCAGAGTTTAAACAAAATATCTGAAGAGCACCCATACCTCTACATAAAACTCAAGAGACTCTTTCTTCTCATCAATGGAGTAGCTCTCGTTCTCAAGAATGGGTATAATGTGCCGGAGGAAGCCTGTAAAGGAGTTGTCAAGCGAATGATAGCAGTTATAAGGTAAACATCTGACTATGGATTTTGCTGTTGATTTTACCGGCTGAGGTTTGTGAGTATAGCATGACCGATGTGTATTCCTAGATCACAAGCCTGTTATAACAAGAAGAGCGGCGTAAGAGACCTTGTACCTGGCGCAAACCCATCCATCGGGGAAGAAAGCGTTGATGGGAGCCATCTAACTCTCGAATCACCTTGCGCCCGTCGATGTCATGAACTTCAGACTCTATAGTCGAAAAATCGTTCTCGATATTGGCAATCGTCTCGCCGAGAAGTTGAATCTCTTGTTCAATCGTGGCACGGAAAGACTGAGATCGAGCATGTTGAAGAATGGCCTCGCGTAGTCGAGTCTCTTGCTCCGGGTTCTCGTATAAGACATTCTTCACGATCTCGAGGAGCTCCTCGACGTATGCCGGCGCTTGTGTGTCAGTCATTGGGAGATGGTGAGAGAAAAATTGAAGTCCGCAATGTCGCTTGAAATAAATCGAGATGAACACAAGCGATGATCACGTTAGAGGAGATGACACTACGTACTTCTTGGCCAGGCTCTCTTTGATGTCTGTGCGGCCGCACTCAACCTGTTCGCTGTACCTCTGTAGAGCTTTCAGAGTTTCCTGGCAGGCTTCATGCTGCGACAAGGCACCTCAAGGCACGTTGTCCAAGGTCACGGGCGCTTAGACACGTCACGGGGATAGAGAGGTGTGTGAATTACGGACTGGTAATTGGGGTAATTTGGCGAAGCCTAGCTTTGCGATCTTCCTTCACATCACTACCATGGACGTCGCCCCGCCCTCCTACGATACCCGTTCGGTTACAGAAGACATAGAATCTATCATAGAACTATCGGTGAAGCTACAAAACAACTTCTACGAGTTACGAAGGCTCGTTGCCGAGGTAGACGAAATCCGCGACATGTCATTGCAGAAGGCAGCGATGGACTGTGATGAGGTATGTTCTAGTTTATCCATCGATATTAAGGGTGCCTCTGAATATCTCGAAGAAATACCAGAGCTATCTGGGCTCTTCTCGGAATGTATCCACTAGATTGAACACACTAGTGCAGCGTATGTCTCGTGTTCATTTAGGTCCACGCTTTGGCCGCTCAAATCTTGGTCAGGATTCGCCACGCACATGATATCCATTGCGCAATCGCCTCATATTGAACCGGAACAGAAAATACAGAGCGTGAAGCTGACTGCAGAGAAGGTAACTACACGCTTTGTCTCTACAGTGGATGTGGCCTAACTTCACCCTGCGATAGATCGCTCAGTTTTCAGAGGACAACTCCCCCATCCTGACTGAAAACTCTCTAGAAGTAGGAAGCTCTTTGGATTCACTTCTGGGTCTGCTTAGCCAAATCAATCGATTTCTTGTCCTCGAGAGGGAAATCATCCCTGAGATGAGGGCAGAATGCACGATAATCGATCAAGAATGGTGCGTCTTCCTCCGCCACTAGACCTCGTATTTACAAATAGACAGGACACATGTGGAGCAGCAGAGCGTCTCTGATGACCCGTTGCCTCTGGAGTCAGGGTATAGATATTTCTTTCCACATTTCTTTTCAGCGGAAGCGGTGCGTTGTTTCGGAATGAATTTAAACGCAGCGTCTGCTAACATGCCACCGTAAGGTCGCATGTATCCCTGACGACGCACCTGTACATCCACTTTTCAGCGATCCTGAAGAGGAGCGGTTTATGAATACCAAGCTTGGGCCACGTTTCCCGGTAATGTCTCTCATCGCTCGTATTTTTCTCTCCGTTCTTATATCAACCTTAGCAGTATCAAACTCGAAGACCGAACCCTCGTTACGATAAAGTCAAGAAACCTCTAATACCTCTCTACAGCGAACTCAACAGCCGTACGTCGATTCGAATCAGAAATGGGTATTTAGCACTAACATGGTGTTCCCAACTCTCGCCTCAGAACACCTCGGAAGGTGCAAATTGTGCGGAGACAAGGTTGTGGCACTCCAACAAAGGCTGTTTCCGCCGATGGACAATGCAGAGGGAAAAGTCAAAGAAGTCAAAGCTCACTACGACAATGTGCTTCAAATTGTTACGGCGTTTGAAGGAATTCTCACGAAGGTATTCAAACCCACCTCCTCTGCTCTTGAACCCCATGCTTAGAACAATACAGTTGGCTGAAGATGCCCAAGCCCTTATTCAATATCTCGAGGACCCTACAGGTTCTTTTCAGGAGCAGGTATCTATTCGATCTTTCCTAAGATTACTACGAAAACATCTTTCTGACCGATTATGTTCTAGGATTTGCTTGGCAGAATTGAGTCCGAAGCCCCGATCTACGAGAGAATTCACCAGGCTCTGGACTACTATGCTCTGAAAGTTTAATTTACTCAAATAAATGGTAGTATCACAAAAATAGATCCTAGACTTCTCCACTACGTGATGGATAATCATTGTGAGCGCAATGCGGGCGATCGTAAATGGCGCCACACATTCCCAATTCGGGGTGGTCTCGGAGACAGCGGCTCGCGTTGGATGAAATGCCAACGGCTGTCAGCTGGCCAATCAGACGTTAGAATTGGGTTGCTCTCCTTCAACCACCCCGACTTTTACTCTCTTTCTCGTGTTAACATGCCAGATCATAGACTAGGCCAGTTCAAAAAGCAAAAGGTAGAAGATGACGCCGAGTCCGACTTTCCGACGTCTCAGCAATCCAATGACAGCGAGGAGCAACAGTACGTCCGCCGCGATGAGCAACGGTTTGACTAGGGCTTGGGCCTTATTGTCCTTGCATAGGATGATTAAAGCGATAGAACAGCAATACGCTGGTCGTCTTTCTAACATTCACGGAGGGCAACATTGTCACTGATCGTTTTCTTTCAGCCGCACGCGAGAAAAAGAGGGCCGAGAGGGAGAAAAAATTTCTGGACATGGCTAAGAAGAAATTAAACGAGGATGTATGCGCATATATTCACCTTTTCGTGGCCGTCATCGCTGATCTCCTCGAACTGACAGCTTGTGAAGTCAAGTGGGGACATAAGGGAGGCCTGCCAAGCAGTGTACGCATACGACGAAAGATGAAGACAGTCCTTAACATCGTCCGACAGAGATGAAGTGTATAACGCGTTCTTGAACGATTATGCAGTTATAGAAGACAAGATCGACGCAAAATTAGCAAAGATACACGAATTGGAGGACAAACTGGCGGTGCGTCGTATCAATTCATGGTGCCAATCAGTCTCGCTGAAACAACATTCGATCAGAAAGTAGTCGCACAGAGACACAAAGCGGACGAGGAACTGGTAAGGACGCAGATCCAGGTCCGGGAGTCGGCGCTTGGGAAGACCAAAGCCGCATGTAAAGGTATCCAGCTGTGATCCCGTCCCCATACCCCGTGTCTCATTTCTTTAATAGCCTTTCAAGCAACAATAGATCGTCTGCTGCCGGCGGACCCAAATTAAGCTGGGCCCTGATTGACTCAATCGCTCCAAGATAGAAGCAGCACCACTCATTATCCTGGAGAGCCCAAACATGCATACTCTAGCCCAGGCTCTTTGTACTACCGTACCCTGTTGACGATGTCCAAACATTATAGAGTAGGTTCGGACCCCGAAGCTTACCTCCGCTGAAATGAAAGACGAAGATCAAGGTTCCGTGGGTGTGAGAGACCGACAAGTCCAAGGGGTAGGGACATTGCCATCCTTTGTTCGACGGAGAGGGGAGTCACCATGCCGCAACCACGACCTCTTAGGTCACTGAAATGCTTCCTGTCGTCATCGAAGTCCCCAAAACGAGTGGAACAAAGGAAGCTGACTGCGCAATAGGTTGGTGGCTGAGTACGTGGACTGCATGAGGTGGGAGGCCGGAACTTGGGCGAGAAACTGCAGTGCAATTTGCCGTAACATCGGCAAGTCTTCTGCGATCGAGGTGCTCTGGATGTGAAGAGTCGAAATGTCGCGGCGACGATTGACAGGCCACGGGGCGAGATTGTGGATGGAAGGAATTGCAAGGTGTCGTGAAGCTGCTAAGATCGGCCGGGGTTGATCTGATTATCAGCCTGTGAGAGAGGAAGGAAAGAGATATATAGCAAAAGCAGAAAAGATGCAGATAAGACAAGTACAAGGAGGAAGACGGAAGGACGGGCAAGGGGCAAAAGAGGATCAGTCTTTGCTCTTCTTTTCCTTCTCTTTCTTTTCTTTCTTTTCTTTTTTCTCTTTTTTCTCCTTTTTCTTTGATGACTCGCCCTACGTCGCAATGTGAGAACGGCACTACGACAAAACAGCCAAGAACTCACGTCACCAGAAGCTGCAGCCTCAGCCTTCGCCTTCTCTTTCTTGGCCTTCTTCAGTGCCTTCTTCTCCTCCTTCGACAGTTTGACCTTCTTCGCAGAGTGAGCGTCGTCGTCGTCCTCCTCATCATCAACATCCATGTCGTCGCTCTTCCTCTTCCTCTTCTTCTCCTTCTTCGGCTCGGCTTCTAGTGTTGTAAAAGCAGGGCCGTCAACATTCATGCCGTCTTCATCATCCTCGTCCTCGTCAAGAGCAAGCTCCTCCATAACCTTGCGAATAGCATCAGCGTTCTTAGATGGCGGTGCGCCTGTCTCGAAGAAGTTGAGACGTTCTTCTACTTGTGCACGCAAAGCCTCGCCGAATTTTGGTGTTGGGTTTTCTATAGTATAGCCGTTAGCGTTAGGAGGGATAGCTTTCTGAGAAAGAAGATTAAACATGCCGGAATAACAATCAATACGAGAGGCAATAGAACACTTGTTGGCAAGGAACCGTGAAATGCGACCCTTGTATTTAGGACCTGCACGGCCGATGAACGTTGAATGGTAAAGGAGACCGTACTGTCGGCAATTTTCAGTCCGTAGACTCGTTAAGCGGAAAAATACGCGTACCTTGGGTGTGTTCCCCTTCGTTTTCAACGCTCGGAATAGAGCCTTCTCGGCACCGAGGATTTGCACCGTACTCGCCGGATATTTGCTCAAGTTCGTCAAACTACCAGCATGGCTAATCAACCGAGCACCGACGCGCTCTCCAAGGAGAGCCGTCAGACTTGGTGCGACCAGGTTCATCTTCTCCGAAAGGTACGACACGAGCGACTTGCGGTAGTCGGATAGAGAAACGACGCGTGTGGCGAAGGCGGAGATATTGAGCATGTCGATGTCGGAGAGGGAGGAGCCCATTGATCCACGAGCAGCATCGAGGATATTTTGCGCCGCTGTGCTGTCGTCGTCCAGCAATGCGGTCAACTCTGGTAGTTTATCCTCCGTCAACGTGTCCTTATCTCCAATGAACTTGGCGACGCGAGCATATTGGTGGTTGTCGGGAACGATACGAACGAGCTCCGGGAAGTGGTACCCATACCACTCTCGTATCCGCATCGAAAACAGGTTGACGTCCTTGTCGAGCTGATCGAGGAGGGCAATGGCTTGGATGATCATGTTGTCCACCCGGTTGACGTTGAACTTTAGTTTTGAGCGGGAGTAAGAGTGCCCGAGGCCGAGCTGGGCTTTCTTCAGGTCGTCCGTTTGGAGACCCTTGAGTAGTTTGGTCGCATGTTGTCGAATGCCGCGAATCAGGTGCTGAGCATTTTCGGAGGCGTCGATTTTGAACCCAAAGGCATCCTTTATACTTGTGCCGATATTGGGGTCGGAGACAGCCAGGGTCACATTGGACTTCTTGGAGGCCTTAGAGAGGTTGAGTTCAAGGAGATTTCGGAGGTGGTCGTTCAGGATACCTAGACCCAGCCAAAAGCTCTGTTAGCTGATCAACAGAAATTATGGCCACCACGCACCTTCAGAAATATCGTTGATGTTCTCCAAAGCCTGTGCAGCACTCTTGAAAGGCGAAAAACTGATCAAGGTTACCATTTTCCCAAACTTCGCCAGATCCTGAAACGAGTCCGCGACGGCCTTGGATTTTGCCCCGATATCCTCGCTGAACTTGGCCTCAAAGATAGCATATCCAGAAGCCGACTCGAAGAGTACGTGTGTGATCGTCATATTGGCCGAGTCGTTGTTGAGGACGATGAGTAGCAGACTTTTTTCGGACCCCGACAATTGGATACAGCCGGATGTGGAAGGTGTGTCTCACGCTTACCTAGAATGATCAACGCGACCGTGGTCGCGGGCGCCATTCAACTTCTCGTCTGCATCCATGATCCTTCACCTGAAATTTTGGTAATTTTGCTAACAGAAGCGCCATTAGTATGGTGGCAAAACTAGAAATTTCCAACTCGTCATGCTCTCACAGAATACGAGTTTCAGCGCTTCCTCATCGGCCGGAGCGCCTTTCTTTGCGTTAGAAAAATCGGGTGGTCAGGCTTGGGCCATGCTTAACTTTGGAATCATGTGAAATAGCCCGCAAAAAACTAGTTAGTTTGTCGTTGCCCACCTTCTGACTCCTTTTCATCCTTTTTCTAAATCGTTTGCTAGCGTCTGTAAGCACACGATCAGCCTCAGCACGAAATTGCCGATGCAGTGCTTCAGTGGGTCAATAATAATCACGTCTCTCGGCGTATGGTTAATCTGAAATCATACTCGCTATAAAATGGGCCACCCGGCTCTGTCGTGTTAGGACTGCGCTCGGAAAGGCACAAGCTATTTATCAGACTCCTGTCAGCTCGAGGGGCCACCGGCGCCTCCTTACGCCCATCGGAAATCCCATCCCGAAACTTACACTGGAATATTTACAGCTCTGCGTCATAGTTTCACTCTTGTACATCGGTATAATCCGTCTCCGACGGCCCTTTCAGGCGTGGTTGAATCATGGAAGAGCTTGGTTGATTTTGCACTACTTCGGGTCAGTGGCTACTTCTGTTCTTCAGTTCATTAATCCCATATCTAGAATACAGGTTATTAAACCCCGGATTTGTGGGGACGACGTCATGATAGGACACTTTATACCACGTCCAGAATGTCAGTGTGCCGCGATAGACCCCATATCACCTTTGACTCCTGAACATATTCTCAGTGGCTCTAGTACATCAAAGCAACCTATTGTTAAACATCACCTACCATCGATGAAACTGCCTTCCTCGCACCCTCCCATCGCCCAAGCAGTCATGTGGCGTTAGAAGGGCATTTTCCCGTCTTCCTCCTGAAAGCATCTGCCTCGTGGGATTTGCTTTCGCACTTTCGCCCACAGAGTGATGCCGATATGTCTCGATTACAACCTCCGTATGGACTTCTCCACGATTGTCCTGGGATAATTCGATCATTCGCGGCCCGTGTGGGGTGAGTGGCTCGTCCTCGAGGCCTTTGTGGGCACTCGTGCTCGGTGCATGTTTTTCTCTTGTCTTCACGGAGCTCAGTATTTGAAATTGAGCCAACATTGACCGGAACTACAGGCTCGGGCCAGATGTTCTTGTCAGTTTACTACCTATTTTAGTTCCCGTCTATAATTGGCGTCTTCACTGGCTCACGAACTCAGAAAACGCGGAACAGTCATTACTTTGAAGGACGCGGTCACCCAACCGTCATCACCTCGTAACACTGATCGGTATCCGCGACGACGTTCAACAGCCGTTCAGAACAAGAATAGAAAGTAGCAGTAATACCGTACAACAGCCTACGATTCATAGGGGGCAAGCAGCGGAACACCTTCTTTTCATCGACTGCAGGGAGACGATGATCAAATCGATTCCCTATTCCAGAAGCTATATGAGCAAGCGATACGCCCCTGGCCATCCTATATTTCCGGTTAAGAACCATTCCCACTTGATGGGTGGGTTGGCAAATTAAGCAATGTAGCATATTGGTTGGGTCAATCCAAGGTGATGCAGATGCCGTTACGCCACCCATCACCCCCATCAGGCTGCTCTATAGCTGGCCGTTTAGGACCTGTCTATAGTTTTACTTACCAAAAGAAACTACATCATCCTAATGGTATGTGGGTATTTGGTTCGTAGATGGGTATCTCCCTTGAAGCTGTCTACAAGCGTACATAATGCATGCTTCGCCCAATTGCTACAAAGATCCATCGGCCGTGACGGAAGGGATTGAGCAATAGGAAAGAGACAGTGTCTTGGCTAGCTGACAAGTGCAAGTAATAGGCGCCGCCGACAGGACAGGAGTTCTTTCTGGTTTACACGACGCATCGCCTGTATATCAACTTTCGATGCATCAAAAGAAGGATTTCAACAACGGATTCAACGCGTACGAGGATGTCTCCCCTCAAGGAGATGTTGCGAACGATTCCTCGAGAAATTTTTCGGCGGGCGCCTGAGATTTAGGGTGCGAGAGATGGCAAGGCTGTGGTAGACATCAGAACGAAGAGAACGGACAGACATCGTCCTCTGGAGCCGACAAAAGACTTAAGCGAGAAAACGCACGTGACTTTTATTGGAGTTGCAGGTTCAAACCCTTTCGGTATCTGTGTCGATGGCTCGCCTATGCCTCGTGTCGAGCACTTCCTTTGGCACATAAAGCCTCAAGGAGTCTCACTGCGGGGACCCCGAGGCTGCTCAATACCAGGAAGTCACAAGCCGCTGGTTGTTCCTTGACCAGGTATGAGTTCGTGTTGCCTATTAAACAAGCAAGCCAACACTCACCTTGGATTCCCGCTGCCCCAACAGCCTTCCCTCTGACCTCGTGGCGCATAGGTCCTTTATCGCCACAACATTACACGCCCCCACATCCTGGCTTCACTCCTCTCGACCATCATCTCTTTTTTCGCCATGTTTAAGTGGGGGAGATCGAAGAAGTCGAGCTCGTACGAGCCGAAGACGCCCAAGATAGCGAGCATCGCGCTCCCAGATGAGAAATACTCCCCGATACCCCACTATTCAGTCTATTCGGAGAAGCCACGTCGAACCAGTTCAGCGATGCAGCATTATGTCGTAGATTCGCGTACGACGACGCCGAGATACGAATCGTCCTGGTACCAGCCGACTCACGAAGCGACATACGAGACATCGAGGAGATCGCGCACGCGCACGGTGTCGACACCTGCGCGCCATGTTGAAGGTGCTTCCCTGCGCGCCACTCGTCCTATCGATTCCTTGCTGACCTAAACACGAATTAAAGCCCCCAGACCCATTCGGCCGCACCCCTCCCAAGGCCCTTTTATTCCATTTATGGGAGGGGCTTCCGATAGGATAAGAATCGATTCTTCCCAAGCGCTTGCACCGGTTGGAGGTCCGTTCTTCTCTTCGCCCCCCCATACTCGTTCCGATCGTTGCCTAGTTCCTTCAGCCCAATTCTTGGAAGAGCAGATCCGACGTGAGCGCCCGGAGTCAATGAAGCCACACAAGGCGCCGCCTGCCAAACTGCCGCTCCAGGAGGATGATGGTAAGTCGTCGGCGCTCATCCAGATGTGCAAGGGTTGTGACACTCGAATGCCTGGTAGTTGAATCTGATGGGACCGCTGATATCGATTTGTCAGAGTACATCCCCCTTGAACATTTGAACAAGAACCTGCCGCCGGGTGTCACAGCTGGTCAGCCAATGGATTCCAGTGGCTCGTGTTGGCGTGAACTTACATCCTGAACCCAGTTCTCTCGAAGGCGTGGTTGGACGAGCAGGCGGAGTTGAAGCGGAGGCAGAGCGCACCACCGATCAAGAAAAGTAAGTTTTCTTTCAGCCAAATATCGTCGCCCAGATATAACCTAGGCGTGATGCCATCTTCAAGGCTCCTCCAAGGCTTCGGGGAAGAGTGATGATGCCAGGTCATGGAAGGCGGTTCCCGTAGTGGATGACAGTGCGTAACAGTCCTCTTTCCATTTAGGTGCCACTGACAGAATCCAAAGGAGACGTCGACCCGTCAATTAAACGTAAGCACAGCATCGGCCGACAATATACATATAAGATCCAGGCTCACCCTATACCCCAATCTGCAGCCAACAAGATGCCTCTGAAGTCTGCTCTCAAGAAAACATCATCGATCAATCCCCCGGCTCCCAAGTCGATCCTGAAGACCCGCGATTGTTGGTATCCTCCTTGAATGCAACGCCACTAGCCTCTGATCATTTTTCGTGCAGACGACTCGAGGGCATGCCAGTCGGATAGCGAGTTCCATAAGCCCAAAATTTCGAACAGTAAGCTGATGGCTTGCTCGCTGTCCTTCCTTCCTGACAGCTTGATCCACTCTAGATTGGGCAAAGCCTCTCAAGTCGTTCAAGGTGCCATCAAAAGCATATCTCGAGGAGCAGCAGGAGAAGGTAGAAGGTGCGTGAACCGAGCAGCGCTTTGAGTGTGCTTCTGCTGATATTCTGGCGCCTTTTCAGAGCAGAAGCGGAACCGGTCTTCGCGAAACTCGTACACGCCGGCTAGACCGACTGTACATGAGATTCGTAAGTGGATCGCCTTGATCGATTAATGATTTCGCGTTGATTTTTGTCCTGAAGCTCCTACGATCTTCCAGCACACCAACTCTGGCTCGACGTCTTCGCCAACTGATAGCTCCCAAGGTAAGTTACAGTTGGTTCTCTCGGGAAATCGACTTACAGGATGACCTTTAGGGCACGACTACCACCGATCTCGTCGATACAGCCAGACTGAGAGACCTGTTCCTTCGAATTATATGCCGGCCTTCATTAAGGATGGTGAATACCCCCACGTTTATCCCGAAAGATGACATTCTCAAAACTTGCCTAGTTAAAAACCCGCCACCGTCGATCGCCAACTATCAGACCGACCCCTGCTGGGCGCTAAGGGACTGGGAAGATCGCAAGCGTCAACCAGATCCTAAAGTCATCTTCGATCTAAGATTCGACCCACGACACGAGAAGTTCCCTGTGAGGCTAAGGGAGGGCAACAAGGGGTACGCTCCGCGCATCACCCAAGATGTCCTGGATATGTTCGTTATACCTGGCGGGCTCATGAGCTCGATGGTCCTTCTCCATAGGGACCTCCCTTGGCCCATCTACGTCCAGAAGAGCGGAAACCTCAACCTCACTGTCAAGGACGTCTTGAGTGCCATTCACGACCAGCTCAGCCAGCCACTGACGCGTGAAGAGCAGGCTCAAGTAGGGAGGGATCGCATCTACCGATGCTCGGACTACTTCAGGCGGCGGTGCCAAAAGTCCCCGGTCATGACGCACCTTCTGGAGCGGGCTGGGATTGCGCGTGTCGATCTCTTGAGGAGCAACACCATGTTCAGGGGACTGGTCCGCCACTCGCACTACCCACTTAACCAATTCGAATTGGTCACTGAGCCTGTTCCTCCGGAGCGCTCATGAGTGCCAATTTTTCTTCGCTCTTCATGCTTTCACTTCTCGTCCTCGCTTTCGGGTTCTCGTTGCACGTTTCCTCTATCACTTCTCGTTTTCTTCACGACTTTTTTCCTCTCCATCTTCACGACTTGTCGATGACGTCTTTCACGACCCCTATTAATCATGGCATGCCAGTTAATATTTTTTAGTTTCGTAAGTCGCTCGTTATCTTTATGACCCTTTAACTAGCTGTTGCTTACCTCGAACCCAAAGGACTCCCATTCTGCACACGTTCTCTACTCCTCCGCATACAGTTGCTTTAACGTTTGGTTTTTCTTCGCCTGCGTGTTTCTGGCGTTACCCACCTTCCCACATTTGATATCCCCTTCATGCATCCTTCTTTCACTTTTCCTCACGAGCGTAGCCTCCTCTACTATTTTACCGCCGGCGTGTATTCCTATGTGTATTGTTCAGCCGACGTTGTTGTTTGTTATACCACCACCCACTCCATCATGATAATGTACCCGTCAATCACACCTAGTAAATCCGTAAACAAGGACGAATTCAATCTGAATTGAATCGCTGCGCACCTGAGAAATAGAACGGGACACACGCGGAAGATGTCTGTATGACTGCACGGGGGCCCTCAGAATGGGACGGAATGATGTAGAACAATCCAGCGGCCGAGGTTGTGATTTTCTAACAGGCCACAGAGGAGACCGTAGGTATGAGGCCTAGTCGAACCAGGAGATCCAGGGCCCAAGTTAGTGGTCTGATCGAACAAAGATGTCGAAAAGGCCGAACATGCCTGCGTTGCTCAGGATCAAGCATTTCAAGCTCATGAACACTTGCAACGTTCCATGCTAGTCCTAGAGAGCGTAAATGGTGCGTTAGTATTGATACTTCGAGTTTCATGAAGATATGCAAGAGCAGAAACCAATTATGAATCAGATAAACGCATATATCCGCCGAATTCTGAGACCCCAGCTTGTCGAGGACAATCAAGAGTAAGGATTCACCTAGATGCTGGCCAAGAGACGAATCGGGACAGCGGCGGGGAAGATCTGCGTTCGATAATCGAATGGGAGAAAGGTGGTGATGAGGATCCTAGGAAACACCTTGCGGACATAGCATGCTACAGCCTCACCCCCTAAGTCCCAATATTCGTCATGCTCACGCATCCTCCAGTTAGGTTGTCGCCCGAATGTATGAGCAGTGAACGAAACGTAAGCTGAAAATGAAGCGATCGTTCATGGCCGAGTGTTTCCGTAGACTTCGAGACCGTTGTTGCGACATGCAGAGTCACAAGGAGATCCTGAGGCAAGGATTCGAGCCTGCATCTGAACGGAAGGGGACCAAAGCCCCTCCCAGGTTGTAAATTATAATACACGCAAACCTCCGAGCAGGTCGTTGGTTTGATAGATGGGCCCTGTTACGATCAAAGCGGGCAGGAGGCAGGAAGGGCAGACGGACTATTCAGTGCACGATTCCTGGGCGCCTAATACGCGCCTTCCCGAGCTAGTCAGAGACACCCGTCAGAACGTCGGCCAGAACGTATCGCCGTGCACTAAAAACACAACACGGGCCCAGTGCCAATGCACCCTCGTCCTTGGAAACCTTGCAGCTGGTTCTGATCAGAACGACGGAGAGTTGCCGGTCAAGAACATGGAAGAGACCGAAGTTCAACGGGGGAGAGGGAGGATGATGGGAGCAAGAAAGCAAGGAACGGGTTGCGCAATGTGCTGCTGATCCCCAAATAATGGGTGTGCGCAGCTGTGACTCATTTCGACTACGACGAAACCCAGGGTTGGGGGCAAAGCGAGTAACCCATATCGGGCCAATCCGACTCCCATTGCCTTATTGGTTGCGAGGCGGTACGCCACCGCGCCGCGTTGATTCTAATCTAATCTAATCTCCGACATTTCACCTCGACAATTGTAGAAATAATTTACTTTTCTGTATTTTCAAGTACAGAGTAGTCCGATTATATGACATGTGAAGAGTCTAGTACCAATAGCAACATGAGTGAACAACGTGCAGTCCGCCAGCAGATGGCGAGTATTTTTTGTACATGATATTAGGATCGTATCGTGAATGGCGAAGGGAATAAATAAAGGTGATAGTCGTGAGGGGAAACGGTGTGTCGATTTTATCCGTGCAAAGTGTTCTATCACGATTACGTGGATGTCGTCTGTAGGTTGCAGTTACTTATGATCTCTGCAGGCTAAGATCAGCAGCTTCAATCGAAGCAAGATGGCCGTACTCACAAGATACTGAAAAATACAATGCGATGCTGTTGATCCATGAAATGCGTATGGTAGGATATCGACAGGATAATAGAAGTGGATATGCGATGACGACGATGAAGATGATGATGCGAAAAGAGAAAAAGGGAGAAAAGAAAAGGATTACGGAGTACAACAGAATGAAAAGGAAAGGAAAGAAACGAAGCCGGCGAAACAAAGTGTGCAGACGTCTATGCGAGCGTGAGTGCATGCACACCCTCCTCCCACTCCTCCTTTGTCATACACCCAGCATGGCGACAGACAGGACATGACACCTCGATATTCTCATCGCCATCTACGATCGCATCTGCCCCTTTCAACGCAACCCGCTCCGCACTAACCAAGCATCCGCTATGGAATGTATGCTCGCACACACGTTCTCCGTTCTCTCCTTGCCCAGATTCACCCTTCACCCGAACCGAGAGTTGTTTCACCCCTTGGAGGACAGTAGCCTCGCCAAGCTCGGCTCCAAACGGGTCCTCGTCGGAGGGACCAAGCCCACAACTGACGTCGTGGCACCGAAGACCTGCCTCTCGCTCGCGGCGTTCGACACGTTGGCGGAGGGTCAGACCAGGTGGTGGTGGGAGGACCCAAGGACCCTTCGGTCGCTCTGGGACTGGATGGGGGCGCATGCCGGAAAACAAGTCGAAGAACCTGAAGGGGGTTCCACCAGGCTGGCCAGGCTGCTGAGCGCGTTCAGCCGGCGTAGGAGCTGCCTGACGGAAGAAATCCTCGAAGTCTTGCTGCTGTTCCGTCGAAGGGCCACCTGCAGCAGGTGTTACTCCTGCCGTCGTCGGTGCGGGGGTTTGCTGGCCAGGGGTCGGAGAGGCGAATAGAGCACGAACAAATGCTTCCAACTGTTGCTGCTCTTGAGCGAGTTGCTGAAGTAGACGCTGAGTTTGGGCGGCAACGCCTTCAAGGGTCGTGGCTGGCGTTGCTCCGGGTGCAGGCGTGGGACCTTGCTGAGGAGGCGCGAACATACGAAGGATATCCTGCAGGCCTGTTTGAGGCTGCGGTTGCTGCGGTTGGGTTTGAGCACCTGTCGGAGGCGTGTCGTGAGGAGCTGCTGTAGATGGTGTTGATGATGGAGGTGGAGGTGCTTGAGTTTGCGCTTGTGCTCCTTGCTGAGCACCTGCACCCATTCCCGCGAAGATCTGCTGGAACGCCTCGCCAACCGTGCGTCCCGACCCTGACGCAATTCGTATGCCTCCACCAGCTGGATCTCCCACTCCGCCAATGATCTGGAAAAGTGGGTCAGTAGCAACATGGACCATACGAGGCTGCCCGTTATGCGGTTGTTGCTGTCGCTGTTGCGTCGGTGCTTGAGCTGGTTGCGCTTGAGTTGGTTGTGTTTGAGCTGGCATCTGAGCCTGTGCTTGCTCGCCCTCAGCTCGAGGCAATGGCCCACCCAGCCATTCCTCAATCGATATCTCAGGCAAAGGTGGCGGCAACGGACGCCCATCGCGGCCCGCGCGGACAGAATCCATTATATGTTGCGCCTGCTCTCGTGCTCGACGATTGATCCCATCTACAACAGAGGGGTCAAACGCTTCCCTCAGTACATCGTCAATCATCTGGTCTTGATCAAAGTCGCCCTCGAAGCCCTGCATCATGAAGTTAAGGGCGTTGGCGGCGTTGGGCATGATGAACGGTTGTTGGGGTTGGGTTTGTTGAGCCCGAGGATTAGGCTGCGGAGCTCCTGGAGCTCCTGGGACTTGTACTGGAGTCGGGGCTTGAGGTTGAGGTTGGGCTTGCTGCTGTTGTGCCGGGGCCTGGGTTAGATTGGCAGGCCTCGGGACAGCACCGAGGGCGGGATTAAACACCATATCGAATGTCAAGCGCAGGACTTCCGTGCCGCCCTCGTGCAATGGGATACTAGCAGGAGGCGGGGGGTTGACGTTGACGTTGGCATTGGCTGCAGGACCAACACTGACATTGATCTGAGGGTGAGTTTGAGGAGGCGCTGGAGGGGGGTGGGCTGGGCCAGCAGGTGGATTGACACTCCCACCTGGTACGGCGTTACCGTTGATAACAACGGGAAAGCCTCCAAGGTTGATGGTTTGTACTATCGGCGTCGTCCGTATGCCTACGTTCATCGGAACAGGTAAGGATGGTAGCGTTGGCAGACGACCATCTGGAGCAGGTGGAGATGGCAGAGGCACCGGTGGGACAAAGACGAGCGGCGGCAGGGAGCGCGGAGGTGGGAGGATAACAGCGACACGACGGCGCCCGTCAGCGCTCTGTCTCAGGATGTGAGGAGAGAAACGTATGAACACACCTGGGACACCTGGTGCCATTCCTTGTGTCCTCGCCTGTTCTGCCGGTGCTTGAGGTGCTTGAGGTTGAGGTTGGGCCTGAGGTGGTGTTGGTGCCGATGCTGCATTGGTGTTCGCATTGGCGTTTGCGGGGCCTACAATACCACGAATGAAAATGCGATCAGCACCATTTTCAAACCTAACAAAGGAACGGGCGGGGAAACCCCATCTCATACCTGGTTGAGCCTGAACTCCCGCATTCGCGTTCGCATTAACACCGACGTTCGCACCCGGCCATGTTGGACCAGGGACGGGGGCCCATCCCGGCATGATGGGGTTCGGGACTGGGAAAGTATATTGCGGCTGTTGGTGAGGTTGTTGGGGCAACTGAGCATGAGCAAGGCCAGCAGCAGCAAGACTTTGGTTGACTCGCTGAACGACCGAGTCTACGAACGTTTGCCAGGGGTGTCCTTGCGGGCCTGGGGGTGGCGGGGGCGGCGGTGGTGTTGCAGCGCCATCCTGTTCTGTTTGTGGTTGCTGCTGGGGTTGAGCCGGTGCTGGGATGGGATTCTGGGCGGCCCCCGCGGCAGGAGCCTGAGGGGGTAAAGGGCCGAGAGGACCTTGATTGTTAACCTGCTCCACCAACTCATCGAGGCCTTCATCGTTCGAAGAAATAATAACTCCGTGATTCGTGCGCCGTACGTGGAAACCTCGGTTTCCAATGCCGACGTTGACATTGAGAGGATTTACCGGAGGGATTGGGGCGTCACCTTCGGTTGTCGTCGCTGGCGTTGTGGGGTTTGGATTGGGCGCATTATCGATGTTGTTATTATTATTCGCGTCTGCGTCGCCAGCAGGGGTATGTCCAGCGGTACCATGGGCTTGATCCCGCTCCATCTGCCGCCTCCTTGCGGCTGAGACATAGGTAAGGTTGTGTGGGTCGATGTTGAATCTGCACGTCGGGCACGTCGTGTGTCTTGGCCTTGAGAACCACGGAAGGAGACAGTCGGCATGGAAGACGTGGGCACATGGAAGGGAAACAATCTTCGGATACTTCTTCTCAGCAGGATCCTCCTCCTTCGCCTCTGACGTCGATGCCGACGATGAAGACGCCTCGCCCTCAGCTGGCATCTGGGCGAGATCCTCTTTCTTTACTTCCTTCCCAAAGCCCTCGCCCTCCGCATCCAACAACCGATCCCAGCAAATCGCACACATTCCATCCCCACCGCGCCCATCATCTTCGCCCGCCCCACCACTTGATCCTCCTACTCTCTCCAGCCGCCTTACAAGCCCCACAGGCACCTCCTCCAAGCCATCAACAAGCTTCCTCGCCCGCTCTGGGTCATCTTTCTCTTGTAGATCACCGAAGAGGCCTAACGGCAGACCCAAGCCACCGAGGTCCAGGTTCATTGCACCGCCAGGCCCTAAGGGGACGCCCAGTCGAGCTAGGAGGTCTGTTAGGCTTCCTGGAGGACCGTGGGGTGGGTTAGGTAGTGGCTGTTGCGGTTGTTGTTGTTGTGCGGCGGGCGGGGCATCTCCTTGCGCGGTAGGTGGCGGTTGTGAGACGGGGGCTGGTGGGTTAGCCATAGGCAATCCGAACATGATTGGCCCAGTGCTGACTTCCACGGTCATGAACCCGTCGTCAGTTCGATGCGTAAAGGTCCGAGTGGATGGTCCTTGCGCGGGGTTGTGGGCTGCGGCGCCTTCCGTGGGAGCTGCTGTGGGGATGGATGTTGGATTGGTGCTACTGTTGACAACGAAGTCCCGCAGGAAATTGAAGGGATTATGGGGTCCTGATGCAGCCTGCGCGGCATCGGTATCAGATAGGCCAGGAACAATTGTGTGGAACGGATTTGGGCCAACCAGCTGCGGTGCAGGGATAGAGGAAGGACCAGGTTGATTCTGGGGTAAAGGTGTGGAGGTGACAGAACGGGTTGTTGGGGTACCGCTGGGACTTTGAATACGTTGCGAGGGGTGTCTCCGATCCCTTTCCTCGTCCTCATCGTCATCCACCCGTGCACGTCTGTTATTGTTGCTGCGAAGCGAGGCCGTCCTCGCCATAGTGGGAGGCAGGAAGGCAGATGCTGAAGCAGGGACTAGGTTTGTTATTAGGTCGTTCCAGCTTTGAGCGAAAGATGGGGGAGCTGGTGTGGCGTCGTCGTGATCGACAGCCTGCATCTCGACTTCGTCGGCGTCTCTGTCCGAATCGGACTCCTCGTCTGAGGAGTCCGAGACCTCCTGCAGGCCAGGCATATCGCTGTAGTCGATATCCGCCATTACGATATCCGCGAGATCCTCCTCCTGAGAGTGTGAATCAGCATCGGGTGGCTGAGGAACAAAGGGTGGGGTTGCGGTGCCCCCGTCGCTGGCGTCGTTGTTGTGAGCGTCATTCTGGACGCTCCCTGCAGCCGAGACTGGCGCAGACGATATGGCGGGCAGTTGATCGTTGTCCATTACGGACGGCGGTAGTGGTCGTAGTGGGAGAAGAGACCCAGGCTCTTGCGGTCACTGCTTTACCCCTGTTGCCGCTTGTTTGCCGAGGGTGCTCAAGCCGAATTAGAAAATGCTAGAAGGTTAGAGTGAATACCTGAACCCTCTCTTCCCCACGCAAAGTGCCTGTCAGCTACACTTTCGAGGGTTCACTACAAGTCCCCTAGAATATTCACCTTCTGGGTTCGCCGCTTTTCCTTTTCGTGGCGTCCAGGATATGCATATGATGACTTGTATGATGCAATGTCCTTTGCCCCGCTCTCTCTCTCTCGATCTTTGTTGATTTCGAACCTACGCGATTTGTATGATGGAAGGCGTGAGATCGTCATCGCTTTCTACGCCCGCCATCGACGGCTCACACCCTTTTGTCGCTCCAGCCTAAACGCCCAATCGGATCCAGGGCTCGAGATGAGTGCCCCAGTATCCACTATAATTATAGAAAACTTCACACCTCACACGTATTCCGTGCTCTAGAGTAGAAGCACATCTGATTCTGGTCTTCCTTATGTCACTTACAATGATCTCTGCCCAACTCTGAGCTTTTAATTGTAGGTAACCCCAGTTCCCGACTCATCGCCATTGTCTAGGCTATGTAAGTAGCCTCTCGAGGGATTTCACAATGCCACCTGACAGTGCTGACACACTCGTATCTATAACAAGCTGCCTGTACATGATCAGATGTGGGGTATTGCATCGCCCTCGTGAGTTTTGCGTTAACCAAGGTACATGAGCGCTTATGCGATGCGACAGGGACGGAGACATGTTGGCGAGTGCCGTGCTGTTGCAGTTTTAGTTACCAACGACTCAATGTCGATTCTTTCCTTTGTTTGCAGATGTCTCTGGGGTATTGTGCAGATCAAAGTCTTTCGGCACTCTAGATGACATCGCCTCGTATCTACTTCACACGAAGATAAGCGTAGGAAACATGAATTCGCTCCTAGGATAATATCTTCTACCTAGACATAAAGCTTCATTCCGCTACTGTCAAATTCGGGCTGTTGGGTGCCGTCCACCCCAAGTCGGCATTTCCATATTAGGAGTGATGGCGGGACCCACAACTCGCCTCATGTCATCCGAGCATCGAACGACATCGTACCGTCAAACACTGCATTTCAACGACGTCATCCTCGAGATCGGAAAATTAATTGCGCTTGTGTTTTAACCGGTCTTCAAAAAATTGCGAGGGAATGCCCAAGAAAAGTCGTGGCTAGGAAGTTCGTGTCCCCTAGGGCGCGACTTTGAGTTGGAGCCGTGATGTAAGTAGTCGAGAACTGGGGCGATCTTCACGTTATGTTGACCTCATATGTTTGTATACTTGTATCGACTCCTGCTGATGCTGGGAAGCTTATTTTGTTTCAGCGCCTGCGATCTCTCCAATATCTTCGTTCCATTCCTAAGCATCCCGCAATTGAGCTCGAAATCTCTGCACACGTCTCCCTCACAACTCACCTCAGGTTTTTCCTTGATGAATTTCTGCATCAATTCCTTGCATTCAGCGTCATCGATTACCACAACTTCGACGCCGTTCTGACGTAGAAGGTCTTCGCCGCCCATAAACGTAGTGTTTTCCCCGATGACGACCCAAGGAATCTTATATAGCAGGATGGCACCAATACACATCGAACACGGGCTGATGAGGACGACGGAGAAGAGATTTTCTCAGTAGTTCTACCTTGAGGATAAAACAACGAACGCGCCTCAGTGTTGTATACTTCCCAAAAGATCACTTCAGCTCTATCTGCACTTTGATAACAGTAGAAGATACTCACTATCGTCGCCTTCCTATACACTTCCGCCTTTAACCTTCCTGCGTTTTCCAGCGCCGAGATCTCTCCATGAAGAATCGCAGACGACTTCTGAATCCGCTCATTATGTCCTTGACCCAGAACCTTATAGCCAAGCTGCCGTGGATCCGCCTTGGGGTCGCCCGACGATGCAGGGATGAGCAACACAGAACCGATGGGAATACCGCCTTCTTCGTAGCTTTTCCGGGCCTGAGAAATAGCGATTCGCAGTCCAAAAGGATCGATAGTCCCCCATCCAGACATTTCATGTATGAACCGCTGGCAGTGAGTGTAGATGTTTGGAAGAACTAAGATAGGAGCCAAATGGGACGCGACGTCACGCGTGCAGGTTGTGTGGTCATATTTGCTGCTGCGAATTCCATGTTGACAACTTTCGTTATCAGCGACTTCGTTGAACGTTCAAGAATCAAGATGTAAGTACCATATAGCTGGATTAATGGTCTCTTGCCAGAGGATGGAGGAAGGAAGTCCTAGGAAACGCCGGCGGCTAACAAAGATGCTTCGCGAACGACCGCAATATACTAGGGATGCTGAGTACTACGACGAAAATGCGGATTGCGCAATTTTGGTGGGAGAAACGCTCTTCAGGGCAAGTTCTCTCTTTCTACTCGGCCTCGATTTCTTATTCAACGTCACATAGGCTGTAATCTGGCAGATCTACAAGGGTTTGCTAATCCGAGCGTCCCCTCCCTTGAAAGACATGTTCTCCAATGGATTTCGGCCGATGCTACTGAGGTCGTAGTTTCTGACGTTGGAGACCGCATCCATCTCAACCGATGACATCCGAGCTTTTTGTTGGGCTTTGACTGCCTTGTGAGTGCTGGTGTTGGTTCCAAATGGCGTCCTGCTGAACCCGGTCGCCCCATGAGCCCTGCAATAATCTTAGCCCCTCAAAGGCGAAGTACGAAAGATAATTTCGATTTTCTACGTGTCCAAGAAATATAAATGCGTCCAGTTCGAAATTTGGGCTGGCGACCTCCTCACCGGGTACAGTAATAGCCCGAACACCCAGGTCTTTGCAGGGTGTAGCGTCGGCGATTTGAAGCGTGTCATGTCCGTTGCCTCAAAATCGCACAGGGACGCGTTAATTTATAATCTCACCAGTTTATGTCTTCATCGCATTGACGAGGACGACAAATTGTCGACGAAGGACCCCCTCAACTTTGGGGAAAGCCTCAAGAACCGCTTCTTGCAAGGACACGCGTACTATGCCGAAGTGAAGCGCACGAAAACCCCAGCCCATACTGGTGATCCAACCGACTTTACTCTTCCACAAAACGACTTCAGTGGCGTGCAATCCAATTGTCTGTATCGTGGCTTCTGGATGCTATCAGCTTTCTGGGCAAGCATTCAAGTACCTGCTATTCAGCCAGATGCACCGCAGGATCACCACACACTCTGTCTCGAGGAATGGCAACTGGCTCTTTGATCCCTTAGGGACCCTTCTCGCCTTCTCCAACAGCAGCAGACGCCAGATAATCGATCGAACGCCAAACCCAAACCGCTGCAATTGTGGTTTCAAGGACTTTGCACGCGAAGTTCATGACAAACTTCACGCTGCAATGGCGGATTACTTCGTTCTGCCCGTGACAAGTGCAAGTGCGTAATCCTGAGATTAGTAGCAAATGCGGCGCTCATACACGATCTGCCCTAGAAGATGGACCAGCCCGCCGCCCTCAAGCTCAATGGAGTGACTTTCGCGTGTCAGACTCGTCAACGAGTGGATCCGATTCCGATGAGGACCTCGATTAAATCATTTTGATTGCACAATGCAGACATTACGCGAATCCCCCTTTGAGAGGCTACGGGCTTCCGTCGCTCCTTACTTTGCTCGGGAAATGGATAGACAAGGCAATGTCACAGTAGGGATTACCTTCATTGAAACAGGGAGCCGCGGAAGAGCAAATGTAGTATTACCCACTAGACCAAAGCGAATTCTGCTACACTTCGACTTGCGACTCGAAGGCTGCTGAATTGATAGTTTTTTCCCCTTTTTCTTCGTGCTATCCAGCGGGTTTATCCCTCGACACATGGTATTTCGACCCAGATGGCAACGAATGGACTCTGATCAACCAAGGTTAGCACTACATACTTCATCTCTTCACTTTCCGAGAAAGCTTGATATGCAGACAAATTTCTAGATATCGTGGAATCTGTACTAGATGAGACATGAAGGAGATAATTACTTCCTACAAGATATTTGCCTCGCTTCGCTTCGGCCATAAACAAAATCCGCCACTGAGCAGAATCTCAGAAGAACAATTTCGGATGAAACTCGAATTCCTGTAGGACCACAGTGCAAAAATGAATGAAACTCAAGGACTTGACTTGGAGACTGGCAGCTTGAGAATATGCGGAACCTAGCCCTGTGTCATACGATCAAAAGTTGACGTTTTGGAAGGGGTGGAATCTCAATAGACTAAAGTCTGGGGCCAATGGAACTCGGAAAGGCAAGCCTGTGGCTCATGTGAAAGAGCAGAGTTGACACGATAGACACGCGCAGTGCAGCTGAGCAGAGCGCTTATGTGAAAGGAGAAAAAAACAGGGGATGAGAGATGAAGATGAACGTATGTGGAGGGAGAGAAAGGGAATAGAGGAGCACTGAGGGAAGTAGAGGATCAAAAGTTACAACGGTGTGTAGGGTACAGTAATAAATAATTGTCCGTCATGCAATACTCTAGAAAATAAGGACACATAGACTAACGGAATAAGAGGGGAAGAGAAAAAATTAAGAAGCATTGAGGGGAATCGAGGATAGGACATTGCCTGATGACCCAGGGGTAGAACAATAAAGTGTCTGAGGGAGGAGAGACGAAACGGGAAAACGGGCACGAGCAGACGTACAAACAGACGTACACGAAGTCGAGGGATCTGCTTCATTATAGAGGTAATCTAACTTTGGAGCTCCGAAGGAAAACCGGTCGTCTGCCAAGAGAAGATATCCAAGTCTGGCGCAGGTTTATCCCCCACAAACGTCACATATCAACTTGTGCCCCATAATTCTGAGCCTGGGACGTTCCGACGTCGTACCGTCGAGAATCCTTTGTCAAGACTCAAGAGGATGCCGTGTGACTTGCCACAGCGAGCTTACGATCTTGTACGTTCGGGAGTCAGAAACATCTCAGCATTTACCCCTCCCTCTTTCAGAGAGAGTTTTTCGAACCATAAAGACGGAGACAGCGAAGGCACAGGTTTTAGACTTAGAGTATCATTGTGTCGAAGCGCCGTCGGACGTCACGTGCTATTAATTTTGCAAGCCGTGGTATTGGTACGCGCCCATGTCCTTTGTCTCCTTTGTGTCAACGAAAGCAAAGAGGAAGGGTCGTAAGTACTACTTAAAAGCAGAAGTCACTCTTGTTTCCATCCAACTCACTCCTCTCATCTCAGGCACCTTCACACAGGCACCTTTCCACGCGTCGGGTTCTGAAGGTCAGCATGACAGTGAAGTTGTGACTTTTTGGTCTCCCAGAGCAGCTAATATTCGCACATCGGTAGAGAATTACAATGGCACACCCACCTCCAGTAAAGAAACAAAAAACCAGCATGTCTTCTTTCTGTCCGGTGGCTCAGTCGACTGTCACCTTGTCGAACTCAAACCAATGGAATTGGGACGAAAGATATTACCTAGAAGATGGAGATTGCGTACTGCTGGCGGAAAACACTCTTTTCAAAGTGCGTTTTATGCCACCGATACATCCGACCTGGAAGCCGATGTAAACTGGCGTGCAGATTCCCAAGGCCTTGCTCGTTCGGGCGTCCAATCTTATATCAGTGACACATCGACTATCATTGTGGAACTATTAAGTAGGTCTGTCTAGAGAGACTAGCGTCCAATGCTCCAGCTTTTCGGGCCAAGTTTGGTCATCCAAATGATGCAGGGAGTGTCGCGCGCTTTTCGGACGAGAGTCCACTCGAGTTTCATGATTCCACTGATGATATCCGTGCACTGTGTTGGGCACTGACTGCGTTGTAAGTCTAATCAGTTAAGATGTGACATCATCTCTCACAGCTAGTTTAAATGTAGCCCTGCTACAATTGCGGCCCAATGCTATCCTTCAACAGTTCAGATCGGGTGTATCATTTCCATCTTTCATGTGGGGCACAAGTATCGATTGGACAAATTCGAAAAGTGGGCTGGGGATCTGCTCACAATATATAGTGCCAGGAACGACTGCGAGAAGGTGTTTGAAAGGTGCACCATCGACCAATTAAAAAAGGTCCTCTTCATTGCCTCTCATTCGACCTCGACTCCAACACTAGTTGCGGACATCACATCACTCTGGTTTGCCAAGCTCAGCATGAACCCTGCCTTGTCTACCAAGGACGCACTCGATTTCGCAGAACGCACTAACAACAGGACTATACAAGGACGCATATATTATCTGGAAGTCGAGCGCATGCTACTTCCAGATTGCGCCTGGGATTCGATACCACCAATCATCCGAGTCACCCTCCCCAAGAACGAATTCAGCGATTCGCAATCACTGCAGCTATATCGTGGCTTCTTTCTTCTGTCGGCCTACTGGGAAGGCCTCAAAACACCGGGATTTTTGAAGGATACCACACAGGGCCACCAAAATACCTGCCTTAAAAATTGGCATTCTATGTGGGAGCATAGGGACATGGCAGTCCTTGCTCCTCTCAAGCGGCTGCGCGCATTTTACTCACCAAAAGAGGCCGACAATACTGGTATTATTAGTTCTGATTGCGAGTTCTGTGCCAAGCATGCAAATCACCTACACCAACAGCTTCTCGCTGATTTTTTCCTCGGTCCTCCGACCGCTTCGGGTCCTGGAGTCAGAACATGACTTATTATACACTCTATCCTATTGCAAAATATACCTCTATTTCATCCCACGGTATTTCCGGAACTAAGTACTTAGGAGTCATCGGAAATTAAGCCACGAGATGACGTCACGCGTTATGTGGTCGTATTAGGCACGGGCATTGATTGTGGCAGTGACTCATGAAAGCACTGTCCGGTCCTCAAACGCCACCACAATCGCCAGGTATTATCAATCGTCTTTTACAAGGAATTTGTTGGTTTTACAGAGTATTATTTTTATACCAAGACTAACCATTATGATATCTCAGAACATGTCAGAAGAACCCCCAGCAAAGCGTCCAAGGACGAGTACTGCGGCAACATCTACAACCGCAAGCTCACAAAGGGACTGGAAGAGGGACGAGAAATATTATCAGGAGGAGGGAGATTGCGTGATTCTTGTGGATAAAACATTGTTTAAGGTGCGCTGTGCCCTCTGCACCCATCTACCACTCCAGTCTGACCTTGCGAGGTTACTATAGATCCCAAGGATCCTCTTAACCCGAGCATCGTCGGTCTTTCAGGACATGTTCACACTTCCACATGATCCGGGAGTCGACATGGAGTCTCTTCAAGACGGTAATCCGCTTAGACTTCATGATTCTGTTGAAGATTTCCGTGCCCTGTGCTGGGCTTTAACGGCCTTGTGCGTACTACAGCTTCCGTGGCTAATCGTTCATTGATCTCGTATCCAGTCCCGCAGAAATATCAGCACAAAACGACCCTTCCAAGGTTAAAATACGTCGTCTTGTCTCTCTTTTCCATATCGCGAACAAGTACCAATTCACCGAGTTCGAGACCTGGGCTGGCGACATGCTCAAGCAGTTCAGCTCCTTGAACATCAAATACCGCCCCGTCTTCTCACAGTGCACGATCGAAGACTTGAAACGAATTTTGCTTGTGGGGAGAACGACTTCCAATAATCAGCTACTCGCAAATTGTGCCAGGAAATGGCTTGACCGACTTGAGAATGACGCAAGTTTATCCACGAAAGAAGCTCTCGACTTCGCGGAAACGATCTCATACCGTTATTTCGAAGGCCACATATATTACCAAGAAGTAAAACGCATGAAAGTTCCCCTTCATACTGTCGACCCAACGACCATCGCCTTCCCTCAAAATGGTTTCAGTGAAGCTCAGACTCTTCGCCTTTATCGTGGATTTTGGTTACTATCTGCCTTCTGGGAGAGTCTTCGAAAGCCTCCGATCCAACAGAATGACCAACAAGACCACAAAACCAACTGCTTGCAGGAGTGGCAGGGTATGTGGTCGCGCGACGATCAAAACAACACTCTCCTTGATCCTCTCAAAATTCTCCTGACATTTTCTCAATCCAAAGACCAGGCTTTAAATAGGTCAAGAGCTGGCGTCTGTGGGTGCAAGTTCAAACAACATGCGGACACTATATACAGAAAGCTTTATGCTGCGATGGCGGATTATTTCCTCGGTCCTTTACATCGTCCTTCTGCCCCTCCCAACGTATAATGCATTAAATATCCTGGTATTTATTTTATTTTGCATATGCGTCCCGATACTCTTTCCCTTCCATTCATTGCTAGCCCCATCTATACCAATTTTTCTGTATATTCTATTATCAGAATCAGTAGCTTCAACTTTGAACTAACAAGGATGAGATGGAATCATGACGAGCGTTGGGCGCACCTGATATGTTATGATCAGGAGCCAGTGCTTTCAATTGTTCACCTTCCGAATATGCAAGTTCCCTAATCCTGCTTTACTCATCCCCATTGAATTCGCTCTTATCGTTTAGTTCTTACAAGCCTATAGCCAAAGCAACACAATAAGTCTCCCACAATAACCACGACAAAGCGTCCACTATCACTTGTCTTCCAACTGCTTCTCTGGTCAGTCTCTAAGGCTGCATGGACAGCCACTAATTGACTTTCGGAGCCGCCGAGTTAGCAAACAACAATGACGGCGTCGACCTCGACGCTTATCGACCCTCTTTTGTCAAGGGCCACTCTTGTTCTTCATTCGCGCCTCAAATACGTGGATGGACCCTCCGCGATGACTCGTTTTGACCCTCCGTTACGCCTCCGCACGCCCTCTGACGACCCTACGATCCCGAGACGAACCCCCGTTGCCTAGATCGCTACAACACCCCATGGCCATGGCTTACAAGCAGAAGCTACGACGTTCCAAGCAGCGGAAGGCCCCGCCTCCGAAGGAGATACCGCCTCTTTGTCCACCGACGCCTCAACGCGCTAGCTTCGTCGAGCAAAAGAAAAGCGTGGATCTGGTGGATAGGACCGATAGGCCTGCAATCCGTTTCGTGAGGGTAGAGGACAGGCTAATCAAGGTCAATCCGAATACCTTCGTCGATCTCGCTTGAATCACTGACCTGAGTCTTTGTCGCCCTTAGGTTCCTGAAGGGCTCTTTGCGCAGATGTCGGGACGTATCCGTGATTCTCTCGGGTTCACATCTGCCACTGGTGGAGGATCGACACCTGAGCGGCCCATCTTCCTTCGAGGGCACACGAGCGATCAGTTCGAGCAGTTGTTGCGTGCATATAATTCATAGTAAGCACCATTCATCACTGACCCGAAACAGAACTTACATGGTCACCGACATCCAGCCCGTCTCTCGATATGCGCACTATGACGCTCGACAACATCCTGACCATTGGCGAGCTCGCTGTGGGGTACGAAATGCGTATCCTCGTCGAGTGGTTGCGCCCGTGCTTGCATATCCTCGTCTTAGACCACAACACGCCCCTGCGGACAGCCGGTTCGCGCGTCTACCAGCGCATGCTCTGGCTCGCGATGTGCCTCAGATCGTGGAAGATCTATACATCGATCGTCGACAAGTGGATCTCTCGCCTGTACTGGGGCCAGCTGCCGCCTATCCCAGCGCTCTTGTTCGCGGATGCGCATGGGATAGCACATCTACTCAGCCATGCGTGCTACGTCTACCTCGTTGACGTCCAAAAGCTGCTGACGACGGGGAAGAACATCAACGAGAACGGGGCCCTTAGTCCGCGGCAGGAGATGTACATCAAGTCGGGGTACCTCTCGCTCAAGACGACGTGGAGCAAGCTGCAGCGCAACGCGCTCGAGTTCCGGAGCTCGGGGTGTGTGCTGCACGCGCAGTGCGTGAGTGTGTGGAGGCAGCGGTGGAAGGCGTTCGCGAACGCGCCGTGCTCCACATCGGACGTTGATGTCCTGAAGCGGCTGTCGTTCATGGAGGATAGCTTGAGGGAGGATGTAGTCCTGGACAGGTGCATGGCTCCTTCATGCAAAGCGCTGGCGCTTGGTGCGATAAAGAGAAGGCGAAATGAGATGGCGCTGGAGCTTCACCATCACTTCGACCTTTGAGGTTAGTCCGTAGCTCTGCGGATCTTGCTGATGTCACTCTGCGAGGCTCGCACCTTCTCCTACTCTCCTACCACGCCTCCACGGCTCAATTGACTCTGGATAATCCAGGGCCCGACGCGTTGGAAGTTACGATATATATGATACCACTACCTACATCATACCACCTTACTCTATTGTAGTCGAATATTCGTTTACGGTATCTTATCATCGGCGCCACTAGCGGTTGAATCTGCTGCGCCACATTGTCATTTGTTTTCCTCTTTCGTCTTGACTGTGATTCCCGCGAAACACAATCCAATATGGTTTAATGTATACGTGGCCTAAGCTGCACTCACATCATTGCTAGGTCAAGAGGCCGTACTACTACTTGTGGAGTTGCTATTTGATTTCATTGACAAGTTCCGGGATCTAACTGTGAGATATCCTTTACAGATGCGGTTGACTCAGGAATCGACGATCGTCCTCCTTTGGAAAGTTCTCGCTGAACAGCGGGTACCATGGAGTGGGTACGGATGGGTCCACGGAGGATAGCCTTCTTTGGCAAAGAAATTCATGGAACATCGCCTTGTGCCCCCTGGACCGAAATAGCCTGAATTGTACCGACGGCATCTCGACTTCAATCGTACTTCGAGATAACACTTATAGCTGCCTCTCCGTGACTCGAAAACCAAGAGCATGAAACCAGACGCCACATAAACTATGTGAAAACGCAAGGCAACGGCGCCAATCCTTTCATCTCATTGAATGGACATATAGAAGTAAAACTCACCCAGAAGTTTGGTGTCGGTGCGGGATGTGGAGCTATTCTATCGTCCTACCAAGCTTTGACTCACTACATTGCTAGTGTTAGGCATACGTGGGTGCAGTTGAGTAATGTAAAGCCCCTCAGCTTGAAGAGGGGCGCAAACGGGTTGGAGAGAGAAAATTAGAAATGATGTCGGTAGACAAATTACCATTGAGCTCGTCTCCGACTCGGGGGCGTTGCTCCCGCACTAACATCAGGCGGGCGCTTCGCACTCGGGGCGCGCGTACCGCTTGCGCCAAGGAATTTATGACGATAATCAGAACCCCAAATTACGGGATTGGAGCTATAGAACAGATGAATAACGTTCAACACCTGCCGCTGGACAAGACCTCAACGCCTCGTTCTGGGGTTTGTCCTTTGGACTTGGGTAACCTTGGTCTTGAGAATTATCTCACAGGACCACGTCTTCTTTGACTTGGGAAGCGTACGGGCATCAAATGAGATCAAATGCTCCTTGATCATCGTATCTGCCATAGTCCGATTCGATGCGTGATTCTGGCTCAGTCTAGCCCAGCCAGCCTCTCGTCGTAAGCTAGGATTTTTCCAAGGAATCATATTCACGAACTCAAATAATCTCAGGCAGTTATATATCTTCCCTCTGGATCGTCATGCCTGCTGGTCAGTCTTAAATCATGATGTCAGCATTAATGACGTCACAGCGATCGGGCCATCCAGAATTTACATTTTCGTCACGCGTGATGATCGTCGGTTTGGTTCTTCAGATTTATAATTTTCCGGACATAATTGAAGTTGCCTCTTGCCACCACCTTGTGCGAGTCTACCCCACAATATTTTCACCCTCTTTTTCTCCCCTAGATCTACCTAAGGCGCACCCCAAACGTGCCCATACGCCAAGCACCTGACGCACGAACTCTCTGAGAACATGAAACACGCAAAAACAGCATAGCTTCTTGGTCCTGCCCTCGTGCACGGACGGTTTAGCTAGGTAGGACGTCACTCATTTCCCAGCGCACTCACGCGATAATAAACTTCACTTTGCCCTCCTCTTCAGTTGAGCTTAGGTTTCTTGTCTTTCCTTCCAGAGCTTTCGCCAAACCAACTGAGGGTTACATAAGCACACCACCGAGAACATTCTGCTACCGGCGGAGGCTTGCATCTCTCTTCCACGACGCTTCGCTATTCTGCGCTTTTTTAGTAACGGACCACATCTGTTGACGATCTCCGAAAGATATCCCACGAGGCTGTGGAGATAGTGGAGAGCATGGTGTACACCAGAAAAGACGCCCTCGATCAGGCAAGAGTGTTCCTGTTCTGAAGGTATAGGCTGCAGCGGCTCTGATTTGCCTGCGGGATAGCCTCATTGTACGTACGTTCCCCTCACAGGCAGCGCTATCTTCGCTGATAAAGCACTACCGCCACGAAGGGACTTGTGTCGGCCCCTGACTGGTACACGTTGGGACGGTGGCGGGATTGCGCAGCACGGACTCCTCGAATTCCTCTATCGGAGGATCTTGGTCCCCGTGCAACTCCAACCGAGAGAGAAGAGCCCTGATGAGCAAATGTATGCCGCCTCCTCCACGCAAGATGTTTGTCTGAGGGTGCATCGCCATGCCTGATGACGTCATACTTCACACGAAAGCGGTCTGCTACTTAAAGATTCATCCTCGAGCTTCGCGACAGAAATCATAATTGCACCAGCGAAAAGAACCATCCAATCTGCAGATAAAATACTGTAGTCAACCAAGAAATCTTGCAAAAACATGTGAGCATCGGTCTTTTATCCTTGTCCGACCAGTTCACCAATGCGCCACAGCCTGCTGTTTGGGAAGCGCCTTAGTAATGGTCGAAGCGCAGCTCGGTGAACCCGTTCTCCGTGCACGAACTCCAACGCCAGGGCGGTACAGCTCCCATCCCCGTTTTTCTGGCCACGACGGTTAGTATCACGTGCAGGACGTCCACGTGCTTGTCCTGTCGAAAAAAATGGTCGCGTCTAAATATCGTCGACCAAGTTGAAGGAGGAGTGGCTCCTCCGTTACCCTTCTTTCATTTCCGTTTCCTCCTCCGTCTTTGTTATGCCGGTTCCTTACTTTATTATTTAGACCCTGGCTTCGAATCTCCCCGCCTTTCTCGAAATTCTCCAGGTATGTCTTCTCTCTCGCCCCCGCCATTTCTAGTATTTTCCACGGCTTGCGTGTTCTTGCTAACGCCCTCGTTTTGCGCAGAGCTTTATGACCAATCAGCTACCTCCACCCCGACTTTAATCGCCGAAGATACAGGTACCTCTGGCAGTGACATAGACGTCTCGGATTCCATGCGTGGTGATGATAGTAAAAGCCAAATGTCGGATTCTCCCAGGCCAGACCCCGCCATTCCTTCGTCCAGCCGTCGACGCCCTCGTACCCAGCTGACGCACCCTCAACGGCCTTCCCCCAGCCCTCATCCCTCCCAGTCGTCATCAAGCCATGCCTACCCCATTCCTTCACCGACTTCTTCCTCTGAAAATATTCACAACCGCCCACCCGCTGGATTTCAAGGATCGTCACTCCACTACCCCTCTTCCCCGGTGTCATACGCCCAAAGGCCCAGCTACGTGGGACAATACACGATTTCCCCCCAACCTAGCCCAATAACGATGGCACCGTACGCGTTTCCCCACACCTACCACCATCCAGGGGTGCCAGACAGCAGCATGATGTCGCAGAGTATACACGCCAACTATCAGCCTATGTTGCAACACCACGCGCCGGTTTATTCATATCAACGCCCGTCGCCGGATGGAGGCTCGTCGTCGCACCCCTCGTTCTCGGGAACACGAACGCCGATGTATCCCCCTCATCAAACCAGCCCTTCCACGCCCTCAACGTCACCCCACATGGCCTCGACCTCGGGCCAGAGCAGCGCTCTTGCGACGTCGTACGTTGGAACAGGTTTCCAATCCTTACGTTACCCATCGCCCATGTCCTCGACACCCTACCCATACCCGACCCAGTCGTATCAAGCTTCACCCATGTACCAATCCCAATATCCTCCTCCCTATGGTCAACACTACACCCCACCTGCCGAGACCGAGCCTCAAGGGGCGTGGTTCTACCTACCCCATGCCAACCCTATGCCCTCGCCTCGACAGTACGACGGTGGACAACCATACTACTCTCCGGTTACCTACGCTCGAATAGGTCCTCCAGATGATGGCTCCTATGGTGCCGGTCCTTCTCCGTCAACCGTCAATCCACCCGCTCACACAGACCCCGCATTGCCCAGCGTCCAGCGTTTTACCCAGCATGCGGTGGAAGGACATACGACTTTGGGCTCCCCACGTGCCTCCGGGGCAGGGCCCCCTGCCGCTCCTGCCGCGCCCAGTGTTTCTTCTAGTAACGCTGGACCACCACCACCAATCACCGACAAACCCGTAGTCCGACGGTCATACCACCCGAACCCCCCTGCGCACCGGTCGGAATGGGTAATGTGGGCGGGGAACGTGCCCTCGGACGCAACACATGACGAACTCTGGAGGTTTTTTAACCAGGCCAACGAGAGTTCTCAGGTGGAAGACGCTGGTGTCATGTCGATTTTCCTCATCTCGCGTTCGAGTTGTGCGTTTGTCAACTACGAGAACGAGGAGTTTTTGCATGAGGCGATCAAGATGTTCAATGGGGTACCACTACGCGCCAATGACCCACGGTGCGCGCGTTTGGTCTGTCGGGTAAGGAGGAAGGATGATGACCTGAAGGCGGGGGTGGGCGGACAGAGGGGGATGGGGATGCACACCAGATACGTCAGGGAGCAGAAAGGCAAGGCGAGGGAAGGTGCATCGTCTGATGTTTCCGCGTCGGACGACCTATCGACATCGCCCACGAGTATATCGAGCCGCTTAGCTGCGGCTATCTCGACTGTGTCGATATCGAGCGACGAGGGCGAACACCGACGCGGTGTCCACGCAAAGCACTCGAGCAGCTCGGGGTCGTACACATCGACTAACTCCAGCTTTCTTACGCGCCACTTTCCCAGACGCTATTTCATCCTCAAGTCTTTGACGCAGGTGCGACCCTTGTTCTGGTTGTCGACGTTGGGGAGTCCCTGGACCTGATCGTCTTTCTTACAGTCTGATTTGGACCTTAGTGTTCGGACGGGTTTGTGGGCTACTCAGAAGCACAACGAGGAGATTTTGGATCAGGCCTTCCGAACAAGCAAGGAAGTATATCTAATCTTTGGGGTCAACAAGAGTGGAGAGTTTTTTGGGTACGCGAGGTGTGTCATTACTCTGGCTCGTTTTCTCTCTTTCTTTATTGACGTCTAATAGGATGGCAGGCCCCGTTCGACGAGGCGAACAACGCATCTCGTGGGCAACTCGTTCATCTCAATCTCCAACATCACGTTCAGCGCAATCCCCGCTTTCTACCCGCTCCGTGGCATCTTCGAGTAAACCTACAGAGCCATTCTTCTCTCCCAGCGACCATCGACTCGTCGACTCGTCTCCCTTGGCTGTGGATGGCACTTCTCCGGCACCACGATCAACCGCACCTCGTGGACACACCTCCGCACCTGGCCTCCTGGGTGAAGGGTATAAGCTGCCCACCATCGAGACACCGAAGACGATGCACAGTCTTGACCATCGAATGCAGGTTGAGATGGCCACAAGACGCGACGAGCCTTCCACAGCATTCGAGCTGGACGCTGACGCACCTCTGAGAGCGGTCCGAGGGTGGCAGCAGGGTGGAAAGGCCGCATCGCATACGCTGCGTTCAGTCGAAGAGGGGGACGAGCCGGCGGCAGCGGGAGCGGAGGAGCTGAAGCTTACGGCGGAAGATTCTTGGGGAGATAGCTTCGCGGTCGAGTGGATATGCCTGGAACGGTTACCGTTCCCGCGGACAAGGCATCTCCGGAATCCTTGGAACCATGACCGAGAGGTCAAGGTGTCCCGAGATGGGACAGAGCTAGAGCCGACTGTTGGACAGCGGCTGATAGAGGAATGGGATAAGCTTGCGTCCGAGCCGCAATTACCGCCCACCACGACAGCACCACCGAAGCCGTCTGGCAGACGAGCAGGAAGTGGGAGGAATGTACCGGGAGCGATGGTAGCGACGCCGGAAGGAGATGCATCGAGGGAAGGAACAACAAAAGGAGGGCCATTACGATCATGATAAACACGACTCGGTCAACTCAAAAACAGCACCAAAAACACTCAATAGTACTTCAAAGTCATTCACCAGCATAATAAAACACGTACCTGCATCTAACGACCCTAATCCCCTACCCATCTACAATCATGTAAGTGATTCGTCCGCTATCCACACTTTTGACCAGTTTGCTCAAATGACAGTCTCCTTTCATATGCTCGTTCTGCCTTCCGGCCATCTTTTTAATCTCGAATCCCGGCTTTCGCAGTCTATCGCTTGCACGACTCGACCGGAAAACGCTTGTCATTCACGAAACAAGACTGTCACTCTTTTCACCTTGGGAATCTAAGTGGACTTTTTGCATAAACATGGCCAACCACACACATGCTGGTTTCTCGTCGCTGTTATACCTGCCGCAACTCTCTTTGGCCCTCTGCTTTGTGGCGTTCATCGCCTTTTTTGTAGCCATAGGTAGAATCTCATCGCATATACACTCGCACACTCCTCGCTTTGACACACACATCTCCTTGTAACACCTTGTATCACTGGTATCATACACGAAAAACGCTAGTGCCATGGGTTTCTTATGAGTTCTACTGCATTGGAAAATTGTTGGACATACTTTCTCTTAGCAGAGTCCAGACACGGGCAGGAGACGAGGCACGCCGACGTTTTTCAGTCCAAACTTGGATGAGATCGTCGCAAAATGGTTTGATCACCTGATTTATGGACTAAACTAGTACACCGGGCCGAGTCGGATGTCACCCCTTACTCATCCTCTGCTTTACCATGAGAAATAACGTTCTTCTTCTTACCCTCACTTCGAACCTTGATGACGTTCACAGAGCTGCCCAGGGAACTCATTGAAGAAATACTGGTCGTCTGCGACCCAGTTGACCTGACCAGGATAGCACAAACGTGTTCGCTCATGCGGTCAGTAATCTATCTCGCCGAGGACAGCAAATTATGGCGAGAGATGTACCTCGAGCTGCCTTTCGACGACCCAAGAATATGTGTCTCGCAAAATGGCGTCAAAATTTGCGAACCTATCGACTGGAAGGGGGATCTACAGAGGATTGTGAGGGCGGAGACCGTGGTGGACAACTTATGCGTGGTACGGCCTGGAGAACTTGAGAACGTACTGCAAACGATTCTTCAGGTGACATGCAACGTCCGCCCCTTGACATCTCTCGAAGTCAACGACGACGTGGAGGACGAACTCTCGTTAAACCTACTCGGAGTAGCAGCGAAACTTCGACATGGCTTCCTCGATCGCTTGGAGGAGATGGAAGGGTTGACATTTGCAGAGCGCCAGCTAACTGCGCGATTGCATACGTATTTCGGCCTTACGAAGAAAGACACCACTCGGCAGAGCATCATCAAGTCCCGAGCCTTCGTGTACTTCTTGGGCAATTATCGCCCCGAAACGGAGTATGGTCCGTTCCTAACCACAGGCGCCGTGAATTGGGAACACATGCAGGCGATACATCACGTCGTTTCGGTACACATTGTTGATTTGGACGAAGATCAGGAATTCGAATTCGCCTTTTTCCCTATGAGTTTGCCATTCACGCAGATAGTCATCCCGAAGGGCATCGTGCTCGACGAAACAGAAGACTGGGTCGGAGTTGCGGGTGATTGGAGCGTCTCTTTTTGTTTCTGTGACCATAGAGAACTTTTACGTGGGTGTCTACTATTCTTGAAAGCAAACACGAGCGCTGATAATCGTTCCAGGTTTTAATGAGGCCAGTGTATGCGCATTCCCTTCTCTTATTATCGCGGCGTTCACTTATCTAAACCTTTGTAGGCGAAGGGACTGGATACATCAGTCTTCGAGGATCCAGAATTTCGTGAGGTGTTTCGCACTATCGAAACTAAGCTGTGGTTCGCGAAGGCGGCGCCAGATCCCGACCACCCGACAAGGCCGGTCATCTATTTCTACGGGGAGATGCAAAGCCCATCGTCAACGATGACTGGACATATTAAGATGACTGTGGATAATCAAGTCGCGTGGCATTTCGTGCGTGGTTCGCTTTCTTGCCTGTACGGTGCGTTGGTTGACAACGTGAGATAGACTTCTGGAGAACAAGGAAATGCTCTTTGGAGGTTGGTAGTGAATTGTTCCATCTGGAATACTCCCCTAACCCCGTCGACAGTTCTGCAGGCATCCAAGTTGGAGGGCTGCAATCCGGCTACGGCGTTTTGGGCTCGTGGTCTACTATTTTCCACGACTCTGATGATCCCGTCGGTGAGTCATCTTTATTGCTCCTTCCGCTTCTCTGAAGTGTTGTTTGCCTCTTCCCGTAGGACCTTTTTGGATGCAAAAGCATCGACACGATGGTGTACATGCGCCTTAACCATCTATTTTATTCTGATGATACATGTCATCAATGCAGAGAAGTTTATGTATCACTTGCCACGCTGAGTTATAACTGCCATCACGATACACCTTCCCGCCTTCAGCACGAAATGTGGACTGGACATGACGCCACAAGGGTGACGCCTCTGGCCTTCTGTGCTCGTCGGTTGTCACCAGGAGCGTTCGCGACCGAAAGGCTTTCTCATCCCAGTTACCGTTGGAATCGAAGCCTGAATGAACGTAGGACATGTGGGCGCCTACTAGTAAGAGGACGCCTGCCAGCCTTGCTCTTCGTCCGTATCTGTCAGATTGACAGATTAGCTGGAAGATCAGAAAGTAATACTAAAGGTCGTGAAGCAAGGGCGAGACGTACGTGTGAGTCAGCCATTGCTCGACTTTGTCAGGGCGGTCGTCCAGAAACGTGGAGAGGAAAACCATCGCACGACCTTTTCCTGGAACTTTGTATCGTATATCTTTCTTCTTGGCTCTATCATAAAAGCCTGACTTGTGATCAGTGCCAGAGAGGATCTCAGACGTGAACTGGGTCGTGTAGAAAAGTTTTCATATTATCAATCTCGCGGGAGGAACATAGCAAACCTTTTCTCGTTCAAGCAATGACCCTCTGACACTAGAAGAAAAGAATGAGATCTATACTCCTGTTGTCATCGAGAGAGAGAGAGAGCAACTTACAGGATGAACACGTCCTCAGCCGACGTAGGGTCATCCGTAGGGAAAGGCTCGTATTGCCAGGTAAAATTTGGCCAAAACTTGTCCGCCTCAATCTCGGCGACTAGCGAGTTGTGTGCAGAGCTTTCTAATGGCGCCTGCATACGAAAGTTCAATTTAAACGTTGAGAATGGATAAGGAGATGAGGGCATACAAGTTCGTGACGAGTATTGAGAAGCACCGTAAGGGCATTCCTGGCGTGAATGGATTCCCATGGCGATCGATTGATGATCGTGCCATAAAGCGCCACAATGTCCAAATCGGATTGGACTTGGGTGGCTTCGCGACTGATACCGGTTAGGTGACAAAGGTCAACGGTCGGTGTAAGATAATTCAAAATGAAGCGAGGATCCAACCCAGTGTCTTCGATGATATCTTTGTCAATAACTAAGCAAAGGGAGCTCCAAATTAACTCGCCTTTCATTTCATGAATAAGGCCAAGAAATGCGCGGGCAAGTGTCTTTTCTGCTTCTTGAATGTCAATATAGTATATCCTAGATCTACTCTTGTCGCATAAGAAGTCCGGAAGGGAAGCATGGTGAATCTTGATCGCTTCTCGTCGACCATTGAAGGTAACCAAGGACAGAAAGCTGTTAAGCAACAGCCTAATGTCACCGCGTCGCAGGCGAAGAAGCCGTTCAAGCATGTACCACTGTGCCCGAAATGTAGGTTGGAAGTTATCCTATTTTTTATCCTGTTTTAGGTGGGTATTCATCTGCTTTCAGGATGAATTTCAGCCAGTGTAGGATGAGTCTTGAGTCTAAAGTAGGATGAATACTGTAGGATGAATCGCATCCTATTAGGGACAAAAACATCCAATTTTAGGATGACAGTTTTTGACCGTCCCCAGCATGATACAGGATGAAATTCAGCCTTTGGTCGGATGATTGTCACGGCACCACCATCTTACCACACAGGATGAATTTCATTCAGCCTCTGACTGCTTGTCACACTAGTATTGGTTGAGCAGAAATAAGTGTATTGAGCAATTATAAAATACAGAAATGAGATTCCTCAAGGTACAGGTATACTAACGAGATGCCTCCCTCCAATGATACTTGCCAGACTCACCACATATCCGGGGAGAGAATTCAACCGTCCCTCATAATCGAAGAACAGAGCGTGAGACGATTGTTGCACTGCTGTACATGAGGATAAGAATGAGCGAGCGAATGTGGAGGTGGTGGGTATGCTGGTAGTGGTGCGGAGAGCGGAGACAGGCGATTCAACAGCAAGGTGCCGGTCTGGCAATGCAAGGAGACATGAGGGAGGAGCTCATAGACGGAGGTGAGAAGGTTGGCGGCTTACCTTGAGCTTTCATAGAAACCACCACCCGCACTGCCTCCCCCGACATCGAGAACAACGTGTCTGGTCGCAAGGTCAGTGCTCTCCCATATGTTACATAACAACATCGAGTGCTTATCTGTACGTATTCAGATGGCCGCGGCAGCGGTTCTGTGGTGCCGGGTGCTAGGTAGGACAGATCTGCGGGCGAGTCGATCAATGTACAACAACACAACAAGCAGCAGCTTACCGACTACGACCATCGGGCGGTGTTGGGGACAAGAAGTCAAACACCTACAAGGATGTCCTAGGTGCAGAGCTCGGAACGCGAGAGGGCGAAGGTGCTAATGTACAGACTACAGCAGGAGGGTTGGTAAGATATCCGGAGCGACGTTCGGCGGTAGCCTGTAGCAGGAAACACAGTCAGTAATTCCCGCCACGACTCGAAAACGATGCGCACTTACCTGTGTTTGCGCTAGCATAGCGCTGCCACATCGTGACGCTGCATCCCGTGCCTCATCCAGTGCAAGGATGAAGATCGCCCATGAATCGCCCAACAGTCGCGTGTAGGGCGGTAGACTGAGGCAGCAGGGGGGATGTGGTGGGAGAAGGAGCAACGGTAAGCTTGCAAAGTTCAACATTGTCCTTGTTTGTCCACCGTGAGGTTCAAACTCCGCAGCGATGTCACAAGGGAGTCACACAGCCAAATCTACGATCTTGGACGCTGTTCCCGACGACGGGGAGAGGTCAAGCGCCCACAAGCATACGCGTTCGTGCATTCGGAGGGCCTCAGACTCTTATTGAACATTTTTTTCTCTGCTTAAATACATTCAACCTATGCTCACTCTACCTTAGGATGAAAGTCAAATGCAAGAATGTGAGTGTCGAGGCAGGCTGATATTCATCCTGAATCCGGCTGAATTCAGAGGGATGAAATTTATCCAAAAAATTAGGATGAAAAAAGTTCAACCTGTATGTATCCTATTGCAGGCTGGAAGTTGATTTTCAACCTGTTTTAGGTTAACAATCATCCTAAGCTGAGTCCACAGTGTACGGGTAGTGTAGATCCCTAACAGGCTGACAACCTTGGGCCGGGCGCTGGGAAGAATCAGAAGTGCGAGCACTGATAACGACGCCTGGATGTTCTTCCCTGTGGAAAGGATATACGAGTATAGGGCATCGAGCTGGGTGAATGGCGCATCGTTATCGTGAGGAGGGGATAGACCAAGGACTACTTTAAGGCGGTCATCAGGTCGGTGATCTGCACTTTTAAGAAAATCAACGACAGTAGAGGCGTAGATGAACTGTCCCGAAGCTTTTCGTACAAGCGCCTGTATGTCGTCCTCGAGCGGCCATGACGATGGAAGCTGGGGGTGAAGGCGACGAATCTCTTGGAATTCCTTTACTAGGAAGGTGTGTATATCTCTGTTCGCGTTCTGGTCGAACGCTAAATTGATCTGGTATATAGAAATGAGTGATAACTGTTGGTGACCCTCGAAAATACGCGCGATGTGCGGCTCTGGGCGACTGGCAAGGAGAAATCGGATAGGGAGTTTAAGATTGTGGATCGTATGAAAAATGATTTGAAGGATATCAGACTGAACCTTGGCATCAGCGCATTCGTCAAGTCCATCTGTTGGAGTTAGCCAACCCAGCATTTACTTGGACTTACCAGAATACTTGATTAGTAATATTCTGACTCACTTAGCATAGCCTCGGACAAATAGGAAATTAGTAGATAGTACTAGAATATTGTAGATACATAAGTGTACAGTATATAAGAGCTCTGTAGGAGCCCCGGAATATTAATCCTCTCTTACCTTCTGACCACCACTGCGCCAACACCATCTATGACGATAACGCCCCTCAGAAGCTATCTTCTTCTTGAAGTAAATGCTAATTCTGGCGCGAAGACTGTTCAGAGGCTCCAATACGAGTTTCCTCATCTGCACATCTCGGGTTCGGTGGAAAATGTTGGGGTCTTGCTTGATATAGGCTTTAACATAAGAGCGGATTAGCGGAATTGCGGACATGAGTTGGTATGCCAGAGTAGAGATGAGAGAGTTCCCGTCGCTTCGATTTGGTACCGTTCGAGAAAAGAAGAAAGATGCTAGTAGAACGTCTTGGGACTGACAGAGCTCGGCAATTGTTTGCTCAAGGGCAGACTTGCCAGCTCCGGCAGGACCGTGAAGCCACAGCATTGACGCTCTCCGCTCCTTGCTCTCGATCCAGTTCATAATGTGGTCAATGATGGCGAGTCGGGTATCTGGATTGCATTTGGGGGGGTCGAAGCGCTCGTTCGAGTCAAGTAAGGCATTCAATGCGCTTCTCTCACGGATAGCATCCAACCCTGCGAGAATCGGCACGAGAAGTGCCGTAAGTATGAGATAGAGACCTAACGACGAGGGTACGTACCATTTCCAGAACGTGGACCAGTCTGTTGATTGTTGATCTGCGCAAAATGGCCGCCATTTATGACCAGGTTCTGAGCTCCTCGAAAGAATACCATGCTCGACTAGGACCATGAGTCGGATTATGGGACCTGCATAGACAAACAAGGGTAGAGGTTTAGTCAGAGGGCGTTTGAGGACGGTTCAACCGTCAAAGGCTGTTCGAAGTTTGAACTGCGATGGTTTGAACAGGGTTTGAACAGACGAACCGTGTGAATATGTCATGTTCGGGCCGGTCAACTACTTCAGTCCGTTAACATCGGACAGATTTTTGAAAACCTACAAGATATCCTGTGGGACGTCACGAATACCCAGTGATTATAGGTAGAACCTCTAGCATATGGTATTAAGAAATCTGAAAGTGTAGATTAACAGTGTGTAAAACAAGATGCAAACTGCAAACCAGAAGTAGAGCACACACGCAATGGATACCATGTTATGAGACGAGAGATTCCGCACTAGAGGGGGCTGGAGGACCTAAGATATAATCCGCCATTCCAGAATGGAGCTCTTGAGATAGCTTTGGCGCGTAGTCAGCAAACGGACATGTCCAGCTCTTGCTATCCTTCAAACAATGTGTGATACCACAGGATATAAACAGAAGGTTCACACCGGAAAGCCTCTGGAGCCTCCCCAGAGGGTCAAGAAGAGCGTTGTTGTTCGGATCGGGCATCCACATCGATTGCCAGCGCTGGATACACTCTGTATGGGCTGGTGGAGGATCTGGCTTGAAAATGGGAACTTTAAGGCTCTCCCAGAAGGCAGTCAAGCGCCAAAATCCTCGGTAGAGGCATTGGTTTTGTGCGTCGTTGAAGCCGTTTACGGGGAAGGTAACGCCGGCTGCTTTGGTGGCGTGAGGTGGTATTTTCATGCGCGCCACTTCCGCATAATACACATGCCCCTGGAAGTTGCGGAGGTTGAGGCTCTCTGAGAAGTTGAGCGCGTCTTTGGTAGAGAGCGTTGGATCACTTCGCAAGCGTCTGAGCCATATGGAAATCATGTTGCTTATTAATGAACCCAGTCGAATGGCAGATGCCACGCAAAGGATTCGTTTGAGGTCTTCTATGGTGCATTTTTCGAAGGCCGTCCCACCATTCGCGCAGCTATGTGATGTAAGCAATTGGCTTGCCCAGTTTTCGTATTCGACAAATTGATACTTGTTGGCAATGTGGAAAATGCCAATAAGAGCCCGAATGTTGACTTTCAGAGGATCACTCTGTGCCAGGATCACCAGAGGTCTGAAAGAAAGAGCATGAAGAATTATGTAGATGGTGGAGGGGAAATAGGGGCTCACGGAGCGCTCAAAGCCGAACAAAGGGCGCTGAAGTCGGAGGGGGAGTCGTGGAGTATCAGTGGATTATCTTCTGAGGTGGATTCGCCGTCGCGGTGTGGTTGTTTCGGGAGGCTGAACATGTCGCGAAAGACAGGAGACCCGCGAGTTAATAAGATCCTGGGGATCTGACAACACAAGGTGAGTTCGGCGCAGCATAGGGAGACATGCATAGAACGTACTTTGAATAGAGTTGTTTCAACGAGGATTATACAGTCCCCGTCCTCTTGATAATGCACTTCATGCCTCTTCCATTGATGCTGCGAGCTTCCTGTCGTAGACGTTGTCGCAGCATCCGTCCTTGAGCGTTTCGCTGTTCTTCTGACATGTCCCCTGGGTCATCCTAGTCGTTCTTGACGGGATGAAGCGTTGAAGGTGACTCATGAATCCCTCGCAAGCGATTAAACTTGGTCGTCGCGGTACTTATGAGCCGAAGGACGCGACTTGGGCGGACTAACAAACATGGTCGTTCGTACCAAATACAGCCATATAACACGTACACACAGCGCGTGACGTCATGCTGTCATGGAAGGAGGTGCAAATGGGTGAATTTATATCTGGAGAATGATCTTGTCGATTAATTTTCCTTGAATAAAGGATGCTACACCAGGCTACACCCTGTAAATGGGAGACAATCCAAGTATTTGTCATAGAACAATATGCAAAGTGTGGCATTATATGAAAACAGTACCACTTGAGACGATATCACGAACAGCCTAACACCTTCGTACCGTCTTCAGGCTCAGAGACGATCATCAACCAGTGCACATAATATCGCAGGGGTCAAAATTCCAGAAGCCCACAAAACCTAATTTACATGATCAATCAGGAGTAGGCAACGGCCAAGGACTCCAGTAATCTGCCATTCCGGCGTGAAGCCTTTTACAAAGGCTGTTCGCATGGTTGTAGAAGAGCAACTCCAGATGCAATTTATCTGCCTGCTGGTGTTGCAGGAGACAAAAATTTATCGCTGGATTGGAGTGAATGAGGAGAGTTCCAAGAGGGTTTTGTGCGTAGGAATATTCCAGTCGTCACCTTCACATAGGCGGTATGCGTGTAGGGAGGGTCAGGAGGCGTGAGCGGCGGTACCTTGAGGCTTTCCCAGAAAGCCCGCTGAGAGCCAGAGTCCCCGATAAAGGCGAAACACTGGGCGTCGTTCGAGAGCATTCAAGCTGTTCGGCGGAAATTCGATCAACGCTGAGTTTGATGGGTGGGATGGAATATTCATGCGCTTTATTTCTTCGTATTAGAAATACCATTTAAGAAGACGATGGCCGAGGCTTTCTGCGAAGTCGAAGGCGTCTTTAGCGGGTATCATCCCCAAGATGCTTGATCTACATAACGTTGGTGAGGAAGTCGTCCCTTCCAGTAACGGAAGCCACCGATATAATTCGTCTCAAGTCGTCGATTGTGCAGGTTTGGGAGACAATGCCTGCCCTGGCTCCTTTGGTATTGCGTTGCCAAAGCAGCTCGACGGCCGAGCTTTCACACTCGATAAAATCCATATTTGCGGGGATGTAAGGGGATGAATCTGAACCTTCAGCGGATTGCTTTGGGTCGTGATACGGTGAGAGGACTGAACATTCGACATAGAGAGGTCGCAAGTCTCAGGAATACCTCGAGCCTTTGGCAGCGTGAAAAATATCGCGAAACACGGAGTGACAGCCTCGGGATCTTGCTTGGCGTGATAAGATAAGATATGTCTTTGAGGCGTGTGAACATCAGGACGCGTGCATCGTCCTGGGGGTACAGGAGCTTGTATTCCCAAGTTCCAGCCAACACCGCCATTGTGCACAGCGAGCTCGCCCATTCAGCCATGTCAGATCAGTCGTCGCCGCCCCCAAAGAAGGTGGGCTCACTGCGGGACAGAATTGCGGCATTCGAGAAGTCGGCATCATCAGCACCTCCTCCTGGGCCTGCACCAGCACCACGTCCAAAACCTGCTGGGTTTGCCTCCTGGAAGCCGAAGCCGCCCTCTCCTCCTTCATCGCCATCTGCAACAGCAACAGAGAACGTCGGTGCATCGAAGTCAACCGCCATGTCGGCGTCGGATGCAAAGGAAAGCATCACGAAAGCCGGCAGTTTAAAGGAGCGTATGGCTGCATTACAGGGCAAAGGCGCTTTTGGTGCCCCGCCGCCCATTGCCCCCAAGCCCGCGGTAGAGCGTCCCAAGTGGAAACCACCGCCCGTCGTACACGCCCCCGCCGATGAGGACGATCAAGCCGGAGAAGGGTCGACTGCTGCAATCGCTGCGGCAGTCGAGAGGACGTTATCGCCCCCGACTTCTATCAAATCGCACGAGAGTGTCGAACCTCGTATCGAGGGAGAAGACGCTGCGTCTCATGCACCTCCTGCTGGCGGAGATGGCGAGCACGAGGGTGAAGCAGCAGCAGATCCAGAGGAGGAAGAGCGTCAACGTCGTGCCGCCATCGCTGCCCGTATAGCCCGTTTGGGAGGTGCTCGTGTCGGCATGGCACCGCCTGTATTTGGCAGGCCGCCTCCAGTGAGAAGACCCACCCATGAAGAGGCTCATGCTGCGGAAGTACCCAAACCAGTCGAAGAGCAGCCCAAGGTTGAAACTGCGGGCCCCGAGCTAGTCAAGCCTGCTGAGCCAGCGGCATCTCCCCCTACAGCAGAGAGTACGTGGATATATGCGTGTGCCAGAGTCCACTTGCTGATTCCCAATAGACACCCCTGTGACGCCTCTTTCAGAGCCTCTGCCTGCGGCTGAGGCCGAAGCCCTACGGTCTCTTGGTAATTTAGTTTACTTATTCCTCCCGTTTAACCGTCTAATGGCGCATTCATCTACTTAGAAACGGCTCCCGTTCGCAAGGATTCTGAAGGCACGTCAGTGCCATCCTTCGAATCGGTTGAAACTCCTCCGGCCAAAGGTCTGGCTTCTATGCCCATACCTGCGGTTCCAAGAAGGACAGGGCCTCCCCGCAAGAAGCCTGTTAAGCCTGCTGCTCCACCTCCTGAGGTTCCGGCAGAAGTCGCTGGAGAGAACACTGAGGCACCTGCTGCCACTGTTGAAACTGAAGCCGAGAAAACTCCTGACGAGGTCAGCAATGACGCATCGAAGGAACTGTATGATCCAGCTCCTACTCTTCAACATGAAGACATTGCACCCAAGGTGATGGATGAACTTACTTTGCCTTCCATCGCTACCCCGGTCGGTTCCGACGTTAAACCTGACGTTACACCCGAGCCAACAAAACACGAGGAATCTGCTCCTCATGTTGCCATTAGCACCTCAGAATCTCATCCTGCGCCTCAAGCTGCTCCCTCTGCGCCTATCGACGATTTGCCAACTGAGATATTGGACTTGGGTGAAGATGCTTCCGGTGTTAAAGCTCCACCTCCTTCGTTGGCAACTGCAACGCCCATGGGCGATAGTGATGAAGACAGCGATGGAGATGTTGCCGTTGCTTCGAAGGCGCCAGTTGCCGCCCCATCCCACCCGACGCGGCTTCCTGTCGACCTTCTTGACAAAGAACTGCAAGAAGAGATCAAGGAAGGAATTATCACTGCAGATGACGACGCTGAAGAGATTGACGAGGAAGCAGAGGAAGAGGCGCGTAAGAAACGCATCGCTGAACGATTGGCAAAGATGGGCGGTGTCAACCCATTTGCACCTCCTCCCGTACAGGCGAAACTTTCCTCTGGGTCCGGAGTGGCGTCTCCTCCTCTTCCATCTTCCCCTCCGCCTGCGGCTCTTGCCCCTCGCTCGCCTTCTCCGGAGCCGGTTCAGCCTACTCGCAAGGAGAGCCTCGTTGGTGAACAGCCCAAGTCCAAACTCGAGGATTCTGACTCTGGTAAATATTGAATTTATTTCTATATTTTTAACAAATAAACAATGTAACTTTGTGTTGATTATGCCTCCTCCCTTCTCTCCCTCCATCTTGTATAGACTACGATGAGGAAGACGTTCATGATGACCAGTCTGCACCTCCGATCAGCACTCATAGGCAAAAGGAGAAAGCCGAGGCTACAACAGTGCTAGCCCCAGACCACATTGTTTCCGTGCCTCTGTCGCCGCCTCCTCCCATCCCCAGGAGCACACGTACACAATTTCCGGTCCAGCATGACGACCACAAGAATGTTCTTGGTACAGAGCATGATGGTCCTGTGCCGCCAATTGCGCCAATTCCCCCGCGGCCGCCTATCGACAAAGCTTCGGAGGTGGGCTCGCCACCAACTGCTCTTACGGAACCTCCATCTCCGCCTGCGAGACCTGCCCAACAGCCCCGACGACTCGTCCCATCAGCTCCTGAAGATGATGACGAACCGGACGACTACCAGACGGACGAAGAGGCCGAGGAGCGGCTAGCTCAGTCCCACCTGTTCATTCCACCACCGACTGATCGGGCCTTGCATGCTGCCCACCCTCGTCACGCGAACATCCAGGACGAAGACGACGGTGCCGGGAATGGGTCGGAGAATGATGGTCCACCTTTACCAATCCCGCATCGCAGGTCGATGGAGGCGCCGCCTGCCACCAGTACTCGGAAGCAGGTGCAGCAGTCGCTGTCAGATGAAGAAGAGGACGACGAAAATGCCGTTGAGTCAGATCATGATGGAAGAGCGTTACCCATCCCGCCTCCGCACCCAGCTACGGCTATTGCTGCTGCCACAGCCCCGAAGACGATAGAGAGAAAGGCTAGTGGGCCTCCGCCCCGCCTTGTGCCTCCACCGCCACCTGCACACCCACCTCCAGTTGACACACCCTCTCCTAGTAATATCACCCCGTCACTTTCGGTCTCTGGGTCAGAGGTTTTGGATGAGGAGGAAGGAGGCAAGTCTTGACTTACTTTATTTTCTCGTTTCCTGATTGACGGGTCGTTGGATGTTTCCAAACAGATCCTATCGATCCTTCCTTCCACAGCCCAAGCAGGCAAACTTCACTGACCAATCTCCGTGGCCAAGCTCAAGCACAGGCGCAAGTGCAGCCTACAGCTCTTGCTCGTCCTCCTCCTCCGGCTCATTCTCCTCCGCCTGCAGCGCACTCGCCACCACCTGCACGTTCTCCTCCTGTGCCATCAGCCCTACCAGCTCGCTCTCCACCTCATGTACATTCTCCGCCACCTGTTCGTTCCCTTCCCCTAGCACACTCTCCTCCGCCCAGCACTTTACCTCCTCCAGCTCCGCTTGCAGAAGAATCCGCAGAACAGCTGGAAGAAGATGCAGAGCAGCTCAGGCGCAAGACGATCGCTGAACGCATGGCGAAGCTTGGAGGTATCAAGTTTGGTGCTCCTCTGCCTACCCCAGGGGCTCGTCCACCACCTCCGCCCGCGCGTCATGAAGAGGAAGAGCAAGAGCAAGAGCAAGAGCAAGAGCAAGATCAGACGAAGGTGATTGAAGACGAAGAGAATCCAATCGAGTTGACAGAGGAGGAAGAGGAGAGGGCGAGGAAGGAGAGAATTGCGTCGAAGCTTGCCAGCATGGGCGGTATGAGGATTGGAATGATGCCGATGGGCATGGGTGCGCTGCCACCTCAGCGATCTCATGTGCTCAGAGAGGAGGCCCCATCCGTCTCTCCGCCTCCAGTAACAACACATGCACCTCCTCCAGCTCGTGCTGTTCCGCCTGCTCGACCTCCGCCACCACCTGCCCAGCCATCTCAACCGCACCACGTTCCAGATACCGATTCTGAGTATGGTAGTGCCATTGCGTCAGACGATGGTGTCAAGGTTGAGGCAGAGGAGAGCGAGATCGAGGAAGTCAACTACGAGGATGCTGAGCCAGAGGAAGCACCTCCTCCAATCCCATCTCGCACTAGCCGTCCTCCTGTCCATCGTCAAGAATCGACCGAGAAGTCGACATCTCCACCTCCTCGTCCACCTGTGCCTACTAGTATGCCAGTTCGTCGATCTAGCGTGCAGACAACGGGAAGTGCATCCGAGACAGGCCCAAGCCCGCCTCAGAGGAAGACCTCGTCGGCGTACGTGCCTTCAGCCCAGTCGGACTATGTTATGGTCGAGGAGCCTGAGAACCAAGAGGCGCCTCCGCCTCCCCCTGCGCGTCGTATGAGTCGACCTCCTCCAACTAGGTCTGCACCTCAGGTCCCTGAGGGACCTGTACCTCCCACTCCAGACACTAAGGACAGCATCTCATCGCAGTGGGAGCTACCGTCGATCCCAACTTCGACCTTCGGCTTTGAAGGTGGCGAACCAGATCTCTCGCTCTCGTGGACGGACGCAGGCGAGCCGAGCTCTGTTTCCTCGTCTACCCAGCTGCCTTCCTCTCCTCCACCACCTCCTCCGCCTGCGAAGCAGCAGCAGCAAAGGAAGGCCTCGATCGTCGACAAGCCGCTGTCCGCGGACGAACTGATGGGGGTCTGGGGCCGCGTCGGTGTGCAGGTGTGCGAGGTCGCCACGACCCTCTTCGAACGCTCCAAGAAGGCACTCATTGGGGATGGGACGTATGCCGGGTTCGTCGTCGCCGTGCTCGCGGGCGTGCCCAACGCTGCATCTATTCCCGTATTGGTCAACCGCAGCTCGACTTCCTCCTCCCCCGATCCCTCCGCCAGCTCCAACGAGCATACTTACGGCTACCTCGTGTATGTGCAGAACGGAGCTTCGGTCCAGCGACGCGCGAGCGAGATCATGCCAGGCGATATCGTGGAGATACATGATGCAAAGCTCAAGGGGCATAAGGGCATACAGATGTACCATCAGAATGTGGGCGGAGATGGCGAGACGCTAATCGGTATAGTGGGTGAGTTTGAGGCAAAGAAGAGCAAGATTCGAGTGTTCCATGCGAATCAGCATGTTGGGCAGCAGGTATGTATTTCTTGTCCCTGTGCAGTGTGCAGAAAGGGTACTAATTGAGTTGAATCTGTAGACTGTTGAATCGGTTAGTTATCGTTTGGAGGATCTGAAGAGTGGTCTCGTCAAGGTAAGCATTTGGTTGTACATGTATGCTGGTTGCTCATCCCTTTTCACACAGGTTTATCGTGTTCTGGAGGCATAATCTCTCCAGTGTTTTGCGACTCGGATTTTCACTTGTACTATACATTCTACTACCTTTCCCACCACTCTATCTAGCATGTGTCCACGTTTCTCGTTATGTTGATGATCCACACCCCGTGTGTGGTTCAAAAGTTGATTTCACATTTACAATTCTCCAAAGATATAATCACAGCAGAGTAGGGGAAAATGACATTCATTCAATAAATTACGAACAGGTTGGTCCTCTGGGTTACAGATAAGGCGTCCAGTTGGGAGCATGAGTCCGACAGGATGGCCACCAGAGAGAAAGAGACAAGAGAATGCTGAGATGACCTAGGATGTTAGCCATGTGCCCCCAGAAGACAGAATGATGTTGAGGTGGACTTACGATTATCGAGACCTTCAGAAGAGTCAGAGCGAAAGGATTATTTAACAAGAGGTCTTACACCGGTACCCGAGTCCTTGAGGCTGGGCGTGTACGAGCCAACGGCTCTCTGGTACTCCGCTGGCAGCACCAAGTGTGTTGAGTGAGGTTTCTTGGAGAGATCCGAGTCGTGCCATGTACCTTGCGCACTCCGACCCTCCTCAAGTTCCTGGGTGTCCACAGATATCCTAGGTTTCTTCTGAGGAGATTGTTCATCTTCTGGTGCGGTGATATCCGAGGCAGGGTCAGATGAAGGGGCGGGGCGCTTTCCTCGATTTTTCTGTGACAAAGACGACAAAATGTGAGGCAGGAATCTAAGAAACGATGGATGGAAAGACCCACAAAGCGATCTGCAAAGTTCTTCTTCCTGTTATCGAAGGTAAGCCCGATGAGCACACGGTGCATAAGAAACGCGGAAACGAAAAACCCTCGTACGACCACCTCATGTTACCAACCTTTCGAGGGCCTCTTTCTCCTTGCGTTTGTCCTCTTCTTCCTGCATTTACGGCGTCCAAGATGTCAGCACGGGGCGTACGGCGTAAGGCAAGGATAATGTGAGTACTCCGACCTTCTTTGAACGCCGAATCCGGTCGAGAAACGAGCCGTCGTTGGAGAAAACATTCTGCGGTTTCACAGATGGCGCCTTTGGCTTTGCAGGTATTGGTAAAACTTGCCCTAGTGACAATGAGCTCGAGGTCGGCGAGAGGGAATATATGAATGTTGCAGTATTAGGAGACACCAAAAGTCCTGGCTGGGGGCTTGCAGACTTGGACATTTCGAGTTACACGCAATTCGAAGTAGACTACTGAACGTGAACGCTTGAACTTTGGTCTCTGTTGGGTTTATAGATAAGTTGTTGGTCCATAGAAAAGCCGCGAACCGCCCAGAAAAGTCTGCTGGAGGACAATGCCCTCTGGACCAAGCAGGACCAAAGAGGACGGCACGGCGGGCCGGGATCAGGAAAGACGGCTGGTTTCTCAAAGATCCATCGATCAAGAATTGACGACCTCTATGCAGCGTATGCTGAGTTCTGCACAAGCTCGCATGAGTACGACTCTACCCAACGATGTTTTACTTGCCGTTGTCCAGGAACTATCACTTGAATCGAGCCAGTTGTCCCTTCTTGCATGCCGCCAGACCTCGCGGGCGTTGAACCATATGTCAACACGGTATGTGTTTTCGACGCTGCACCTTCGGTGGAAAAAAAGAAAGAGGATGGGGCTCGGAGAACAAACAGTGGTATCAAGACATTCACAATATCCTCCTCTGCAACGAACACCTCCGGTCGTGCGTTTGCATCTTCGACATTGCAGTCGATTTTGTGGGAGAATACACGTCGGAAGAGGTCGGCACCCCAGGTATCCACAACATGCTACGCTCCGAGAACTGCAATAACGGCGGGATCCACACCATAAAGCTGATTGGGTACGGTCATTACCGCATCGCGACCATCGACTGGAACATTATGCATTGTGAGCGATGAATTTCGTGGGGTGTTGTATCGTTTGATATCAGATTCAAGGAATTCAACTTCAGAAACCTTCGTCAAGCTACGAACCATCCATCTGTGTCGGTTTGACAACGTCCCTGCGGATTTTGTGATATACATGCCGGATTCTGTGAAATCCCTGTCCCTTCGTTTCACCAATTTCAAGAAGTCTGCGGACGAGGATGAGGTTTCGCCTCCTGTGGCTGATGACGGAGAAGGCAGCGAACAAGACGTTGACCCACCCGTGGAGGAAGACGTCGTTCCCTCGGCTAGCCTAGAACTGTTCGAATTTCTAGGAAGACTTCAAAAAGATTTTTTGGAAGTTGTAAACCCTACAGACTCTGTCCCTTTACTTTTTTCCAGCCTCAAACATCTATCGATGCATTACCTCCCAACTGGCACTCGTGATATTGAGTTGTTCTGGAAATTTGCATTGTGCGCTTCAAGCTCCCTGGAGTCGCTCGAACTGTGAGACCCCTTTCTCTCTTTTACCCATCTTTCGGATCTGAACCACTTTACAGAGTGAGTATAGCTTTCCGACTGAAGTTATCGACATCACCCGCCTTCCCGCTCTCAAAGTCCTGAAAATCAAAGTTGTCGTAGATGAAGATCCAGACTTGCCTGAGCTCCGACCGTTCTCCGACCTGTTCATGGTCCCAGGCGGCACGACGCTGCCTCTGCGAGGCCTTTCTATTATCATAGATATGGACTTGCCCGAAGTGGATGACTATCTCGCTGTATCCCTTCCTCATCACGGCTGGGACACCTTGGCCGCCTGTCTGACTGTACGAACGCTCCCGGCGCTTACTCGCGTTGATGTTACGGTGTCTCTCAACGTTCCTGAATGCGTCAACATGACCAACATTGAGATGGTGGAGACGGAACAAGAGGTGTTCGCGTCCCTCTCGGAGCTATGGAGGGACAGAGAGAAGACCTTCGAGTTTGTTCTGGTTGTCAAAGCAAAAAGGCAGGAAAAGTGTGCGATTTGGTATAATCTATCATCACGGGTAACACAAATTTACTTTGTTTGAAGTTTTTAGTACCCTGGTTGTGGCAATGCGTGTGGGGTAGCAATTTCGTGGACAAGTTTGGAGGACAATCGTAGATTCAGAAGGGCCTGCTTATGGTGTACCTCGTGGACGATGGCACTTACACGGGAGGGAATGTCACACCAAGAGAGGTGGCCATGTTTCTCGCTTGTATAAAAGCAATTTGCCTTTCGGTTAATTCGAAGAATTGAAACAGAAGGGGAGCAAATGACACAACAATTATAATTCGTTTTCGACTGTTCAACGCCAGTGATGTACTAGTGATAAGCAGGCCACCAACTTGAAGGAAAGTGTCATTAATTCCTAATCTCCGAAATTTCTTGTCGGTCTAATCTTATTATACAGACTCTGTCTACGCCGCCACTGCAAGTCTTTTCCTGATATTCTGCTGCAATTCTTCATAAGCTGCAAGGTCAGCGTCTAGAGGCGGTAACCTGTCATCATCCACATCGAATAATTGTATGTATCCGCTCTCAATGAGCAACCACGAGTAGCCGTTGTATTCCTCTGGGTCCGCCTCGTTCCTCCCCGGAAGCGGGTCTAAAATAAATTCCTTCAAGCCTGTAAGCTTTTCCCGGAAAGCTTTCAGGACCTGATTCCATGATCGTACATTCCACGTCCCCTGAACTGTCTGACCCATGTCAATCGTGCAGCCGGTGAACTTGAGGCTCTGCAGGGTCGCTGCGTGACGAAGGACCAGCCACTCCAAGCAGGTCGGGTCTACCGGAGCGGGGTTCATGATATTGTGATGGAACGCGAACCGCACAAAGTGTAGGTCGTGCAGATTGGGCATAGTGGTCTCCTTCCAGAAAGACTCTAGGACGGGGCCAGGGTTGAGGACGTTGCTGCTCAGAGTCAAGGATGTGAGGGTCTCTTGCGGCGCTTGGGCGAAAACTGGAATGTCGCGCTCATAGAAATCCAACAGCCGCTCGTAGTAGTAAAAGCTCTCTTCTGAGGTTAAGACTACTTGCACGTAAACCGATTCGAGGCCCTTGAGGAAATTTTTGAAACCCGGCGAGTTGTTGATTTCGATCGGGAGGCAGACCAGGTTGTAGATTTCAAAATTCTTGAGCGAGGGAACTGGGGTAACGGTGGCTACGGCTTGGATTATCTCAAGCTGTAATTTACGCGCCTCCGACTCGGGTACTTCGTCTTCGTTGTATTCCTCCGCATCCTCATACTGATTGGGGAACAGGAGGCGCAGGCTCCGAAGGTTAGGCAGCTTGCTGAGATGACCAAAGATCGACGCCGTGTCTTCTACCGTGTCTCCTTCCTCTTCTTGCGATGTTGGTGCCTCTGAGAATTTTTTAGACGAAAAAACGTAGGCTATACGGCAAAGCAAACCTACCGGCAAAATTGCTCCGGCCCCCATCACTCGTGGCGTCGATAAGATACTCGCCATGACTGGCTTGGAGAATGATTTCTTCAACGTATTGCGCCAGCTCCGAGACGCCAAAAATAGAGATCGCGGCATCCGCGCCTCCCTTCTTCCTCGAGATATCTAGGACCCGAAATGAGCGAGGTGTGGTGACACCGTGGAGGACCTTGCACGTCGTACGCAGGGCCAGCAGATCTGACTTGCTCTCGAGGTCATCGAGGATGGAGTTGAGCAATTCCGAAGGAACACGCTGAGGAAAAACAGCAATCGGCATTTTGCTAGGTGGACGTTGATGCAGCCTGCGGATCTTATAGTGATCAGTGGTGGGACAGGGACGCCTTGCAAGCGCAAATTGGTACACGATGGTTTAGAAAGCCGACGCTGACTCGGATTTTCCTGATTCAAATTCTCAAGGCCATGTGTCCTAGGTTGAGTCAAAATTCCTGGGTGGGGCGATGATAGCTCAAGCGCTCACTGGTGGTGTCGATCTGCTGTGAGCGTACCGAACAGAGGATGCGAAACGTGAGAGTGAGATTCAACTCGGAGATCTGAGAGTGACGGATTGAGAAATGATGATATATGTACCGAGAAACCCGATGGGGGGATATTGACCTCCTCTTCCCATAAATTCGTCGTTCATCGAGTCACGACCGTGAATGCATGAGATATTCGGAGTTAAGGCAGTTGGACACTCGCCGCGGTTGAGAAGATCCCCAGCGCACACGAGGAGGTTGGTTGACAGAAATTTCCTTGAAGAATTCGTCTCGAATGTCGGCGCGGAAATCCCTCGCCGGAGACGCACCTAGGGGTGGGCTTGCGCTGGGCCCTAGAAATTCACTCTGGTCCAAGGAAATGGTTCTCCAACTCGGATCGCAGTTCCTCCTCACGACTAGCAAAAAAGCTATACAAGCAGAAGGGCAACGAGTCTGTCGCGCTGACCATTGTCCCCAGCGCCTCCAGAGGGTCTAAGGAAGTCAGCTTGCGGAGGGCCTTGGCCATGATGGGTTGCCACTGGGGCCGACATGTCTTCCTGTGCTCTTTTTCGTCGCAGTCGATGTCGTCAAACCGAGGAAAGGCAGGGTTGATCAAGTCCTTCATAACCCCATTGACATACTGTCCCACTGACCAAGAACCGCGGAAGAGGCACATTTGCTGCTCTGGAGAGAGGTTTTGTTCTGGGGGATGGTAAACAGATAATCCTGAGGCACGGCGCTGACGCTCCATCTCTGCGGACAGCTGGTAGTACACTCTGCCTTGGAATTGCCTCAGGTTCAGTTGCTCCCCTACATCAAGTGCAATCCGCGCAGAGCCATCCTCCGAATTCCTGGCACGAAGAACTTCGATCCACATGTCTTGAACATTCTCCTGCAGGGCCGGTGCCTCGCAGATGACACTCAGGCGCAGCAGCCTTTCGAGGAGAGCACTAGGCAGGCCTTCCGTGGCGTGCGGGTCTAGTGGTGCATCTTTGTGCTTGATGAGAATCTCGAGCGACCACTTCTCGTACGACGCGAACTGGTATTTGTTCGCTATGGCGAGAAGGGAGACTATTCGGCTGAGGTCGACTATCCGCATGGTCTTGTATTGGTACTCCTGGAATTCCGTCGGCCTGAAGTCACGCGCGACAAGGAAAGCGCGTAAGCTCGGAGAAGAAAATAAGACCGCACGAAGAACTCACAAGGCGTACAACGCCCAGCAAAGTGCTCGAAAGTCGGCAATGTCGTCCGTTAGAACGAGCGGATTCTCTTCCGACACAGAGTCGGGGTCTTCCAGAGACGCGTCCGTTGGAAGCGTGAAAATATTGGCAAAGACAGATGAGTTGCGGATGAGCAGATATCGATGAATCTATGGAAAATTGACGCGTCGCGTCGCGTCGTAATTAGGGTAGTGACGTGACAACAGGATGAACTGACCTTGAAAAGTGTAGCATCGATAGAAATAACGCAATCACCGTCTGGGCGAAAGAAATCCGGGTCTTTCACGCAGTCTCGACGGCTTCTGGCGGGGATAGTGGAGGCTTCGGGGGTGTCTCCTGTCCTGCGACGCGTCCTGCTCAACTCCGGGTCGTGGTCGTCCTCGACGGTGCGTTTGCTCGTATCACACGAACTCATACTGACGTAGCAGGATTTGTGAAAGTAGAATAACTGGCTTGTAATCCAAGATAGCTGGTAAATGGGATATTGGTAAGGAGCAAGAAGTGCGCTGAACTAAGCGTGTGAAGATTGAAGAGAAACAGGAATAAACTGTCCTACTCGACGACATAGTTTATGGACCACAGCTCCCAAGAAAGTGATCTGCCAACGAATCTCCAAAATCATGGTAGGCAGTTACGAGGTGTTTGAGCACGCAAGTGCCTTGGTGTTGGCTCCGTGCGTGTTGCTCTAAGAAATTATGTATCACCTCCAGGGGGTCAGCCGACCGAAGAAACTCCTCGTCTCCTCCTCGTCCAAAAAAGTCTTGAGATGCCCGTTTGCATGCGATGTCGTGTCGAGCTTGATCACAAGCTGCGTCTTTCTTGGGGAGACGACAATCTTCCCTTAATCCTCTCAAGAACCGCTGAATGGACCACGCGCCTTGGAACAGACGCGCGCGCTGCTCTGGGGAGAGCTCCATTTCATAGGGGACAAAGGCAGTCGAAGACCCCTCGAGTCGTATGGAACCTAAATTACGAACCAATTTGTAGTAGCATTTTCCTTGAAACTGGCGTAATTGGAGATCTTCCGCGGTGGTGAGGGCCAAACCCGGGGAGTCGAATCGCAGAAGCCATGTAGCTTCGACGTTGTCCCTAAGCTTGGCCGAGTGGCATTTTTCTGACAGACGTAGCATTCGTGACAGCAGGGATGGTGGATAGGAAAATCGAAATTGGGGGTGGAGGTTACGTGGGTCGGTATGTCGGATCAGGATATCGCGCGCCCAGTGCTCGTACGCGGTGAAGTGGTATTTGTGTGCAATCTCAAGAAGGCAGACGACTTGGAGAAGGTCCAACGTGCGAATTCGCTCCCCCTGATAGGTGTATAGCTGTACAGGTCTGAGGTTGGGGTAAGCGCGTCAGACGCGACGAAGAGGCATGGAAAACTCACGTCGCGTAGAGTGCCCAACAAAGAGCGCGGAAGTCCGCTATGTCGTCCGTAAGGACGAGGGGATTCTCTTCTGTCATTTCAGGAGCACTGCCAGTCCCCGTTGGCAATGTTAAGAGATCAGCGAATGTCGAACCTTCGCGAGTGAGTTGGAAACGGTGAACCTGAGAGGCATTTTAGAATCTGCCCTGACGCGAAATAGATGAAAATGATCTTGAATAGAGTGCCCTCTATCGCGACAACGCAGTCCCCACCAGGTAAAAAGAATCGGTCGTCGTTCACGTAGTTCCGAGACGCGTCCGGGCCAGACGTGGTTCCTTCATCCGTGCGGCGTCGCGTTCTACGCGTCGTCGGTGTATCCTCTCCTCCTTCTTCCTCTCTTTGACGTCTTCGTGTGGTTTCTGTAGCTTGCATATCGCAGAATTGGGGTGAAACGGGAGGAAGGAGAAAAAGGAGCGCGTTAACCCCCTGACAGTGAGCGCGGACCTCCGAAGCGTGAGAATTGATCTGAACTAGAGCTGTCACATGATCTCAAGAACCAATTCCAAGGGTCAGTGACCAGTCTCGTACCCAAAACTACAAAAAATCATGGTGAGCTCACCTGTCCGTGTACTGGAATTCATCTGAAATGAGTATTAGCGCCCTATTCTACTACAAGGTCTGTCTGCAAGCTGTTCTGATGGCAGGCGAGACTAGTAACACGATTGTACTTGATGCTTTTTTCGTCTATAGGACACGAACGATCTCTGACACAGATCAAGTTCAACGCCGATGGAGACTTGCTATTCTCCTGCTCGAAGGACAACGTCATAAACGTCTGGTTTTCACACAATGGGGAACGGCTAGGGACGTACGAGGGGCACAATGGGGCGGTGTGGACGGTGGATGTAGATCGTGCGTCGCCTGCTGCTTAATCTTTGTTCGGGGGAACACTGACCATGTTCCATGGATTGTTTTGCCTCCGTACAGCTGAATCAAAATTCTTAGTGTCGGGCTCTGCAGACAATCAGCTGAGATTATGGCAAGTCGCGACGGGCAAATGCCTGTACACATGGGAGTTCCCGACGGCGGTGAAAAGAGTTGCGTTCAACGAGGAAGGGACGCAGGTCGTGTGCATCACGGAGCAGCGGATGGGGCACCAATGCGCGATCCGGGTGTTTGATATCAATGCAGAGGATGGCGCCAAACGTGCGTGTTCTTTAATCTGCCTTTGGACGTCGTATGTGCTGACGATCGCCCGGTCTTGCAGAATCGAAGGAGCCCCGTTACATGTTCAACCCTATCGGATCGAAGGCCACCGTCTGTGCATTCACTCTACAGCCTAATATTATCATCACAGGTCATGAGTCAGGCAAAGTCGCACTATTCAATGTTAAGTCAGGCGAGGAGGTCGAAAACAACGAGCGGGCGCACAGTGAGGTGGTGACGGACCTGCAGCTGAGCAAGGATAGAACGTATTGCATAACCAGTAGCAAGGACAAGGCTGCACGGGTGCGTCTTGGGCTTTTCTGCTCGGTCCGGCTCGATGGGAATATGAACTCATTTCCTCCTCGGCTTTCCTAGATACACGACACAAAAAACCTCATGGTCATCAAGACCTTTAATACAGAGACGCCGCTGAACAGCGCTGCACTCGCACCGAACCGCCCATATGTTAGTGCCCCTCGTCTTTCAAGTTGCCTCAGTTGTTGACCAGGCTATCTCGGGCGTCCTCTTAGGTCCTGCTTGGTGGTGGTCAAGAAGCGATGAGCGTCACTACCACGTCACTTCGCCAAGGCAAGTTCGAAACGCGCTTCTGGCACAAGGTATTTGAAGAGGAGGTTGGGCGAGTCAAGGGCCACTTCGGCCCTATAAATACGTGCGTCCTCTCTAGTCCTCATCCAATCGGCGGAATTGAGAGCTTATCATTTTGGGGTATTCACAGGATTGCAGTCCACCCAGCAGGCACATGTTATGCTTCCGGAGGAGAGGATGGTTTCGTACGCGTGCACCACTTCGATGACACGTACTTCAAGGCGAAGCCCTACGGAGACCTTGAAATTTTTGATTGATGTTGTATTTTCTCATACTTGTATGCGATGCGCAGTAGACATTTTGGCAGTCTGCATCCTTGGCTTGTGCAACGTTTTACGGCTTGATTTCTTGAGCAATTTCTTCTAGTTGATGCCCCGTCGGCTTGAGCGACAAGTACAAGTACTATGTAACACAGCCCGCACGAAAATTTGACGCGTTGTCCACCCGGAGAAAGAGGAGGACAATGATAAGATTCTCGGCGGTCCGGTCCAAGTCTTCTCAGCAGCTTACGTAACTGACCTTTTATTGATGCCTGAAGCGTTCCACCCATTATCTGACCCTCACTTTCTTTTCTATTTAACGCACCACCCAACCACTCGCTCTGGGACTTCCTTTTCGACATTCACCATTGAAAGTTACACCTACTACGCTTCCTTACACGACCTTTATCTATGGCGTCGATATCGGCGACGACACTCTCACTTTTATGGCTCTGTATGACGCCAACATTCACTTATGCGTTGGAAGAGCATCAGAGTTGGCAGACGTGGCGACGCGGGCTGTGGCGCCGGGCAGACAAGAGCTCAGCCAGGAGCGTCCCCCCGGAGGGCTACTACAATCCCCTAGCAGCTGGGGGAAGCTTGCTCACAGTGCGTTCGCCCTATCTTTTTCTGTCACATGCCCTTTTTCCTGAAGTGGAGCGCGTCTTCCTGGTGGGGTTGATAGGAAATACCTGTCACGTACCCGATGGGTCAAGGCGAACCGCTGAATGCTATCATCTCGGGAAACTCGGACCCGCGTGTACTAGAGGACGCTGAGACGGACGGAGGGTTGAGGAACTACTTCCTGTAGGTTCCGTGTGGACACACATTCCACACGTGTAGCCTGCCTAGGCAATGACTGACATCGTGCATTTCGTTTGTGCTGCAGGTCTTTCGGTTTCTCGGGGGAGTGTCTCGGACAACACGCGGGCTCGCACCAGGCTGCCAACCTTGGGGATGGCAATGGCTTTCGTGAGTGCTTCTCTCTTATCTGGTCGCGGTTAGCCGTTGTTAACGTGGTGCTTTCTCTTTCGTTTTATGATATGGCAGTGAACGAGACGTCCGTGATACGATGGAACTACGGTGATCCACAACTTGGGGCATGTAGAGAGACTATCGAAGGTGGCAATCATTTTCGGTATTGGGTGCAGAACGGGCCTTCAGGCAATAGGTACGTCGGCACCCGGTTTCGTGAAAAGTCTTCGTAATTGACGCTCTTTCTAGTGGGGCATATTTCTTGGCAGTGTCTTATGAGCTACCGCTAAATCGTCCGTTTTCTCACTTATCATTGTCGACTTCCAACTAATGTACATGCACCCATAGTGGGCCATGACATTATTGCCAACGGTTACAATCTCGGCCGGTATGCATTTTCCTGCCTTCTGAATTTCTCTGCCGGCTCTACTAACCTTCCCTTTTCTTAGGGATTGGCTAATAGGCAATATCACCGGAAGCTTCGTGCAGACGCCCAATGTGACAAACACGACAACGTTTGTCGGTATCACGACGTGGGCGAACTATACGTACCAGAGCGACATCAAATATGTGTCTGGGCTGTTGGAGGACACGAACGACGGGATTAACCACAACATTACCGTTGGGATTAACGGCGAGAATTCGGTGGACGGACTCGTTGCTGTTATTGAAGTACAAATTACTGGAACGCCTCCCTCGTCGTGAGTATATGCGCTGCAGATACGCGTTTCTGTCGTTGACTCAGTCTTGCATGTTAGGTCCGCATGGCGGTCTTCAATACCACCTCAGCTCTGGCACCTTCCTCCCATCTTGATCATCCTCGCCTTCACTCTTCTGCCCTCTCTGCTTTCATAGCACATCGTCACCCTCGCTGTTTTGTTCTCGCTTCAAGCTCTTCACTCACGACCCTCACGTTACGACAGCCTTTCGACTACACCCTCTCACTGCCAGCACCTAACCTTCTGTTCCTCTAACCGTACACTGATCGTCTCAATACCTTTTGTAGCTTTCTATTCGTCTTTATGGGACTTGTAATATCCGGAACCACCCATCCACCCTTAGACATACCCATCATACAGCTTCTATCCTGGACTTTCTCATCTCTTAGACTCTATCCTACTCAGCCTGCTATACGTTGTCTGGACATCGTGCTATTTACTCGTTCAACTCAGATGATTTATCAATATCGTTCATTGCACTTGTAAACAAATCATCACTCCCAATTTTCATGCCCATGAGGATCCCGGCTGATGTTGCAGCTTGCCAGACTGATTGTCCTTCAAGTTCTCATTAGCTCTCACGCGACGGTTTCTTTGTTACTCTGCTCAGTCTTCAGACTGTTCTTCCACTTCTTCAGTTGTCATGATGAGATTTTTCTTTCTCTGGCTTGCCGACCCTACTGACCACATCCACATTAAGGTAGCATAGCCCCTGTTTTTCAGCCCATTAGACAAATCGAGAACATGGTGCGGCATTACACATGAGGCGCGTCGGTATCAATACCCGGGTTTTTGTCCTGACTCGCCATTGTTCTCTTTCCACTTACCCGTTCAGCTCTCCGCTCCATAACGACGGAGGGCCTTACTAGAATGAGTTGAACGAGAGACGGCACAGCTCCGATTGTTATAACTCTGCTTTGTTGGTCTTGCTTCAACCACAAGCGCATACATCGACCGTGGTGCCACTGAGAGGTCCAACGCTTTGCCCCCAACGAGTCACGAACCCGACAACGTGTTCACGTCCTATACAAACGCGCGCTTGTGTGGCCCTCAGTTCTTTATCACCTACGACTTCCATCTCTAGCCACTAGAGCCAGTGACAGCCTATACCCATACCCTTCACCAACAACAACATCGAAATCGAAATGCCCATGTCGCGCGATCGTCAAGAGGAGAAACGTCCTAGGAAACGCGCCAGAGTCGACAGTGATGACGAGGATCAACAGCAGCAGCAACGACAGAAAGCTAATGGAACGCCTCTTCGCGCAGGGGTAAACGGCAGTGCTAGCAACCCTAATACACCAAAGAAGGAGCCGATCCGACATTGGAGAGTGAAGGCAGAATACTGGGACAACACGCCGACGAAAGAAGTTGCTGACTTGGATGATGTGTTCTACCTCTCAGATCCCAGTGCGACCGTGTACATTAGATGCAAGGATACGATGTTCAAGGTGCGTTCCCGGGGCTTTAAGTTATTATGGGATGCCCATCCGCTCAAACTAATTGTATGCATAGATTCACGAACGAATGTTTACATGTACCGAGTTTTTCCAGGAATGCTTGGACTCACATGGGCCTACATCGATCAGCAACCCCCATAGGATGGTTGCGGCCACTGTTGACGAACTGCGTGCATTCTTCTGGGCACTCTATGCTACGTACGTCGCCCTCTTCTGTTGATTCATGCCCTCACCAATCTTGTATATGCCCATCTGTAGAGACAGCCAACTCGCAGAGAAGATCACTGAGTTCCCCCACCTGCAACGCGTCTTCCGCATATGTTCAATGACACGCAAGTATCCCGACCTCCCAAGGATGATTGAGTGGGCCGACGCACAGGTACGCTCTGTCGCAGCTGACAACGTGTTCATGGACTCGTGCTCCTCTGCCGCGCTCGCCGAGTTCACGACCTTCGCCATCCTGCACGAGTTTCCCGACGAGCTCGCTCTCATCCAGAAGAAATGGTGCGAGCGGCTTCAGAGCAAGAGCGCTCCGTCGGTGCCTGCCATCCAGGTAGCGGACGAGTACCCCGAGGACCTGAAGGAGCTCAGAGGCATTGCGTATTACTTGCACATACAGGATATGATGGATCGGCAGACCCAGTTCACCGAGAGTGGCGCGACGCACCTCTTTGCTGACCCAAAGCTTAACAACGGGCAGGTGATGCGCCTCCTCGCAGGATACTGGTCCCTGAGCGCTTTATGGGAGCGTCTGAGGCTCAAGCCAGCTGAGCTTCCTCTTGGAGCGAGCTGCTGTGACGAAGCTCATGCGAAGTGTATTTCTATCTGGGAAAGGCGCTGGACGTCTGCTGCTGGGTGGAAGAGGATCCTGGGGATCAACACGGCAGATGCCCTGGCTCTGCTTTCTTGCTTGCAAGACCAACTTTCGAACGACGACGACCTCAAGGTCATCAACCCCGACTGCCGCCGCGCTGGCCTAGAGGAAATCAGGAAACTACGCGAGAAAACTAAGGATGGTCTCGGTGACCATTTCGCCGGCGTCGTCTAAATGCGAGCAAGATACAGACACAGTTTATTGTAAATAATTTACAGTATAACTTCAGACTTGTAGCAAATGTGGAATATAACGTCGACAAGTAACCAAGCATAAAATAGTCTTTAGATACGGCTGAAAACTCTTATTAAGAACCACCGGCCTTCTGGGCCATGGCGTAGAGGCCTTCTTTATCTCCGCTGCCGTCGACAAAGGCCTTGAATTGTCCATCTTTCTTTTGCAGGAGGACTTGAGGAGAATCATATTCCACAACACGACCGGCATCGAGAACCATCTGGAGGAGGGATGAGATGATCAAGCGAATGGTTGGAAAGGGACTCACAATCTTATCTGCGTCCATGATGGTTTGTAACCGATGCGCGATGGTGAGGATCGTCACTTCGGACCCAAGCTCGTTGCGCAACGTCGATTGGATGATAGAGTCCGTTTTGTGATCGATAGCAGAGGTAGCCTCGTCGAGGATAAGTAGCTTGCTATTCCGAACGATAGCTCTAGCCAAGGCGATAATCTGGCGTTGGCCAACGGAAAGGTTGTTGCCACCACTCGAGATACTGCTGTCCAGTGTAAGGCGTGCTTCATCCATCTCGTTTTGAAGAGAAAACAACCCTGCTGCCCGAAGTGCACTGTTTAAGATGGCATCGTCGTGTTGGTCGAACGGATCTAGGTTTCGCCGCAGAGTTCCTGTACATCAGAAGATGAACATTGAGCCTGAACATTTTCTGCACGAGATTGTTGTCAACTTACCACTTAGCAGCTCGGGCATTTGCGGAATGATCGTGATATTCGACCTTAGAGTATCGAGATTGAGTTTGCTCGTAGGTACACCGTCGTAGAAAACGTTGCCTTCTGTCAAGATGCAGCGAAGAAGTGAAAGAGTGAGCGAACTCTTGCCACTGCCCGTCCTGCCAACTGGAGTTTCAGAATAAGATCAACATGTTTCGAAGACTGAAAAGGTAAGGAGGTCGTACCAATCCCAATTCTCTCTCCAGATTTGACATGGAAAGAGATGCCATGAAGTACTTTAGGTCCAGTCGCTGAATAACGGGCTGAGAGCTTTTCAACTCGAAGGTCTCCACTTGTGGGCCACGAAGCAGGAGGATTGCCATCATCAGTCGGTGTCACCTCATGTTCGATCTCGAGATAGCCTTGAATTCGTTCCAGACTGGACCGTTGCTCGTTAGCTATGTTTTCCAGTTATCTGAGAGAAGAAACACACCTGTTACACTGAACCTCGAAGTCGTTATACGACCGCACAAGGTACAGGATAGCAGAGCAGAATTCAAGAGCCTGGCTGAGGGAAAAGCCGGTATTAGCAGCATTTAGATCCCGCTTAATGAGGAGATAGGTAGCTAGAGCTGCAGTAAACACGGCACCGAGCAGGTCGCTGCGAATGCCAATCCAGCGATTGAGATTGTACGATGTCCTGGCAACTTTGGTAAAGTGGTCGATACGCTTCATTGACTCGGCCTTAAAGGGGTTTTGAGCGCTATATGCGCGAATGGAAGCTGGGAACGACACAAATAAGTCGTCAGGAGAAGATGGAAGGTCAGAAGACGTACTGAGGCCAGCGATAGCCGCGCCGAAATGAGAGAGAACAGGGGATCGGGCATTGCTGTAAATATAGTGAAATCAGCAAGTCAACATCCAGGAAGGGTGGTCTTACCTCATTTCTCGCTTCACAGACATCTGGGCTTTCAGGTAGATATTTCCCAAATATACTCCTAGAGCAGCAATCACAAGACCAGGAACAAGGAAAAGGGGTGTAAAAAGAACAGCGCCAGTTAGCTTGATGATCATATATAGAATTAGCTCGACAACAGCAGCAAAGCCCCAGGCCAAAGCTGTGTCAACTGTTGCGATATCCTGTGTGCATCTTGTGATGATGCGGGACGCAGGAGTCTCATCCAGCCATCTAGGGCGTGGATCAGAGACTACGCTTGGAGAAAACACTATAAGCTTACCGAAGAGTAGCAGTGAGGATCGAGTCTATCAATTTAGCGTTAATGTGTTTCGATGCCCGTAGAGTGCCGAAGTTGTATATCATCGCTGCAAATCCATAACTAGCGACCCCTCCTACGAGGATAGCGGAGTAGATCGACAGATAACTGACGAACGGGTCAACACCTGAATGTAACACCAAAAAAGATCGTAAAACTCACTGCGAGACGTTAACATCCTCAGGACGTTTATGCTCGTATTGTGAACCCCACAGTCCAAGAAACCAGATAGCGAACATGTTGCCAGCATGCATCAAAGCCATGCCACCCATCCACGCCGTAAGGAATATGGTAAGATGATCTCCACCAAGGCCTGTAAGGAAGAGTCTCAATGACTTCCAGCTTACACGGCCTTCTTCTATCTCTTCAGCAACGATCAGCTTGCCATCCCCTTCCTTCTTGTCGTCTTTCTTAATAGCATCGACGACTTCCTCTTCGACTTTGGCTTCATCTTCCTCTTTCGCCAGTTCTCGGACAAGCTTCTTATTCTTGGCGAGGAATGCAGATAGGTCCTTAACTTCGCGCGCAATGCCATCCAGGCCTACAGAGACGATATAGTCCGCGATCGGGCTCGCAAGGGCAACATTGTGGGTCTAATAATAGAGTCAGAGCAACGCTGTTGACAAAAAAATGCAGCTACCTACCACCAGCAAAACGGTGCGCCCACGGACCAGGTCACCTTGGAGGCACTCTTTTACAACCCATTTCGACCTATCAAAGATCTGAACCACCATCGATACCTTAGAACGAAGGAATTTGGCTTACGTATGAACGTCCAATGCTGCCAGAACGTCGTCTAATAGAATTATCTCAGCAGATGAATAGACAGCTCGGGCCAAAGTCACTCGGGCCTGTCACAGAATTAGTTTATCGATTATCCTTCATGTTTCCCCAACAACGAACCTTTTGGCCACCACTACACAAACACCCATACATCAGCTTGCTTTCTAAAAGATATAATAGAAGCATACCTCAGAGTTAATCCCTTCTCGCCGACTTCGGTCTTATCGCCAGCAGTGAAAAGCTCGAGGTCACGTGTCAATGCACACTGGTGAACAACCTTGTTGTATCGTTCCTCGTCATACGGGGCGCCGAACAAGATGTTCTCTCGGATAGTTTCGTTTTGGACCCAAGATTCTTGAGCAGCGTATGCTACGCTTCCTTCGCGAGGAAGATTGTACCAAGAATCTATGGATGTCGGCATGAAGTGCATCTCGCCGAGTAGAGCCATGAGGACGGATGTCTTGCCAGAACCACTGCAAGATGGGAAAAGCTCACCAAAGATGGACAAAGAATTGATTGAAGAAAACTCACGTAGGCCCAATGATAAGATTGAGAGCGTTCCGCTGGAACGTCAGCTTGCCATCAACACGGAGTCTGAACGACCTCGCTGAGGGTGTTTGTATCCCATCTTCAGCATCCTTTGACCAAGCAAACACAGCATTGTTGAAGCCGATGACGTTTGTATCTTCGGTCCCGCCACCAACAGCGAGTTCAGTGCCAGTTTCTTCCGAATACATGTCCAAAAGTTCCGTTTCCCGCAAGAATTTGCCGACTCGGTCGAGAGATACTTTGGCTGTTGGAGTTGGAGGCGTCAGATTGTTTGAATATAGACGAAGTAACTGGGGGCGAGAACCTTTGACCAGTTGCGAGAAAAAGAAAGAAGTACGGTGCAGGAGTCCACGGACGATATCGAAGACAGCCATGCTCGAGAAGACCTTCGAAGCTGTAGTTGAAGGTTCAGTGAATTACGGTTATAATACCATTTGATAGTGATTCGTACCGTTCAATGACTGCTTCATGATGACGGTGTACGTCGCGTACGTGACAAGCATCGTCACTGTCGGTATCATGAAACTGAATGAAGGTATGAGTCATGATGCGGATGCTAAGACAGAGCGAAGAACCAACTTGACGAGGTCGTTGAGGAGCGAATACATCTAAAATTTACCATCGTCAGGAATGAGACGCATGTTGCTTGAAAGATATACCTTGTCCTTGAAAATCCACTTCAGTTCCTCGTCCCTCTTATCCCCAAGGGTTTTGCTCATCTTTTGCTCCCAGCCGAAGAGCTTGACCATGCGCAGGACGCCAATGGCTTGATGATTTAGAACGGTCAGACCGCATGCATTCTTCAATACCATGGTTATTCTTACTTTCTGTTACAGCTTCAACCCGAGCATCTGTCTTCTCCATCTTTGCGCCTTGAATCTTTTGCATCAAGCTCGCAATGATTCCAGGCGCCGGAAGGAGGCAAACGATGCTGACAAGGCCGACGATGGCTCTACAAAGAACTGGTTAGCCCATAGAAAAGGTTCAGGGGAGAGTGGCACTTACGCCCAGCCAAGAACGATATAAAGGAATGCGATAGCCAGCCCGAGCTCGAGAGGCACTTGAAGGACTACACAGCGCATATAATCAGCAAAATGACCTCCTACGACAACTGCAAGATACGTACAAACCATCAAGAAATCCTTCCCAGATACGATGTTATCCACATCCACAGTAACCAGCGTATTAATTTTGCCAACGAGGTTATCCTTCTTCTTTCCTTCCTTCGCCGGAACAGGCTCTGCCTTGCCCTTGCCCTTCCCGTTCGACCCACTCAAGCCGTTAGACCCGTCCGAGCCAACCACAGTCGCTGTTGCCGCCGTCGAGGTAGCCACGGACTGCGTATCACTGCCCTCCGCGATTGAGCCCGTCTCCGGAGTGTCCGCAGGGGTAATAGCACCGCTTGTCGAGGCCTTCACCGTGTTATCCGTCTCCGCCTTGAATCGGATACGGAGGGAATGCTCGAAGACGAGCTCGGTGAGGATGGCCTGTATCCGCGCGAGCGTCCGTGTGCCGATGAAAATGTACCATTGGAAGCCGAGCGAGACGAGTAGGGGGCCGAGGAAGAGGCAGACGACCCAGAACCAGGGGCGGATGAGCTGGTTGCCGCCTTCGAGGTAGCTGGATAACGAATGGGTTGAGATCTAGAGAGGCAGACCAAGGATAACGTACTGGAGAATTCTGTTCAGTGCCACTGGAGATGCGAAGCCCGCCACGATGCTCGCTGTGAGGGCGATACCCATGCCTACATAATCCCAGACTGGGGAAGAACGCGAAGCAGGCGGTTAAGGAAAGGAAAGTGGAAAATAAATTCAGAACCTACAGAAAACCTGTAGGAGACTGAAGAACAGATGTCGCTTTTTAGCTCCTCGGAAAGGATCGAGCAACTGGACAGGAGAACCAAATAACGTTCAGCCTCGGTATATGCACCCAAACGAGGACACGCTACAAACCGGAAAGGCATTCTTGGCCAGTTCGATCGAACGGTCGTAGTCGCAAAGTGGTGGCAGGCGCGTATGCGAAAGATGGGGTACTTTGTAGGCTTCAAAAATGAGGGGATCCAAGAAGAAGTACATGAACAGCGAAAAAATTGACGCAGTTTGTTCAGGTGCTGGAACTTCCACAGGATTCTAGGAGCAATGTTAGACCGGACAAAATGTTTCAAAAAGAAGGAAAAACCTCAGGATCGACCGGCACATATTTACGAGGAACGAAGAGAGGAACGAGGACGGCCGTGAAGGTTAACAGGGCGATCTTGAGCCAGAGAATCGAGCCCTCCGAAGTATCTACTGGATGTTCTGTGAAGGTTGCCAAAGGCCAGATATCTCGGTATATGTACACCGAGAAGGTCGTAAGCAGAACGAAATTAGCGTGGCGCACGGCAGTTTGCGTGGAGTTGCTGGGAAGAAGGGACACCGCAGAGAGGAAAGTGGCATACCACTGAATCATAGATCAGCATCATGAAAGCCTATTAGAAACACCATTACTCACATAGGTAGTGGCCATCGCGATCTCAAGCAAGTTCCCAGAATTAAACACCCCTTTAAACACATCTCTATGCCCCTCCGCCTCCCCAACGATGTTGATTAGAGACAACACGAAGAGAGCGGTGCACCCAACGAGTCGCGCGACCTTGAACGCGACGATAACGAAGCCACCGTGCACTCCATAGTAAATTTTGGTTCTACTCACGGGTCCTTCCACAGGTATATTGCTGTTCAACACAGTGGCATACTTGGACGCGTCAGCTTCTGATGTGTTCCGACGTGATTTTCTCCATAGGTCCAATGCCACTTGGTAGAATAGAATGGCTCCAGAGATGAGAGTGGCGACGAGAGGGACAAGAAGAGTGTTATTCCAACTAGACGAACACGTTAGAGCTCTACCCCTCCACAAGATATGCTATCGCGCCGAACATACCTGAATTTTCCCTTGAATCCATCAAAGCTCCATGTTGAGTATAGGTGGCTTGAAGTAGCTTGGTATATGAGGGCCGGAGTCACTGGCATGGCGCGCCACGACGAGCTGGAGCTGGAATTGGGAGGGTACGTGTCAGTCGTCTATCCTAGGTTGAGGTTATAAGTCAAGAATGATAAGGTGGTATTGCGACAGCCCTCGACAACCCTGAAAAATCAACCATCTGGAAGTGCGGGCCTTTTGGCTAAAGATAGAATCGGTTCATCAACGAGTCAACAAAGTCCTCCGGCAACCACATGCCCATTGATTACAACCACTTCCGTACCTCCTCCGAGACCGTCGGCAAATTCGCTCTTGCACGTTGGAACCACCCGCCACCCCTCTGTGGTGTGTAAATTTAATAAAATCATGCAACTGCAGCTCCACTTGCTCAAAGCTCCTCTTTATCAGCGTATTCGCCATCAAGATGTTCCATCGTCATTGAGGATTCCGACCTCAGCGGGGTCCTTAAAATATCGAGGAAGAGAAGACTATAATTTCGCAGTAGGAAAAGGTCAAGTGCAGCCTTACTACTGCTTTTCTTCTCACGCGCGGCTTGAACAAAAGGTTTGCTCTCACTCTGGCGCGTAGATACTCTTAAGTACCAAGGTTCTGAAACAGCCTGCTATTTCATTCTCCTGAAAAGCTTCCAATTTACCAAGGTCCAACCGAGGAAGACGTTGACAGCAATCGATGAGTCGACGGCGACCATTTGGAGAGACCCTACATACAGTTTCAAGCTGCTGTGAGTCATTTCCACCATGTGGAACTGCCATCGCGGGGCCCCAAACGCCAGAGATAAGGAGGGATGAATCGAGCTCGCCATCTGGCGTGTTGGGATGTAGGACGGCACATCGGATCTCTTACTTCGGGCATCCAGGAGAGCCCCTGAAAATCGTGACACGCGTACGCGTCTATTTTTCTCCTGACGCGTTTCGTATCTGTTCTACTCACAAAAATAGGTCGACTATCCTCTCCTTTACAAGATGATTGCTCAAATCAGTGCTCAAGTTACCTTGCTGCATCCCTGTCAACATCGACGTCCTGCGGCGTGACGCGCCCGCACTAGTCTGGCGACTCGCAGTTTTATCGCTTTCGCGCCTTCATGAATCCGCGTATTAAACGAGACTGAGTCAGACCGGTGTGACGAAGAAACTATTGCTGATTCACAACCATTGCTCCGCAAAGCAACATCGCGGGCGCCTATATTCATGCACGCGACTCCGGATACCGGGAATTGTTCGATGAGCACGATGAGCGCCCCTAGCAGGATGAAGGTATGGCGACGTATGAAGAATTGCAGGAAATTACATATCTGAGACTGGCGGTGGCAATAAGAGTATTGCCCCTATGAAAATACGATAAGATTAGATTTACATGAAGTTCGTCTAGATAACAAATTTACTACCGTGAAAACTTTTGAACTCGAACACCAACAGCCTCCAGGATGAGCAACGCGGAAAGCCCACTGTTTCTTCCACCCGAGTTGTTGACCGCCATATTCAGCGAGGTCGATTCTAAGCAGGCCCTGTCGAACCTACGTCTGGCCTCCAAAGACTTCTGTGAAATCGCCACTCCTTACGCCTTTCGCACCTTCGACATCCCAATGACTTTTAATCCCAAAAAGTTTGTCGTGGATTTATGGGAGGCTCCTGATCTCGCCACGCACGTCAAGGAAGTAAAATTGAACGCTCAGGATTTCAAAGGGGACAAGATTATGACGGCTACCGGGTCGGTTAGCGGGTATGTCTGTAGGTCTTCCTGAACGCCCTCTTGGATCGCCTCCCATTCCCTGATGCCATGTATACAGGGTGTGCCAAGCTGGTCCGAATTCAGGAAATGGCGTTTATACTCCAGAATCTTTCGGGGTTCCCTAACGCACACACACTGCGCCTATACTGCCGGGGGAAACGCCGGCCAGAACCTGGTTGGGAGGACCCTGAATATGAGACTTCTCCCTCCTGGCGCCTAGAGTCCGGGATTTGTAGAGCGATTGCTTCCAGCAAGGCCGTGAACATGGTGCAAACACTGGAAATCAGATACCTCCGTCCGTGCAACCTCGTCCTTCGACACTTTGACTCCCCTTCCTCTCTACTAACGACATTGACGATCGCCGACTGCTTTCAATCCCCATCTATTGGCCGCTTATTCTGGGAATTAGTTACTTATCCCCGTCTTCAACATCTCCATCTCGAAACAGTCAGCATCAAGACACGAGAAGGCCCATCCAATGTGCCGCGGATCGATCTCGAGACGTTTCTGCTTCGCCATGCTGGATCGCTCAAGACAGTCAAACTGCACAGATGCTTGATGGCGTCCATACATTCTATCGATGATCCCCCGCTACGGTTTCCACGAACGTGGGGAGACGTCTGGGATGCTGTCGCAGAAAGCCTGCCTAATATAATGCAATTCGACTTCGAACCAGTGCCTAGGAGCTCCTTCGACGATCACTCCTCTTCAAGGGACTATATTGAGTGGTCATACGGCTTTTATCATTCGGAGAGTGGATATTGTTCCATACTACCGGACGAATGGGATGCAGCTGCAGATAGTCTGCCTTGTGAAGGAGATGATAGAGCTGCCTGGGATATACTGCAACGGACACTCGAAGAAAGGAGGAAGCAAGCCCATTGGAATTAGTTTTGCCGATTTATCTTTCATAGACGAGGCCAGTAGATTGGATTGCAGAGTGTTCTGCTGGAGTGTTCTATGACAGTCGGAACCCAAGTTTCCCTACTGAATGTCGAGTGAGAGTGAACGATGTCCTGCACGTGGATCCCTTTTCGCAATTTGTTTGAAACACCTTCCGGGAATACACCACCTTCCCGGGGCCAGGGTCATTTGACAAGCTACACGGTCTTCCGTCTTCCTGACCTGTACAAGGTGGATACATGATACGGGCCAGCAAACGAAAATCCCCGATGACCGAGTCTGAGTTTGGAACGACCAAGCCATGAGGTGTTTCCACCAAGGGCTCAGAAAGGCTTAGAATAGGCACGCCGAAGACATGCATCTTTCATCCCCGCATTGTGGAATTTAATACGTCAGTGTTCGGAAAACAACGTACGGAGAGATTAGGCACGCCTTATGGTGTGAAGGATAATAGGCGCCGTGCTCTAGAGGATTGGCTCGTGCGGCGTTGCCCTGTCGGCAATGTCTCTCGAGAATACATCGAGACAGGTCGGCCGAAATTATGGGAGAGAATAAAGGAAAAGGCAGTGACGGTCGGATGGACATCAATCGCGGAGCATTCCCAGCCCGATCGCTAGCTGCGCCACACAAATACTACGGTTTCGGCAGCCTCGGGCTTGGGTCCTTCGATCAAGAATTAGATTAGAGAAAACATGAATGAATTGGCGTTACCTCACGATCGACGTTGACATCGCTTCCTCAGAGACGGCACAATGACCCGAGGTACTGCGACACCATCTTGCCGGTCGCTCTGGAAGTATGACGAGCGAGCGCGGTAAGCCTATAAATATCTGAAGACATGCCCCAGGGTTTCATGAGAGCTTCTCCGCGTACGCGGTAATAGAATAACTCCTGATAGCATTGAATGCTGTCCGTCAGGGCCAGTTTATCGTAAAATACATTGAGGCAGTTATAGAATCATATGAGCACCTCCTCGCTGGCTAGTCGTGGCTGGTCCACACACCGCAGTCGCAGGGCGTGGGTGTGGTCTACTCAGTGGACGAAAGAAGCGCTGGGTGCATGACATTGATCGCATGAAGTCGACCGAATGGAGGAAGGGTGCGGGAAGCCTGGAAGGGGAGGAGAAATGTGCGACGAGGGTTCGCGCTCTGACCCGGTGGCGGTTGGCTGGCTATACAATCAACGATGGTCCGGATAATAGTGTGGATTGGGGCATGGCCGAGGATGGCTGCCCGTCCCCGGAGGGAATGAGGGTCAGCAAACCACGAGTGGTGGGACTCTGGCCCTCACATCTAATCCGAAGCGCAGCGTAAACGACGAGGAGAAAGGGATAAGTGCGAGGAAAGGACACCTACAAAAGCCTTGCGCGTTGTGTCGTTGCCGTTACTGCAGCCCCTCATCAGCGGGTCGGTGTCAACCGCACGCATCACACACGTCCCCGGGCCCGACACCGTCCGGATGACGAAACTAACGATCTTGAGGCCCTCATCATACTCCAACGTCCATATAAAGTCCTCGGTCCACGCTCGCCCGCTCTTCCTCCACGTCCAGGTCGTACTAGCAGCCAGCGTGACCTGTCGCGCAATCGGATCAACCTGCGGGGGTGCCTGAGCGTGTACAGGACCACGCAGAAAGTGGGTCGATAGCAGGTCAAAATAGGAGCGTAGCGCATTAGGTCCTACTAGCCTTGATGCCTGGGGTATCGGACACTCGGCAGGAGCGTGCTGGATCGTGACGGGTGAGGTGGTCGAGAAATATGACAGCAGCTTGAGAGGGGGTGTGTCGGAGGCGAAAGCGTCAAAGAACGCCTCACTCGCTTCCCGAAGTTGTCCTTCAGCGACCATAGTACGGATGGGATTGGTGAGGAACGAGGAACACTGAGGGAGAGGGTTAATCTTTCCCGATTCTCCACGAGCCTGGGTATCTTTATAGCATTTTCAGCAGCGGGCTCGGGCAGAAGAGACTGAGGTAATGGCCGGCCTGACTGTCAAATCCTTGGAAGTATCATATCTCCTAGCTCCGCTTGGGTTTTAATCGGTGGCTTGAGACGTACACACGTCTACATTTTGGCACAGGACGTTCTTCCCTGGGGACACGACCCGTTCATTAGCCACTTCGTCGCCAGCTTTCTAGGGTTGCTTCTCTCACCACAATAAGGTGATTCCGATAGCCGCTCATATATGAGGTAGATTGTTCGATGATGAGGCTGAGTCGTGAACATCAGAAGGTGATCTAGTCAGTGGAAATCGCAAGAGTGAGTCAGGAGGAGGAGAAACACATTTCGGGATTTCGGCGCTAATCCCTAAATTACCCGGCCCGCGGCGGACCGTCGGAGCGTGACGGCATCGGACAGTACCCACCTACCAAGTTTGTCCCACCCATTATGCGTCTCCCGACTTGATATTCCGTGCTTCTCCAGCGGAGAAACGTTGGAGGAGAACGGTAGAGAATCGGAAACAAATCAGGCATCTTGTCAGATGAGTCTTGCATTTTCTAGTGCTTTGGCAGGCTTTCACTAGAACTACAGGTGAGTAAGCGCTCGCCCTAGTCTGCCGATGCCGCTTCCTCCGAATCGCGATATATAGTCCACTCGCCCATTTTATGGCGGAAAATACAAGAATAAAGTCCATGTGAAGGACGTCCCGATTTCGAGTCATATTTCCAGAGCTGCTCCTGCCTGTTCGAGTCGCTCAAACCACGCCGCGCCCTTCCATTGTTCCAATGGACAGAGTATTTATAAAAACCTTCAAAGTAGATGGGTGGGTCATACTAACTCCATCGCAGGGCAGCCTCTCACCTTATGGTGTCCTTGAGTGTATTAGACAGCCTCCGGAAATGAACAAGTCACTCTACTAGACGGCAATTAGTTCTAGCTCGCTCGGAGGAATACAAATAACTCCATTCCGTTATTAGATGAGTGTTTCAATGCAGTGAGCAGAGTAGATGAAGCTCCTAGTCACACTAGAGTGGAATGTAATTCATCTAAGCTTGACAGTGTACTCGAGTAGATGATTCTTCCGATGGGTTTTTTCCTGCCATGTTGACACTTGCAGCTGCTCGGATAACACCAATTAGCTCCTTAAAATCTGTTGTAAGATTAAGGAAAGAACCGCGTCAAAGGTATCAGCTCACAATCTGTGGGACACCCAAATTTTCGACCTGCATAGAAGCATTGTTACCTCGTGAGCACATTGGAGTGGGGGAAGATGAATGTGTCTGTGGGTCCACGGTACTGTCAGTCAAAACATGCTAGAAGCGATCGACGTTGTTAACTACCAGTAGAAAGTAAGAAGCAGGTTTATCTTCTACATGATCCTTCATATAATTTATACAAAGTAGACCTGTCTTCGCTTCCTTCACCCAATGCACGGAAGACGCCCTTTTCCCGTTGGAGTAGAACATGGGCAGTCCTCGCACAATCAATCGCGTCAGCGTTACAGATAAAACAGCCATCTTACAATTTTTATCTTTCCAAGAAAGATAGTGTTTGCTATCAAGCCTGACACGACCCCGCATGCAAACGGGCGTCTCAAGATCTTTTTGGACGAGGAGGAGACGAGGAGTTTCTTCAGTCTGCTGACCCCCTTCAGACGCCGACACATAGTAATTTATTTGAGCAACATGCATAGGGTCCCAATCAAGATACTTGCATGCTCAAACATCTGGTAAATGGTGACCACAATTTGGAAGATCCACTAGCACTGGCTGATCGCTTTTTGGTAGTTGTGGCCCATAGACTACGTCATTGACACTGGTTACGCGATACCCCTATTTCTTTTCAATACATTCTTCACACGCTTCCTTCTTCCTCCTTACCAACATCCAGGTCCCATTTACCACCTATCTGGGTTTACACACCATTTACTCTACTTTTACAAGTCCTACTACGTCAGTATGGGTCCGAATGATACGCGTAAACGCGTCGCTGAGGACGACCACGACACGGAGCTGAGCAAGACACGTCGCAAAACGGGAGATACCCCGGAAGCCTCTGCCATCCCTACGCCTGCCAGAGCCCATCGAGACTGCGTGAAAGACCTGGATTTCTTTCGCCCTGACGGTGACTGTGTCATTGCTATCGACAACACACTTTTCAAGGTGACTATTCATGTCGCCACGTCACGAACGCGAAGGTCTTCTAATCACGACGCGACGCGACGCGTCAATCTCCTACAGATACACCGATATCTGCTCACACGCGACTCATCTGTATTTGCCGACACTTTCGCGCTTCCGACAGACGCATCTCTGGGGGAACCTGACTCTATGTCGGAGGAGAATCCGCTCGTGCTAACGGACAACATCGACGATTTTCGAGCGCTTTGCTGGGCGTTGTACGCGTTGTAAGTCTTTCGTCCAGTCTTCTCTTCTTCTCTGAGCTTACGCTCTTTCCTCGTTTTGCGTGACTTCAGGCCGACGGAATTCCAGGAGTACCAATGCAAGACTGAGCGTATCGTCGATCTGAGCCGAATTATATCCCTTCTCGCCACAGCGAACAAGTACCAGTTCGCCTCATACGAAAAGTGGGCGCTCGACATCCTCATCAAGCACACAGACTTACCACTGCGCAAAAAAGCATTGCACGATCTCACCGTCGCAGTCCTGGAGAGGCTTCTACGCCTGAGTGTCGTCTGCGAGTCATCAATACTGCGGCATAACGTTGAGGACTTGTGGACTCGCACTCTGCACGAGGCGAAGCCAGAGGACAGCTCTGCAAGGATCGCTCTGGACGTAGGAGAACAACTGAACCTGCGGGAATTCCAAGGCAAGGTCTACTACCAACTCGCCGCGGAGATGGAGCGTCAGCGCCGTCTCTCAGGGCTGCCTATTTGCACCCCCCTGGAACATAACCTCTCCCCAGAGCAGAACGCACGCCTCTTCCGCGGTGTGTGGTCGGTTGGCCAGTTTGTCAATGTGGTCATACGGGATTTGATCAATCCTGCTTCACCTCCAATGGAAGATATCGACTGCTATGAAGAACATCATAAGACGATATGTCGTCCCCAGTGGCAACCCTTTATGGCGAAGGCCCTTCGCAAGCTGACTTCGCTGGACCCCCTGAAAGCGCTGGAGACCATGGTTATCGCAACAAGTTCGTCGCACTTCTGTTGTCATAGCTTTTTTTATGATCGCGAGGAGCAATTGCGAGACGCTTTGGAGGACTATTTCCTTGGGCGCAAATGAGCTCCAGAGATATGGAGATGGAAACATTGGGGTACACAGGCTTGGATGTATAATTCTCGGGTTCCGAATCACTCATCCTGACCACAATTTACTCAAGTCTAAAGCACATCTCGTTCTCTTTTGAGTATCTCCAACCCCTTTGATTGACATTTTTGTGGACAGTGTAGGTGAGCCCTTTACTTCCCCAGCGAATGCTGTCAAATCATCGTAATCACACAGTAAGGGAAGGTGATCTACCAGGAGCCTCAATACAATGACAAGGAGAGTTGCCAAAGTGGTGTCCCTCGTGAAGAGAAACTGACAAACGTTTCAAAAGCATGATTGGTACTGACTTAACCTAGGAGAACCCACGGCCTTGGGATTAGAAATTTGGATGAGGACTGCATGAGTCAGTCTCGACTCTCTGCTTCCTCAACGACGTCGAGAGCAAGTCACATCTGCTTGACCCCCGTACGACGTGCAAGGTCCTCCACGGTGTCACCACATGCACACCTCGCACATTTTGGGTCCTGGACATCTTAGACTCGACCTGCCGCGATCCCTATTTTTGGTGCCTGCGCATCACGTCGAAGAGATTGTTCTCGAAGGCAGGCCAGTCATGGCGAGTATATGTACTCTGTGTCTTATTGATAACGACGACGGGTCTGTCCTCCGTCGGAGCAACTTTGGCCAATGGCGGTAAGTTGGTTTGGTCGTATACCCAACGTACGTTTTCCTGTCTAAACCGCTGGTTGAAAGCAAGTTAAATCTGCCATCCCATCCATCATGCATCTCCCGAGCTCGAAACTCGGGCATCTTTAACAGAGGAACCTTGGAGGATAACACGACGGACCTGGAACAAATCAACTAATAACTATGTTGTCAGATGGTATGGACCGCCATAGTGTGAAATTATTTAATTCTAATTCGCATTTTTCTCATGCGATAGAGGACCGTTAACGCTGGAATAAACGCCCAACGCCGCTTCCTCTGGATCGAGGTAACGGTTATACTCATCCTCATTTTTATCACAGCAAGTACAAAGGCAGCAAAGCCTGTGTGAGAAGACACTGTAGAAGACACGATGTTGATCTTTGGTCATCATCATCTCAGCTCGCTGCCTAATTAAACCTTCGGAGCCTGCGCCTCCTTTCCCCAATCAGTACCTACTTACCAGGATGCGGAAGAACTCAACGAAGACAAAGCTCCTGGACCAGAGACAGAGGCGCGTAAATGACAGCTTGGGCTACTCGAAGCCGTGTCAAGCCGACTTAAACTTTTACAATTATGAGCCATTGATATTGATGAATTTCTACGCACGCGCTGATATCCCAGTTTTCGCCCAAGTGCCGCAAATTCAAAGAGGCGCTCCGCTCACGTCCCTGACACCGAGCAGCAGCAGGAGCAACGTCCTCAAGGCTCAAACCGGGCCCCATCCTGGGTCCTGGGGTCTTGTTCGAAGGAGAACACAGTCACCATGCCCGATTTGCGCGACCTAATACACCGTACACTTCGTCGTTGTCAGGCTCGCGTTTCTTCACGATATCATCATTATGCACCCCGGTCCGAGTCCAGCAGACCCGACCTGCAGCTGCTTGCATGGAGTGGGTGGTCCTCTTCCAGCGCCTCAAGTTGACCGGCGGCACGCGCCCGCTGCCAACTGATATGGGACAGACGCCTGCCGGTTCCGAGTCAGGCAGGGGACGTGGAATATTAATACTAATGTGCGTCGTGGTCCACAGTCAGGTCGGAAGCCCTTCCAGCAGAAGCTTACGGGCTTGAAGGGATCTGTCCGGATCCTGGACCCGCGCGAGAAATACCCAACGGACTATAACGGCTAGTATAGTACGGCTGTTCGCGGTTGCTCATAGAGAGCAGCTATTATTTCGTGTGGATGATGCCAGGCCTAGCCAGGAGGATATCAGGAAATTTAGGCTTGCAGTGGTGATGATACGCCCGCAATAAATTTGCGGTCGAAAACCCTTCAAAGCCCGCGGTTGAGCGAGCCATCGAGGACAAGTTAGCATGAGCAGTCAGGTATCCTCGTGATATCAGATTAGATTGAAACACACACCGTATCAGATTAGCGAGCTCGGAGTCATATCTTGATAATTAATAAGAGATAACACCTCAGCGAGTGAGATGTGGCCGCCGGAGACACATGCGGTTGCCGAGTCGAAGGCCGATAAGATTATTCACACGATGCAGTCTTTGCACATACCATGTTATGAGAATTGATGACATAACACTCGCACGATGACGTGCGCTAAGACAAGCGCCCGCATGCGCAATTGAGGCGCAATAGCACAAGCATATAACTCAACCAATAATATTTGGAGAAAGTATTCTTGGCTAGTTACATGCTGAGTAAAGAACTCTTGACCCAGAGCAACGGTCTGAGTAAGCGCCGGAACCTCGGAGAGCCGTGTTCCGAGAGAAAACATATAAAAGGGTGAGACGGAGTGCTCGCGCCCCCAAGCAATCGCCTCCCAGTGATACCAGGAGGTTGTCGAGAGTACTAGCCAACGCACCGAGCGCGTACAATTGACTGCGAGAGCTTCTATTGCGAATTCATAAGTGTTTTACACTATCAACTGCGATTTCCCACGGGTAAAACCGTGTTCGTTTGCGAGTATCTGGGGGTTTAAGTGAGGCATCTTCGGACCAGAAGGAAGACCACTGGTTCGTTGACTCGCCTGAGTTGTTGTTTGAGCAGAAAGAAGACTACTGCTCCGAGATTTTGAGTTTTTGGGTAGAAGGAAGACCACTACCCCGGATTTGAGTTAGTTTGGGACAGGAAGACCATCCCGGACTTGAGAATATTGCACCTAGGAGAAGGAAGACCACTCCGACGTGTTAGACGAGACAGAGACGAAGAAATTTTATTTTATTTTGATTTCTTTCTATTTTATCGAGACTCTATTTCTATTTTCTAATTGAGATCTATCTTGCCCCCACGAACTTAAGAGCGTGATTGGTTGTGAGGTTTTGAGTTTCGGCTTTGCCCCACATTAGTCATCTCAGTGAGTCTGCACAATAAGATTGGATTGGGAAGCTCAAAGACCGGGATTGGGATCGGGAACCAATTGATTACTTTCCTCGGTGCCGCTAGGATCGTTGAAAACAAGTTCAAAAAAAATCTGCCGTCCCACCCGTCATGCTGACCTCCAGTCCTCTACTGTAACATCAGAGGAACCTTGGCCATTATAACCCCACAGAACTGGAACAAATCAACTAATAACTATGTATGTATGTTGTCAGATGAAATTCGCATTTCTCATGCGATAGAGGACCGTTAGCGCTGGCCAGAATAAGCGCCCTAGTCGGCCGATGCCGATCGACGTCTCGATTGCGTTCCTTTATCACAGCGAGTAAGTACAAAGGCAGCCAAGTCCGTATTACGCGTGTAAAAGTCAGCCAGCCGCGAGCACTACATACTATGAAGTCTGAATTCTTATTTTATTTTCCGGAGACGCTTCTGGCTGGCTTCCTGCCCGCAGCCCGCTCAACCCGTCTCAAGTTCTCCTTGGAATCGACATTCTATTTATAGCTATAACGTACCTCTTCCAAGGATCAGGAGGTGGGTTGATCAGAACCCAAGTGCTGCAGTCTTCCGATCAGTCGACTAGACAACAGCGCTCAGAGTCATAAGTAGATTGCGAGGACTATAAGTACCAATTCTGAATCCTCTCAACAGCTGCAGCAATGGTGTGCTTCGGGTGTGCTGTAGAACATACCTTCAAAAAGCAAGCTTGCCGCACATTCGAGTCGATGAAGGACCATCGACCACCTATCAACGGTCTGATCCTACAGCTGAACTGTTGCCACGGCCGGATAACCGACACCTGCCAATCTGACGAATACGTACTGTAGACGACGACAATAGGTCCTTGATAACAATAACGATAATAACGATATTACACCACCTGGGCCTATACGTCGTCCGAGTCCGTAGAAAAGTCCTCATCCAACACGCCAGCGTACGGAGGCCTACTTGTAAGTCGTAACCTATGTGCTCCTAACTGTCCAGGTGAATCAGTCCGAGACTCCTTCTTACGCAAAGTGCCAAGCCTTAACTACTTTATAGCATGAACGACACCAAGAACACCGAAATCCCCGCCACGACGTTCACGCCCATCCCCACTGCGGCGGTCTTATGGCCGCTATTACTATTGGTCGTGGGCAGCGGAGCTGCACCTGAATTCGCAGCTTCGGTACCGGTGGCGAGGACGACGGTCGTAGACGTGCTGGGCGGGAGGATCGGGGTTGATAGCGTGCTAGTCACGAATCTCGACTCCGTGGAGGTGGTGGAAGGAGAGGGCGAAGGAGGCAAGACGACGACGGAGGTGGTTGGCACGGGAGGCGGGGTGCTTGACGTGGTGGTGGTGGGAGGAGGCGGTGGTGTAGACGTGGTGGTGGGAGGCGGTGGAGTTGAGGTAGTGGCTGGACGGATAATCGTAAAGGTAGGAGGCGGTGGACGAGTAGTCGTGGTGGTAGGAGCCGGCGGCGGTGGAGGAGGTGGAGGCGGTGGAGGAGGTGGAGGCGGAGGTGGAGGCGGAGGTGGTGATGGGGTGGGGGTTGGACGAATAGTAGTAGTCGGAGGTGGTGGTGGAGGAGGAGGAGGGGGCGGGGGAGGAGGAGGAGGTCGCGGTGGTGGTGTAGGAGTAGCGGTCGGACGAGTGGTAGCAGGGGGAGGGGGAGGAGGATCTGGTGCGTAAGACTGAAAACCTCAAACGAAGGAAAATAAGAAATGAGACTAACCATCGTCTGATTCCGTTGCGCCGTCCGGACAAGTCGACGCTCCAGACGAGAACGTTCCATTGCCCTACAAAAACACCAAAACTCTCTTCAGCAACCCCCGCAAACGAAAAACGACAAAAAAAAAACATACCTTGAAGTACGAGCAAGTACCCGCCGTGGTGTATACACACCGGAGAGATTCACCACTATCGCTTTGAGACACCAGTGTGCCGCCTCTGTCGTCTGTGCTCGCGCAGTTCATGGCTCCTGCGTACGGGGGGAAAACCCAGTCAGTCAGCGCCTGTGGGCCCAGTTCCCAAGTGGGAACCGTTCAGCAGCTGCACACCTGAGACGGCCATTGCCAACGAAATCAAGGTTGTCAATTGAAGAAGGGAACGCATCGTTCAATGTTTCGTTGGGGAATCGCAGAAAGAAATTGGAGGTTGTAAAGGAACGAAAGGGTATGTGTGCTTCAAGCACGAGAGGAGAGGGAGAGGGAGGGAGGGGAGAGGCGTAAAAACAAGAAAAACGAAAACGAAAAGACGACCAGCGGAGGAGCAGATGAACGGGAAAGCAAGACGAGAGGAAAGAGAGGGCAGCGATTGGTTCTCAGCGCATGCTGGTCGGTTTATGATGGCTCGTAACCACAGCAGATGCCGTAGCCGTAGCGTCGCTAGCCAAGCTACATATCACATGATGACAGCCATCGCCTTCCTGTCGAGTCCACAACTCTGGCACCTGGGGTTGGTCGTCGTCCAATGAGACTGAATGGTGTATCTTCCATCAGAGCCACTCCAGTTCGAGTGACTCGACGCGTTGGTGTACAATCGACCGACCTCATTCTCAAGGTGGAGAGGTAGTGCTACGCCGTCCAGAGACTGGAAGCTTAAGAGAGACGTAGGTCCCAGGCTAAGGAAGCCTTCGCATATCTCCAAGCCACGATACGCATGGGATTCGTGGGGTCCATCTACATATTCTGATTCCTGATTCCCATGGATCTTCTTCCCAGCCGTGACGTGCATATTCAATCCAGAGAGCCGAATTGAGAGATGAGGACAGGGCATGCCGCATAACACGGTAGAGTGGTTAGCATCCTGACGTTGAGGATGAAGTCAAAGAAAGCGCCAGGTCTGCGCGTCAGGTCTCTTCGCGAACATCCGGCGCGTGCCTGAGCGGTGGACACATTTGTCCGGCTCAAACACCCAAGTAACCAGCGAAGGGAAAAAAGGCAGTGCATTAAGGGAGTATACATAAAAGTATGCCAGTCATCATCATCGAGGAGAGAGACAGTAATACAGTACCGTACGTGCGTATTTCGTGCATGCGAACGAGCCTGTGCCCGCTGTGTGCTGTGTGCTGTGTGTTCTTCGTGCCATCAAGCGGAGTTGTGTGCGTGCGTGCGTGAGGAGTATCGTGAGATATGGGAGCGAAGAACCCTAACAGAAAAGAGAAGGAGAAAGAAAGGCTGGAGAGAGGAGAGGAGAGGAGAGGAGACGCAGAGATATGGAAAGGGAAGAAAGAGAAAGACGCTGACGAGCGGAGTATTTTAGGACAGAAAAATTCGGAGGGTGAATCTCACGTAGAGTACAAGAAAAAGAAAGGAAGAGGAAGGGGAAAGAATAGAAATTGATAAATAGGGTCAAGAAAGAGTAGAGGCGAAGAAGAGGGATATCAAAGGAAGTCCAAAGTAGAGTCGAACCGAACGTCGAATCCCGGAAGGCCCGGGGGTCCGAGAAAGCGAAACTAGAACCAGAACCAAATTGAAAGTGCATCGTCCTGCCCACCATACAACATACATATCAGCAACGCCAACAAAACACACATCCAAAGAAATAAGCACTCACAAAACCAGACGCAGAGCGCCCAAACACCACATGACCGAAGGAGGCATCATCACCACCGTCACACCCACGCCAGCGCCCACAGGCACTACCGCGGCCAAATATCCGTGACGGTCCTCCTCCTCTCGCGCTGCCGACTCGCGCTCGCCGCCGTCTGCGCGAGGATCGTCGACGCCGCGCTCCGGTCCGCAGCTGCACCACCCCCCACGCGCTCCTTCGTGCCTGTCGCAGTGGTGGTGGCATTCGTACTCTTGGACTGCACCGACACCTCACGCTCGCGCTCCCGATCATCCTCATCCACGCGCAGACTATCCAAGCTCATCCTCATCCTCGCCGCACCCGCGCCAGCACCGACCCCAAGGGTCTTCCGCCTCGTGTCCCTTTCCGTCTCCGAGCCAGAGAGCGCGCGGGCCATCATCGCAGGGCTGTTCTTCGCGCTCGCGCTCGCGCTTCTGCTTGAGGGTAGGTTCGCTGAGGCCGACGCCGGGCTCGTTATCGTTGCCCGCGTAGCAGTAGTAGCAGCGGTGGCAGTGGCAGTGGAAATCGACCCCGTCCGCCTCCTCTCCCTCTCCCTCTCCCCCTCCCCACTCGCATGCAGCTGCGCAAGGTCACTCATCGCAGCCCCGCTCGGTCTCGAGAACGTCACCTGCGCCCTAACACCGCTCGCAGACGCGGAGCTCTTACTCGACTCGGACCTCTGCAACGCCACCGGCCCACCAAACGGGCTCCTCCCACCATCCTCGGCATGGGCGTTGCTCACCGTATGCGGCGTCAGCGCCGTCGTCGGGTTCGCAGGGCTGGATAAGGGGAAAGTCGGGCGTTCGGTCCCACCGCGTATCGTCGACCGCCGCCTCTCCCTCTCCCTCGTTGCAGAGCTGGCGGAAGATTCCGTGGACTTGTTAAGCCCCGACCGGCGCCCGAGCGTCTCAGAAGGTAGAGTCGGTAGAGGCTTGGGGATCGTAAGAGGTGTTAGGGTCTTGGGCTTCGTTAAGGGTGTGAGGGAGAGCGTTAAACCACGGTCGGGGTTGGGTGAGGGCCGCGGTGGTGGGGGCTTGGAGGGCGTCTCGTAGGCGTAGGCGTATGCGTCGTACCGATCCCGATCCTTGGAGGAGTACAGATCGCGGTCCCTGGAGGAGTACTGCTCGTTGTCGTACCGGTCAGGCTGGATCGTCTCCTGCGAGTCAAGCGAGGTCATGCCGAGACCCGCACCCGCACCCGCTGCCACAGACCGGAGGTTACTCGTCGACACCTTCCCGTCCAACATCTGCTCTCTCGGCGCGAACAACCTCCTCGTTGAGCCAGCCGGCGTGCCTGTCCCTCCTCCACTGCCTCTTCCACTCGCTCCACTTCCACCTCCACCCGCTCCTCCTCCACTACCAGACCCTCCACTACCAGTAACCGAGTGCCTCGCATTCGGCATCGGAGGTGGACTTTCAGCCTCCCGGTCCCTCAGCTCGCGATCTCGGAGCTTCTGGAACGTAGCGGGCGACGAGCGTGCGAGGACGCTGTCTGAGCGTGGTGCAGGTGCGGGTGCGGGTGCGCCAGCGAGCCGCCGGAGCGCTTCTTCGCGGTTGGCGCTCCTCTCTAGCTCTCTATCTCGTTCCCTGTCCCTCTCTCTGTCCCTGTCCCTCTCTCTTTCTCTGTCTCTGTCCCTATCCCTGTTGAGCTCGCGTAGGTCCCGCTCGCGATCCCGTGCCGTCGGTTCCCAACTATGCCTCGAGACCGACGCGACGCTCCTCCTCCCACTCGCGCTTGCACTACCACTGCTCGTCCCTTGCCCTCCTCCTGCTCGGATATCAGGACTCGCCCGCCTCAGATCCTCGTCGTTCAGACTAACATGGCGTGCGTGTAGAGCTGGCGAGCCCGTCAACCCTCCTACTCCCATTTGTCCTCCCATGCCACCAAACCCATCCACACCCACACCCACACCACCATCCCTCAACGCCCTCCCAACACCCAACAAGAACCCCGTGATCGCTCTCACCAACTCATCCGCCGTGCGCGAGCCGTCTCTATACTCCGCCGCCACCCGCCCCCACAGATCCACCATCGCCATCGCTTGTACGCCTGGTTCTCTCGCAGGTTGGGTACCGTCCGTGGCCTGCACCTCCACCTCGACTTGAGATTCGACCGCCCTCGTGGCCCCAGAGCGGAGGAGCGCACACAGCTTGTCGGCGGCGAAGACCATGGTTTGGGCGGTGCGCAGGAGGTCGGCGTGGGCCATTGAGGTTGAGGCTGAGGGTATCGGTGTCGCCAGAACGTTGCTTGTCCCATTGCTAGTGCCACTTGCACCCAAGGAAGACCGTGCGAGCTGCCCCTCGAACATAGCTAACGACTCAAGCATCAGGCGCGCGTGCTCTGTCTGTCCTTGTCCTTGCCCTTGCCCTCCTTGCCCATGTCCTCCTTGCCCTCCTTGCGTCGTCGTCGTCGAACTCGAAGCCGACGCCATCCCCATACCCGAAGCCTGGATCGGCGGTGTACTAAACCGCCTACTCCCAAACGGACTCGCCGTGCCTCCCAGTCTATCCTGCAGGTAGCCTAACGCATGATGATGCGACGGTGCAGGCGACGGCGCGTGCATCGTCGAGTAGCGGCCTAGGACCGAGGCGGCACGGTCGGTGGAGGGAGGTGGGAGGGACTCGCGCTCCCTCCTCGCAGCAACAGTTGCAGCAGCGTTGGATAAAGCGAGCTCGCGCTCCCTTAGCGCCTCTCTCGACGTTGCGACGAGCGAGTATGCGCTCCGATGCGCTCTGAGGCCGACGTCTTGTGCTCTCGAATGAGGCGGTGCTGGGGCCGGCGGTGGGTCATCCTCGTCGGCATCGCGATCGCGGTACTGGTAGAGCGCCATCGACGTTGCTGCCCTCTGCGGCCTGTCCCTGTCCCTTTCTCTGTCTCTGTCCAGAACCCTCCGCCTCCCATCGTCCAACCCATCCTGCGGACTCCACTCGACCCTCCTCTCCTTTTCCCTAAACACTCCATCCCTCTCCCTACTCCCACCCTCCTGTTCGGCGTCCACTTCCCTCCTCCGCGTCAACCCCGCCGCCCTCAACCCCTCGCTCAACAAATTCCTGCCTCCAGGACTCCACATCAACGCACTCTCCGCGCTACCGCCTCTCAGGCTCTGTCTGCGCTCTTTCCGTTCTTCGTTCGAGTGCGAGGTGTTGAAGATGCTGTAGCTGTGGTTGTAATCGCGCTCACGGTCTCGATCACGATCGCGGAGGGTAGAGGAAGCAGAAGAAGTGGGGGCAGCAGAGGTACGGTACGGGTCGGGGGTACGGTATGGGTCGCGCACGGTTGCGGGCGTGCGGTAGTCGTCGCTTGACCAGCGGGGGCTGGGTGCGTTGGTGCGTCGTTCGCGGACGGTGGAGGAGCGTCCGCTGCCGTTGGTGTTGATGGAGGTGGTGGATGAGATGGAGGTGGTGCGGAAGGGTGTTACGGGGTCGGGTGTACGCTATCGAAAGTACGAAAAGTACGAAAAAACGAACGCAAAAAAGAAAAAAAGAGAAGAAAAAGGTCAGATCCTCAAAAAAGCCAAATGTATGCGCCCAAACTCACCCTCCAACTATCCCTCCTCGCATCATTCCCATTCCTCCTCGCACCCCCATTGCCCGTACTGGGGCTCGGGCTCGGACTATGGCTCTCATCAACAAGGTCCGACCTGAACTCCTTCGGCAGCGCCGACCGCCTTCTAGTATTGGAAACAGGACTGCGGCGGGACGACGCCACTGCCGCGAGCGCGCTCTGTGTGATCATATCCCGCTCGCTCAGCGTCCTCTCCCTCCTCGCCGTGCCCGTAGCACTCGTCGTGGCGGTCTTCAAATTCGGTTCATCACCATCACCATCCTCTTCCTCAAAGTCTGTCAGCTGGATCTGGGAGATGCTCGCCATGGACGCCCGATGGCGTCGTCTGCTCGTAGGCGAGTCTCTGGCATTCGGATTGGAATTCTGGTTGGAAGAAGAAGACGTGGATGAGGAGATGACGGAGGATGTTCCGGTGGACACGACGCGGGTTTTGGATTTAGGCGAGGCGGGTGTTGTTGTTGTTGTAGACAGTTGCCGTAATCGGGCGTACGGGCTGGACGTTGCGCTGTGTGATGGCGTGGTGGGGGGCGGGGGCGAGGACGACCCAGCAGCGGAAGTGGCGCGGTTGTGGTGGAGTGATGATACAGAGCGCGTATGCGAGTGTGAAGACGACGATTGCGAGGAGTGGGACTGGCTGCTGTGGTGTGTGGACTCGCGCTCAGTTTCTGAACCTGAGCGGGTCGGGTCTTGTTGCGAATGGGATGAGGGTGTTGGGGGAAGCGGGCGGATGCGCTGGGACTGGGACGTGCGGGATGTGCTGGCGAGGGAGGCGTGTGATGTTGCGGGAGAGCGGGTATTGGGGGTGCTGGGACGGGCGGGCGAGGGCGATCCCAGGCGTGAGAGCTTGTCGAGGGCCTGTTGGGGCGAGACGGGGTACACAACGCACGCCATGGTCAGAGGGAGAGAGTGAGTTTGAAGTGATCGGACGCACCAGCCTGTTCCGCTGTGCCAGGCTCTTGACCCGCTGCAGCGCAAGCACATTCTCGCTCGAGCTCCTCCCATGCCTCTCCCGCTCCCTCTCCCTCTCCGCCCCCGCACCCGCAAGCAGCTTCCGATCCAGCCTCGCCGTGTCCTCCCCATCCGCATTGCTCTCGTCGTCGTGCTCATCGTAGAAATCATCGTCCAGATCCGCCCCTCCAGCATCCTCTAGGCGGGTATCGGCGAGGCGGCTGCTGCTCCTGCTCGTGCTAGGGCCCGGACCCGCAGTGGCGCTGCTGGTCGTGGTGGACACGCTCCCGCGCTTCGAGTGCATCGGTGTGAAGCTGCTGCTGCCCCCGCTCGTGCTCGTACTGGTGCTGCCGTTACTATGCAGCGATACCGGGCGCTCTCCCCTCCCTCTCTCCCTCTCCCTATCCGTGTCCCTATCCGTATTTCGATCCCGCAACGCAATCGTCGCCGGGTCACCCGTACTCCCGCTCCCCGTCGAGTTCGTCGCAGGCGGCGACGGCAGGCCCGAGCGCCCCGACGCACTCACCACCGATCCCGATCGTGACCTGGGGCTGCCCGACCTGCTCGACCCTGGGCTGGGAGGTTCAGGCAGCTCAGGGAGCCCGGGAGGCGTCGTCCCGTCTCCGAAGCTCCCGTACGAAGAGGCTAGTTGCGGCGACTGCGAATGGGAGGACGGCGAGGGCTCGTTGGGGTTCGGGCCCTTGCCAATGTAGATGGCTGACAGCGGGCGGGTGTGCTTCGGCTTCAGGACGGGGCGTGGGGGCATCTATGATCTAGTGTGGAGTTTAAGAGCTTGGTAGGTGGGCGACGGAGGCGGTGTATGCGTATGAGTAGACCCAAAGGTCGAATGTATGCGCTTTTTTTCTTGTGGTTGCGTTGCTAACGTTGAAGCTGAAGGTTGAAGGATCGGCGTGAAAGGGACTGTCTTGAAGGGTCGTGCGTGGGTGCGTGGTATGTGTGGTAAGAGGAGAAAGCGGCTCGCAGACCATGAAGCTGCTTGCTCGTCGACCGCAGCGACGGCAAGGTCACGGAACGGTGGGTAGGTGGACAAGGGTTGCGATCTCTTGCGCACGTCAGCTCAGAGTGTTGATGTGTGAAATTATTCATTATTTATTCCGTCACCCCGTTGGTCGATTGAATGTGGGTGAAGGAAGTTCGATAGGTGCAACATTCATCCCCACAAAGATGCCCATTGTAAACTGAGACTTCCCGAACGCGAACACGGAGACAAAGAATATTTATTGCGTTGACCTCGAGGACTCGGGGTGGCGCGAAAATTGATTTTGGGATCGCATACTTAGAGTAGGCGGTTTAAGTTCAGGCGGCGCTCGAAGTTTAGGCTTAGCAATTCTTCCCTTTCTTGCTTTCCTGCTTCGTCGACCTCTCCTTGTCCGCTTCTTACTACCGCTTCCTCCGAGCCGAGTATTCAACGACGATGCTCTCAGGTCACCGAACTCGCCCGCCTCCCAAGGTCCCAAAACCCATTTTACTCAAACTCTGGTCTCTAGGGATACATCTCGAAGTGGCCTCGTCGATGTTGAAAGGAGCGGAACTTAGGTAGGTGAAGCAGCAAAGAATGAGCACCATAGCTGCCGTTCGCGCTCTCACATTCACGTGGGCTTGGTAGTGGTGCACACTGACTTTAAATTATTTCTCTTCGGTCATTCTTCCATCGCATCGGTACTCAGCCCCCGGTTGTCAAGCTCCAACCGCTCTTTAGAATCTATCGACGAAAGGAAAACTCCTCGAGTCAAGGCTGTTCATCGTGTATTCGCACAGCCTCTCAGCGAGGCTGACACCTACACACTCCAAGTAAGTACGAGGCGCACACCCCCATCGACGACGTCGTCACTGTTAGGTCCGCCAACTTTCCGAGTCGGACGTCTGGAATATTTGGCAGCTTTTAACACCGGATGCTTGGAGTACGCCTGTAATCGATGGCGTTGTGGGGTCTCCGTCGAGCTGGGCAGCCCAGGTACCCCCTCTCTCCTCCTCTTCCTCCTTCAGCAGGTTGACACTCGGAAATCTCCCAGTGGAGAAGTCCCGAGCGCTGGTAGCAGTGTGTCTTATCGGTGCTGCCCGAAGCCACCGACCCGTTCCAACTACCAGGGCTGCTCACACACTTGGGCTATATCGGGCTTCAGCAAGGCATTTACGTTCTCCTCTATCGAGAGACCTTGATACGGACTCGTTTCCGTCCGTTCGTGACCTCCTACGTTCTCAGACTTCACCGTATCCCACCTATCCTATCACATTGGATGGGTAGAGTCTACAATAACGTACGTACAGGATGTTCGTCCTAGGCTCTTCCCTCTTTTATTGTTGAAATAACGGTCTCACGCGATATGTATGTACATTATGTGCGAACAAGGTTTTCGAGAAACCAGCGTGTTGGGTCGGTCTTCGAAAGGTCATTTAATTTCCTCCCTGATAACGGCGTGAGTAGTGAACTATATAGTAGTGGTATGTAGGTGCATCCGTTTTGTAGAGGGTCTTTCTCAGTTCAATTTACCACTATGGTTGGCCTCTTTACGATTTCCTGTGGTTTGAATTCGGTTTGACTGGAACAACCTGTAAACAGAGTTGTGACTCCGGTGCGTGTGAATCTTGATGCATTGATGTCCGGATCAATCTTCTACAAGTTGCTCCGTTGCTCCGTTCCGCGTCTTCCTCATCGACCAGCAACGACGACGCCGACCGCTCCATCACTCTTGCACCACAAAATCCGTGTCAAAGCCAAAGAAATCCTATTTACGAAACCGTATCTTATATTACACCCCACCCCAACTTGGATCAACTCGAAATTGAATCCAACTCGAATCTATTTCCGTCCGAACCAACCCCAGACTGCCCCAGAATCCGCCTATTACACTTCAAGTGCACACTTTCAAATTCTAGGAACGACACCTACGCTATACATAAGACACGATCAAAGTTCTATGTCAGGAGCTAGGTAGGATAAAGGGGAGATGAGCAATGGGTGTAGTGAGGACACTCATTTAACGTGAGGGCTTTATGTGGCCAGTGCTATTGACAGCGTTGGTCCGTTCTATCGACTCAGAAATACTTAGTACCAGTGGCTCTCGTTCACGTCCGGGGCAACAGCACGTCGACCGTCGTCGGTCGACAGAGCAACAAATTGCGTTTCACCAAGTTTAGGTTTACTTAGTGGGGAGCGAGAAGACACAACGACATTCATGTCGAGTCAAAGCGAGTGTTGGGGATATGCCAGATATGACGTTGGCCGAGGAGAAAGTGCGATGTGGGGAAGGAGACCTCGAGCTCTGGTGTATGTCACTTTCTGCTTCCCCTTGCTTACCAGACCTCCAGGCTCCTCACTGGCAGCCCATGAAAGGTTCCAGCAGAGAGTGTTCTTCATCCCCATCTCGCTGTGCGTTCTTTCAGCCCTGCTGCTCTTGCTCGCCAAGATTGGACTTTGGCGCCAGCCCACGATTCTTGTGTCTGAATCAACGAGGAGAGTTGCGAATTCCAGTGTGGCAGCTTTGAGCGACAGCAAGGGCGGAGAAGAGCGATCGTGCAAGCTTGTAGCGGTCCTGAGGTTTTGGTCGGTTGTACGCTTGGGCGTTGTGTTTTTGCTCTGGAAGGGGTTTAGGATGCCTCGCCGACTTGGATCGCCCTGTTCTTCCTCAGGGTCAGTAGAGTATCATATGGTCCTTACCTACGTGAGTCGTCGCGAGTTTCTTCTTAAACTTCAAGCTTCAAGCTTCAAGCTGGCACCTGGAGCAGCTCTATGCCTCTATTCTCGCCTGTACATCCCTCTTTCCTTCGCCCAAATACCAAACTTTCATCGCCAGTACCACCTTCCCAGGCACTTCGACGCTGTCGACTCCTCTCCGCACTCACAACCTACGCGTACCGCGACCTCTGGCCTTTCGCGATGTACACCCCCACCGCCGACGAGGCCGGAGGTCCCCTCCTAGTATTTTGGCCGTCGTTGCGGTGGTCATGCCGCTTTTCATGCCGCATCGCTACGTGCCAGTCGATCATGAGGTACGTATACGCGCATATTCTCCCTTGAAGTATTGCATTTACGATTGATACTATGTGAACAGCACTCAATGGACACCCCCAACCCTGAACACACCGCGTCGTGGTTCTCTAAATTGACTTATAGATACGAAATTTTATCTTGGCTTCTAAAGTCTTCTCGACTAGGTTCATATTCTCCATCATTGACAGCCAGATCCATCGAATTGCGTCGTAGCTGCCAACCATTGTCGCAGGTCAGTCCATCTCATCGACTTATCTTTCTTTGAGGCGACTCCTGATAACCTTCGTGCCTAAGGGAGTCTCCCTGGATCGATTCAATGCCTTACGGAGCTCATCGATGCGGATATCTGTTTCCACGATGCTACCTTTACGTGGCCGGTCGAAGATGATGCCCACCGAGTCGCCTTTGTGCCTTCATCGCCGTCCAACTCGAAATTCAAACTCCACGGAGAGACCCTTTTCAACCGTGGATGCATAAACCTGATTATTCGGTCTACGTAAGAGCGTCTAGTTTTGGTGTTGATATTTCTCAAAGCAACTATGAACTCATGAACTCATAACGGCACGTCCAGCGGCTCGGGGAAGGCGTCGATGTTGACTGCTAGGTACGAGAACGTGGTCCTGGAGGGTGTCTATCCGCTGCTCAATTAATTATGCCATTCTTTCCGTTCATTTTGATTCTAATAGGCGAGATGCACTTCGTTCAATCCGGTCCTGCGTCCTGGTGCCCCCTTCCTCGCAAGGGCGGTATCGTATATGCTGCCCAGGAATCGTGGGTCCAGAACGCGACCATTCGTGAGAGCGAATAATGCGGAAAGGTAAATCCTGTTTACCGAGAAACGCCAGCAGTCCTAACTTCACATAGTGATCCACCACTGTGCCTTGGAATCTGACTTGGAGTTGCTCCATATGCGAGACGAGACTGAGGTGAGGAAAAGGAGACTGGCTCTTAGGTCGGAGGCTCTATCTGAGTACCATTTCGAGCCTCAATCTAACCTCCCTCCTTTGAAGTGGCGGTCAAAAAGTGAATACCTTTCATCTCGTTAAATCATACAGTCTTCATCAACCTATCGACTGCGAAGGCGCGTGTCACGCTTGCAAGAGCGATCTATTCTCCCGCTGCAATCATCCTTCTAGACGATGTCCTTGCCGCTATTCACACGTGGGTTTATTTAATCTCAGACACCTTTGCGGCCCGACTTTCTTCCTTTCAGGTCTTCTTAGATCGTCGAAAGGCAGGACCGTCCTGTTGGTGGTTAGTTTCCGTGTAGCGTATTTTTTGGATCACATCATTGACGGAAGGCAGACCTATAACATCTCCCTTACGAGACCCATCGCCGATGTCGTGGCCTCCGTTCGAGCGGACGGGAAGGTTCGAAGCCAAGGAACAGACTTGTCATTGGCCTTGGAGAACGACCCCATTTGCCTTCTGCAGGCGGGCAAGCCAGCACTGCGGAATGAAGGAAAAGGGATGAGAAAAAATCGGAAACACAAGAATCCGTGGCCCCCAAAGGAAAACTAGTCGTGAAAGAAGAGATCGTTGAGGTACACGTTACGTGGCGGTCTATGAAGTTGCTGTTCTCAAGCTGGGTGGAAGATACCCAGCTCTGTTTTTCGGGTCCTATACTTTGCTGGCGGTGGTCTCTCGTTCAGTCTCAAACCTTGAATCGTAGTTCCTGGGTCTCTGGAGTTCCCAATACGAGAGACATGGCCCGTCTGACATACAACTACCGTTGTAAGTTGTGGCACGGTCTCCGAAGCTGCGGGGCGGGGGAAATACTAACTTTATCGCCCACACAACTATCTCGGGATTTTGTCGCTCATCGTCTTTTCTATGCTCACGCTGTCTGCTTTCTCGGGTGCATACATAATTCACCAGACGTTGAAGGCCTCCCGAATCATCCGTGCACGGCTGATTAATTCGATTTTGGGAGCCACTCAAAGGTGTGCTTTCTTCAGCGCCTCAGTATTGGATTGTATTCACTGAACCGTGATTAGATGGCTGGATGAAACTCCTTCTGTACTCCTCATCTCTAGATGCACTCAGGACATTCGGGCAGTAGATGGGGCACTACCCATCTCTGTCATGTATGTAACTGAAGAAACGATGGGAACGCTGACGATGCTGGGCGCTATCCTTCTTTTCACGCCTGTATTCGTGCTTCCTGGGGTAATTGTCGGCCTTGCCGGGATCCGTTTGGGGAGTGTGTATCTGAAGGCCCAATTATCCATTAAGCGAGAAATGAGGTATGTCATAAAATTAAACCTTCTGAGAACTATATCTGACGAAACGGATAGCAGCAATGCTCGGTCTCCTCTTCTGGCTCATTTTGGTGCCGCCATTCATGGAATGAGTGAGTTGTCTGATAGGGATCGGTATGGGCGTCATGATGGCTCACGCGTCTTCACATATTTAGCCTCCATTAGGGCATATGGAGCTGGGAAGTCCTTCAGAGAGAAATCGCTGAAAAGGATCGATCATCATTCCCGCATCGCCCGTGTGTCGTGGAATCTCAACCGCTGGATTGGGGTCCGCATTGAGGCTCTTGAAGCGTTCTTCTCTACGGCTCTTACGATTCATCTTGTAGGGTCGGTACGGGAAACACCGGATTCTCTCTGAGCATGGCTGTGGGTTTCTGCCGATTCTTGTTCTATCTGATAAGGAGTTCCAATGAGCCCTGGATCCAATCCAATGGGTGAGCGCGCTGGATAGCCCCAGATACCATCTAAAGCTCTTCAGTTTGGAACGAATTCAGATATCGATCATGAACCAGGATCTACGGAAAGAGGGAAACTCCTGCAGTTTGGCCGGCGAGCGGGCCATTGAGAGTAGAGATTTGAGAATTTGCCGACAAGCTACTCACAGGTGACCATCGCGAGACCACTGACATAAGGTGTCGACGTTGACCGCTTCCATCCAGTCTGCACCCGCAGTATAGTACAACTTATCGTTCAATGTTGAATCTGGGGAGCGCATCGGAATAGGTGACGGTCCCTCTTCCACAATTCCTAACCTTACCTGAAAACAAATACACAGTCGAACAGGCAGTGGGAAAGTAGCCTAAGCCTTCGCATTCTTGACTTCCAACTGACCCTGAGCAAAATCTGAACTCATGACTCCAGCAGAGCTCGTTAACTCTTGCCCTTTTACGCTGTATCCCCACTGAGAGCACGGTGTATATCGACGGAATTCCGACGCGCAACATCAATCTAGAGGCGCTGAGATCAAGTATCACCATCATTCCTCAGACCGTACGTAGTCCAACGCACATCACAAACGTATACTGCTTGTCTTGTTTCTGACGTCGTGTTTCTGTTCGTCGAACAGCCCGAGCTCTTGAGCGGTAATCCTTTAAATGCCGGCTCACAGTTCTTCGTATTGGAATAAATGTTTTGCACAGGTACTCTGTGCCAGAACCTGGATCCATTTGACCAGCACGATGATGCGATGTTGAATGATGCGCCGCGAGCCGCTGGAGTATTTTCGGTACAAGAGACCCGGGAGGGCAGCCTAACACAGGAGGCGCGGTTGACACTTGACTCTCAGATCGCGGGCGGTGGGAAGAATCTCCCGGTGGGCCAACAACGAATCATCGCGCTCGAGCGATGGTGCGGGAGAGCAAGCTCCTCGTTTTAGACGAAAGTGAGTAGGACATCCTACACGTTTTAATTTTCAATCTGGTCGACTACTGACGTTTGTCGAATGATGATATCATCCCCCACAGCGACTTCTGCAATTGGTGAGGTTTCTCCCTTTTCCAGTGGTGGCGCTGCACGGTTTGACTGATTCCCCTGGCTTTTGTAGATTATAAGATGGATGTTGTCAACCAGAATACGCTCAGGCATCAGCTGGGCCCCGATGTGACGGGAATGACAATCACTCATCGCTTGCAGACGGTCATGGATAGGTATATCTGACCTGTTTTCTGGATTTCCGCCCATAATTAAACACCAGATGGTTCTTGACAATGGACGCATTGTAAGATGCTTGCTTTTTGTTGCTCTATTTACGCTGATGCGATTGATTGTGCTAGGTTGAGTTCGACAGTCACAAGCCCCAAGTCTTACTCCAGCGGGAAAGGCGCGTCTTGCGTGCATTGGTTGAAAGAAGCGAAGACAAGTAGACCTTGTATGAATTATCGGAAAGACGATGAAATTTTGAAAGGGAAATCCATTTCTTATTTCCGACTGGTTGGTAACAACACTGAATCGCTTCTAGTACATATGTTTTGACTGCCGGTCCTATTAACCCGCCGTCGCATCCGTCTTGCCCCACTCCCATGTGCTCATGGAGTCATTTTTCTCAAACCTGTCTCTGTTACAACACTTATGTGTAGTTCAAATTCCTGGGTGTCCCGTAGATCGTGAGCCGAAGCTTTCGAAAGTGGTTCCTTCTTTCTTGTTCCAACAGATTTTATAGGATTAATTCAAGGTGTCATCCCGAGTGGCTGCGCGCATCAACATGGCAGGAAAGAACCCATCGGAAGAATCGTACAAACTGTCAAGCTTGAAGGAACGACACTCTGCCTTAGTGCGACTAGGAGCCTCAGCCATTAGGCACGCTGCATCGAAACACCACAGCATATTATTGTCTGATAACGGAATGGAGGTGTTCGTATTCCTCTGTGTGAGCTAGAAGTAACTGTCGTCTAGTAGGTAACTGGGTTATTCATTTCCGGAGGTTGTCTTACGCACTGTAGGGCATCGAACTTAATCGAAGGCCGAGAGGCTCTGCACTGGAGTTCTGACCCACTTATCCACCTGGAAGGGCTTTATAAATAGTCTAGCGAATGGTAGAGGTAGCGTGATTTAAGCGACTCCAACAGGCAGGAGCGGCGCAGGATACATGACTTGAGAAAGCATGTCCTTCATACGGAATTTTTATTGTATTTTTCGCCATGAAAATGAGTGAGTGGAGCACACACCTCGATGCGGACTAGGGCGCTTATTCGCTTGCATTTGCATTCCAGTGTGAGCCTTCCGTAGCGCGAGAAAAAATAGCTAACAAAAATGACTCGTTTCCGATTGTATGACATTCTCCTCTATAGGCCATTGCTCTGCTGGAGAAGCACCGAATATCGAGCTCGGGAGATGCATGATGGGCGGGACAAACTTAGTCGCTGTCAGCGCTGCCCGATGCCGTCACGCTCCGACGGTCGGCCGCGCCGGCTCAGATTAGCGCCGAAGTTCCGAATTTCGTGAGATCTCCTCCTCCTGACTCACTGACTCGCTCATCGTTAACGACGCGTCCTTCATCACCGAACGATCTCTCCTATATATAAACGGCTATCGGAATCGCCTCATTGTGGTGAGAGAAGCAACCCTGGAAAAGCTGGCGACGAAGTGGCTAATGAACGGGTCGTGTCCACAGCGAAGAACGTCCTGTGCCAGAGTGTGGACGTGTGTACGTCTCAAGCCACCCGATTAAAACCCAAGCGGAAGTAGGAGATATGATACTTCCAAGGATTTGACAGTCAGTCCGGCCATGACCTCAGTCTCTTCTGCCCGAGCCCGCTGCTGAAAATGCTATAAAGATACCCAGGCTCGTGGAGACTCGGGAAAGATTAGCCATCCCCCTTGCCAATTCACACTATGGTCACAGAAGGACAATTCCTAGAAGCGAGTGAGGCGTTCTTTGACGCTTTCGCCTCCGACACACCCCCTCTCAAGCTGCTGTCCTATTTTTCAACCACTTCGCCCGTCACCATCCAGCACGCTCCTGCCGAGTGTCCAATACCCCAGGCATCAAGGCTAGTAGGACCTAATGCGCTACGCTCCTATTTTGACCTGCTATCAACCCACTTTCTGCGTGGCCCCGTACACGCTCGGGCACCACCGCAGGTCGATCCGAGTGCCCGACGGGTCACGCTGGCTGCTAGCACGACCTGGACATGGAGGAAGAGTGGGCGAGCGTGGACCGAAGACTTTATATGGACTCTGGAGTATGATGAGGGCCTCAAGATCGTTAGTTTCGTCATCCGGACGGTGTCAGGCCCGGGGACGTGCGTGATGCGCGCGGTCGACGCCGACCCGCTGATGAGGGGCAACGCCACGACGCGCAAGGCCTTTGTAGGTTTCCCTCCTTGCACATATGTATTCCCCCGTCGTTCACCGCGCCTCGGATTAGATGTAGGGGCCATCCTACAACACTCGGTTTGCTGGCCCCATTCCCATCGGCGAACGGGTAGCGAGCCTCGGCCATGCCCAATGCATTTTATTATCCGGACCACCGTTGATCGTATAGCCAATCAACCGCCACCAGGACAGAGCGCGAACCTCGTCGCACATTTCTCCTCTCCTTTAGGCTTCCCGCAATTCAACCGACCTCATGCGATATATCAGTGACACGTATCCACTGCTTGCACTTCTCCCTCACCCATCGATAAGAAGCCACCCACGCCCTGCGACTTTAGTGTGCACCTACCACGGCTAGGTAGCAAGGAGGAGCTCGTACGGACTTATAGCTGCCTCAATGTATTTTACGATAGACCAGTCCTGACGGACAGCATTGAATGCTATCAGGAGTTATTCTGTTACCACGAATGCGAAGATGCTGGTTCCGGGCATGTTTCCAGATATTTATAGGCTCACCGAGGTCGCTCGTCATACATATCGTACTTCCAGAGCGACCAGCAAGATGGTGTCGCAGCACCTCGGGCTCTGAGGAAGCAATTTCAACGCCAATCGTGAGGTAACGCGCCCTCATTCATGTTTTCTCTATTTTAATTTTTGATCAAAGAGTTCAGCCCGAGGTTGCCGAAACCGTCGTATTTGTGTGGCGCAGCGATCGGGCAAAGAGTGCTTCACGTACGGATACCCCGCCTCTGAAGTGATATTTCGGTGCCGAAATTTGCGGGCTATGTCTCTATTTATTTCTCGAGAAATACCGCGAACTAGCCGTTCCAGAGTACGGCGCCTATTAGCCTTCATACCATGCGGCACGCCCATATTCCTTTGTACTCTGTTTTCCGGACACCGACATATTAAATTGCGTAACGCGGAGATGAAAGACGCATGTCTTCGGCCCTCGGTGTACGGTTCCTGGCCTTATCCTCAGTGGAAAAGCCTCAAGGCTTGGGCGTTCCAAACGCAGACTCGGTCATCGGGGACTATCGTTTGCTGGCCTGTATCAAGTCTCCACATTGTGTATTTCGGGAAGACTATGTAGGTTGTCAAATGACCCTGGGTTCGGGAAGGTGGTGTATTTCAGCCATTGGAGACGAGTCATGGTGGTTAACTATCCTGGGACTCTCCCAAAGTTTCCACTAGAAGGCGTACAAATTAAACGAGAGACGTCGGTAACAGGATCCTGGGTATATTGGGGGGATGTTCGGGGCGTCGTGATAAAGAGCGAACGAGACGAGATACGGCTGACACAGCCAGAACGCGGGAGGCGGGTTCCTACTTCGGAACGTTGCTGCTCGGTGTCGGCGCTGTGAGATTGTCTCGTGCGGACTGGGTGAGCCGGGGATGTCGCGCTTGTAGAAGTTCGTGAATCGTAGTAGACACCCAATCGAACAGCTGGGAAAACCAAAACCTAATCCCAATGGGACCCCTTCTTCCTTCCCTCGAGAGTTTTCTGTAGTCTCTCCCAGGCAGCCCTATCGTCTCGTTCAGACGGAAGATTTTCGACAGCTCTGCTCCGTTCGTCCGAAAGAATCGAGAAATACGCTCTGGGTGACCACTGAAGCAAGCCGTACGATATTCCAATATAGTTGCCCGAATCTGAGCTGACGTCCGAGGGGTTCCCAGGTGCTGGTTCAAACTCAAATCGCTGTAAGTGAGGGATATTTTCTTCGACGTTCCTCCAGACGTCTGCCCACGTTCTCGGAAACCCTGGTGGGGCATCCTTTGGGACCGCGATTAAGCACTCGTCGAGTCGTATTGTCTTGATGGATTCACTGTGGCGAAGCAGAAACATCTCTAGATCGGTCTGCAGTGCGTCGTCGTCGGATGAGCCACCCTTAATTTTAATGCCAACTTTTGAAAGATGTAAATGTTGCAGATTCGGATAGATGAGTGAATATGAATCCCAGAAATTGTCGGTGAGACATGGCTTGGGGAGGCATTCGGTGATTGTTAACGAGGACAGATTGGAGGAAGGTGAGCTCAGGACCCGGAGGATCATGTCGCATGTAGGAAGGTATTGAATCTCCAACGCTTGGAGCGTGCGATTGAAGAGGCCATACCGAAGCGCGTGACAAATCTGATATGCTAGCTGGTACGTCGAAGAATCCTCATTTTCATCCTCGTAGAGAGGTTCCGGCCGGAACACTTCTGGGAAGTATAGGCACAGAATATTCACGTTAGTGAACCATGCCATTGGATTCAAGCAGATGCAGCGAATATCTTTGATTCGCAAACGCACCAGGTCCAACTCTGTATTTTGGTACAATATGACATCAGTTAACGCATTCAAACGCAGGAATTCATGAAGATTTACTCTTGTTCAATTCGGGGTACAGGACAACCTCATTTCCTTCTTCGTCTTTGACCACATCCCAGAACGCCTTTGTCCCTTCCTGAGCGTTCACCCTCAGCTTTCGGACGCATTTGACGAGATCAGGAGCCTTCAAGAAGTCCATGACCAGGCTTTTTGCATTGGATTTCATCGGAATGTCGAAGGTGTGAAAAGCATAAGGGGTGACAATTTCGCAGAAGGATTTGCAGGTAAGACGTAGGTTCAAAAGGGCCCGCTTCGAGTCGACCTCACGGATTATGGCGTGTATCAGCTCGGGGGGCAGAAGTGGTGCGATTTGGATTTGAGGATTGTTCATTGTTGTCGCGAATGAGAAAGAAAGTGGCTGCCCAGCGGTTCGGCGCTGTTGGCCGGTTTGAGATTACAACATCTTTTCCCAGCCTGCCCTAAATACCACCAATTAGCCCTTCCTCCTCAACGACCTACTCTTTGATTGGCTCAAGCACGAGCACCCCCAGTGTTACGTGCCTGTCTCCTCCTTGGTGAGTCATATTGACCTTCTTTCTTCGAAATCTCTTTCTGATATCTGTTCCATTAGGATTAGACCCTCCTTGTCGGGTAGCGGGATAGTTCAGTACGGTTTTTTCTGTCTCCCCCTACCCCATCTCAACACTGACAGCCCGTCCGCGTTCAGAGGATCGAAGGAGTTGTGAAAAAAGCCTCTCACTGGAAGATGGCGCCGGGAGGAGTGCTTCCGGTTTGCCTGCGGGTTCGTCCTTCTTTCCCCACCAGTCCTCAGTCAGTCTAACCTCTGGTCACCATCAGATATCCTTATGCACGTCGGAGAACTTCCCCGTGCACTGGAACGATCCATCGATGCTCCCCAATGGTGTGGCATCGGGAAATTCTATGTCGCAGTAAAACGCCGCTAACACGTCGTTTTATTGCGACATAATGCCATCAAATCAAATAACCCAGGCCATTCTTCTGTTCATCCGCGTTGGGCACGATATCACGCACTTATCGTATGCTACGCCTTTTTTGTTGGAGGTAGTTGGGATTCGGTCAATTCATCCTCGTTGTCTCTGGTGTTGTGTGTGCATAAGATGGGAAGATTTCCGTCATGGTTTCGATATGACGGATTCAGACCCGTCTCGAGGGTTCAATGGCTATCGATGCCTCGTTCTCCGTTTCCCGCCTCCCGCCGTGGGTGCCTAATGGTTCGAGGTCGGCTTTGCTGACCAGCTCAACGTTTCTCATGCGAGCTTCTCGCTCATTCTCGACATGGTTTCCGGGTAAGAAAGGTCTCAGGGTTGGCAGATTCCAGCGTTTGAGGATGGTGGCTTTGGAAAGTTCATGATACGTAGGTCTGCTCTTTCCTCCCTCTGAGACGTCCGAATGTAACGGCGAAATGGGAATATCTTCTAGGTTTTGCCTCGAACGACTACAGTACATGTTCTCATATTGCATAACGTCGGTTCTGGGGTAAAAGTGATGCATTATTAGATTTATGCAGAACGACAATGTGTGACTAATGTGACTACTGTGACTTTGGCTGTGCGCGTGACATCAGTTCGGCTTGAACCAGTTGGTCAGTGTTGTCTGCTTCGCTCCCATTGCCTCCCGCCTCCTAAGATGTATTCTGAAGCGTCTAAGCCCATGGAGAAAGTCAAGAGAGGTCTCCGGATCGTTCTCACTGATGCATGCGCGCTCAAGCTGGGTGCAAAGGTCCATGATCTCGCGGGTTGACAGTCGAGGGTGATCGTCATCCTCTTCATCTTCGGAATCCAGCTCAATGACCTCTCCTCTAGCCACAGCTTGTTCATGACGAACCCTGGCCACGATCTCATCATCATCCTCAAAATGAAACTCCCTTTCTCCGATCTCGTCACCGCCAACCGGGTTCAGCATCTCCTCCAACGTGAGAGGAGCCCCAATGATCCTCCTTCGTGCCTTCAAATCTTGAACGACTTTCATCAAGTCTTCTTCTGCGGATTGGAGTTGGGGAAGAGGTGGACGACCTTCTGCGGCTTACGCGGTTTGTAGGGGGCATGCTCGGTTCGGACTTTCCGTTTGCGCTCGTCTGTGTTACGTTTGGCAGGCATGGGAAGACAGAATGTGGGTGGTGGGTTCCCCCGGCGGTTTTGTTGGATGCGCGGTGCTTTTTAGAATATTCTCGAACACGATCGCATAGATATGTAGTGTGGATTAGATGAAAACGACCCTACTGATAATGCATAACTTGGCCCGAGCCTTCATGCATTATGCATTATGCAATTTTCCCCCTGTACGGAGTCAGTTCTAGTCAAAAGTCCATGCACTATTAGAATTATGCAACATGAGGTCATGCATTATGAGAACATGTACTGTAAATGGCGATCATGGATGCAAACAACGATCTTCTAGCAACGGCTCAAAATACTCAACCATGCCGCCGACCACTTCTCCGATAAACCTTTCCGCAACAACCCATTCTCGCTGCTCAGAGCGTACGCGTGCTCGACGTCTACCTGCCAGAAACAGATCCTCTTCGATGAAGCCAATGTCGATTTTTCCTCCCAAGGACCTCTGGTAGTCGGGAGAGATATCGCAGATGAACATTGAACCGTCACTAAACCATTCAACCCGTTCAGCATCTTTCACTCTGTGCTTGCGCCACGCCTGCTAACGTCTTTTCTCGAGGGTAAGCTGTAGCTCTTCCCAAGCTACTGCTTCATCGCGTTCAGAAGGGAGATCATCTGCATTCGCTTCCCAATCGTATGAAGGCATCGAATGATATCCCAAACTCGAATAATAAAGGCCATAAACCAATTTGATATAGTCCACAAAAGTCGAATTTTCGTCGGCGTGTCTCCTCGGCGCCGGCTCAAAGTCGAATCGGATTAGATGAGGGAGGATTTCTGCGACACTCTCCCAGACGGGGGCCCACGTTCTCGGAAAGTCCAACTCGTTAGGATCGTCGAGTTCTCGACCCGCGATTAAGCATTTATGGAGTTTCAGTGTCTTGATGGACCCGTGCCGAAGCAGAAATGTCTCCAGATCGGTGTGGGGCGGCACGAATGGCTCTTGTCGTATCTTGATACCGACTTTCTCCAGGTGTAGATGTTGGAGGCGAGGAAAGGTGATAACCCTCCAGAACCAGAGGCTAATGCATGGGTTCCGAAGGCAGTCGGTGATCGTCAGCGAGGTAAGCCGGGAGGAAGGGGAATTGAAGTGGTGGAGGACCAATCTGTATGGGAGGAGGTGTTGTATTTCGAATGTTTGCACCATCTCTACGAGCTTGCTGGAGGCGATCGCTCTGCAAATCTCAAGCTCTAGCATATAACTCGGAGTTGGCTCGTAGTCAGGGTCCTCCCATCGAGGTTGAGGTCGATATTTCTCTATGCAATATAGACGCAGGGTATGCAGTCTGGGGAACTTCACGAGATTCGAGAATATGAACTTGATGTCTTCAATCCTATATGTCCCTGATTTTGGGTAGCTTTCAGTGCCAGTAGGGGAGGCGAACATGGCATCGAGGAAGACTCACACTCCCACTCGCTCGTCAGAGGAAGCTGGAGAACATCATTTCCTTCGTCGTCTTTCACCACGTCCCAGAATCCCTCCGTCCCGTCCGGAGCGTTCAACCTCACTTCCTGGACGTGCCTAACAAGATCAAGAGCCTCCCAGAACTCCATGGCGAGCCTTTTTGCATTGGATTTCATCGGGACATCGAAGGTGCGAAATGCATGCGGGGTGGCGATCTCACTGAAGGTTTTAGAGGTAAGACGCAGGTTCAACAAGACCTGCTTAGAATCGACCTCGCTGATTATGGCGTTTATCAGTTCGGGCGGCAGAAGCGGTGCGATTTGAGGATTGTTCATCGTTGCAAGTGAACGAAAGGAACCAGAGAGGGATTCGCAGCCCTGAGAACTTCGACGTAGTCACGGATTGTGCCGCCCTTTCTCTTCGCACGGCGTTCAAACGCGTTCATGAGCGCGTCAACGATTTATTAGACACATCAAGGTGAGCGACCCAACTGCTGACTCCGGCCAAGGCGACCATAGTCTTCCCACTCTCTTATCGACCATCATCAACACCTCGATGAATGCCAGGACTCTCAACTTTCAAGATGCTTACCAGTTTAAGTTCACAGTAAGCGCCTCTTCTTCAGATAAGTTATACTTCGCGTGTAAAATTAGACCCAGCAGAACTCCAATGGGCAGTCTAGGTAAGTCGATTGTGGATGTATGATGCCATTGATAGGTCAATTCACGCCTTTCTTCATAGATAAAGGCCGCCTATGGGGATGCGTTGTCCCCGGATTTCATGAATAACTTATGTTCAATGTCGGTTCTTGTTCCAAATTCAGGTGGGAAAACGGTCTCGAGAACGACAGCGTGGATTCCGTCCTGCACGAAGATGACGCGACGCAGCCGAAGGCACAGCTTTACCCTGGGACGCGTACTATACAAACGAACTCACGCTTTTTCTCTGACCCCACCTGCGCAAAACACCAAAGACGAACTCTACCTCAAGAAATAACCTTAACGGAAGCTTGATCTTATGGATTTGGAGAGTGTGGGGTTGGGACACACATATGCGTCGGCCTTTGTACCCAGATTGTGAGCATCCAGCTCGGGAGAACCCAGCGCTGACATGATCGTCGCCAGATTCCTGAACAACACTCTCGCCCTCCCTGCCTTCGTGGCATCTCTTTCTCTCTTATTCTTGACTTTTCACGCGTTATTCGACCTCTGGAAGAGCACTGAAGCCGAAGACGCCGACTTGGACGACTTCGGTGCGAATGGCAGACATTTTGAAACGTTCCTCGACTTCTTGGAGGACCGAATCAACTCGCACGGAGGATTCACGATCTTCTGCTTTGTTACGGCACGTCTAATCGGATGTCTTGTACTTCTGGCCCTCTCCGCGTGCTCCACCGTCAGTTGCTACAGCTCGGGTCCGCGTCCGAACACGCCGAGCTTCTCCTTCGCCCGTCTCTTCTCACAATGTCCAGAAGCCTTCATGACTTTGACTTACGTATAGAATTCTTCTAATCTTCGCTTTTTTTTTCTCAGCTAATGGCACTTGGATAGCTGTACAGCTCGATCTCAGCCCTTGTGTCGTTGTTCGCGAACAAATGGGGTCCGCTTGTGGCCAGATACAACATCGTGGTTCTCCTCAGCTCGTTCAGCGTCTACGTGTATCGCGACATCTGGCCTTTGGCGACCTACGTCCAATCGCCGGAAGATGGGTCCGAAGGACTCACTCTTTGGCTGAAGATTGTTATGCTCTTTACTACTGCTGTCATCATCCCGCTTTTCGTACCTCGGCGCTATGTGCCAGTCGATCCTAAGGTCGTCGTTTGAGTGAATATATGCGTCATTTCTCTGCTAACCTATCCACAGGACCCTATGCCAGTAACGAATGGCGAGGATACGTGTTCCTGGTTCTCTCTCCTCGTCTTTGCTTTTTTGGATCCCGTTGTTTCACTGGCCTATCGAGAATCGCACTTGAGATTCGACCAGCTTCCGCCGCTTATGGATAAGGACTACGCCAAGAATCTGAAGCGAAAATCTTTTCCTGTGAGTTATTCGGCGCCTGTCGGCCCTCGATGACTCCTCTAACTAGGTCGTAATATTATCAGCATTTGGACACATTCTCGGGAGCGAAACGCCGTCATATCTTCTTTGGGTTGATGCGGATATTTTGTGAGTCTACGAGACACTCATTTTAATGCCGTTTGTAAGACGCATCCATAGGGAAGGAGTACTTCATCATGGCATTGACGATTTTTGGCCAAGCTTTCGCTGTCCTCCTCTCTCCCATTGGTCTCAACCACCTTCTAACGTACGTCCCAACTTCGCGGCTCCCTCCCCTCCAACCAATTCTTCCTATCCAGCTACCTCCAAAGTGGCGGAGAAGGTGCCGTCGTTCGTCCATGGTTCTGGATCATTTGCATTTTCGCTGGACCATTCCTGCGATTGATTTGCTCTCAACACTACCTCTTCATCGCCTCCCGCACCCTTGTTCGTGCCGAGAGCGCTTTGACACAGCTCGTCTTCGAGCACAGCCTTCGTATTCGCCTCAAGGCTGAGTCTTCCCATGCGAACGAGTCAGATGGAAAAGACATGGGTGCGGTGTCACCTACGTCGAGCACGCCAGACACTACGTCGGTCGCCGAGAGCTTTAGTTCGGCCCCCAGGACGAACGGAATGGACTCGCAAAGGGCCAGTGAATCGACTGCCACAGGATCTCGCGAAGCTTCCAGCGACTCTCGAACGCCATCAGCCTCTATCAAGGGAAAAATAAAGGACGACGGGACGACACTCTCAAAGCCCAAGCCGACGAAAGAGAAGAAGGACGCTCATAACATGATCGGAAAGATTAACAACCTCGTGACGACCGACTTAGGCAACATTCTCGAAGGGCGAGATTTCCTCATGCCGAGTTCGCCTTTTAATTATCAAGTAGTGGATTTGCTAACCTACCGACGTCCCTAGTTTTGTTCTTTCCCCTCCAGGTCACACTTTGTATCGTCCTCTTGTACACTTTCCTTGGTTGGAGGTCAGTTGTATAACCGTTGTTGAGCATGGCACTGACGAATCATTCAACAAAGCGCTTTCGTTGGTCTCATAACGATGGTAATTCTGCTCTTCGTGCCTGGCTATGTAACAAAGAAAGTGCAAGAGGTGCAAGCCTTGAGGATGAAGAAGGTACGACAGTTTGAGTGTGTAATCTCTCATCTAACTTACTCGTACTTCAGACGGATGCTCGCGTCCAAGATGTGACAGAAGGTACGTCTGCCTGGAACAGTAACCCAGCCGGCTGTGCTCAGCTCTCGCAGCTGTTAGTGTCTTGAGGATGATCAAATTATTCGGATGGGAGGAGAAAATGGCACGACGAATCCAAGCTAAACGGGACGAGGAACTGGTCTATCTCTGGAAGCTCAAGGTACGTAGGTTAGACACATTGACCCCACTTGTTCCTTACCCCACTTCCTAGTTTCTCGAAGTAATAACCTCAATGCTCATGTACATATCTTTGATTCTCATGTCCCCTGATCCAAGGATCATTGATCAAACAATTCGAACTACTAGATATCTCATTCCAGCCCTTACGATGCTGATCACATATGCAACCTACACCGTCGTAATGAAGAAAGAGTTGAGGCGTACGTGTCTTTCTGTGTTGTATACATCTGTTTCATGTCTTACCACTCCTGCTAATCTCTAGCCTCAACAATTTTCTCAAGCATGGCAGTCTTTCTTGTCCTCCGGATTCAGATGATGACAGGGACGAGTTACCTCAAGAAGGCCATAAAGGGTAGCGTACAACAGATCCAAAATAATTCAGAATCTCATATCGATTCTAGCAAAGGTGTCATTGGACCGCATGAACGACTTCCTAAAGAATACCGAGCTCCTCGATGCATTCTCGCACACCACGGTGCTTTCGACCGAGCACGACGACAACAATACGGAAATTGGCTTTATGGACGCGTCTTTCTCGTGGTCGGTCGAGGGCGAGGATGGTTCGTGCACTCCCAGCAGCCGTCCATTCCGTCTTCGGATCGAGGGAAAGCTCACTTTCGAACCGAATTATATCAATTTGATCATTGGCCCTACGTAGGTATTCTGTTCCTTCCCGTGGATGGGTATTCATTGATTGCCTAGGGGATCTGGAAAAACATCTATGTTAATGGCGCTCCTCGGTAACCTCAGCTGAACACAGACAACTTCGCGTCGCTGACAATGTTTCGTCAGGTGAAATGCATTACATGCCCTTGAATCCCGATTCCTGGTTCAGCCTTCCTCGCACTGGTGGAATAGCGTATGCCGCCCAAGAGGCCTGGGTCCAGAACGAGACCATTCGTGAAAACATTCTATTCGGATCGCCATACGATGAAGCGCGGTATCGCAAAGGTGATATTTTCTGCCCCGTGATTCGAGTCCGAGAATGTTCATACCTCTCGTCGCAATCTAGTGATACACCAATGCGCTTTGGAGAAAGATCTGGAGCTTTTCGACGCTGGAGACAACACGGAAGTCGGCGAAAAAGGACTTACTCTTAGGTTTGTGCTGGACGCGTATTTTGGCAAGAGATATGCTCATCACTGCGTTTCTTCCAGTGGAGGCCAGAAGGTATGCGCTGAAGTTCTGGGTACTTTGCGGTTAGATTCAACTATTGGCACGATAGGCTCGAGTCAGTCTCGCTCGTGCAATATACTCTCCTGCGAAAGTTGTCCTCTTGGATGACATCCTCGCTGCTTTGGACGTGCACACGTGTGTATTACGTTGCAGTTGATTACTGTGAACTAACCGAATAGAAACATAGGTCAGCATGGATCGTCGACAAATGCCTTCAAGGAGATGTGCTGAAAGGTCGTACCGTTCTTCTGGTTGTAAGTGATTGGGTACGCATTATGGCGCCGTAGTTGACGCCGGCTCTAGACGCATAATCTCGCATTAACACGACCGATCTCGCGAAACATAGTGTCTATTAGTCTAGATGGGACGGTACGCTCGCAGAACGAAGGCCTTGAAGTGCTTATCGAGTCGGACTCGGCTCTCGCACTGGCGGTCGAACGTGATCAAGAGGAAACGGTTGTTGCGTTGGAGGATATTCCTTCTCTGTCACATAAGGAAGCGCCGGATAACGCAGGGAAACTTATTGTCGCCGAGGAGATAGCAAAAGGACATGTCACTTGGAGATCCTTAAAATTATTCTTATCCGCTCTGGGAGGAGCTCACCCTTTCATCTTCTTCTCTGTCTGCGTTACAGGGTTTCTATTGACAGAATGGTTCAACACCCTCCAGATATGGTTCATGGGCTACTGGGGCTCTCAATACGAGCGTCATCAGCCCTCGGAAGTTCGAGCATTTTCGTAAGTCCGTCCCAGCTGCCCCTGTTAACGACGCTAACTTTATGAGTTGCACTAGTTACTTGAGCCTATATTCAGCCATACTATTCTTCTCCATGGTCCTCTGGGTCGCTGCGTACGGCTTCTACGCATTTGCGAGCATGCGGGCGTCGAGAACTATCCACATAGCCCTGGTTGAATCGATACTGGGAAGCACCCTTCGGTGTGTGCTCAACAGCATGATACTTCTCCGCACTCATTGTTCTTCCAGTTGGCTCGATGAGACCCCTGCAGGGCGAATAATAGCGCGATGCACGAAAGATATTGGTGCTGTTGATGGCTCCATTCCCGAAGCATTTTATTACCTGACTGAACTCGGGATGGCCATGATGACGAGACTTCTCGTCGTCTTTCTATTTTCCCCGGCTTTCCTAGTGCCCGGTCTGGGGGTAGCCTTGTTCGGATTCTATATAGGAAATGTATACCTCAAGGCTCAATTATCTATTAAACGTGAAATGAGGTACGATTATTCTCACCATTCACGACTATCAGCTGATAAGTGGTCAGCAACGTACGCTCGCCATTACTCACCCACTTTGGCGCCGCAATTTCCGGAATAGGTATGTTGCAATCAAAACATCAAACCGACCACCAAGCCTAAACCATACAGCTTCTATCCGCGCCTATGGCGCACAGGACGCCTTCAAGCTGGAGTCTTTGAAGCGAGTGGACCACTACGTTCGCATTGCCAGGATATCCTACAATCTCAATCAGTGGATTTCTGTTCGGATTCACTTTTTAGGTGCCATTTTCACCGCCGCGCTAGCCACCTACTTGGTTTATGCACGTCCTGTCGGTGCGGCAAACACTGGATTCTCCTTAAATATGGTAGTTGAATTCTGCACTTTGATGCTCTGGTGGGTACGATTCCTCAACGAACTCGAGGTGGAAGCAAACAGGTGGGTTTAGTTGACTGGTCATACAATCTATATGCTGACGCATCGACAGCTTGGAACGTATCTTGGCTTACCTTGATATTGAGCATGAGCCAAAACCGAGAGCATCGGGAAATCCTCCCGCGGCCTGGCCAACTAGTGGTGATCTGCGAGTGGAGAATCTATCTGCCCGGTACTCCCAGGTAAGACTTCCAACTTGCAGCGTTCCGTCGGCCCCTAACGGCTGCATTAGAACGGACCTAAAGTTTTGCATGAGCTGTCGTTCCATGTCGCTTCTGGGCAACGAATCGGCATAGGTGAGTGGCTTGTCGGGTTCTCTGTGATGACAGGACTGATCCACTGACTAGTCGGTCGAACGGGAAGCGGAAAGGTGCGGTTCACGATTCCTGGCTCTTATCGTGTCTGAACTTCCGTGTACTCTAGAGCTCTCTTACGCTTTCTCTGCTTCGGTGTATTCTTACGGAAGGGTCGGTATACTATGATGGCCTGTTGACCGACAATGTCAACCTGGATACCCTGCGACACAACATCACCATTATCCCTCAAATAGTGAGTAAGCTCAGCTTTAGGCCAGTGATCTTAATCCGTATCTGCTTCTAGCCTGAACTCCTGAGCGGTTGGTGCAAGTAATTGTGTAGCTCCACTGCGTTTGACGCAGCCAAAAATAGGTACCTTGCGTCGCAACCTGGATCCATTCGAACAACACGACGATGCCACTCTGAACAATGCCCTTCGGGCTGCCGGTCTATTTTCCCTTCAGGAGGAGCTGGGTGAATCAAAGCTGACCCTCGATAGTAATATTGCCACGGGTGGTGGTAATCTATCAGTCGGCCAACGGCAGATCCTGGCACTTGCTCGTGCCATGGTTCGCGGCAGCAAACTCCTCATCCTGGACGAAGGTAAGAATAAATCCTATGATCGTGTCAGTCCTTTCAGCTCATATGGGGATTCGACTCCTAGCAACGTCTGCAATCGGTGGGTCCTCTGAAGTCGATCCTTTTGGACTGAAGACAGAATATCTGATTGCATTCCTTGAAGACTACAAGACTGACGCTGTCATACAAGCAACGCTCCGGCATCAACTCAGTTCAGACGTAACGGTTATAACCGTCGCCCATCGATTACAGACGATTATGGATGCGGATAAGATAGTACGTTTAACATCATTATTCCCAACACTGGGCGCTGGCTGACGATGCAATGCAGATGGTTCTGGATAGCGGTCGCATCGTGAGCGAATCTCGGCTGGAGTGTCCCAAAAACTTGCTGAACATTTCACGTGTAGGCCGAGTTTGACAGTCCGCGGAACCTTCTCCAGAAAGAGGGCAGCCTATTCAAGACCCTTGTTGATGGGAGCGGAGACAAGGCTTTGCTATATTCCATGGCTGAAAGACGAGCTTCGACTTCTCACTGTCAATAGACTGGTCTCGTGAATATACCCATTACGTTTACGTACGGAAAGTTCTTATGGAGTAGGCAACGCCCACCCATGTCATGCATCTTTTCATCTCGATCGACGACGGCTCTGACATCTTGAAAGTTATGCCGATGTCTGCGAAGAACCGTACCAACGATGTTGTGGTTTTGTGGCTGAGTTCCATGTGATGGTTGGGGCGACAATGGCAACAAATGTTTAAACGTTTAAGGACTGAGTGCCGATTGTGCGTGTATGTTTTCCTGGTTGAACTAGAGGTCCAATGTCGACATTATGTGGGTACGAAATCGCCGTAAAACAATGAGGGTGTGAGATAATTGTACTAGTGACACTAGGGAGTAAGGTCCGAGCCGCGAGGAATCAAGAGTAACGAAGCCGCATTCCTAAGAAATACTAGATAGTCCGTGCTCGTATCTACATACGGGAATCTACCAACAAGTCTATGCAAGTCCATGACCCGAGATCAATTATTGGCGTAGAGGTAAACCGCGAGGCCCGACAATATTAGAATTATAACAGACGCCGAAGGGGTGAGAGGTGACAATGCGACAATGCCTGATCCTTGCACTCAAGAGCAGGTGGTGGAAGGCAGTGGCGCTGATTCGGCATTCCATGGGCTAACGAATCAGAGTCAAAATCAGCACGGCTCGTCCACAAATGTCATCGAATAAAGAAACCGTACTCGGGATAGGAGCACCCAGCAATGGGACTACCGAAAGGATCGCGCGAGCTTGTGAGTAAGCGGCTGGTGGAACGAATGATTATTGAACGTACACATATGCAGGTTGGTTGTCTGCAGGATTGTTCCAGCCTGTGCCTACGACGGCTGAGGGAGCCGCAGTAAACGTGGGGGCGAACAAAGTTTTCAGCGTCCCTGTGGGCGTGTAAGTGGGTAGCATGGCTACTAGAGTACCCGTAAAGGAGGGTGAGATGGTCGGTGGAGGGAACGTGTGAGAGGCGCTTTGAACAGGGTCGAGAGTACCTGCGCCGACCTAGAAGAGAGGGAGTCACAATAAGGAAAGCATCGGATCAGAGGCCTGAGCAAACACAATGCAGGCTAGAAGAAAGCAATGAAGACGTACTCCTCCGGTAGCCGTGGATGGGTATTTTCCGTCGAATATTTGGGATGAACTGAGAACCTGAGCACAATGCCCGATCGCTTCCCTAGGATCTATCAAATAAAAATTTGTTAACACTTGCGGCGGAGGAATGATGGTCACAAAGTACCTTTAGGTATCCATCCTTGCTGCAATCCGAGTCTATAGTGCCACATGGGACACGACGATGTTCCGAGCGTTGTCGAGTTCCCGATTTTCCAAGTCCAGAAAAAGAAGTTCTGCAGGGCGTCCATCGATGCAAGCGCGACTTTCTTCAAACCCGCGATCCTTTCAGGTGTGTAAGCCTGTGACCGGTTTCGCGTCAGGGCGCCAATCGTAGACGACATTCAATACGAGTCGAATACTCACAGCCCAGTTATCCCAAGACTCGCAGTCCGGGAAATTTGGAGTCGACCCAATCCCATTGAGCCTGGGAGAGAGCAAACGCGAACGCGCACACACGGAAAGGGAGGGAAAAAATTGTGGCGGTCAGCCATTACCGCATCTACGGGCCGCAAAGGCCAAAAGGACGAGAAAAGGACCAACCAGAGACCACAGTTATTGATCGCACTCGACCACTCGCCACCAACTGTCACTCCAAAGACTTTTTGGGATTGATTTGTCGCGATCGCCCAGCCACTGAGAAAAAAATCAAGTCAGAGAAGATCGAAATCCCCAAGAGGATTTTGTTTGGGTGTGTGCATCAAAATGCCAAAGATAAGCGTTTTACGGAGGAAACAACATGACATACCAGGGTTTGGCCGCCAGCTGATCTGGCCTGTCGGAGGGCGATGACAAGACGAACGAGACAAACAATCAGTCAGGTCACACTATTTCCCCTTACGGAGACGAGGAATTGGGTGTACGTACGTGGAAGTTGTATCCCCCATGAAGGCTAGGTACTGTTGTTTATGTTATTCATAGCCCAGAGCAATCGCAAGTCAGCTCGTCCATCCTCGAAAAGATACCGGACATCTCATCGCGCAACTCACCGGATGTTGATCTAGAGCTACTCGGTCAGCGCCGGACAGGAATCTGGTGTAAGCGAAGAATTTAGCGCTTCGAATGTCTTACTCGCCCAGTAGCCAGAGAAGAATTGGCCCAAAGCGTTTGTGGTACACGTACCCTTCCCAGATAGCGGGCTGTAAGCAAAGAATAGTCAGCTTCAGTCAAAACGCAAGGCAGACGAAGACCGAGGAAAGACCGCGTACCCCTTGAAAGCCCTCATGGATGGCAACATATGGCCCAGATTCGATCCCGCTGTGAGTTAAAGTTACGGAGAAGTGGGGAAGACATCAGCAAGGTCGCAAACACATTGCACAATTGAAAAAATTGGCGTGTCCCAAGAAGAGAAAGAGGACGTTGTGGCGGCGACGAAAATGGGACACCGCGAAAGACAACAAACATGGGAGGAAACGAACATACCTAGCTTTTCTGATGGCTTCGTAGGCAGCATAGTAGAAGCTCTGCACTGCCTGCTGACCAATTGTCCCCCAAAGAATCTCGTTGACGATGCCCACACTGAGAAGAGAAACCGTTAGCGAATGCCATGAGACAGAGGCTCGTGGCCTCGGGGTGTTTCGCGACGTCCGCGTCGTCGCATAACATTCAGTTGACTTACATCCCGACAACGTCCCGGTACTGAGGCTGGCTCACGAACTGTGTGATCGTCCGAAGATACGACAGCGTTCGTTGTGCATTTGCAATACCCATTACGCCGTTCATGCTGTGGGTACAAAGGATTCGGGAAGCCGGGCGTGTCAGAAAAGACCCCAAAAAGGAGGAAGAGAAAAAAATCAGTAACGTTATTCATGCCGTGAGTACGGTGGCGTTGAGAAGGACTCACAAATTCACTTGACCGCCTGATTAACGGGCGAGAAGATGTTGAAAGAAGGTAAGGACCCTTGTCAGTAAATGAAAGCACAATGAAGCCAAGAAATGCGTACTCTTGCCAGAGTGATTCTGATAAAATCGGGAAAAGAAGGTTACAACTTGGCGAAATCATAGACATCAAACTCACCCAGGCGTTTTGGCTTCCAGGAAGGGCATGCAGATCAAGGAATATACGAATGCCATATTTCCTTGCCCATTGAATCCTGAGCAAAAGAACATTCGTGATTCAGTACGTCCAACTTGCTTATGCGTATCCTCGTTGTACGAGAATAAAACTCACGCTTTCAGGAAGTACGTCCACGAAGTTCCGGCGAGGAAGGGCTCATCGTTTATCGTTTCGATGGCCCAAAATCCTATTGGTATTCTGACCCAGTTCAGACCGGCAGCTGTGTCCGCGGTTGAGTAAACGGTAGTGTAATGAGTGAGTAAACCTTACCTGCAATTTCGGCGAAGTCTTTCTCAGTCTACCAGACAGGTTAGAGCAATTCGACAGGCACCAAAGACTTCAATAACTCACAATGAACGTCTTGTAGTGCTCTTCCATCTTTTTCGAGAGATCGGCACCCATCGCTAGTGATAAGGTCCACTCGTCGAGAACCTCGATGTTTGACTTCCCGACGTATTCTTCATAGAGAGCAGGGACGATAAATGGCTCCGTCACTGCACTAAGTTAGGTCAAGATAACAGCGTATAGGAGCCAAGACCCACCAAGCCATCCACTATATGCGCATTCATTCACGTCAGGAGTCGCAACCAACCAACCAACCACCACGTACCCAAGGTTGACGCCTTTCACGACATGCTCTCCCCACACCCATTCCTCCTTGCCGACGCGAGGACTCCAGCTCTGTGCCTTCCCGCCCGCGGTGAATGGCTGCTTCGGATCCTCAGCCCAATCGCCCCCGAAGTCGTTCGTATAGGTAAACTTCGTGCCGTCTTCCATCGTCACGACGCTGCCCGATTGCCCAGTCACAGCCGCACTCGACCCACTTCCACCCCCGCTTCCCGACGAGCTTGAGCCCGAGCTCGACTCGCCGTTCTTCTTGCTCAGGCTCACACCCAGCCCAGTAGCCACGCCAATGACGATGATTGCCAGGGCCCCTGCGCCAACCCACATCAACTTTCTTCTCCTCTTCCTCTTACGCTGCTGTAAGACTCGCTGGGACATTGCGCGGCGTACCAACGCCGGATTGGACCTCACGGCGGGGTTCTCGAGGGGTTGTTCGGCCCCGCCGTACTACACGGTCCACGAGGAAGGGTTTCAGACGACGAAAACGCCTATCCAATAACATAAATGCTCACCATATTGATAAGTTCATCGTTCCAGGGGTCGTTTGGGTCGTGCTGGCCTGGAACGGGCGTCTGCGGGAGCTCATGCTCCTCCTTGGACACTGACTTGTAGTGGGACATGACAGTGGTGGTGATGGTAGTGGTAAGAACGACGCCTACGCATGCAGCATGGTGCGGTCAACAGGATTAGACAACGTTTGACCGTCGACGCTCGAGCCATCTGGCTTCAGAATTTTACTAACCCCAAAAGGAAATCCTGAATTACTTCCACCTGCCTTGATCAAAACCCTCGAGAAATGTGAGCAGCGACGACGCAGGGGCGCCTGTATGGGCGTGCTTGCCTCTTGGGGATTCCAAAGCCGACTCCAAAGTGACCTCATCTGTAGGACCTTTTTAATGAAAAGCCGTAAGATTCTCTACTGCACTACACTTGGCTTGGAACGAGGTCAACCTCGGCATCGACCGGCATAGCTAGCATGCGCTTCCGGCCTGCAGAGAAGATCCTGAGACATGGCGACTGTTGACTGGGGAGACATGAGCCTGCCGCAAGGCTGTTGCTTGATCTGCGTGCATGTAACATATCCCATGAATCGCGAATTGTCTGGACTCGGGCAGAGATGCCCTACGGCTGGATTTCAGATGATTTTAGGCATCGAGCGCTCATGACAAACGGAAAGAAAGCAAAGCAAAGGAGACTATGTATGTTTTACTTCGGTCCTCCTCCATCTGTTCAACAAACTATTACCGCAATCGACTTTCTAAGGCACCCTCCATCCATTGTAAGTATTTTTAGTCTTGTTCAAATCACGGCATCTGCGCCACGCAAAATGGAAGGGCAGCCGAGGTTCGGTAGGTTCATTGCACATTGTACTTCTGTAGAGGAGATGTTTAAAAGGTTGAACGCGAACAGTTAACTCTCCTCTCGTTTCCTTTGAAGAGCTCCCGGGCCGTCTACAAGCACAAACAAACAACTCAGAAAAATACGCCACATAATTCTTCATGAACACAACCTCTTTCGAATTCTGAACTTGAACGTTCAGGGAAATATTCAGTACAACCATTCTTCGTCGCTCTCAGTTCTGGACTAGTCATTCTAGGCGTTCTCCTTAGGTTTCTCTTCCTTACGCGCCGAGATTATGCCTCGATCTTCTCTCGCTATTATTCAGCCTCCCAAGTTGTCTCAAAGATGCGAAACTTCGACCTACGACTCCCATGAACCTGATTCCTGCCGATTTCTATCACACCGAAAAGCAAACATTACAAGATTCTAAACTATTTTCAGCTGGGTCTTCTCCCTACGCCCTTATACGGCTTCATCCTCTTTCGTCTTGCTGAAAAAGCCGAGCCCGACTTTCCAAATCCCACATCCACAAAACCGGTCGTAAGCTATAGTCACGCTTTCGAAGCTATGTCTAACGTCTAAAACGGCACTCTCTGAGCAGACCTATGATAAGTATCACCTTCAAAACGTCCAGGCCTTCCCATCCACGTCCGATCTCAGCGCGAGGTATGAGCACCGCTGACAATCCATATTCATATCATATCATACCAACAAGGTTTAAACGACCTATACTTCCTCCAGGTCTTCTCTGTCGCAACTTGGAGTTCTGTCCCTTGACAGCCGGACCCCATCGAAGGCGGGCGGGGCTGCTCTATGCCGGCATTGTTGAGAACCATGACCAGGCAAGGATACGAGCCGTGCCTGCGGTGCACGTTGCCCACCATCACCCGCGTCGTCTTCTCTTTCCCGCCCCCGCGCCACGATCTGCTTGTGCGACGGGCCCGTGACATCGTTCTCCAAGTTTTCTCCAGTAGAGACCCTACCACTCCACTCCGTCATCGGATTATCAGATTACTGCCTCGTTCCTCCATCGAAAACCCTCGAGAACGAGGAGAACATCCGCTAGGGTCGTGGGTCCCGCGTTAGGCCCCAGGACCTGCCGGCGTCGATCGAGGGAGGACAGGAAATGCCGCGCGTCGCTACAAACATGTCCACTTTCTCAAGGCAAGGACGCATTCGACCTTGTTTCAACGCTGAAATCCGAAATCTACGCGAGGGCCGGAGGATAAAGAAGCTTCGTGCTCGGGCATAACGCAACATCACACCGATGATTTAGCACCGTCAGGCGTGCAAGGACCAAGATAGACCGAGACGAAAGGGCAAAACTGATATCGCTTATCAGCGATAACACGCGTTGAACGAACTGAATAGTCCGTTGTGTTTCTTTCAGAGAACAAGGTTTTCGAGCGTCCACCACGCCTGTCAGAGAGACACAAGCAACTACCTCCTCCTTAGAGAGTTCCAGAAAACTCCACCTACCACTTACGCGCTTTCAATTTTCGGAGTTTCCATCAATGACTGCAGAAGCATACCACTGAAGTATCTCCGGGTCCCATTACTTGGCTGCATAGTCATGGAATCCCAGATACTCAGCTCATGTGGGACGGAGGCGCGCGGGATTCTCCAGAGCGTGCGGCCCCAAGAGCGTTCCGCAGGTGCATCATCACGCTTACCCGGAGAAGCCTTCAGATGCTGTTGTTCAGGTACCTGGACGGATCCACCGCTCACGCTGCTCTTGCAAGACCCTCCTTTCCCTTCTTTATCCTCACCTCCTCTTTGTTTCGCTTCTCGAAACGAAGGAGCACGCAAAAGAAGGAGAAGGGGGGTCCATCCGCCCATTCTCAACTCCAACTTTCCGAATCCGAGCTCAGTACAAGTCCCCCAATGCCCATCTCGCCCGAGCCGCCCATGAATCCATGATCACTCGGACACGGAGCTCTCATTGTTCACCCACGCTTTACGCGGCGTCACCCCCCGGACAGGACCTCGCCATGCACAATTGCTGAAAAGACGTTCGTCTTCCTTGCACAGTTCCTGGAGTTCTTCCTTAGTAGTAAAGGCTTACAGCATACTGAATTGGCAACTCACAAGCACCGAGCTCTCTACAGGCCGAGGTACCCAATCACGAAGCGCACTCGGGAATTCGTCGCGCGTGGGGGGGCCGGCGCGTGGCCGCAATTCACACTCGCCTTCACTTCCACGTTTGCTCGAGTCCATTCCAAATGGTGCAGGGAGCCTTTTCGAGTATATTCCCGCTGTGTTGGTCTCCGGTGTCCGTTCATCTGCCATTTCGCGCCAGTTAGGTTGGTAGACCGAGGGCGAATGGTCTTCCGATCGCCCGACCCTTCCGATGCTCTTCCTTTGCGAGGTAGCACCGGTGCGCGAATCCATATATCGCGACGGACGAGGCAAGTGCAAAGTGAACCACGATAGCTCGTATTTTGTCGTGGAAATGAGAATGAGGTCGCCATACTGGTCATATGGCGTGGAAAGCCAGCAATTACTCCGAGGAAGCAGTAGCATTCTGAAGGGGGATCGAGCGTCCATGCTGCCTGACGAGGATTATTATCACTAAATTCCATGGAAAGGTTCTGTCCCGAGCATCTGGTGGTCAGCGAGCAGGACTAAATTGGACGCGAACACGCACCAGGACTTCCATGCAACGATGTATTACGCTCAGCTGAATTGAGGTATATTGTTCAGCGCTTGTGATTGATAAAGACGGAGACCATATGAAGATGTCATCACAAGCGCATCGGTAATGTAACACCAGGTAGATTATCAGCCAGAGCACCATTATCTTGTGACGACATCCTAGCAGAGCAGAGCCAAGTTGGAGAACCAGACGATCTACGAGTGAAGCGGGCTCGACAGAAAATGCAAGTCGGTCGGGAGACATATTACGTTGAAGTCACGTGATGCCGACGGCGCTTTCAACACCAAGCCCGACAGATGGATATCTCCAGTGCTTAGGATAGAACGAGACACGCGTCCGAGGGGGCGAACAGAAACCCGTCAAGTGTGCTCCATGCCGCCTTTATATCCCTTTCCCGACTAACCAAGAGGGGGAAGAGCTCAAGACGGACTCGGCTTGTTTCCAGGCACCCCCGAGTCTCCAGTCGTCCATTCGTGTGATGTTTAAAGGAGAAAAGCCTGAAGATCGTTGAGGTAGCCCCATGCTCCCTGGTCCTTGTTCCTGAACGATTGCGTTTGAGAGGAAATGACAGATGGTATATGATCGACGACATCGATGATGACGGTCGTCGATCGATTGTCAGGGGATTTGGCAAAGCCCAAGGAGGTCCGAGGGGTGTACCGCCGGTAGGTTAAGCGTCTGGAGCGGAACAACTTGATTGTGTACATGTTCGGCGGTGGCGGCAGGCGCGATTTGGACAACGAGTCGGCAAGAAGAGAAAGGGGAAAGTTCTCGGCAACACTGTGCCGGTCACTGCCGGTGCTGCCACCATCCTTTACTGTGGGCGTCGGGGTGGGCGTAAGTGACGAAGACATGTGCTAGAGAGACGGCAGTAGATCCTGCGCAAAAATGGTAAGTACAAAACTGGACGAAAAGTCTGCTGCATTACCAGCTCGCCGTAGGTTCTGAATGACCCAGTACAATGAGGAACTGTGTCTTCAAGACGGGAGACAGCTGTTGAGTATTTGAAAGAAGTATCAGTGTTATATCTTGCAGTTTTCCCGAAGAGTGCCTTTGATAGCGATGAACGTCTTGTCGTACAGCGTGTTGGAAGGTTGGAATGACGGTTTGGGGACCCAGTGAACGGGTCCGAGTACTTATACAGTGCTCGTCGACGTAACTGAACAACCGTTGCTGGAAAACCTGGCCCTGGCGTTGCCATATCCAAAAGCAGGGAGTGTTGATCTTATATATCTTCGCTGAGGCCCTAAGGCGGCGCACGGGTGAGGTGATGATCTCCCACAAAAGCCTCCATAATGAAACTTGAAACCGGGGATGCGCAAAAGGTTATACGATTAAATGAATTACAACACGAAAGAAACATACAATCGTCCATACTCTAGCTGCTGGCGCTCTCAAGTCGAGTTGTCCCTGTCCATTCGTCTCCTCTTCCGTTCTTGGTCTTCGAGGATCAGCCTCTCCGCTGCAGACATCGGTGCCGCTCGCTTCTTCTCGTTGACCGCCTTATCCGCATTGTCTGTCGAAGACGAAGACGAAGCACCTGCTGCCGTAGCCGATTTGAATACATTGGGCCGCTTCAGCGGATTGGGTTTCAGGGGATTCGCCCCCAGCTTGAGCGGGTTCAGCTTGAGTGCCGTCGTTGCCGGTGCCGCCGGCGTCGTGGCTGGCTTCGCGGAGAATGACAGCACGACCTTCTCCGCGTTCTCCTCCCGCTTCAACCCCTCCTCGACGGGAGGCGTGGTCGAGCTTGATGCTTCGGGAGCCTCTGCGGCTGCGCGCTCGATCTGCTCGGCGATTAGTTGGCGTTCGCGCTGCTCGTCGGAGATCGTCGCTCTGTCTTTCTTCATAGAGGCTTCCTGAAATATGGATCGGTGTTAGCAAAGGCACAAAGACAAAGAAGACGGAGGGGAGACGCACAGCTTTCGCAAGTGCCTTTGGACTGCTATCAATCCATGCAATAAACCAGCCTTTCTCCGTCTCATCCACTCTCGCAATGCCAGATCTGCCCAAATGCTTCACAAACTCCGTCAACGTGACCCATCGTGTGCTGTTCATGTGGAGGTGGTGCTTGTCAGAAATGAATTCTTGATACACTTGGTTGGCTCGCACGCGCTTCGTCCCGAACCTGTTCAAAAACTTCATCAATAACTACCTACGGTCAAAAGTATGGCTGAAGGATGAAACGCACCTTCTGGACAACAGCGCCACAAACTCTGACTGGAACTGGTTCGAAAACCCTGCGATGTGGCTTCCCGCATGCTCGCCAACAACCAGCATCTGTCGAAGGTGAGATTCGGAGGCAGCGTGGCACTTGAAGCCGTTCTCGTCTCGACATTGCTTTTGGCACACTTGACAGTACCATCGCAGGCGCTGGAGGCCCTTGGATTTCATAGCATTGGCGATTGCCTTTGGGGTTCCGGCTGCTCAAGACAATCAGTGTGGGCCTTTCAGCAGACGTTGCAGGGCTGCTCACCTTCTGCACGAGGCATTATGGATACTATATGCTACAATAAACAAGAAAACGAAAGTGTTGCGAGATTGCGGGCGCTGACGGCGACGTGGAGCAAGACGGTGAGGAGAGTGACGGCAGAGTGGCTGTGTCTCGTCCTAAGGCTGACTCATCAAATCTCCCACGCCGAGTAGATTAACGGCCGCCCGGACCGCCCACTGACGACCGCCTTATCCTCGATCGCAAGCGCTCAGGGCAACACCATCAAGCGCTCGACGCCCAAACTTAATGACCGACTCATCGCTCGATCAATAGTCTCCCGTACCTAGCTAAATTTTCTGAAGTTTACTCTGGGCTCTGGGAATCCTGCGATAATTACGAGTGACGAAACTCCGGTGTTTTTCATTGTCGAGTTCACCCCTTGCTTCGGAATCGAAATCGAACCCGGACAACTGGCTCGCAGTAAAAACAGGAAGAATAAAACGTGTACTTATGTACATACGGACGGAATGGGCGGTCCAACATTTCCCATTTCCCATCGATCTCCGAAACTAGTCACCAATGACACTTTTGTTGACATCGATAATTGCGTCTTGGGTCTTACGGCGTTCCCATAGTACACAGCGAGACGCAAACCTGCGCAGAGACTAGAAGACACCTGCTCGCGACCAAACAACGAATGGGTGTTCATCGTTTCAACGTTTTCAGACTTCTCGCCTTCATCCCTCGCTCCACCGCCGAGGTCCAATTTCCAAATTACGGGCGCGAGAATGGTCGCCTGCCTGCGGTATGTCGGCATGAGCAAACCAGACAGAATTCTAGAGTTTCTTATCGAAACGTCAGAGATGAATCATCCAACGTCTAATCCAGCGTTCACGGACGGGCATCGGAGAATCTGAGCGCATCCTGGGTGCGATTTCTCACTGGGGGCCGCGATACGACTTACTCGTAGTTCTACAAGAGATGTCAACGAAGGTGAACTACACCCGACCACACCAGCGTATCCCAAACGATCCACCGACCCGAATCCCTTGTCCGAAAGCTTGGAAGGTGTCAAATGCCAAAGCCACGGACAGCGCACGCTGCGCTGGGGATCAAAAGACACACACCAAGCTTGAACCCATCCTCCGTGATACGGTAAATCGCCCAACCCATACTCGTATGTTGCCCACTATAGATTAGAAGAGCCAGCCCGAGGGAATCGTGCACTCGGCCGTGAGCTCCTGAGCCCCATCCGCGCGCGCCTAGACCCATGACCACTGGTTGTACCCATTTCCGTGCACATGTAGAGCCACCATCAGGCTTCTCTCTTGACGATTAAAAAAACCAGCGGCACGAATACACGATCCCATAAGGCTATCGACGGCGAACGGGGCTTCCATGTCCTAATGTTTTGATTCAAGTCTGTTTGAATTTGGAACATGGAACCCCGCCGCTGCCCACATAATACGTACGGCGAGTAGCCGTGGCCGCGGTGGTGGATTCGGTGGTGGTGTTGTGGTGCTTCTTTTCTCTGTCAAGGTCACATCGATCGGAGTTGCAACTTCTGGCAGTTGCAGTGCCATGACATGGCAGGGAACTGCTCGTCTGCCGTGCCTGACGTACGCGGTTGTTGCATTCGTGACCGGGGGAAGTCACCTTCCGACAACAAAGGAGAATTAACTTGCCTCTCTATCCATTTAGCGCAAATCAACCTTCCCATAGCCCATTTGTACAATAGAATAGCGGGCGATACAGCCCAGGTGCAGTCGGGATAGCACTACCTAGCAGAGACGCTAGGGAGAAATACTTACAGCATATTAATCAAGTACCTGAGTAATGTAGGTGATATGAAGACCGTTAACGTTTCTATGCATCATCTCATATCTTATGAGGCCTTGGGTTTCCCTTTCTTCTGATGCCGTCGGATATATCTTCTCGCACTTGGGATTCCAAACTGAATATAACGTCAATCAGTCAGCAGGCAGTGGAGAGCAAAAATAATAAAGGAAGCAGACGAAAAATCAGACGGGACGAGCATTTACAAAGAAATCAGGATGATGCAACAAACCGGACAACGCTCACCTGGACAGTGGGGTAAAGAACGAGGAGCGTAGCCCCGATTGCCCAGCCCCACTTAACTTGAGTGGGCAGCGGGTTGGGGAATTGCCCTTTACTCCATTTCGCGATAACCACAAGCTCGGTGAGGATAGTCGCGAGAAGGAGCCAAACGTGCTGGCCCATTCTCACCGCCCGTCTAGAAACGAAAGGTTAGTAATAGAAAAAAAGAAGGGGGGGAAATAAAAATGGGATGAGCGCGCCGTCAGCCTGGACACTGGGCGCCGGGCGGCGCAAGAGGGCGTAATGAAACTCTAACCCAGAATCAAAACCTACCGAGGATCGTTAATGTACTGGTACAGCTCTCTGACGGCCGGCAGGGCGCATAGAAAGACGAAGGCGAGGCGCAGGATGATGATTGGGTGATCCGGCTCCATCCACAACAAGCTCTGACAGATGAAAGAGCGTCAATGACGGGCACGTTCGCGTCGGGGGTCGCTCCCCGACCAGCAGACAAACTCAGTCGTACCTTGAGGTAGAATGGGTTGAGCTCCGCCGCGAGAAACACCGCAAGCAAGAGCACGACCGTTGAAAAGTGCAAAAAGTCGGTCGCCGTGCCCCATTTGAATGCCATGAAGTCGTGTGGTGAGAATTGGCTGAGCACACGCCTCGCCTTGGACCTTATCCCTCTTGTCTGTCGGAATCCGCGCCATTCGTAAGGCTACGCGAAAGGCAAAACGCGAAGGACACGCGCATGATTAACGCATGACTTTCATTTAGAAGTTGGAAGCCCAGGAAGGAACGCGTACCTTGACTTCTAAGTATTGGCAGACTTTCATGCCTACGAAGAAGCCAGAGAAAAGATGTTGAGAAGCTGCGAGCTGCGCGCTTCGCGTTGCAGGCCAAGTAAAGTTTATTGAACGCACCAAGATATGTTCCTAGCCAGTTGCATACCAAAACGTCTAAAATCCACTAAGGATAAGGGTATGAATTGCCACTAATTTTGTCGCAGTCCGCAGGACTTACGTGGTCCCACCAACACTGGAAACAAGGTTAAGTCAACGCTGAATAACTAAGCAAGTAGGCCTGCACGGCAGCATACTTCTGCGAAATTGGGTAGCTGATGCTGAAGGCTGTACTCAGCCAACTCGAATGCAATGCTCAGAATCTATTTTAAAAACCTGATTAGAATAGCTCATATCAGGGATCAAGGAAGCCCCCCACCCAACAGAACCAGTAATCCCGTAAAATCATTGCTTTGCCGAACCATCCAAGAGCATGGGCAACGCAGAAGATATCAACTGCATTCTAAGTTTGCATCAAGTCAGCTCAGCCCAGAGGTGGCGCCATTCAGTTAAGTCCAAGTTACCCAGAGCGTCTTGGGGGTCAACGAGCAGTCCTCTGCATAGCTCTTTTCGGGCAGGGGAACCCCGAGGCTGGAATCGATGTAGATCATCATTTGGCGTGCGGTATCAAGGTCCTGGAAAAGCAAGAAGACGAGCGCTAGCTCGTAAAGTAAATTTACTCCAAGGATTATGCGCCAGAAGGCAGGGTGCGGTCGAATAAAAGGACCATCACGAAACTGAATCATGGCGAACGTCAAGAACGACGCTATCGCTGCGTAGACGCCACTGGGAATTCGGCATTCTATCAGCTCGCGTGTTTTTGCGACCTTGGAGCAGGAACAAGGACATACACACGTCTCTTGTCCCGACCTTCCTCCAGGACGTCTTGGGTCGTCGCGACATATGCGAGGACGATCAAACCGCAGGCAAGCGCCGAGAGAGTTATCGGTTTGTAAAAGAACCTGAGTCAGAGGTTAGCAAACTCTTGATACGCCGAATCGATTCGCGCCTGCCCGAAGGGGAGGCAGATGCACTCACTCAACGCTTGTGTCGTGCTTTTCTTGAAAAGGCGTTATTCGTGTGTAAGGTTCTGTTCTGTCGGCCTGATGTAGATGAACAGTGATTTTCCATCAATAGGAGGGCGACCAAGGAAGAAGGCAGAGCTTTCATCAGTTCGGAGGATTTGGATGTACGGATTGAAGGCGCCACATACATCGTACCCTATAAACACGCATAAGATAACGTGTCCGAGGAAATAAAATGAAACAGATAAAAAGGTTTTACGATGTCGCAATTAACGGGAGGGCTAGACGTACATCGCACCGGCACTCCATTAATACCAGGTTCAGGCTCAATCTCCGCAACGGGTGACAGTACGGCGTCCGAGTCCTCTCCGTGCGAGGTGGGCGAAAGGTCGGGGTTTTCGTCTCTAGACGACGACGCCATGCTGACACTGGTGGCTGAAGCTGTCGGGCGCGAGTGCTGGTTCTTTGATTAGCGTATTCTGCACTCGGCACGCGGGCTTGAAAGACCAAGAGAACTTGAATTAGCACTGACTGTTGTTGGACGGGGAGAAGTTTGACAATGCTAATAGGCTCACGCAATTTCGAAGCCTTGTATTGTCGTAATAGTGTGTAGCAGCTCTAAGTGCGCGCGGAAAGTGGGGAACTGCGGCTGCAGATCGTCGTGAGTGGTAGTGGTGGATCCTGTTGAAGGAGTGCTGGATCCTGCCAGGACCGTTGCCCTCGACGTCACCGCACGGCTTTGGCTTTGTTTGGCATCAGCCTCCTAACGTGGCTCGGAGGCGCGGGGTTCATTTCTTTTTCTGGTCATTGCACCCCTCTACACTTTTGGTCCAATGTTCTGCCAGCCGATAAGTCAGTATCCGAAGAAAGCTGTAATCTGGGGTAACAGGACTGTCAGCACGTCGCAACGAGGCTCTCGAACTCCTCCCGGGCGCTGATAGCAATTAAACTGGAATGTTTTCTGCGCTGGACATCTGACCATTCGCGGAGACCTCAGGTGGAATCCACCTACTCAGCCCTCCATCATCGTTATCAACTCTCTCAGTGGTGTCGCGCTTCTCTGTCCTATCCTCTCCACGTTTGACCGACGTTAACGGTTTGACGGTTCGTCGCTAGGCAGGGCCACGACTGGTTAAATGCTCGACTTTCGAACATTGGATTGGGCATGTCTTGCCATATCCATGGCTTTACGGCTGCGCCTCTGCGCCTCTGGTCACTTTGGCTGCAGGGCCCTTACCCCGAATTGTGCTTTTCACCGAAGCTTTTCGTCATTCCGAGTGGCCTTTCAATGTTCAATAACATCAATGGCTTCCCCCATTTCCCCGGTATCCTACCGGTCGTAAGGGGTTGGGGTGAATGACACATTCGCCCCTTCAAATGTCGAATACAATCAGGACTCGACGCTCGCACATACACCCAGATCACCCCGACGCCTCTGTCATGATCGATGCCGTCCGTATCCCAGAAGAGGGTGCCCCCTAGGTCTTGGAAAACCGCGTCTCTTTTCCAATATGGAAAATGGCCAGATTGGACCCACTGATGCCATCATCGCACACGGAAAGAGGGTGCGTCATGTCAATCATTTATCAGATGAGTCTGCTTTTGAACTGGCTGCAATATCTAAATAGATCTTGCAATCCCAATCTCAAGGAAAGTCCCGAGAGTCCTTATCTTGGTTTGTCTATTCAGTGACTGGGCTATGGTGTAGGGCCTAAGGGAGCGACCCTCGCAGAGGCATGCCGGTCCCTACTAGTGTAATACTAACTAACCTTCCATGCTTACTGGCACGAAGGTTGCCAGCCGCTTCTCAATCCAATGCCAATTCCCCATGGGCCTGCCTCGAACCCTGCGTCCAGTTTCAGGGAGAGGGGGGAGGCGGTATCTCGAAACGAAACGGCACCCGCGTCCTGTTCAAGAGCTCGTACCCCAAATTTCATTTGACGATCCCAGCCACAAACTCTGCTTCTTCCTTCTGTTAGTCATACACAAGTATTCTGGCCTTCTCGGAATCAATTTGGGCCTCAAAGTGGGACACCGCGTGAGCATCGCTTCGTGGGTTCCTCCCTCTGTTCCAGAGGGTGTTCTCTGGCATCGGGAGAATGGACTACGACGGAGACCCTTACCGTGCTCTTCTGTCGGAGGCGATTAAGAACGACCTAGCCCGTCCACGAGCCCGACGCCATGTTCCAGGAGCGGGCATGGGTCCCACTATCCCAGGCCCGCGCGATCCCTGCAGCCGCACCAAATAAAGTGAGTTACTCGTTTTGTAAGTACGGACCGCCTATCTTGACAGCGAGCTCATATGTACCTTTTACGTCCAGTTCACGCGATGTAGCGATCGGGACTTAAGGGAATAACCAATAGTGCGCTTTGCTTTGTGGCTGGTCCAAAGAGAGACAGCGCTGGGCTGGGACGTTCCCACCGCTCTCATCGCGGACGTACTCAGCCCTCTGAGTTTGATTTCCCTCTACGGCGTCAACCGGTCGTCACAAGGCCAGATCAGGGGGGACGAAGGCTGAAGCTGGAAGGGGGGCGTGCAGTTTAACCTTGAACCGTTCGGAATCAGCCAAGTACTTCTGGCTTCGTCCATCCATCATAGATTCTGATCACACATCCTATTTGGCAGCCAAGTACCTCCTTCGTCCACGGCACGGCCCACCTTCCAGACTCGAGTCTTTGACTGATTGTGGCACTGTCTGTTGGCGCCTGTGGTTGGACGTTGGTGGTGATACAGGATAATCATCGTGTGTGAGTGAAGATAATATCACCCGGAAGGTTTCCTGGCAGAACGTGTTTTTTGTTTTCTTGGATGACGCCTCGCATTGAGTCGTTTTGCGCTCGTCTGGAAGGGGCTTTCGGTCACCGATGACTCGATCAACTCTCTAATTATCTATCCGGCAGGGCGTTGCTCTCATCGGGGATTGCGAGGAGCCTATGCGATTAGAGGCGCAGTTGCGACTTGAGGGATGGACAAACGCAGGGAATCTCGATAAGCTCATGCCGATGCCCCGATAGCTTGGAAGGTTCGGATTGCGAATATGGCCCCTCGAACCCGTCTTCCGCGGATGATTGCGCAATTCTAGACGCACAAAATCGACCACGTTCATTATCGTATACGCGATGATAACTTCATCTTAGAAAGCGCCTTCGCTACATTATGTACTTACCTGAGCTATCAATACCATCATCTGGGAACCTAAGTAAAGAAACGTCGCATGGCTCAGCTATTGGGCTTTACGTCTGTAAAACGCCACATATCCGGATTCCGCGCTGGGATTCCGCGCGTGTGCAGGGAATTTGACGCGCCACCATAGCTCTAAAAAGGAAAGCAAACCTCGGGTCTAATCAGATCCTCCCTGGCTCGTGGAGTTCGCGTATTTCCCCGAGAGTAAGGCTCTCTTTGGAACACAACCTTCCTTGTCCGGCGAATTTCGCCAACCCCTCCACCAAAGTTGCAGGAATCATGTCGGCTACCCTCGAGCACCATGCGAATTTATCCGGAGGCTCACGGACGCTCCCCATGCCCAGCTCGGAGCTCGGGATGCCTTGCTTTTCTCTGAATGCAGGGCCGAACATAAGAACGAGTCACTCTCGCATCGCGAGGTGTGTCTAGACTAGACATTGCGTGTTCGACACGTCCTTTGTGACAGCACGTCTAGATCATTGAGACGGTTGATTGTCGATATATTTCCGCCCGCATCTTGAACACCGCGCCCGGTGTGATTGGATGCATCGGCGCATACGAGGACACCTAGTGGGTCGGCGAATAAACGTGGTAAAATGACGATGAAATGCCGACAGCCCGATTCTTAATGGAGGGGCGTGGGCGGGTTGGGCTTGGGTG